ATCGATAGGATTCGAAAAGGTTATCGACTTTCCGGGGTCAGATTGCTGCGTCTGAACCAATCCAAGTAGTTTACTTGCCGTGGTCTGAGGATAGAGGACCTTGAATGGTCCTGTGGAACCGGTTATGGTGATTTGACCATTTACATGAGAATAATCAACTGTATATGACTGAGTCCCCGTCGAATTGAATCCTGTATTCAAGGCATCGACCAAATCATCAGGGCTATATGTTCCAGGAGGAATTGTGAAAGTCCTAGGGGTGCTACCCATCCCGGCGTCATAAAAGGATACAGTATTGTTTCTAGCGTTAACGATGTCATATGACAGAGGCAGGATGATGGAGTTGTAACGAATCCTATCACATGCTATGGGCTCTGCTAGAGTCCATCTCGGCTGGTTTTTGTCCCCATTTGTAGCCCTGCTGCTGTCGAGAATCAACTTTTTCATCTTTCTATGTTATTATAGATACAGAGCAAATAAAAAACAAGCACGATGAAGGAAAAGCCTATTACCATCGCCCCTTTGCCTAGTCAAGTCTCTGGACGCATAAAAGACAATACTGACCCGAGGCTTCCTAGGAAGTATGCCTTCTGTGTTTACAATGGCGCTCGATTTAGTGGGAAGACATTGAACATAGCCATGATATGCAAATTGTTTCTAAAAAAGCAGTATTCGAATACTATAATAATAACACCGAATCCGCACGACACCAATTGGAATCCATTAAGAATGAGCAAAAAGGTTCATTTATTTGACCAAATCAGCAACGAGATACTCAATTATATCCACAAGGAACAATTGAAAGAGTTCATTCGCAGCGGAAGAAAACGGGATTTGCTTCTTATCATCGATGACTATAATATGCAAAAAGGGCATAAGAAAGCACTCGATGAGTTGGCTACCCGTGGAAGGCATGCTGGGATTACCTGTATTCTGTCGAGTCAATATTTCTATCACAACAGTCCTGCCATCTGTAGCAATGCAACAAACTGGATTATATTTCGACCTTTGAAATCAGAGTTGAAAAAGATGGTCGAAGCCGGGTTATCTCTCGCTTTGCCCGAGGATGTATTCGAAAAATTTGTTATGGAGAATACCAGGAAGCCATTCCATTTCGTCCACATCAATCTACAGAGTTCGAAACGACCTTTTAGAGTCGGTTTTTCCTAGCCGCATTTTTTTTTTCTAGAAGTGTGTTAAACCAAAATGTCTTCAGAAATTCAGGTAACTGAGGTTTGACGAGTCCCAAGCGTCTTTACCTATAAAAGAAATGCAAAGAACGGAGTTGTTCTTAATTTTCAACCTAGTTCTCAGGTCCGCTTCGAGCTGACAAACGGAAGTGGTGATTGCCGAGCAGGAGGGAAACTCTCATTTAAAATAGCCGACAACAAACTTTTTTGGCTTGTGAATGAAACTTTGCACAAATATCGTCTAGTAGGGTTAAAGGCTGATGGCTCGCCAGCCGTTGCTGTAGATGCTACATACCGTCTATGCCAATCCGGAACCGATGCTGCATGGAGGCGTCAATCTGTTTTGATTAACGGAAGGATAGTGGAGGACCTCAATGATTACAATTTGTTTACTGCTCACGAAAATGCAACGACATCATGGGAAACCAAGCAACATCTGGGTCAATGCGAATATTATTCCAGCGAGGACACCAACCGTGCAGCCGTGGTCGCTCAAAACAACGCTTACACTGTCACAGCCTCATCGCTGTCATTTTTCCAAAACGAAGTTGCTTTCCCTCTCTGTCTAGTGAAAGGCGGCGTTCAGATTGAAATGACTGCCGAGACGGACCTTACCAAAATTTGCCCACATCCACAGGAATCACGTCTTTCAAGATAGTTGAAAATGAATTAATATGTCAGTTTGCTGAACCAGTCGCTGAATATTACAACAAAATCCTGTCATTGATGGAATCAAACGAATACTTGACCATCCCCATGCAAGTGGTCTGGAGTCAGGAGTTTGCTGGACAAGACAGTCGCATACAGCAATTGTCGCTTGTGACAGGTGAACAGTCCTCTGTTTCGTCTTTGATGTTGGTCACCACTGACAATGTACGGACCGATGTAGACAAATTGAATTATTCAGATGATGCAGCAATTCGAACTATTTCTATTCAAGTGGGCACACAATGCTTCCCTGAAGGTAAATCGATTTCCAATGGTTCCGAACACTCTGGAGTGGTCTCTACTATAGACCCTGAGATGTATGCTCTTTCGCAAAGGAACAAGGACTTTAACGACATCAAGTTTGCGCCAACGATGACTGATTTGAAAGGATGGACTCTAGAAGGCAAAAAGATACAGCATTGGTCATGGAGACAAAATTTCAAGCAAACTCCCGACATGATTGGCGGAGGACTTCAGACTCTAGCTGATGGACATATTCTCATCAATGTCTCTCAGTATCCCAATCCTCCGGAAGTGGCACCAGATTTCACCGGTGCTTCTATCCCAACTTTCAAGGACAAGACATTCCATGTTTTCTGGACCACAGACCATGAGATGTGCATCGACCGTGACGGTGTGCGATTGCTTCCGGCTTAAACACTACTTTTTTAGAAAAAGTAGCATCAAAAAGAGCGAGTTCGCCTTTCATGCGAACTCTAAGTTATTAGTTCCCCTTCAACTCCATAGCGAAATAGCATCAAAAGAGCTCTTTTGACGCTACTTTTTTTAAAAGTAGCTATGGATAGGACAACCTCATATTGAATTATATTAATGGCTAAGAAAGCAACGCATAGAAAACTCGTCAACATAGTGGCGATGCCCAACAAGGGGTTGAAGGCAGCCGCTCGTGCTAGAAATCGAAGGATTATCGGAGCAAGAAAAGCAGCGGCTACTCGAAAGCGTCGATATGGCCCTCGTGCTGTTAGAAGAGTGGTTTACATCTGATGTGATGAAGTGAACAAGTTGTGAATTGAGTTTGCCCGCTAAGCCAGGGGGGGGTTATTTTTGGGGTTTAATTTTTTTGAAAACGACAAAACAATGAAGACATATGAAGACATATATACATGAAAAGCTATGAAATTCAACTATATACACTGTCACACAAACTTCACGCGTGCGTGAATTTCATGTAACATGGCCTACTCAGACCTCTTTTTAGGTTTTCCCATCTTATGAAAGTACACTTCCGTCTTTTTCCAATCTCCAGCCTTCATGGCATCCAGAAAATCACAAAAAACATCTTTCAATGCTGTTGCAGGAATGTCTTGCTGATTGGCATCGAACCACTGCTTAAGAAGGGCTCTGTCGCTTACACTTGACTCCTCAATCAGTCTTGGTGACTTGTACAGAACCAATGGAATTATCGGGTTTATCTCGAACATTTTGATGTATTTCTTTTCTCGGTCGGTCAACCTATGAGCTTGTTGTTCTTTCTTCGATTTCGACATCAAAATGTTAATCATCCTAAGAGCCTTACTATGGTCTTCACCCGATGTTCCGTGCTTTTGGAAAGAAGCAAAAACTTTTCTGTTCCTATTTGGCGCCTTCGTACACAAATCCTCAAAACTGATTGTACACCTTTTTCCAAAGGATATGTACTTTTTGCTTTTTAACAAAGGCTTCGTCAACTTTGTTATCGAAAAAAAATGGTCTTTCTGAGGAGCATTTTCATCCTCAGAGGTATCGTCAGACCCTTCGTCATCCTCGTCGTCATTCATCGGATGATAAGAACTCTCAGAGCCATTGCCACCCTCCTCGTCATTGTCGTTGTCGCCGTCTGTCACACCGTCAGTTGGTTCATCCCCGTTAGGAGGCTCTGGTTGGTTAAGTGTTGTATCCTCTCCACCATTGGTAGAATCCTCAGCAATCGTGGGCTCCATTTGATTTTGAAACTCACGTTTAAGTAAGTCATAATCAATGTATCTCATACATATCTTCCCCCGTGACGCAATGAATGTGGTCTCGACACACAGGTTTCCCAACGATTGAAGAAGTTCCAGCTCCGTCTCAGTAATGGAGTTATCATTCTCAAATTTATTCAAAATTTTGATTATTGTGTCGGCAGGTCTTTTCAGGTTCTCATGTCCTGTTTTGCTGATTGATGCACGACGAGCTTTACGCGCTCGGGTTTTCTGGATGGTCGGAGCGTTGGTCATGACGAGTTTCGCGATTTGTAGATATTGCTGAAATGATTTCATGTTATTAGGTGCGCATGTGAGCTCCGAATGTTCCAGATTAGAACTTACCAAGTTTTGAAGTTCGACTGCTGGCACCACAGAAGTTACCGTAAACTGTAAACTAACTTTGTGGTACAAGGGTAAATGTCTAACCGACACGCCTCTTTTATAGCCGCAAATGGCAACGAGCTCAACCCACACATCTTCTGGCGACCGCCGCCACGTTACTATAAATAGCACAGAGCATGTTGACTGGTGATATAAACAGCATCGAAATGTGCGTTTAAAGATAAAAATAATTTACCTTTTACAATACAATACTAAAAAGTAACAATGGGAAAACATCCTGGGTGTAAACAGCAAATGGTGAAGTGGCGCCTATATAAAAAGCAACTCGACGGTTCCGAAACGCCGATTGGAGATTTCTGAACCCAAAAGGACATTGATATATATTTGGGCTTTAAAGATAATGCATATATCAATTTGCTAATAAATGGCAAACGACCTTCGCCGTTTCACCACCAGTACCGCGTGGTAAATCTCTGTAAATCTAAATGCGTTTGAAAGCAAAAAAATATCATATAAAGCTAAAGATAGAAAAAGAACAAAGTTAATTTGTTGTCATTACATCATTGCAACACGATGACCTTGATATTCAATCCCATCGAAGATAAAAACGTTCGCGTGGGGACAAAAAACTATGTGAAGATGATGAGGAAACTAGTTGCCGGTGACTTCAACCGCAAGGGCTGGACAAGGGAACGAAAAGTGGCCCTTGAAGACTTGATGATTGAGCGTTTGCCCCTATTCCTACTTGAAGAACAAGAAAAAAGAAGAGATGCGGCTCGTAAGGCCCAGGCAACTCGTACTGCCCCACAGAGACAAGCCATTGCTCGTAAGGCCACTGTTACTCTGAGGCGCAAAAAAATGGAGCATGATCAGGATCTCGCTCGCGAAATGGCCGCTCAAAAGGCCAGGCGTTCTGCGGCTGCCAAACAGGCAGCCGAGACGCGTCGCTCCAATCAAACGGTTGCTGATTATGCTATTGAATGGGTACATCTTCTCTACTGGTGTGAGCATAATGATTCACAATTTTATCGAGAACGCCAATATACAGAAGGAAACAGATTTGCCAAGTCAAAAGATTCTCGCTATGTGCAAGTGCAAGCACTACGCGCAGAGAAAGGAGATGCTTGGATGCATGACATTGCATGGAAAGAGGATGAGTTTGAGGAAAAATTCAGCAATGTTGAAAATGCATGCTTCCGAGAATCATTGTCGAGACAAATGAACCATGTGTTCCCACATGTCCGAGGTCAATTGACTTTGGAGAAAACAAAACAATTGATTGAAGCGTACGAAACAGAACATGGTATACTGGTCTTGAATACAGAGTCTGACTACAATGACAATTTCATCATTCTCGAAACCGTTGTGTTATCCCGCGTTAATCTCTCCAATGGAGTGAAACTGGATGAGATGATGCTCTTTGACGAGCAACAAGAGGATGGAATGATTATTCGTCCTGACAGTCTTCCAGAAGGTCAATGTCTAATCAATGCTGTGAGAAATGTTTGGGCTTATGGAAGCAAACGGGCTCAAAGGAAAGGATGTCGAGAAATTCTAGATGACAAATGGCTAATGAATGCGATGAAGATAGACTCACTTGATAATGGTGCCAATTTGAAACATTTGAACAATTTGAACGAAGAAATGCTCAAATTGGGATATGTGGGTTCATACTACTGCATCGACCTTTGTAAAGCATTTGTGTCTAGAATGCAGTATTTGCAGGATGATATTGCAGATTTGTCGAAACGCATGAAGAAAGATGTCGGTAAAGACTGGAAGTTCAAGTGGACATTACCTCCTTTGTATGGTTTTATTTACAACAATCATTTCTCGGAAATATGCGACGAGAAATTGCAAAAATCCTTGCGAGAAAGAACCACAGCCCAGAGAGTGCAATCGGAACACGCTGACACAAAAAGGAAACGGGGTTCCAAGGGGAAGACTGAAGAAGAAGATGAAGATGAAGAAGAGTACGAAGAAGATTATGTGTTCATTGACAGAGGCAATGTCGAAGAAATTGTGAAGAACATTTTGCACCGGGAAGTGGATGGCAACGTACAAAGTTCGACTGATGGGTGGAGGACCATTTACCTGCTCAAAGACTGCAAGGACTTTTTTGTCATGGAATCAGTCTTCTTAGAATACATCAAACAAACTCAGAAGATTCCACAGGTAAAAACTCAACTATCTAGCAAACATAGCAACTGTTGCATCGAAAGGATAATACTGCATGGCGGTAACGAAGTACGCTTGGATTGTGACTTTAAGAAAAGAAAGGATATCTGCAAAAAATTGGACATTCCATTCCAAGATAAATCATTACCTGCTATATCCTTGGAGTTGCTGAAGGCAACATATCCCAACCTAAAGAAATCAATGCTTTCAAATGAACTTTTACATATCCTGGAAACTTCAGGAAAACCAAGCATTTTCTACGGCAATTTATGAGATTATACAAATGATGAGAGAAATCAACGTCTCAACTTGGTAGCGATTGACATACCCAAGTGTTATCGTACCAGCATGTATGAGATGCCTCTCCCCTATCCGGTATTCTCGTTCTTTGATACTGTTGAGCCTTACGATGCTGCAAAAAGTGACTTTGGTAAAATGGCAGGTTTGTACTTTGTCAAGACAAGGAATGTCATACCTTGCGAAGGCGATGGATGGTACGTCAATGCTATCGTTGATAAGTTATGCAAAGAGAACATCCAGCATGAGATTACACACATGATTCTTGCTAGCCGTGCCCTCCCTGGAAACTATTTCTGCAAGTACATCAATCTGATGGTAGGAGCACTCGGAAGCAAGGGTGCGAAACTACCAATCAACGGTCTTGTAGGACTGTTTGGGATGAAATTCAGTAAAAGATACTTCAAATCTGTATTCTTCCCGACACAGGAAGAAGCCGTAGACTATTTTCAAAAATGGCAAGCCGAAGGTCAATGGAACGCTGCAATAACACAGAAGTTTTTTCGTGATTTACACGGTCTTGACTTGTTTCAAACAACAGCGTATCAAAACGTCAAAACATTTGACTCCCATCGCCCAATACGCAAGCAAATCATGGATTATGCAAACTGTCTCTTATACGACATGATTAAGGAAACGGTCGGTGGAATTGATAAAGTCTTGGCCGTCAAAACCGACTGTATTGTCGTAAGGAAGCAAGATGCTTTCATAAATCACTTATGGAAATATCATATTCCAGAGGACTTACCAGAGTTGCATAAGGACATCAATACTGCACGACGAGCCGACACTGGAGTCCGACAACGTTGGATAAACAGAGTCGATTTACGTATTTGCAAAGGCGACGATGGGGTACAAATGTTTTTGGATGCTATCAGAGTTGGTCAATCTGCCAGGATACAAGGAGATGGCAGTTGCGGCAAGTCCGTTCTCTTGAAAGGACTTGAAAAATATTTCATCAAGCAGGGCAGAAAGGTTCTTGTCATAGCACCAACGAATGCCGCTGCCAATAGGGTTAAAGGAAAAACAATTCACAAAGGATTGAAAATCGGTCAGGGGGATGAAATTGCCCATCTGAAAAACAATATCCCGAATGTTCTACTTATAGATGAAATTTCCCAAATCCCTTCCTATCTATGGAATATCATATATATTTACAAGCAAATGGGATGTCGGGTGTTCCTTGTCAGAGATTCAAAACAACTACCTCCTGTTGAACCATGGGAAAACATTCTTTCTGATGACTATCTAGAGACCAAACTTGTGGCAGATATTGCTGATGGCAATTACATCAGGCTTACGGAAAACCATCGTTTTCTTAATGACCCAACAAATGAGATGCATAAACTGACCGCATCGATTCTAAATGAAGGAACTGATGTTGTTTTCCCAGACAGCATGTATGTGGAGAATGAAAGTGAAATACTGGACTTTAGATTGAATATCGCATTTACAAATCGTATGTGTCACTACATCAATGACCTCCATATGAAGAGAGACAAAAATGAGGCAATTCGATTGAAAAAGAAGTTTTTCACCTCTTCGAAGATACCATTCAGCAAGAATAATCAAGATTGGAGAAAAACACAAGACTGTATATTCGTCAAAGGTTCGCCTTTGATTTCGAGGAAGGCAATTCAAAAGCAAGGTGTCGTCAAAATGACACCTTGGGAGGTTTATGATTTTGATAGAGACAACGTAACTTGTCGAAGGGCGAACATATTGGAAGACATCCGTTGTGTGGTGCCAAAGAACGATTTTCAGAAATATTTTCTCTCCGGGTACTGCACAACTATTCACAAGGCGCAAGGTCAGACATTTGACAAACGGTTTCTAATTCACGAGAAAAATAAGATGTTGCAAAAAATGTTATATACCGCTGTAAGTCATTCCAGCCATAACAAGTATATCAAATTTTCCAATGTTACGTTGGTTGATAACCTTGCCAATGAAGTATGGAGGGAATCATTGAAGAAATCATTGTCTTGGGTGGAAGGATGTACATTTGAAGAATTCTTGTCTCATATTCAATTACTTTTGAACAAATCCAAGGACCTTCGTGGTATGACATGGAACAATTATCGCTGGAACTTTGAAATCGACCATGTTGTGCCACAAAACGAGGGCGGAAGCAATCATTACACAAACTTAGTGCCCCTAGACATATCTGAAAATCGCCGAAAGCAAAATAAACACAATGATGCAGAAAGACAAGTGGTGGATTTTTGGATGCAAACTCCATTTCCCAACAACAGCGCTGGGATGCAAACTCCGTTTCCCAACAACAGCGACCCCCCAAAAGGGGGGAGCGACACTGAACTCAGTTCAAAGAGGGCGACATTTAGATGTACATCCTGTAGGACACATTATACAACAGTACCTAATGTACCATGCACAACATGCCAAAGCAAATGCTTTGTTGAAGCAGCAACAGACATGGATGGTGCCAAATTTCATTTTGTAACATAAGAGATAAGCGATATGGATGAACTGAAAAGATTGTATTACTCCCCCGGAGCTCCCACAGGAGCTCCCGCCTTGGTCAAAATGCTCAAGCAGCAGGGAGTTTCGATTACTCTTAAACAAGTCCGTACATTCCTAGAGAATGAACGAACACACCAAATTCATCGGAAGAAGAAGAGGCTGAACCTAAATGTTGCTAGAACCTTTGCCCCTTTTGACGTATGGGAATGCAATTGGCTTTCTTTAGGCGATGATGCACACCCGAGACAAAATGGCGGAAACTCGCATATTTTGGTTTGTGTGGACAAGTTCTCAAAAATGGTTTTTGCCGAGCCTTTGAAAAGAGTTGATGAACCGAGTGTCACCAACGCAATGGAGTCTATATTGAACAAATGTTTGAGAAAATACAAGATGCAACCCAATCGAATGATTACTGATGCCAGAGGAGCATATAAATCAGGTCAGTGGAAACAGTTGATGGAAAAGTACGCTATTGACCACAAGATAGTGTACATGGCATACGAAGCCGAACGAATGATTAAGACCTTGAAAGCCGCAATTGGTCGCATATTAACCCAGCAATGAAGTCATAAATGGCTTCCTGTTTTTGGGGAACTTGTCAACATGGTAAACCATTGAGAACACCGTGGCATCAAAATGTCACCCAAAGAAGCAGTAGAAAAACCATACGAGGCTTTAGAGAACCTTTCCAAGTATTGGCAGAAAGTGCATCAAAAAGAGCCTGAAATCTTTGCAGTCGGTGATAGGGTTCATGTCAGACATGAGACCAGAGTATTCAAGAAATCCCATCAAGAGAACTTTTCCAGTGAGATATATGAGATTGAAAAAGTCTACAGTCCAACCCACGAGTTACAATCTCACCGCTATGTCATAGCAGGAATTCCTGGTAGAATTTTCAATTATAACGACTTGATAAAAACTAACGAGCGCCCTCTTGAGAAAACAGCCCCACAGACCCCACAGAAAAAGGCGATGAAAAAGGACCGATTGCAGAAACAAGTGGAAAAAGAATTGTGAGATTTACCAGCCGCTCCCATAAAGATGGGAAGAACTCGCGCTCAACAGAAAAAGGTACGCATCAAACCTAAAGGAACATTTATGTATGTGGAAATATGACCCCAACCATAATGTGGATTATCATGAAGATTTTTTACTTAGACAATAGTTAATGTGCTACTTTTTCAAAAGTAGCATCAAAAGAGTGAAGCAAATTGCCTGACAAATTGCATGCCGCTACTTTGGCTGGTTGGCAATGTCAAACCTGTGGGGCTACCATTATCGGGATGATTAAAAAATGTCTAAAATGTTGCATCGCATCATGCGATACCTGTTTAAGTGATTATGAGATTTGCACTAGAAAGAACAGAACTATCAGCATAAGACATCGGTGTTGTTCATCATATATAGACATTTGTGCCTTACAAAGAACAAAACCCTTCGTTCCTCCCATATTTGAAGTTGTCTTTGACTAGGCACATTTTTGTGAATTCAAAAACTTGACCTAGACATGTCAAAAAACTGTCTCATAAGAACTAATTTGGAATGGTTTCTATTACTGTTACTCTTGGCAGCATTGGTTCAGACCAAAAATGAATGCTGCGAGCTAGGCGAATGAACTCCGAAGCGAATTTGCACTGGACTTCATCCGTGCAAGGGGCGCTGTCAAAAATGGATTTAAAGGGAAGCATGTATGCATGTATGCAATGTGGAGATGTATGCAACCAATGGATACATCGGCAACATATTTAAAGATGTGCAACTTCTAAGAAAATTTGCTCATTTTGAACTTTTGAATCCCCGGAATTTTTGATACCAAAGCTCCACTCCATCCGTCCTCCAAAAATTCACTTTGCAAAAAAATCCAAAAAATTGTTACCATAGATGGAGCTGATGCAAAACCCGTCCTGTTCCGTTCTGTCGCCCTCTGCAGCACTCGAGTTGCTAACTAGGCTAGTTCTGTTTTCCTCCCTCTTGAGGGACTGTGGAGCAGCGCTCTTTTATGCTTGCTCCCTCCTTCGGCGGAGCATCGGCATGAGATTTCCGACCTCCACCGGTGCAGTCCCTCTTGCACCAATCGGAAGTGATTGGCGCTATGCAATAAAGGGACAATTAGTCCTCTAATTACGGGGCCGCCGCGGAACCGAACGACTTTGACAGGTCGTCGGCGCGGCGGGGCTTACATAATCTAACTACTGTTACACGCTGCGCCATACTCTAGCCATACATGGCTATATGACGATTATAGCTATATATGGTATGACGACGAGACGCGTCGCGAAAATCCAAGTTCGCAATTGCGTGCGAATACCAAAGGACAGGTCTACCTTACATCCTCAGGTGCATAATTGATACTTTCCCTATTATATATGAGGATGCCTGCCCTTGTGTGATAGGCAATTCTGAATAATCCTTCAGAGGATGCTGTGGAGTAGATTCAAACAATGCATTCCAATTCCCAAAAGGACACACTTGGAGGTCATTAGAAAATCATTGATATGACTTCCCGTAGCAGGACAATTCCGTGCTTACTGGATGCTGACCAATCTGAATGTAATGTATACACATTAGGCTATATTAGACTGGTCGAGAGATCGTTCACACGCTGGTGCCGTATCTCATCTCGAAAATGACCACAGTATTTTCTGTGCTTTATTGTAGTCAAGTGAGTCAGGATCTCTCTATAATCGAGTACCTTGGAGGTACCCTTTTTTGCTGATTGAGGAGTATTCGCAAGTTGTATCGCCAGAAGAAGGTCAAAAACTGGCAAGATGGGACGGTGACGTTTGAGGCAGAATCGCGCAAGGTAGTACTTGTGATGATGCAAGAAGCAAACAATAGGAAACGCTATCCATGAGGCTGAATCAGAGACCCGATCTGCTTTTCCCTCAGCTTTCTCTCTTTGACAATCTTGATAACAAGCTTGAAACCCTGTACAAATGGCGACGTGTCGTTCCCGGTGATGAAATAGATTTTGACCGTTATTTTTGCATGGTGGAAGCACCCTTGTGCCCGGGAAACGGAAAAGAATTGGAGAATGAGGTCCGTGATTTTGTCACGGCTATAGTTGATTCATCAAAATTCGTGCTCTTACCTGTTAGAGTGTTACTGGCTAGTAGGAGCATAGCAAAGCAACTGTTCCTTTAGTGTCCCCAATTCGATCTTCTTCGGTCTCCCAGCGAGGACTGAACATAGCGCGACCTTATAAGCCACCCCGCCAAAAGCTCGAAAATGGCGGCCGGTCGCTTATGAATGTGCCCAAGCAAGGTGGCAGCGGAATCCAGGCTTCACACCAAGCAGAGTCATTGGGAGGTGGCGCCCGAATCAAGGCTGGATCCCGTGGAACCGCTCCAGTCAAAAAGGTTCTGCGATCTCCAACGGACCTGATAACCATGTTCTTAGCCACACCGCCACCTGCCTGTTTGGCCGGTCTGATGAAAGTGAATCCGGTGCATCGATCAAACGAGGTCTGTACAGGACGTCTCCCAGATGGATTAGTCAACCTTCGCCAAGCTCAGAACGATGACTCCACTCAGTTTTTGTGCCACGAAAATTCCGTCGTCGAAGAACAGGAGGTATGTGATGTACTTTGGCCCGAAATGTAAGGATGGGGAATACGTGGAAACCTTTCGTGTGGCTCATGATTTTTGCCATAGCGCGCCAAACGAAGGAGGCTTCTCATGGAACCCAATACGGTAGATCGAGGTCATCAAGAGAGCACGGCGTATTCTCGTCTGGGTGAGCCGGGTGAAGCTTCGTTGCCATCCAGCGATATTCCCAAAGACAAGTTAGTTACCTCTTTGCTACCAATAGTAATGGTAGCTCATCACAATCTTTGAATTCTGAAGAGAGGGCCATGATGCGGTCCATCCTGCCTTTGATAGCTTACGATTTCCAACATCAAAAGGTAATTGCAGACAATAGAAGTCCGCTTATCCACCGTACGGAGTCGCTGTGACTGCGGTGTTATGACATATTAAGTTTGTGAGTGACAGTGCGCTCCAGGCTGTCGCTGAAGAAATTGAAGCGCTCCGCATTGATTCCTACACGGTTTGTACGTATGAGGTCTGGAATCGGTGCATGGACGGCCTCTGAGCTGATTTGTTGGTAGGCCTCCCCTAAGTTGTATCGCGAGCACTTTATCCGCGCTGTTTCGGAACATTTGCAAGTGGAACTATCAACTATTGCTGTTAAATTTCACCTAGCAATGAATGAGAGGGCCACGTTTGGTGACACGGAGGATTATCTTCGGAGCAAAGGCGTGGCCTTTTATGCAAATTGTTCCTTTATGTATGAATTGTTCCTTGATTTATGCTGTTTGGCAGGACCTCTTATCTTCCAAGATAATCCCTCACTTTGACCAACAGATGGTCTCGGAAAACATCACATATGCATCAACCTAGCCAGCACTTGGGCGACAGCATCTTCTTGAAAGTCAATAAAAGAGAACATCACACGGCCTACAGCAAAGGCATGTTGATTGAAGAGTCATCTACCCTTTGGGTTAAATTAATTCTCACCATGCAGATGTCATTTGGATTATCTCGGATTCCTGCGACTTCAATGAAGCGTTCCTTGCCCGTTCCTTATTCTTTGGAGTTTCGAAGAGTGATACAGTAGAAGTATGTTTAGAGCAGTGTCGCCGGGTGAATCTTATTACTGACTCGGAGCCTAGCTGTGTCCGCTAGATGCATATGATGTGCGAAAGACACGAGATATTCTTGGTGCCTCTGGGACTGCAAAGCCGGTTTGGGCAATTCGCGGTGCTCAGGCGAGTGGGGAACTTCAGATGATAGACGCCCTGCGGGAACACCTGGAGAAGACACCGCTTCTTCCATGGTTACTCGATGTTGGATCCGCTCAGAAAAAGTGCCCTAGCTCCCGCTCATTGAAGTCCGCTGCTAGTACGCCGTTGATTAAGCAAGACTGTCTGGATATATACCAAGACACACTGGAAGCCCTCTCCAAAGAATTTGGCCTAAATTCAGACCAAACGAGGTGGGATGTCGAGCGGCAGATCCGTCCCATTCAACGGAACGCTGATCTTTTAGGTCGTGCCCGTAGGGTCCTCCAGTCGTTTGCAGATAGCATTTCCACACCGGATCATCAGCCTATCACACTAGTTCATGGGGTAAGTGTTAGACTGAACGCTTACAGCAACACTTTCGGTGTGCTAACGTCCTGCTGAGGTGTTTGGTTCCGGGAAAAGGCAAGGATGTTGTTTGTTGTCCCTCAAGCCAACAACAATACCTCACACTTTCAACTGGCAGCTTTCTGATATCAGTTCTTATAATATTCCTTCATCGTATATTGGAACTGGATCTAATTGGTAGTATGTTCATCCTTCCGATTGATCATTCATCAATTCCATGCCCATCCATATTGACCTCCGCCAAAGTTTCAAAGGATACATTCAAGGTCACGATAGCTTCAATGACCAACGTTGCCGTGGATCGAATTCTCTTGGTAGGCCTGTTGTATGAAAGCATGTGCAAATGAGTAAGAGCCATAACAACGTCCATCCCAGGGACTCCTGAACCTTGGGTTCACGGAGTTTGTGCGCGTCGGAAGTCTCAAGAAGATCGCCAAACTGCTGTTACCATTCACTGCACAATCAAAGCAGGAAGATGGTCAGTTTTCGCATATTTCCGAATTTCAGATCTACTTATTCATTTGATGCGTTCAGATGCAAAAGAGTTGCGGGAACTTCTCGATGAGTCTTTGACGGAATCTGACCGGAGAGGTAGATGGTGCATACATTCATCTTTCCAGTTCTCTCTTCTGATGGTTTTGCAGCTGTTCGGGCGACGATTGCCAAATTTAAGCAAAATGAAAATCAAGCTCTACTAGCTAAATCTTTCGTAGTGGGTTCGTACCACATCCTCAACGATACGCACAGGCAATACCCCACTAAGTTCCTCTTTAGGTGTAACCTGCTCGGCGACGAACTTCGAGATCTTCGATGACTTCAAAAGTACAATATTGATCTTGGACGAATGCAGTCAAATGACGGAGCCTCTTTCCCTCCTTCCCCTTGCTCGGTTCTGTACGCGAAAGGCACTGCTAGTTGGAGACCCGCTTCAGCTCCCACCAACTATTTCTTCCAATTGTGGACACAAGGAAGGCTTAGATAGAACCCTATTCGAAAGATTGGCGGCCGCTGGGCTTAAGCCGATTCTTCTTCGCACACAGTATCGGGTATGCACGAGCAATTGCAATACAATCCAACCCCTATCATATGACTTCGGCTATCATTTAGTGTCATCCTATAATTGGCTCGGTGGCCGATTCCTTATTCTATAGAGGCCAGCTGATCCATGGCACATCTGCGGATGATTGTAAGACTCTGGTAAGCGGCTTACCAACATTGTGCTTTGTGGATGTGGAAAACGGATGCGAGATAAGGCAAAGGGGAGGGAGCTTCGTCAATGCTGAAGGTATACCTGAATCGTTGGCCCATGGCTGAAATTGAAGACTTACTTGTCCACTTGCAGAGGCTGACTTCGTTGTAAAGTTGACATACCTGCTCGCAGAAAAAGGTGTCGAAGCCAGTGACATCGGTGTTATCTGCCTGTGTAAGTCAGGTATACCCCGATCCGCACAATGATGTTGAAACCCGATGAACGTTTCTACAGACAAAGACCAATCCGAAATGATTGCATCAAAGTTACGAGACGGGGTATTGAAGAACCTTGCTCAGGTGTCAGGCACACTTCTACAGTCTCTTTCCCTGGCATTAGCTAACAGACCCTTCAGACGTCGACCGTTGACGCTTTCCAGGGGGCGGAGAAGTCCATTATTATCCTGTCAACAGTGCGGACTAAGTCTGCGGGTTTCATTGATGAGCCGCGCCGAATTAACGTTGCATTGACCCGTGCTAGGAGGTAGGTACCATCTTGTGGCGTCGGACAGGTTGCATGGCCAGATTGATCAATCTCGTCAAAGGCACATGATAATTGTTGGTCAAAGACGCTTGCTTTGTTCAAATCGGCTCTGGAGTTCTGTGCTCAACGATCATTGTGCCAGTATGTACCATGACGTAGCCGGAGAATCGCTGGAGATGAATATTATCCTTTAAGCAACCCCATAGGAACCGTTACGGGCATCTTGCATCAAGCCGAGTTGTTGAACATTATTCAAATGGGATCAAATGATCCAATTTACGGGAGTGATTCTACCCAGGGAGAACTGGGAAAGTTTACCAAAGTATCCAATCATAGACAGCTGTAATGTCTCGTCCATATATACGAAGTATCCAATCATAGATAGCTGTAAGGTCTCGTCCATATATGCGTAGTGTAAAATTAAATACATCAAACAACACAAAGTCATATTTTGGGTTACGTAAGCATCTTTCTCCGCGCTTGCAAGTGTCGGATCGTACACCTGCGTCTTAACAGCAGCAAGCGACACAATCATGAGCGCCCTTAGTGCCATAGCGCAAGCGAAAGAGCTTGCAGCCGCAAACAGCGAGAAAGATAAAAACTCGTCTGCAAGAAGCGCCGACTCAAGCGGCCCCAAAGCCAGTGATAGAAAGAAGAAGCGGGGGAAACGGAAGAAAGCAGTAGCAATACCTAAGGACATGGTTCTCAATGCGAAAGGCGAGCTTGTGTCAGGAAGAGAATTTGCTTTGGAGCAGACGTACGTGCCCTGCTAATAAGTTTCCTGAATGTTTGTAAGGCGTTTCAAAAATAAGGTTACCTAATGGTGGGAATTGGCATTATCATTAATGAGTAACGTTTTCTGATGTAGATTAGAAGCTACAAGTAAATCCCTGACTCAATATCGGGATCGAATGGATGGGCTGTAGGTTGCTTGCCGCATGTATTAAAGTCCGGAAGTGGATGGTAACCTGACCTGCCCATTACTGTTCGAACCTTCAGAGTTAGCACGAACGAAACCCTACAAGAGATATGTCAGCAGCAAGAAAAGGATGCGGTACATGGCAAATGGCAAATTAGATTCGTGTTCTGAAGATGTGCGCTCATTTTCCGGCAGTTGGAAGTCATTGCAGCGCTCCATCGCGAGAATGAAAAGCGCGAAGGACAGATCAAAGATCTTCGAGGCCAGATAGAGGCGGCGATTGAGAAGTCACATGAAGACCGGGAAAATCTTGTTGACGAGTATGAGCAAAGAATATCTGGTAAATATTCCGTTTGCCGACATGCCGGCAACTCACTAACATGTAGTATCCTTTTAGAGCTGAACGTACTGTTGACCGAGAAGGAAGCGGCTTTCAATGTAATGCAGCAGGAATTTTCCGTAATAAAAGATTTCCGAGTAAGTCTTTCCGAGAATTCATTCAAGCAATGCGTCAGAAACTGATGTATAAATCAGAAAAAGCGGCATGAACTCCTGAAAGAACTTGAAGAACAGAAGCTGCAATTGGCCGATACTGAGCGTCGACATAAGGACACAGTTGCACGAATGGAGCGCAAATTCTTCGAGGAAAAGATCCGTCTTCAAAAGGAAGCCAACCGGAAAATCAGCGAGCTTGCTACAAAGGCCCACAAGGTGGGCATATGTGACTCTTTTGGAGCTGTTTATTTCCAGGTGGAACGCTAGAGCTAGTCGGTTGCCATTAATCACAATGTACATTAGGAGGCAGTAGCCAACCTCAAGGAGACCACGAAGGAGGTCTTTAGGCAAAACATCCGAATGGCGGAGGCACTTCGGTATCATGTTCAGGAAGGAGAGGATCTAGGGAAAACCAATAGTCGATTGTCTAACGTCAATAAGCAGTTGCTGGAAGAAAAGGACTTCCATGATGTGATTGTAAAGGAGAAGATCTTGCAGACGAAACAGCAAACCAAAGAAGTAATCGCACAGGCTTCATTCCTCGCGCCTGTGATGATCAGTAAGCTCATATTGAGGACTTTTATTCTTCCAACAGATAAAAGATTTGCATTTAAAAATTCAAAGCATGGAACATTCGCTATCTCATGTAGTTCGAGAGTTCGAGCATGAACGAGAGATGATTCGCAACTTAGCGCGAAATGAGCTAGATGAAGTGAGAAGGGTGGCTGGTAAGCTCAAAGAGAGTTTAGATCGCAAAACTCTGGAGATGAGGCATATAAAGGTAATTTTACCGCAGAAATCTCCATGAGGCATTGTGCGCAGAACTAATTGAGACTTGGTTGTTCCTAGCGCTTAGCGCAGCATATCCTTGACCAACGAACGGACCTGGAACGTTTCTTCATGGACGCGCTTGAGCATGTACGTGCAGAAATACGGCGAGACCGAGATGCGGCCAGGAAGGCCGCACAGGCTGAATACAACCGCAGGCTTAAGGCGGTCAGTGCTGTCCCCAACTACTAATACGTCGACTTCAGGATGTTGCTGACAACCTTAAATACCGGTGTAGATCTTGACAAGTAAAGCAGTCACTTCACCCATTCAATCATCGCGACCCGTTCCGACCACGTCCGTAGTAATGCCAGCACAAATACCGATACCGATAGGAGGTCCCCCATCTGTCTCGGAGAAAGATGAGGCGCGTGGATCACCCCCACTAGATCCTAATGTCAAAGTGGACATTAGCGATCTTTCGTGGGTTGACAAAGAAAAAATACTCAGGCTCCTTTTTGCACGGATGAACGGAATTTCGCTAGTTGGTAAAGGCGGTGGAGAGTATGCCGACACCGAGGACAGTGCGCAAATGCCACCGACCAAGATTGATTCGGACGCGGAGTTCTACGCTCTCCGTTCAACTTTTGAAGGACGAGAAGTAGATATAGATGATGATTAAGGATGTTCAATACGAGTATCATATGAGTAAACAGGTCAGGCGCATCCTCCCTTCAAAGGGTTTAAAGGCAGTCCATATGTCTAAAACTATAGCTATGGTACGAAGCCATCATACGCTGTCAGGCACCGTGGATCTAAGCAATCCAAGACAATAAGCCCTGTCGGCCATTTTTGACAGTTGCAGCCGGAGGGACAGGCAAGCGAACCATTCTGTCGCTAAGCCAACTAGGGAGAAAACTGTAGAGAAAAATGGACACAGCGCCCATAGCCCCAACGATATATCTATGTCTACAGCACCCGAATTGCGTGGTCAGGAGTGTCAGGACTCTTGAGATAAACCAAAACAACTTACCTTGGCTCTTGAGATTGCAAAGCACGTATGATCGTTCGTACAACTTTGATGGGCTCCATTGTCATTGGCGGCGGGATATTAAGACGACCGATGTGATGATCCAAAAAGGCTTTGCCATAATCTTCGCGATGCGGTAAGCTTTCATAACGTTCACGGATCTGCTTAGACCTTCCATCTTCATTTCCCACAACCAAAGGAGTGCTGTAGAGGAAAATGTTCCTTACCCTGGCAGGATGATATCACCCCTCTCCCCGCAGAAGTGACACAGCAGACGTACCTTGCAAACCACGGCTCAATAATAGCGACGCGAATGCCAAAATGCCGCAGCTCCATACGCACGCCATCGGACATGGCTTCGAGAGCATGCTTAGAGGCGCAGTAGGCTTGACCCGCCGCGAAAGGAACAGTCATGATGAGGTCCGCTCAAGAAAACCCTGATACTGCAAGACTTCTCACCTGGAATAATGGGGGCCACCGTTCGCCCCGCTACAGAGGTGATGTTAACAATGCGTGGGGCGTGTCCGGTAGGATTGAGGGTCACAAATCGACGCAAAGAAGGCATCAATGCCTGGGAAGCCAAAGAGATTTAAATTTTGACATGACAGGCGCGGAACTGTCACCTTTCTAACCTTCATCATGTGCACCGCGCCCATGTAGTTGACGTCCATAACCTGTCAGAAAGATTGCGGCCGTCAATAGCATACTTGACAGTTTGTCCAGCCTTGGAGTACCTTGCGGATTTCGGCTATGGTAGACCAGCTGAAGTAGGATCCAGAATTTATTCCCGCGTTATTGACCAGGCCACTATTCAAATATAGTTTGAGTGAAAGAAGGAGCAGAGAACGCTTGTTTTACGGGGATTACAATAAACCGTCTTGGACTTGCTCTTCAATCAACTTGCCAAAGCGTTCGCATGCTTCCCAATCGGTTACGTCTAGCTGGTAGGGCCTTAAGGTTCCATACAGATTTGGCTGCTCTGCCCGCAACCTTTCAAAATTCTTCACGCCAGCGGCTGTAAGACAGGTTGCATAGACAATTGAGTTTGACGCGGCGAGCTGGAGCGCGGTTTCATAACCAAATCCCGTATCACAGCCTGTAATGACAACCGCTAAGCCGTTCAGAGGAATCTTGGACGGACCGTTTCCCATTGCTGATGTAGATCGTTGTGCAACAAGCTGAACAACAGAGGGACGATCACACCGTTTCCCCGTTTAGGGATCGGCAGCTTACGGCAGCAATAACATAAGCAATCCAAGCCTCACTGAACCTCTGATGATGTCACCAGCGTATGGGATCACCATCAAGGCCTGCGTTCTCGTATTCCCTTGTCGTCTAGCTTTTTCTGCATCGAATTCAACAGCCATCATGCCTTTTAACGAGCTTCGCGAAACAACCGCGATTATGCGTAAACGCATGGGAGAGTTCAAATCTGATCCGTCAGGCTTTACACGAGAGATTGGCAATGAAATGGTGGAGCAAATTTCCAGTGTTTGTACCGCTTCAAAAGGTGCATATGTGTATCCCATAAAAGGTATATCAATTTCCGCAATAAATGAGGGCGAAGAGATGGGCGGCGATTTCTAATGTGATCTTTGTCAGGCATCGGGTACTTTTTCAGTCATTCGGACTTGTACAAACCCATTGGCGGAGCTGTGGCACAAGCGACGCTTACCTCACTAGCTATCACTATCGCAATGTTCTTTATTACTGTGAGTGAGAATTAGTGGTGCTTCTGGAGAAGTCTTTAGCACATGGGACGATGGACGTTTGTTAATCTTTGTCTCTAAGTTCGTTCCCCAGGCTGCGTTTCTCTCCCTATTCGCTACGCCTTTTCTCGGCATCCCAGGAGCTGTAGTTCTCGTCTTGGTTGAGTCATGGTTGGTTGTCTCTTTGGTTGTCAAGGTATCTTGGAGTTTTGACATTGCACGCATAAGTTACATGCCCATTTAATGAGGATGACTCCTTTGGCTCGGTAGGCTTTGTTCCTGGAGCCCCTACTGGACGATCTGTTCAATCGCACTCTTGTGCATTGCGGCCAGGCAGCGCTGGTAGCCCGTAATCCAAAGAAGCAGTCGCGCATAGCCAAGGCTGCTAAAAGGACAATGGATCGCTTTTCTCCTGCCGCCATCGCCCGGTATCTCCTGACACTTCCTCTTAACTTCATCCCGGTTATTGGACCGCTTGTATTCTTCATCTTGAATGGTCGAAGAACGGGCCAGGCATTCCATGCACAGTACTTCCAGCTGAAAGGGTGGACGTCGGATCAAGTACATTCCTTCATTGAATCTCAGAAAGGAGCTTACACCGCATTCGGAACTTTGGCCTTGCTACTTCAGTTGATCCCGTTCCTGGGCGTCGTTTTCACGGCTACGAGCACGGTTGGCGCTGCTCTCTGGGCATGTGACATTGAGAAGTCGGCTCCAGAGATTGTGAAGGATTCCCAGAGGAACAGCACACCAGTTCTTAAGGAGCAGTGAGGGATTGACTTGCCAATATCAGCGAATGTATAACATTGTGTATTTCGTCCAATCTTTATGTAATATATGCCTTCCTGCATATCATGAGCAGTATTGTGGCAAAAAAGGACCGTGGCACCCGGTGTGTTGAACAGCTAACTTTAGTTACGACTTTGTTCGTCGATTTAAAGTAACACTATGTCGACATTGTCGTGAGGACCTTGGAGGAGTATTTCTCCATCATAAGCGACTATTTTCCGCTTTTTGGCTGCCCGAAGAGTGCCAACTATGGCTTCGACTGAAATAAAAGGTTCATTTAGCACAGGGTTTTCGACATTCTCGCGGAGCGCTGCAAACTCACAAATGTTTGCACATTCGTCGTCCCTGACCAACTTTCCAAACTTTACGGACGTCTTGCCTGTAGACGGATCTTGCGTTCCAAGACGCTTTATTTCGCGCTTGAGTAGGTCAACTTCTTCGTCAACGTTCACCATCTTGCAAAATCACGCAGACCTCAGGTGGTGAGCCAAGAGGAACGGTGAAGGCGTACGTGCGCGTTGTGGCACAGCCAACAAGCCAGCAAGTGGTATTCAGAGTGTCCAACCCAAAGGCGATCCGTAGACCGACAACAACAATGGCACCTCCAAACTTTAACGTTACGAATGCCCGTCAGAAACTCGCCACACTGCGAACGGGCACCGCGGATCCAGTCTCGGTTGGCGCAGAAGATCTCCCACCGCACTACGATCCTGCCGAGGTCCTCTCCCATGGCTCTCACCTCCTCAAGACTGCTTCCTTCGGCGATATCGAGAGGTTTGCCGTCCTCGAACAAGTGTTCGTTGCTGCCCTTGACACAGGAAACATTGATATTGCGAAGACTCACCTTGCAACAATCGAGAAGCGCTTCCCCTTCAAGTCCTCCGTCCGTGTACAACGGCTGTATGGCTTATTGAAGGAAGCCGAAGGTGACTTTGATAAGGCAATCGAAATTTACCAAACTGCCCTCGAACAGGACGAAATAAATGTGTTGACCCATAAGCGACTAGTAGCCGTGTTAAGCTCCCAAGGCAAGCGTACGGAAGCTATCGAACGACTCGTGACGTATGTGGACGCTTTTATGCAGGACGTGGAGGCGTGGGCCGAACTTGCATCACTTTACATTGGAGAGAGCATGTATCAACAGGCCGCATTCTGTTTCGAGGAGCTTTTATTGCTACGTCCTCAGAACCATCTTTATCACATCCGCTATGCCGACCTGTTGTATACCCTGGGGAAGCTCGATCTTGCCGTCAAATATTACTGCTCTGGTTTGGAGCTATGTAAAGACAATTTGCGGGCATTATATGGGCTCCGTCTGGCATCGAGTGCACTACTAGACCAACGCTCAAAGCAGAGACCGTCTGGCAAAGGTTCAAAAGGGACATCGTCAGTGGTGAGCGATAATAAGAACCAAGATGTGGAACCTGTTGAGGAGGGCACGTTGGTGGCATTGCAAAAACTTTCTGGGGACAGATTGTCGGCGTTGTATGAGAAGCAAGGTAAAGAGGGGGCAACGCTGGCATTAGTTGCGAAAGGATGGCTACAATGTCAAGAGTAGAAACATGAGTATTTGCATATCAGATGAGCCTTACGGAACTGTCTCTATTCCCAGTTGCACAAATAGCACTGCACAGATACATTCGATTACAGGAACACGTCACCAGCTTCAGATCGACGGAGTACAATTCAGATTCCCAGAGCAATGAATCCCCTGTATGACACAACACAGAGGCATCTAGGGATGAAGAATTGGAACATGCTGGTATTCATTACTTTGTCAATGAAAGATGCACAGCAGGTTTCCAAGGAATGATATAAACCAAAATAATGAATATTTCTCTATTTACATGCCCCATTTTGGGCCATAACTAAAAGAACAAACCAACTACATAGACATGAAAAAAAAAAATATTATTCCTCAAACACCTAGAAATGAGCAAGAAGGACTCGTTGGCGCCCGGGTGAATCAAAAAGTATTAAGCCTCACGTTGGTCTACATCGCCCATATCTTTCGCAAAACCGGAAATTTCTCTAACCGGGAGCATGGCTGTGTTGAATAATACCCATCGAGATCTGGCAAAAGCCCAATCCCTGTCCGCATTTGACGCCAGGATTCTCCACGATTAATTTTTAGATCGACCGGACCCTCAGCAGAATTCTTCAACCTGGAACCCAAGGTCAAAAGGCTGGTCAAAGGCGAGAAGACTCTTGATGTCGTGATCATATAGACCATCGATTGGAAAAGAGTCACCACCACCATCGCAGCCAGCGGGTGAGCCTGGGTCGAGGTTGAAGAACTCTTCGAAGCTGAGGTGCCTTGCGCAGTCGTCGCAAGGCTCTTCGAATTCCTCTTGCTTGACAACATCCGCTGCTGGGATGCGACCGCTGCTGGGTCGGATGAAAGAGCGCCAAGCGCGAGGAATTCAGATTCGTCGGAAGATTTAAATCGTTTTCGGAAAGAAGCAAGCTGGGACACAAGGTCTTCAATGCGGGAGGTCAAAGACTGGTTCGTGCGCTCGATCGACTCGAGTCGTTGGGTAAGCTCCACGTTCTGTTGTGAAAGATGCGCGTTTGTCGCTTCGAGGTCATCAATGTACTTGCGCTTCTTGTCGCGGGATTCTTGAGCTGCTTGTCGATTACGAATCGCCCTTTTGCAACACAAGTCAAAACGTGCAATCATCCCAAAGAACGCTTTGCTTATTACTGTCTAGTTACCTCTCTTTCGCTCTTTGATCTTTCTCTTCAGCAGTTAACTTTCGGCGCTTGCCAAGACTCTTTGGCTCCACTTCGCTGATTGGTGCTTCATCATTCGACGTTATTGACACTGGAGACATTGGTTGCCCCGGCCGAGTCTTTGACGCAGTGGAAGGTAGGGTATCTAGCGCAGATCGGCAGTGTTGACCCTCCACAGTGGCACTCATTGCGGTCGTCTGTGGCGACGAGCCTGTCGATGCCATAACATCGGCAAAAACAAAATCTGTGTCCTGGAAAGCATTCGCGATACCCATGGACGGTGGTACAGTAGGTATATCAGCGCTCCCCAACAAGAAGGCCTCCAAATCTTCAACAGTGGAGTGGCGTCCTCCACCTAATTCTAGGTTTTCACCTAGCGGGGGTGTCGGGAGACTCCCGGCTTCCGTCGAGGGTGCAGCCCCCGAGAGCAGAGATGCGAAATCGTCCAAGTCCGGGAAGGCTATGTTACCTGGACCCCATATTCCCAAGCTTTCGCCGCCCCCTGTCACACTCGCATATAAACGTTCCGTTGGCTGGAAAGGGAACGACATTGGAAGAGTGACGAGGGCGACGGGGTTGACTGCGACTGATAGAAATAATCAAAAAGCGGCTAAAGAAAGTCCTGCCGCAAAAGCTATGCACACTCTTGTGCCGTGAAATGTAGATGAGATTGCCGTTGGCGATAACAGCTCGTTTTTGAACGGAGATGCAAAATGACGAGTGACCAGCAAGAAGGGCTGGGAAAGGGCAGCTTCGGTGGCCCGACTTCTTATCACACTTCGTGGAGCAATTCTATTGGTCGGAAATAACGGCACAGCAGAATGCCGTAATCAGATCGAACCTCGCTCGACGACAATCAAAAAGGACAGTGGGCATTGTTTTTTTTCATAGTAGATTTTAGATACCTTCCAAGTCATCGCCTACTTCGCCTCGCCGCAAACTGGAGAAATCCTTGCTGACTATGCTCGTCCAGGCTAATCCTATTAACAGTCGGTGGACCATCTGGTGCACTCGTCTCCGCGGCATCATCATTGGCTAAAATCACACTCTCCATGTCATCTTTTACATCAACTTCGTTATCGTCGTCTTCCTTTTCACTCTCGTGGTTGTTAAAGGTGCGTACATGCCTATCACGCTGTTCATTACGCTTGCTGTTAGGAGTCAGCTTGGCTTGTAACCATCCCTGTCCGTCACTACCAAGTACTCGCAGCCCGCCTTTTTCGTACGCTATCTCCAAAAGCAGTCGTTTAACGTTGAGAACTTTGTACGTTTGACTGCAATGATCTTTATAACTCACGCTGTAAGTTTCTTATAATTCGTCGCTGTAATATATCTTTTTGCGGGTAATGATTCTACACCAGTCCTGGGTTAATAGAAACTGACCACTTAGTTGTCAATGAGCACGTACCTTCTGAAAGCGCTTGAAATTTGGTCCAATGCCTCGTGCTATGGTCGGTGGGGGTGATGGTCGCCCTATAACTAATGGCACGACTTCCACACTGACAAGCCCTTTCAAATCTTGGACATCTTCCAATGTCCGACTGACGCTGGTTTCCGTCTGAGACTGTCCTTCCCTGGCTAGCTTCTGTAGCAATCTGGTAGCATCCTCGGGAGCGTCCTCAACGCCCTTCATGGACATACTGGACAGCACTGGGACTTTTAGAGCTCCATTTGGAGTTTTTAGCGTATCAGCGCAACCTATTTGTTTAGTCTTCTCATGACTAATCCCACCAGGGGATGCTTCTAGGATCGGATGGGGGGCCGTTTCTCCTGGATTGATGATCGAATCGATCTCATCCATTCGCCTTTGTCGCTTCTCGCTAGCGCCGTCTGGTGTTGTCGGCCGGTTCTGATCGTTCACACATTTGACCGACTCGCCACTAACATCGCCTCTCCTCCGTTTTCGTCGCGATGGATCTGATCGCTGCAGCGTTTCCTCGTCTCGGATCTCGCCTATACTATTAGTCAGCTTTTGACCATCCCAGGAATCTGTACGGCTTTTAAGACCAAGCTTCTCAGCTAACGACACAACGGAAGGGCGCTCTTTGGGTGCCGAATCGTGTTCAGATTTGACCTGACTTTGGCCCTAGTGTGTCTCATGCTCAGATCGTCATAAGCTCAGCGGTTTGAATGCTGCTGCACCTAGACATACCGAGGTATCTTGGGGGATGGATGACAATCCTATGGTCCCATCAATCAGATTATCCAAAAAGTCATCGAAACCTTTTCGTACTGGTATAAGTCCCGGTCGTAATGGTGCCTATTCAATTAGATCACGTCATCTGATGACGGGTTCAACCATCGTGAAAAAAAATATATCGTACTAATGATTCTTCCTTCGGTACTCGCAACGATTGCGATGTCGATGGTTGGCGATTTGATTCAATGGCGGACTGAGGTTGATCGCCAACGGGTGAGGTAAACCCATTTGGTTCGGTAGCAGGCGATTCCATGTTATTGCAATATGGGTCACCAGAGACAAATAATATTGCTTTTGCAATATCATCTTGAGGGATCAACCTCAGACGCAACCTACGGGTTCGTTATGAACATACATAGAGGTGACAATTTGGAAGAGTGAAAGATTGACATACAGGGTTATGGCCGACATCACAGTTCCGCTAAGTTGTCCATTAGGGAGCACGACACATGGCTTGTGCAGGCCCCGCAACGCGTCTTGCAGGCGTTCCATCCCATTCTGTTGCTGAATTCCGGACCAGTTGTAAATTTCACCACCTGCTGCGGTCACAACTTTTTGCAAATTTTTGAACTAGCAAAATACAAGGGCTAAGATACCAAACCGTATCAAGGAAATAATACACTGCCCACCTCTTCGTCACTGAAAACGACGAATTGATGACCAGTCAGCACTATCGCACGACTTGGATCCGGCGCAAAGGAGACCTTGCTCAAATCCAAAGAGTCGTCTGTCGCTACTGGCAGTGATCTGAGGCAGTGGCATGAAGAATGAGTAGGTCGGTCGCCATCGCCCCACTACCAACGCGATTAGGTATCCAACTTACTGGAGTGGGTCCGGCATCGCAAAATTCTTCGGATCAGCTTTGGAAAAGGCTCGTACCCATGCCTCACCAACGATATAACGGTGATGTGCGAGTGCAAGGACGACCTTCATGGTGATTTTAAGCGTCGATACCACCAGATGTGTACAAGACGAAGTCCAATCCTTGAAGGACTTGAAATCTGGCAGGATTCAGCTAGGAGTCACATTAATGGTAAATGGTTCTCCAAGTAACAAACCATACTGTCGCGCCAATTCATTAATCTCTCCACGTTGTTTCGCTCGCAGCCCAGAACAGCACAGTACGACAGGGACGTATTTCAGGCTACACCAGGAGATACTCGAGTCAACGTTGATCCATCCTCAATACAAGGAGACAAAAGTGGATATGCATAGTGTGCGTACGCTTACCGAAATGCTGACTCATTCACGCCAAACCTCACCACGTCACCTTCCTTGATGTCTTCTGTTCCGCAAATGCGTTTGGCTCCTCCATTGAGAAACGTACCAAACTTTGAAGCATCATCCTTCACCGACACCTGTGTCCGCGCATCCAGGTGAACCTAGGGCCCAGAATTGTAAACGCTGTTGATTTCGAGGTTCAACTAAGTAGCACAAGGTCTTGCCACTTACGAGTTTATCCACATCCAAGGGTGGAGAGACGCTTAGAACTGCATGTGTACGACTAACTGACTTGTCACTTCCTAATACAATGTCGGAATCTGGAATAGTTGCAGATAGTTGGGTACGCTGCTTGAAGTGAATCTGTGTGCGCATTTAAGTTCACCTTTGCGACCAACGGTATAGGATCTACCGGGTTGCAGCCATATGCTGAACTCTGTGGCACAAGCCTCAGTCAAGTTTGCTCAAGCACGTCGGCTTCTGCAATCCCACCTTTACAAGACTCGGTATTGCCCACTAACAGCCACATGTGGGTAACAATCTAAGGGTAAGATGTACTCGTACAGTGGAACCTATCGCAAAATGTGGAGACTGGGACACAATTGTACAGTGGTCAAATGAGTCACCGCTTTAGGTAATCACCGATCAGATAATCCACCCCGCAGGAATGCGCTGCCAGTGCTGCTACTCGGTCAGTGTAGTGATGTATGTAATGCAAGAGCTCATGTACAATTGATTCCACACAGATCAAAAAGTAGAAGATTGTAAGACGATGATGGGTATGCTGCAGCCATGTAAAGCCCAACAAAAACGTGGTAAGTGGGGCATGCGGGTGGCGAAGTGCGTCAAGGTAGGGGTTTAAATAATAGAGCCTTCCGGAAAGCATCGACGATTCATTGTATCTACTTCAAATTCCCATACGTTGCTTTCCATTCCTGTATGACAAGCACCTTCATTAGAACAAGTACAGAGCGTTGGGACAGTGTTTTACATACCAACAAATATGTTCTTGGAGTCTGGCGAGAATGTTATGCCGGATATGTGCTGATCACTTGACGATGGAGCAACGCGAACAGTTTGGCGTTCATTAAATGTTCTGGCATCAACAACATTTATATACGACATATGCTAACCACGATTCCGTTAGCAGCCAATATGAACAAAGTGGCGGGGTGCGTCTCGCACTGCTTACCTCACTATACATGAGCAAATCTATAGAGCCTGTAGGAGAGAATTTCACAGATCGACATGCACCTTTCACTTGTGGATTCTAGTTGAAAAGGTTCGCAAATGCAACACTTGTAATCATAACCGTATGCCACCGCAAAACCAACCTGCTTTGATCCGAGTTTGGCAATTTTCTCGCCTGTATTTCGTATATCCCATACGCTTACATATCCGTCTTGGCTCGCCACCGCGAACTTTTCCGATGATTGGTTCCAAGCGCACGAGAAACCTGCATCGTTGCTTGCTATATCAAACGAGGAATCGCGACATTAGTTAGGCGCGCCCATCAGCCATTCAACCACTTGTCTCTGACGCACCTGTAAGCGTTGCGACCCGGGCGTATCCGTCCGAAGCGGAAATGTCAAACAGGAAAACTTGTGGTGAGTCTCCAACAGCAACCATTTTCCTCCCATCTGGACTAACGGCGGCGTAGTTTACAGCGGTGGGGAGGGATACAGAGGTTATTCGCTGCATGCCGGGTAGAGAATAAACTTTGATGGTTTCATCGTTGTTGCAGATCAACAGTCGTGTCCCTCCAAGATGTTGCGAAATGCACATGGCGTTGTTGATTGAACCCCCTACCGTGGTATGCGCACACCAATTACTTGAAAGCTGCCGAACCATTAGCTGGCTGCGTTGACCACCTGCTGCCAGAAACCCGTGGCTGGCAATTGCAATGATTACGAGCAGTTCTACGTACGTTCGTCACTGCAAATATCAAACGTACCCAGTGGTTATAGAAGTTGGTGAAAACGTTAAATCTTTTAGTATTGGTGTGACCTGGGACATCAAATGGATGAACATCATGAAGACAAGACAATTGAGTGCCTGATAAGTACCTGCTTGTGCTCGGTGTTGTATTGATAGACGTTGTTCTGATTCACATACATAAATTCATGTTTGCTATTTGGACAAGCGATAAGATCACGAAGCTGCCTGTAGAGTAAAAAGATTACGATTCAGGAATTTAGAAAAGTAGTCAATATCAAATCAGTACGTCCAGTACAAGAGCAGCCATTGTACATCCGCCCATACTAAAAGCTCAAGAGTCAAGGGACTACGGAGGTTTTCCAATAGTGTGTTCCTCAACGCGCACACATATAGCAATCTAGACATTACTTCAAAACCAGGTATCCTTACCAATGTTGTATGCTGGATCTCTGGGGGTGCTTTTTAGCATTCGGCTTTACAAATTCGACATCTTCCCTAAACGGCTGTCAGCATTGTGATATGGAGGGTGACGGACAATGAAACAGTACGAAGGGAGTGTCGCCTAGCGATTCGGTGTCCCTTCCAATTCAACCCTAAAGTTCGCAAAGATTCATCGACTTACCTCATATAAATAGTCATTTTCTTTTGCTGTGTTTGGCGCAACTTAAGGCAAAGCTCCGGTCCGCTTGGTGAGTGCCGAGGGGACAGGTTGTGTAGGAGCGTGAAGCGAGTCAGGATCGGGCTGTTGAGAGTGTGATAAAAGTGGCAGGCCTTGCTTGGCGAGTGTTAACGTATCAGTCGTGCGATGCAGCAAAGATTGATTGTTGAGGACAGCGAGAGGTTGAAAGGTCTTTGAAAGAGCGCATGTCGCAACGGGGGCTCGTATTTCGTAATATCCAAGTACCACGCGACTCACCCTGAAAATTCCACCTTGCCTGTCAATAAGATCACAGCAACTATAAAATTGCCCAAACTGCTTTTATAAATCTTGTGCTTCTCCAATGCGTTGAACAGTTCGGCATGCCAGCGAGTCCTGCTCCGTCAGATAGTCCAGCCGTCCCACGGCCCCGGAGAGGCCGCCCCCCTGCCAATAAGGTGTCTCAAACTGATGCCATGCTGAGGGCCATGGATGATGTTCTGATCGCCATCCGGAGCTTACAAGATAAGACGTACGTTAACCTCATTACCTTTCTTATTGTACACGTGTGGGACGACAGACAGAACCCAAAAGGACGAAATGGCTAACACCTCTTCTCTCTCCAGAGGCCGAAAAATAAGCGAGCTGTTTGAAGAGTTGGTCTCCCGTGACGACTACCCAGAGTACTATGAAATCATCCAGCAACCTATTGCATTGGAAGTCATTCAAGAGAAGATAGACCGTAGGGAATACAGGACCATGGAAGAATTCCAAGCCGATATGGAACTGCTGATTGAAAATGCGAAGACGTTTAACCGCAAAGGTTCCACCGTTTACAAGGACGCTGTGACTCTCCAGGTACGCTCTAAATCCGCTTTAGCATTTATCACCCTAGATAGCTGAGGTGGACATCCAGGGAGCTTTTGAACTGGAGCTAGCAGCGCACTCGCAAAAGCTTCCAAACCGATCTGGCGAAGTCCTGAACTCGCAAGCATCGGTCAGCCCAGACACGTCAAACGAGGTAATTGTAAATTTTGCGCAGGTTATTCTTGAGCGATGCTGATCTGTACGTGCACAGAAACTCGTCAACGAGTTTCGAAACATACTCCGGACCATTACGACTCGTAAAAACGACGAGTATGCAGCTGCACCGTTGACTTCGCAGAAAGCCGTGTCTTATTGTACCATTGTAGGGGCCGCATCATCTCGGAGATGTTCCAAGAGCTACCAGACAAGGACGAATATCCCGACTATTACGATGAGGTCTGTATGATATGGCCCAAGCATGGTACTCCACTGTTGGCTCAAACGACTGCATTCTACAGATCAAGAATCCAATATCGCTTGACATAATACAGCAGAAGATTGATAGAAAGGCATATCATTCGGTAGCGGAATTCGAGGCCGATTTCATGCGGATGGTATCTAACGCCATGGAATATAATGCTGAAGGATCCGAGGTGTACCAAGACGCTATCGCGTTGCAAGTGAGGATATTTCAAGGATACCGATTGTCTTCGCCATTTGCTAAGTGACTGTCAACGGAGCAGATGCTATTCAACGAGCTCATGAAGAAACGTCACGGAAATGACGCGAAGGATGACCTGAAAGTATCGTCCCCAGCGCTCACTGTTGACGGACAAACCTATGAACCAGGTATTGATACATGTTTATTTGCCATTCTAGGCAATTACCTTGAACGCTTTCCTGGAAAGAGTAATGTATCTAATATGGCGTGCAATATAGGCGACTTCGTGTATATCTTTAATCCTAATGACCCGATGAAACCAACTGTTGCGCAAATCATCTCGGTGTGGTCGAAACAGCATCCGTGGGTACACGTAACTTCAGTGGCGTACGTGTCTAAGATGCTGACATTTCAATAACAGCGTGCCGCGAGAAGGAGTGAGCGCATGTTGGTTCCTACGGCCGGAGCAAACTGTACATCGCGCGAACACCAAATTTATGCACAACGAAGTATTTAAAACAAATCATACCGAGAATTACTACGCTAATGAAATTGTCGGGCGATGCTGGGTGTTATATATTCGCGATTATGTGCGTGGAAGACCAAAAGGCGCGTCAAAGGACGATGTCTATGTTTGCGAATCAAGATACAACGAGCAGGCCAAGCAGTATTCCAAGATTAAAAATTGGCTTACATGTATACCGGAAGTTGCACGGCATAAGCAGTTGGATCTCGAGCTTTTTCCAACACCTATTGTACCCTTGCGCCTGTATTCCGCATTTGACGAATCTACCAACCAAGGACGGACACGGAAAGGCAGCGAAGATGCTCAAAGTATCGCGGAACGCCCAGCGACCCCGAAACCCCAATCCCCGCGAAAGGTAAGAGCGTCGCAAATTCGTGACGACTGGATGTATTTAAAATTGGGCTATCGGTCAGATACCGGGGACTGCACCTGCTAGTTTAATTCAATTGAAAACTCCTGCTGTCCAATTACATGCGACTTCAACACCGGGCGCGACGGCAGCTTCGATACCTTCAACATGGACAACTGGTGCTACTCCTTCAACCCCTTTGATTGTATCACCCTTGACACCAACGGTACCGCACACCGCGACTGCACAATCGTATGTACCATCCACACTTGGTCTCGGAACGTCTAATACTGGAGCACCCGTTACTCCGTACTTCACCAAGCCTCCCAAATCGACGCCGACGCCGAGCAGCCAAGGATACGATAACCTGCCTGTGACCACCAGTATGCAATTGATTCTACTATCCCGCAGGATTATTATAGAGACTGACATTATTCCACCGCAGTTGACTGCTTTGACACAACGGACGATAAAAAGCTAAAATGGTTCGCAGCACCACCACTCGATATGGTTGACAATTGGACGGCCATTCACTCGCTAGAGTACTTGTACAGAAAGGCGCAAGAGAAGCGAAGAAGGGTGAGAATCAATTATGCAGGTCCGGGAAATGTCTTAATTGATCGGAATTTTTTCCTTTTACGTATTAGCGTGGGTCTCTCGAACTGCGGCAGAATGCGGGTAGTGGCAAAAGATTGAAGAAACTCAAAGGTAAACACTGTGAATTAACGATGGTTTACTTTTAAAAGCTGAAATCCGCGGTCTTTTAGTTGAGGCACAGAAAGCTTCGTCGGCCGAGATCAAGTCTCTTTCGTAATGTGATATATGCGCTGTCCAAGTCCGTATTTATATGATGCCGCATATCCATGTGCAAACGGTTCAATTCATCTTTCAGCGAAAAGGCTAATGCTTAGAGGAGGAGATGAATGTAAATAACTGGCAGTGGGAAAAATCCTGTTGAAAAGAAATATAAACAATGGAATCCCGTCACGTGATCACACGGTTGCAAACGGCTCCGTCCAAGCAACGAGCGACCGGAGACGCAGGATCTCCACGACGTGCTCCATCTACGCTAAGGTCATTTTGCATCAAGTGCGCTTTGCAAGAAACTATGTGGTGCATGCAGTACTTTTTATTCTTATTCCTGATACCGTTTCCTCGTGCGTCAAATTTCTTCATCCTCTCCTTTTTGCTTTGCATGTTTGTCACGCATAAACCGTGTTTGTATTGGTATGTTAATGTCCTTGCTTGACACAGTGTACGGCGTGATCTGACAGGTCTCATGTTTGCCTTGATGTAAACAGTTCGCTTGTGATCTTGGGCCTCCTCGCATCCTCGTGCAACTACTATTCACCAACGCTCCGAGAAGAAGAGCAAAGGTGCTGGGTAGATTTCGATCCGAGATTCTTTTTTGTCGGGAGGGGAATGTTGCCAGGAGTAGGGAGCGGATGAACCATAATGGATCGTGGTTTCCGCGAGCAAAAGAACCGTATGACCGTCTTCACGGAACTTACACAGAGGGAGTGTCAGTGACATTGTGCGTGTCAGGCAACGGAAAAAGGCTAACTGGACGACGGATATCCATGAATCATTGATTCGACATCTGGACGATTCTTGACGACGGATCTCGAATCGATTGGCGAACAACCAAGACCCATGCGATATTCGCTCTCCACAGCATCCTCTGAGAGGAATTTGGATGAGACATGCACTGTTGAAGACTTCAGTACTATTGTCGATGGCGCGGCAAAGTTCAGTGAAGTCGCAACATGACGATGAGTGATTGCGAAACTTGCGAAGATTCTCCGTTGCAAGCCTGCGCTCCACCAAGGCCAATAGATTACGATAATATCGTTACCGTTTTATTTCTCTATTTTTTGGTCAATTGGGCTATCTATATTGCACAGCAAATCAATACATACAATAGGAGATATACATGCAAATTTGCAAATCTAAAAAGCTAAATACAGCCGCCGCTGACAAAGGTATGGCCCATATTAATCTGCCCCATCAACTGATCAATCCAGAAACAGCATCCTTGCTTCGGGGCATGTTGTATACGCCTCAGATATCTGAATATCGTTGTACGGCTTGTGAACCCCAAGAAAACGATCTGTCCGGGCCCCTTCCAAACTGAAGCGTTTGCTCTCCTCAAAGCTTGGCATGACGGCATCCGGGAAGGACATCAAACAGACACTAAACCACACGTCTTCGGGCAGATCTGTCGGTTGCCAAGTCTGTTTGTCGAGACATCTCAGCAATCTTGATCGTCTCCGCAGCGAAAGCCCGCCGTTCCCACCCTTGACGTCAATAAAGTGCGGCCATGGTGCACCGATCCAATCGTACCCCAAAAAGTCATCAACCGTCATGTCGCTGTTGGAGCAAATGATGGCATCCAATTGGAAGAAAAATATGTGCTCCGCTTCAAACTGCTCCCACAGCCATCTCTTTGTCAAGAAGGCCGATACGTCTTGCTGAGTTTTCAGGATGATATCTTCGGGCATAAGAGTAGTCTGCAGCTTGCCCATCTTTATGTATCGTCGTATCGCAGCAGAATTTTCAAACAGGTGGGCGTTGTCTTTTGTGTGGAAAACTTGGAAAGGCCAGTCGTCTGCCATAGTCGCCATATAATGGAGCAGGATCGGAATCATGGTTGACAATGGTCGCTGCTCAACAAGCACCGCTAGTTTTGAGGTGTTATATCGTGGTGCTGACTCTGTCATCTCTGGACAGGAGTTGTATTTTTGTAGGGACTCGCGTAGTGAAAGGTTTGCAGGTGTCACTAGGTAAAAGAGGGAGAACATGGCAGACATTGCCATCAGGACGAGTACGAGTCGTCTGTTGCCTAGGGCGGTTCGCACTGCCTGATGCTGCAAGAAATAGCGTCAGCGTCACTAAAATTCGCAATTCGCAATAAAAAGGTCGACTTACCATCACGGTGGGCTGCGCAACGGGGAGAATGGGTGATGGCATTTGTGAGGTGAACAGGGGGAGGGGGCCAAATGCCTCACATGCGTTTTTGTTCAATGCAAGAAGACCTGATCCCGACAGCTTAAATTCTATTCTCGTCGACAAATGCAAATCGTTGTCCGTCACGCCCCGCGCCAAGCTTTCAACGACTCACCGCCACGAACGGCAAACCAAACGGCGCAGATTTTGATTTATTTTCTTGTTATCACCACAAATGAAGACATACGTAATTTTACTATTTTAGGAAACTATTGCAACGTGATTGCACATGATTAGATATGGCGAGAATGGCTATGGGGATTGGCTATGGCACATGCTCGGCTGGAAACATTACTGTTGCAAAAACTTTTTTAAACATCAAATCGTTACTACAAACAAACACCCCCAGAACTAATGGCCCAAAAAAGCATATACAAGAAAAGACCCCTTTACGCACTCATCGATGAAATCCAAAAAATATCTAGTTATTGACTGCTGTGGAATAGCATGGATGATCGACTATGATCCCAATGGTTTCTTTGGGGGCTCTTCGTCACGCGCCGTTGATATCGTGTCCAGTGGACTACTGACACCGGTGGCGTCAATAGACTCATGTCCGTCTACAATCCCCCACCCATCATTTTCTTCCAGCACAGTGGGTACGACGGGCAGTGAAGGTGTTGTTGGTGATGTTGGCGAGTTTGATACCTGAGCTAAGCGGTCTACCAGAGTAGGCGCGATAAACAGAGGCTGCTGTCCGGACACTCGTACATTCCGAACATTATGCCATGGAGGTATCACAAGCCGGTTGGCATCCACCTCCTGCGCCGCCTGTGCGGGAACTGACCCTGTTTCTGGCACAGAGCGTTCTTGCGTAGGCAATCGGCCCATTTCCAGATCCTGCAGGTTAAAACCGATGCCGATACCCCGCTTTTCCATTTCAAGTCTGATATGCTCCGGAGTTGCGTCTTCCTTGCACATTGGGCATTGTGAGGACTGCTGAGTTAGCCATTGATCTAAACACATTTCAGAAAATATTAATATGAATCGCCTGTCCGCTCGCACTCCAATGCAGGATACTCACCTATGCATTCTGCATGGAACAGGTGCTTACACGGCAATTCTCGCAGTATGACACCATCCTCATATTCGTCCAAGCATATGGCACATGTATCTGCAGATATCCCACCCTCCACTGTGCGAACTGATGCAGTTGTACGAACAGACCTCGTGGATGACTTCCGCGAGAGATGCGGGATATTGTCGTCCTCACCGACGAGGGTAGCCATGGATCCACCTGGCACGTCCATAGGCATACCTTCCACTTTCATACCCTTTATCGGTTGGTCAACAGGTGGAGGTAACGCGGCCAAATCTTCGTCAGAGTTCTGCGTCTCAATGATCTGCACTTTGGGCGCCTTTCTACCTCTGCGCTTGCTCTCTCTTTCCAATTTTGCTTCGGTTGAATCGTATACCTTGGTTGGGAAACTTTGTACAACGGACATATCTAAGGTATGCACTCTCATCTCCCATGGCGCGTCAGCCGCTCCGCCCGCACCCAGCTGCCCCTCAGCGAGACGCCTTCTTCGGAAAAGCCAAAAGTGCATGATGACTGAGGTGACGAATGAGACACCCAGTAATACGACGACAACGATCAAGACAAACTGCCAAATGTTCGGAGTGAGATCTGCCGGAAACAAGATGGCGCGAACAATTTGATCGGGTGGAGTAGACTTTATGACTTCGTCCTGTATCCGAGAATATGTCACTGCATCTATGCGGTAGACAGGATAGTTTGCGACGGACAATGGTTCCGTCGGACGATCGGTTGCTAGTCCAAGTGCAAGCACCACGCCTTTGACATCTTGGCCCAAATTGGCAAATTTTACGGATGCGTTGCACGGCGGTATCCCAGACGGGACGTTGTCCACAAGAGCAATAATATCGCTTGATATCTCTTTGAGTTTAGATATGGTGGCAGCAACTTCTGTTTGGTTGCACGCATCCCGAAAATCTTGAAGGATCCCCTACCCAGCCGAATTAGCCCTCGATGTCAGCAAGATGGCCCAATCACAACTCTCGAGATAATGAACCGCAGTACCTACCGGTAATCCATCTTTATTAGGTAACAAACCTTCAAGAGGCGTACCGGGCGCCCTCCACATGTTCCCTTTCACGGGGAACGATGCGATATTGCCTCCCGGTACTGGGGCGACTTGGGACAAGTGAATGTACGGCGGGGTTGCTGTCTGGGCCATGGAAGGAAGACACGCGATTAAAAGGAAGGCGCTGATAGTCCCAATCATAAAGTCCCCAGGCAAACAAAGGCCTCGCCAGGCGATTTGGTAACGTCGGCTTCAATGCACACACTGTCCGCCGTGGGAGAAGCAGAGCAAGTCTCGGGCGGGATGGGTACGCACAAGGCAAACGTTTTCACATAAACGAACGCCTCTCCGTTGCTTGGTTTATCGTTGCTTCCAATCTAGAGATTCTGTTCGACGGGAGAAAATCTGCTGGGTTCCCAAATTCAAAGCCCTCGCCCCCCAAGAACCTCCGTCGCTTTTTTGGCTGAGACTTGATGAAACACGGTGACCTTCATTAATTGTGACAAATGACGTTTGATGATATTAGTGGTTTGTTGCTATGGAGATGAGTGGCACAGCCATGCATGGGAGGGAAAAGCCAAACTGTTCTCGTCAGCAAGGCTTTTCGCTTGCCTCCGACCTTTCATGTGTGGAATCGTCTTTTGTCTCTCTTCTGGGGAGATTCCAGGCCAGGTGTGCATTTGGAGCGTTGCATAGTTTACTTTACTCGACATCTGACATGAATACAGGCCTTACCGCAGTGGGAAGCGCTTCACCATTGCAATGCACGTCGCGGTAAAGTAATGTTTTGGAGTCTGCTTGCTGGTCTTGACATTTTCTTATATTCTCAAACAGGTCCCAACGCCCACGCTTCTCATTCCTGGACTCTTGAGCCGGGCTTTCACGCCGAGCTACACGGGTGGACATTGCACCTTCGTGGTAAAGAACCTGTTCCACAGCCGATAGTCGATAAGCAGGGCAATGTCCTGTGCTTTAATGGGGAGGTCTTTGGTGGCCTTGAGGTACGATCCCGTTTGTTTGAAATGGATACGAGCATCATTGCTGGTTGAAAGATGCCTAACCTGTGTCACTTGTGGTCTTCCTCTTAAGGTCGCTCCGGACGAGAATGACACGGAAGCCTTTTCCCGTATGCTCCTAACTGCTGTCGAGTCATCGGCAACAGTTCATGACACTGAACGCCGGCTACTAGCATGTATTTCTGCCGTCCGTGGTCCATGGGCGATGGTGTACTGGCAAGCGACTACTAAGCGCCTATACTTTGGGCGAGATGTGTTGGGCCGGCGATCGCTCTTATGGCAGTGGAGATCGAACACTGAAGAACAGACGCTGTTACTTGCATCCGTCGCTGCTTTGGATGACGTGTTGGCGAGTAATGACTTGGATTCCAGTTGGGAGGAGGTGCCGGCTGATGGGCTATATTGCTTGCAACTGAAAGATCTGGCCACACAAAAGGTGCAGTGGCTACGTGTTTTGAAAGGGAGATTTTTTTGACTGGACATTCTCATGGCATTTGCATCTCAAAAGCCGATTCGTCACACCTTGACACGACATCCCTGGCAATATGATACAACACTGAGTGCCCAAACTTCACCACACGCGGTACCCGATTTGGCACCATTGGTGGGTAACTCAAAGATCATCTGCCTGTCGAACGTATGGTTAATTAAACTTCCAACCAATAGGTAGCGCCATTTGGACGCCTCAACCTGCGACTACCTGAATCTCCGGAAATCGCATGTCTGAACCAGCATGACGGAGCCGGTTTATCACTACCGCCTTTGAAGCTGTTCCCACGGATGGACGAAGCCGTAGATACCCTAGAACAGGTACTAGCGGAAGCCGTTCGCCTGCGAGTGGAGAATATACCCACAACAAAGTACGTAGGCAGTTGCTCTAGCCAGGGAGCCGTCAGCTTATATATCTTAATTGACCGATAGCTCCATACAGGACGCACGGCTAGCAATTCTGTTCTCGGGTGGCTTAGATTGCATTTGTCTTGCTGCATTGGCGGATCGCTATTTACCTAATGGCGAACCTTGCGATCTGCTTAATCTTGCATTTGAAAATCCACGAATACAGCGAGCAAAGGGCAAATCTCGACCATCTGGCAAACGTGGACTTTCGATAGAAGTTGCATTGTCTGAAGCACATGATTCGTCCATTTATAATGTGCCAGATCGGCGAACTGGCCGCTCCGGGGTTGCTGAACTGACGAAACTCTTCCCGAATCGACCTTGGCGATTTGTGGAAATTGATGTTCCTTATGCGGAAGCAGTTGCGGCAAGACAAAGGGTAATGGAGTTGATGAAGCCGTTAGATACAGTGATGGACTTGGTAAGAGCTTCGAAACACTGCTGAACAGTTCTCAAGCAAAACTGATATTTTGATGCTTAGAGTATCGCAATCGCCTTTTGGTTTGGCGCTCGAGGAGTTGGTTCGTAATTGTCACCTGTTCAAAATTAAAATTGATACTGAAACTAGATCATCCGAACAGGCCACATAGCAAATCCAGGGGAGGTAAGACAATGGAGTTTTTGCAAAGGAATACTCTTGGTGACTGGCATCTGTTTATTGATGGGTTCTACATATGTGCAGCAGAGGCAACCATACATTAGCAAGGCGAAGGTGCTTTTCAGTGGCCTCGGTGCGGATGAGCAGGTACATAGATCTGGTAGAAAAATGCCGGCAACATTGGAACTCCCTCGTTGTTTTATTTACTAAAGGGCCCCTTGCTTTGCTAGCTTGCTGGATATAGTCGACATCGTGCAGCGTTTGAAGCAAAAGGCTGGGCAGGATTGGTAGACGAGGTTCAGTTAGACGTTGAGAGAATCGCAAATCGTAATCTGGGGAGGGATGACCGCATCATTTCAGATCACGGCAAGGAGGTCCGCTTCCCGTATCTTGCAGAGGAAGTGCTGGCATGTCTCTCTGCCATGCCCATACATCTGAAGGCAGACCCCCGCTTACCCAGGGGTGTGGGAGAAAAGCTGCTCTTGCGACAACTATCTTTAACCCGGTTCGGCTTGGACCGGGCAAGCACGGAACCAAAACGAGCGGTGCAATTTGGTGCAAGAAGTGCCAAGATGGATATTGGAAGCGGTGGGCTACGTGGTCAAGAAAGGATTGATCCCACCTGATTACTTGTTACCTATTAAATACTTGGCGGAGCTTGCCTCCGTAGATTAGATAGGACCATTCATCCACTTTTTTATTAGTGAATAGCAAGCTAGCGATGAAAAATGTGTTTTGCCAATGTTCCTTTCTGCTATTACAGCTGATATTTATGCTGTAAAGCATGATAATGAATGTGCTGTCCCTATTTGCCTTGATGCTATTATTTATGGTGTTCACATTGTTAGTATGGCAAGTAGAACCAATGGCAAGGTACTATAGGAGAAGTTGGGAGATAGTTCTTTGCTTGGGCTAAATTTCAGTAAATACTGCTAAAAACAATAAATTAATGATCTACCCGCTATTCAAATGCCAAGAATACTATGCATGTTGACTTTGGCAATGTGGAGGACAACGGCTGGTTCGTTAACTCCAGAAGATATCGCTGCCAAGATGCTATATTAACGATGAATTCTGTCTGCCGCGGCCCATTGCTCCCAGATTATTCAATATGTGTTTCCTTATGCTTTCGCACATCTCTGCGGATAGAAGTTCTATCCATTTTTACTGGCCTTGTATTGACGTCGGGGAAGGACGAGAGCCGATGAGTTTGATGCTCCGATTGATGCTGACGAACGACCATTCATTTGACCAAATCAGGTATGATTATGCTGTTGTCATGGCATCTCTGCCCAACTGGCAATTCGCAGAACCCGCAAGTCACAGCTTTTCAGGTAGAAGTTCTTCAGAATGCATCGAACAGTATGCCTCGGAAGCAGGATATATCGGCATACATGTGCTCCTGCAAGACTCACGGGGTGTACATCCCTCTGCGTGAGTTTCTCTTCAAGCCCCGCAGTTGGGCTCGCGCAAACGCCGACGAAGCCGAACACAAAAGTGCCTTCCCAACACCGACGACGTCGGACCCGCGAGCCCGAAGATGAAGCGCCCAAGATACCACGTTATCGTGTGGTTAAAATAAATCTCGACCGTCTTCGGCATCTCTCCGGTTGGGAGAAAATCGAGCTTTTGCGGGATCTATTGAAGACGAAACAACCGGAGGAAGCCGTTCGTGTTTACACTGTTCTCAAAGAAAATGACTTGGTCGCTCGTCTAAAATATCAAGACTATCACGAACTATTCCATCTTCTCCTTGCAGACTCACTCCTATACCGCGATGTCATTCTAGACGTGCTATCCAACCTGCGTCGTTTTGGGTACTCTCCATCCCCCCTCATGTTCACCGCCCTTCTACAGTGCTGCACAAAATGGCGAGATCTAGAACTTGCTTCTCGCGCATACGAGGAAATGCTTGAACGAAAATTGCCAGTAACTGTTGAGGCATATAATGCGCTACTGGAGTTGCATGGGATGCCTCGGGGTATAGGTCAACTACAGCGGGGTGCAGAACTCTGGAGGGATATGCTTCACCGAGGGGTGCGACCCAATTTGGAATCCTATTTGAGGGCCTTGGAGATTTTCGGCAGACTTGGTCAACTGGAAACAATCAAGACGATGTACCAGACGGCGTTGGATAATCTGGATTTGAGGGATTTGACGAAGGGAAGTGAGGGACGTGCTCAAAACCTCCGAAAGGAGCATATAGGGCATGACCCTAAGTTGCAATTGGATAATGCTTTCCTTTCTGCCCTGGTGAATGCTGAGGCTTTCGGCGAAGCTCAAAAGTTCTTTGGCAGCTACCTAGAGCCGGGCGGGGCACTCGCGGGAGAAGGAAATCGTTCATCAAGACATTTGTTGCGTACCTACACCATTTTATTGAAAATGTGCGTCGGCAAGAATGACCCTTCTACTGCAGATTATTATTGGAAAGAGTTACATCAGCGGGGCTTCCGCCCAAATGTTGTAATGTATGGGCAGATGATCACGATTCATGGCAGAGCAGGAAATCTGCAACGCGCGAGGGAGATGTTTGAAACCGCTCAAGAACGCCTCTCTGCCACACCTGGGAGTGGAAAGCTCATGAAGCTGCGGACTTCACTTTTGATTGCTTACACAAATGCAAGTGAAGTAGCGGAGGCGGAGGCTCTTTTCGAGGCCATCAGAAGGGACTGTCAGGAAAAGGGCAAGCCGGTACTGCGCAGCGCTGTGCAAGGCATGATAAAAATGTACCTCGATGTAAAGGATCTCGAGAAAGCTTTGCGAGTGTGGGAGCGGTCATATCGGCAGGGTAGATCAGAAACGTCAGATCTCTCGCCAAGTGATGGGAACCACGAGGGCCTCGAAGAAGGTTTGGCGAAAAATCTTACAAGAGAAGATATCATTGCTCAGTATCAGCAATTGCATCCCGATGGATGAGCTACGACCACAGAATGCTCTGCCGTATCTTATCCTGTACAACGCGGCAAATTCCGATCGAAATACTGACAATATACTATTATTGCCCTAACAGCCTTGTGACTTGTTCACTAGTGCTAGCTCAATTCTGGTTAATTATTCTACGTGAGAGAGTCGCCGCGAAGCGTTTCGCAGAACTCAATGTAATATAGTTCATATTTTGCAATATCAGCGCATGATATAAATATGCAAACAGAAAATTATGGACATGAAATGATATCGAGAGACAGGCGTTCGCTTTCACTTGTCAATGGTCGTGGCGAGGCACTGTGGTCAACTTATAAATGATTCGCAGTAATTGGACCAGAAAGCAATGTCGTTATATACCTGATTTACAACCTCGAGCAAATGGCTGTTCTCCAGCGCCGCTGCAACCCGCTCTTTATCATTGAGTTGCTTGTTGACTACATTTCCAAAAACACTAATCAGTATCAGGCCGACCGATGAGGGACCGCTTTTTAGAAAGCATACCTGCGTGCTCAGATTGATGCGATCCTTCAGAGACTCGGATATCCACCTACCAAGTCAGAGTGCGTAAGCTCTTTGACATAGAATCTTACGATTAGTCCACAAATGCACCTTGTAACGTTCAGGAAGAGACCGCAATAACCGAACTCTGATGCACAGTCCAATTAACGTTGCCATTGAGCAATGGGGAATGGTAGGTGTGAACCGAACCAAGATATGATGCTTGTCATTATCGATAGATATCAATTCTTGCTGGGTTACATTCAGCTGTTCAAGGGTGAGCTGTATGCAACAATTTTAGAACACTTTACGATCTGAAAATGCAGCGAACGTCAATGGCGCTCTTACAGGATGCTCGGGGTCGTTGATGTGTCGAATAAGCTCTATTGTGGAGTCAGCACAAGCGAGATCTAGCTGTGAAAGCGAAATGGCCAACGTACCAAATATCTCTTCGCTGTCAAAAGGATCGGCAACTGATTCATCCTCATCCTCCGGCTTTCTAATACGACCGACGTTTTTCGAAACTTCGTATATAACGGGATTGGCGTTCAGCTTGTTGCTCATTGTTTAGAAAATGCTGTGGTTTTGGAGGGGAGTGCAGTGCAATTTGAATTTGTCACTGATCGCTCGTTTACCTCATCACGTCCCCACAGCAACAGCTTGTGTGGCATGTGTGCCTCCCGAGTTCGAGTCTCGCGACAAACAAACCTCCAAATGGCACGATCTGTCACACATCGACATGCAGACATACCTTTCTGCCCATGCTACCACACCTATATCTCGTTTTGCACGGTCCACGACAAAGGCCCACGCTGCCCGTAGCACGGAAGCTAATGCAAGCTTGACATATGATTTATCTCATCTGGAAGAAGGAGAGCGTATTGTGAAGTTAACGGGACTCCTAGAGGCAAAGGACCAAGAAATTGCAGATCTGAAGAGGAAGCTAGCTGCACGAAAGTACGATGCTGCTTGGGACCGCGTGCGTCAAGCTGGTTCACCGGTATCGCCATCGCGAGGAGAAACTTCAACTTCTCCTTCACCAATTCCCATACAATACACGAACGCTGAGCAACCCAAGGAAGTATCCGCCGACACTCGTACCTCTTCTCCAGAAGGCAAAAAGGGTTGCACTGATGAGCGATATGAGGAGACGCCAGTTGTCGTACGAAATTTCTTTGCCCATGCCGCTGGAGGACCTAAGGAACATGACACTCCCGACAGCGGCAGCCAAGCACCCTCTAGTGACCCACGGAAAGATTATCGCAGACTTTTATTTGCCATGAAGCAGAAGATCAAGCAGCTTCAAGAGCGTCTTGAACAGGTGCAGGCGACGGCGACGGCCGACAAGGAAGCCTTTAACCTGCAGTTGCGAATGGCGCAAGAACTTGCTGAAGCCAAGGATCTGCGATTGCGTGCCTATGAAAGTCTTGCAAGACGCACTGCTGGTGCTGAATATGTTCATCAGAATTCTAAGAGTGAAATCACAACGGATAAGAATCCGCATTTAGACCCGGAACTGGCAAAGGCTAAAGATAATGTCATGCAGGACTTGATAAAGGAACGGGACAAGCGTTGCAAAGCGTCTGAAGCAACAACACAGACTGAGGAAAGCGATGCAAGTGAGAGCTTTTGGCGTGGCCCTAGGGAATTAATTCAAGAAGAGTATGAAGAGCTTAGACAACGTCTCCATGAGCTAGCGGATTCAGTCCATCGATCGATTCTCTCCGACGTGGCTTCCGACGAGCGATTGTACGGAGAATCTTCTCCATCTGCCGATCACGTTGGAACAGCTGCAAGGACACAGCCAATATCACCTCCACCGAACCCTCCATCCAGGTCAGCATCACCCTCCACCAAAATCGCTGCTCTTGCGTCTGCCTTTAGCACACTCCATGCGGCCCTGACTCATTTGTCGCAGACCTGTAACTCCACAAATGAACGTGCAGGCAAAGCTCGTTCTGAACTGCGTCGCACAGTAGGTGCTCTGAAACGCGCTAGGGAGGATCTTGTAATGGCCGAAAAGGTGAGAGGCACTCTTGTGGAAAGAGAGAACGAGCTCAGGCGGCAAATCGAAGAACTTGAAAGAAAGTTAAGGATGCAAGAGCGGAATTTACAGGTTACCGAAAAACTTGTGTCCAACCATGGTCGTCAGATGGAAGTCCGGCAGAAAGAAGGCGCCGCGCAGGCTGTACGGAACGCGGCATCTAGCCGGGTAGACGCGAAAGACATGGCAGATAGCCAGGAGCGCGTATACCAGAGAGATATGCACAAAGGATTTTCCAAGGCATTTGCAAATGGCACCTGAACGATGACGGAACATGAGAATCCCACGGCGGCGACACACCAAATAGATTCTTCATTCATCGCAACGCCAAGCCAGCAAGCGTTCACAACTATGCTACTGCTACATAAGGTCGCAATACCTACATCCGCACCGAACACATTTACTCGACAGCAAACTCGTCTAATCACGGCTTGCTGAGCGTGTTCCTGATCGCGATCGTGAGCGAGAAACGTCGTCCCGACGATCCTTGGCAAATTCACGGTGTCCATTCCGTTCGTTATAGCCGCTCTTCGCGTCTTTGTGACCCCTTGCAGGAGATCGTGAGCGAGACCTCGAGCGCGATCGTGAGTATCTGCGGCGATAGGAGCGTGCTGGCGATCTGGATCTAGACCTTCGCCGACGCCGTGGGGAAGGAGTTCTGCGGGTTTTGATGGCAAGGTTAGGTACACTGTAAACATTGGACTGATTTGTAAATATAAACAAGATCCGTACCCTCCTCGTGGCCTATATCTGGAGGGACGGGGGCCCCGCCCACGCATTTCTACAGGAGCTGCATGCGATGTTATACAGAGCTTTTGCAAAGAAACTTTCGCATCTTGAATGTTAGCACTTACTTTTTCTGCGTCCGGCGGCCCATTCGATTGTTACCGTGCGACCGTTGATTGTTATATATTCGATCTTTGAAAACGCCCGATCCGCTTCTTCCTGTGTGCCGTATCTAGTTACATTGATATTAGAAAAATTAGCGGTCCGCAACTAACGGCTGTAATGGACGGGTATGCCAGTCAAATGCAAATGAAGGAACTCACTGGATGTAAGCAAAACCTCTGGGCTTCCCAGTGTAATAATCTTTTGGGAGATAGCAATCCGTAACGGTACCATACGTCTGAGGAATGGCAAGTCAGATCACCACGATTGGGCTCCACCGCAACGTGAGACTCACCTGAAATGCCTCCAGCAGGTCTTGCGACCTAGGCGATCCAATCAGCCACACAGAAAGTGACGTTATACTACTCTCCATCAGGGTTCATTCTGTAATTTACCTGGTAGAGTCAGAAAGTCCGCGAATGAACAGCGATCGTACTTCTTCCTTCGGTGCTCTACGGCTCCTGCTCCTGCTCCCACTCCTGCTCCCACTCCTGCTTCTACTCCTACTCCTGCTTCCCCTTCTACGGCGATCGCTGCGTCCAGCGTCGTTGTCGTCGTATTCCCTCGACATGGACGGTTCCCCTCCTAGTAATGGACCCTGTAGCGCGGTGGGAATAAACTTTTGCAACAAGGCGATGATTTCGATTTCGTCTTGTTCACGTGACTGCACGTGTAAATGTGACACAGATGCCGCGTTTGAAGGCCATCAGCGTGCCTTCCGACGCGGACCCGCCTACGGTTGAGCTGTCGGCTCCGTAAACTCATGACAGCACCATGACTGTAGTGGAAGTATGGGCTCGCAGGCGAAGAAGACCACCGACGATGGACTACGGGAGCAGTATGAGGGTCGACGACTGGGAGCGACAACGGAGCTGGACACAGACGAATGGGACGACAGCTCTAGCGACGGCGGTGAAGGGATAGCAGATTCTGACTTTGGTGTAACCACCAGAGAAAACGATGATGACCTTCTGGAGAACAGTACTGCGGATACTGAAGGCACATCTGAGAGCGACCCGGCGCCCGCTTTACGTCGGCGGCAGCCGCCAGTGTCCTACGGAGGACTAGGAAGTGCAGGCAGTTACGGGCCATACCGTAAGCCTACGCAGCGGTCAAGCTACCGACAGTTTAGCGCGGGCCAGCCTATTACTTCTTCATCGCTCCGAGACCACCGTGCTCTTATTAGCAGTGCTCCTGGCTCCCGTCGCGTATCCAATTATTCCATGAGAAGCTCCAATTCCACGTACTATCCAATGCTATTGGAATCTACCCCAGCTTTCTTACTCCCAGCTGAACCTGAGGGTCGCGCAGATAGTCTTCCTCGACACCCACCCCGCTCGTCCCCGCTCAGTGGCTCGTCGTATCCGCAGTCGCTAATTTCTCAGTCGTCTCGCGATTCGCACCAAAGCTTAAGTGCTGCATCGAAACTGGACGGGACTTCCTCCCCGCTAGATTCTGTTCTGGCTAACGTTCCGGATGATGATCCATACGTGCTTCAAGTGATGAATCTCTCTACCCAGCATTACCGAGAAAAGCAAACTGAGCGTGACCCTGTCAAGGGGAGCCCGCACACAGTTGCGACGCTGCCAACAGACGCTTCTAGACGCACAACATCGAGCACTACACCGGATTCGGTACCGCTGTTGGCTGGCCAGGCTGACATTACATTAGCAAGCGTGGAACGGAAGCCCTCGGACGTCAATCGGCCTGTTGAGGATGCACCTGAAACCAATTTTCAGGCTTCTCAGCAGACTTTATACCGTTCTTCACGATGCAAGCAATATTTTGAAACACGATATTCGCATATCTGTCTCCTTACATCTTCCCCAAATTTGCGATATAACCCGCTCGAGGTCATTCGATGGAGGAGGGCCATGTGGCAGAGGGCTGTAAAGTCGGGCGCCTCAACTGAAGAGCAAAAAAAATGGAAACTAAGATATTACACTTGGCATGTTGGTAATACGGAACTAGTTGAGTATTACAATGAGCATAAAGAGGATAATAAAGATCAAGAGGGGAGCAACATGGCCAATGACTTAAGCAGGGCTCACACTGATATTGATGACGTCCTTGCCGACAACGAGAAGCGTCCTTCCAAATGGAAGAAAGCGCGGAAACGACGACGCCCGACCAAAGGGGAATGGCAGAACTCATTGCGGGTATCGGATCGTCGATTTTCGCGGCGAAGTAAGGCTATTAGTCGTTCGCTCGTATCACCGCCCGACGGAACCGCACCCGAAGAGTCAAATCAAGGGCAAGCATTGAGCGTCGAAGCCGCCGACGATGCCACGAGAGAAGTACCGAGGCCCATGTTCGACGTGGATGGAACTATTATTGTCTCGCCGTCTTTCCTGACGCAATTTCTTGCGGGAGGATCAGCCGGACTGGAACCGGGGGCCTTCAGCCGTCTGGAAAGTGCTCAAGAGCTGAGCGACGACGGCAAACTGGTATACGCATCAGGACCGAGCGCTTCGCAGGCTCAGCAGGCGGTTTCCCCATCTGAAATCTCTGAAAATCCATTTGAGGAACTTCAACAGACAAGTGTTACGGCGCCGGCACTGTCACAAGGTGTTCCGAAAGTGTCGATGGAGACAAACATATCTTCAGGATCACCTCAAATGATGGATTTGGACCAGTCAGAAGATGCAGAGGAGATTGTCCCTGTTCCTGATGGGCAAGCTAAAAGGAAAAAATCCGGGTTCTGGGGTCGGATCCTTGAGAAGCGTGCACCTGAAGACTCGAGCACATCGGTCGTTAGTGGAGAAAATGGCAATATATCCCAAGTTCCTGGCCGGAAAAAAAGCTTTTTGTCTGCCGTTTCGATGGACCATTTGGGTCACAAGAAAGGAAAATCACCCTTCGTGACACCGGCAAACATTCCCCGCGTCAGCGCCGAGTCACAACGATCGATCACCAAGTCGAGCACGTTGTCATCTACGAGAGATGGAATGGATATTTTGAGAAAGCCGAGGACTCCCAGTCCTTTCAAAAAGTTTCCTCGGATGGCGCATGCAGAATCAGAGCCGGTGCTGGTCAAAGGTGGAAGGAGCGGTGCACGCAGGCGCTCACCTTTTCCCGGAGATGGAGATGATGAAGGTAATGAGGACAAGAGGAGAAGTCTCTACGTTTCTGCAATAATGACTTTAGTCTCAACCAGGCTTACGTGTTTCCCACCGTCAAGATGTGGACCGGGGCATTGGCCAAATTCAAGTCGCCAATAATGTGGATATGCCTGAACATCCTATTAGTGAACCAGGTTCGCACCCAGAAGATCATGGCTATGGGCACCAGGAGGCAGCACAGGCTTGCCCATCACAAAACCGCGAGTCTGTACTGGATGACAGTATGGCATCGGATACGGATGACGGTGACCCCCGTGGACGTGTACGTGGCATTAAAGGCATGATGAAGACGATTGGCCTCCGACAACGCAAAGATATCGCTGCTCAGGGCGACGAAAATGTTCAGTCAGATGGAGATACCGGGATGGCGGCTGCTGGTTGGGATGACGGGGATGCAGTGCGAAAGAAAGCTAGATATTTTAAAGCGAAACTTACAAGAGATCAAAGCAAGAGATGGGTGTGGGATGATAGTAGTAGCGAAGATTCTAGCGAAAATGCCGTAAGTGCGACGCGAGGCCGAAGTAGGGATCAATGGTGGAGTCGACGGAAGATGAAGGGAAAGAAGGCGAGTGCTGGAGATATAGCGAGCAAGACTGGATCGAGGATCCAGTTGGGAGACTCGCAAGAGGCAACCAAGAAGCCACGCCGCCGGAAGAAGCTAATGGTGAGAAAGGCAATCCATCAAACCCCGCTCAGTCTCTCTTTTTGATGCTAACATGCAATGCACCCATTAGCGTACTTTCATCGGAAGTCGCCTGGGATACGAATCATCGACCTCCGCTACATCCAGCGTGGCTGATCAAGATGGAATAGATGGCATGGATGGTTCTGCCCGGGTGGATGTCGTGGAAGAGGGAGGCACGATCAAACGTCTAGCAGGATGGATCGTGACCTCCGCTACCTCCGGTGAGGAGGATGACGAAGTCGGTCCGGTGTCCGGGTCTAAATCGCTATCCTCGAGCAAGGGGAGATCCCCATCACAACGTGGAGAAGCAATTTCAACCTTTGATCGTGGAGACCAAACATATCCGCGCCGGGATATCGACTCGCCCCTGACTGCTGAAGAGCATGACTTGCACGATCGCCTATTAATGCTTGGCGGCAGATTGGACAAGATGATGCCTTCGGTGGAGAGGTACAAGGTTGATATTGAGGTAATTGCATCTGGCGCGTGCCATGGACTCTCTCTTTTTCGGTACGCTCTCTTATACGTATTCTTCGAGTAGCATCAAATCGACCAGCATAAGACCCTCATGTTACGCCTTGCTCTGCCGGAGCCAGCGCAAAACGTTTCTGATGCCCTGGAAAATGAAAAAGATAAAAACGCGTCCACTGTTCAAACGGGAGCGGATGAAGAGGGCCAAACCCCTTCCTCGTTACCACTTATACAGACCGTCGAGGTCACTGGGGTGAAGCTCACTGAAGAGAAGATTCGCCAGGCAATGGAGAAAGTCACAGATTCATTGACGACCCTGGAAGATCTATGTCTGGCACTGACTACTCGTGATAATCAGTAAGTGGTCCGCATCGTTCTGGTTCGTTGTTCCCAATATCGATGCATGTTTTTTATTACCTAGGTCTCACGAACATGTGAGCGCGATGATGTGTGGATTGGACGCTGTCAATCAGCAGGTCAATGAGGAATTATCTCGGCAACTCAAGATCGTTGAAGAGGCGTTACAGCAGGCTGAAGGCCGCCCGCGCGCACTTGGATTCTTTCAAGAGTTGTACTATCAACTCATTGCTTACCTACTGGCATGTAAGTACTTATGGTTCTGCTGACGATACTGGTTGGGGCTATGTTTCTGATATCGTGATTTGCACATCGTAGTCCTCGGCTTTACAATTTGGTCCTGGTTCCAACTTTGGAAGGTCGGACGGCGCGCTTTAAGCGGCGCGAAGACTATTGTGGCGGTTATCAGTCCTCCCGCGGCCGCGGCTGTCGAAGACGCTGGGCAGGCCACACTAGACATCGTAAAACAGGGCACGGTCAAGGCCCTCGCGTCTGCTACGGGAGGGCTGCAGAGTCCGAGTTGATTGCGAAGAGGGGTGGGGAGTTCACTGTTGCATTTTTCTTCTTTTCTTTTCCCTTTGGGCGGATATTTGGTAGACTTCTATTATTTTGACATATTTTATACAATTGGAATTGTAAATATATTGTGCACGCGCATGAAAGAATCACACACTCGCTCCATTGGTATATGGACAATGAAATTGCTGTGTATATGCGATACGGAATGCAGATAAGGAAAATACCAGCCAGCTGCGAATACCCAAACCAGTAGATCCGCTATGATAATATCCTTGCCAGCGTAGCCCGGAGGCCGTTTCTATGGCATGTCCATCCCATCCCCATTCGCTTCTCGTTGCTTTTTGAAAGCAGCCAAAGACCCCAGCCCAACACGCCCCGCCGGCATCCCAGATAGCCGCAAATTGGCCAACCCGCTCGTCGGCTCATGCACCTCATTTTCAAGCCCAGGTAATGACGTCCCATCATCCAGATCCGAATGGCTGTCATACTCTGGTGCCTCATCGTCCTCCTGTCCCACGCCATTTCCGATATTTGCAGTGTCTTTGTTCCCTTCGGTAGTCTTTGCGGCGAGTTCTCGGCCCTTGCGGAGTGCCTCTTTCATGTTGTAGTGTTGAGAACGAAGGGCTTCAAACTTTCTGTGTCGCTCTGCTTCTGTAGGTATGACAACGAGGTATTTAATTTTACCCATAACGCAGGAGAAAAGCAAAACAGCTATAGTTAACCAACCTTCAGGATCCATCTCTCCCTTCTCATCTCCCGAATCGTCCCAATCATCAACAGAGACATGCCGTCGACCCGATCCGCTAGATTCTGTATCAGACAGCGACGCAGTCGACCCGGGAGATCGTTGGGCAGAGTAAATGGCATCGGAAAGTTCCATCGGTGGAACGTTTCCTAATGTGATCATGTACGTCTGGTCATAAACTGGCAATAAGTCTGAACAGGTTCATCGAAGAGAAAGCACCTGTGCTCCCTAGTATCATGTCATTCTCTGAATCGTATCGGATATAGGGAGTCTTGGGTTCTGTAATCTTCATCGTATTTCCTTTTTGGGACTCCGTGAGCATGATATTGTCTTCGTCCCACCGTATCCTATCAAGTCATGCAAATACAGGGAGGGAAGGCGCGGGTTGAGCGTTTCCCAATCTCTCATTCATGTTTTCCTCTTTGACATTACAGAGGTTCTTATTGCATACGGCTCAATTATAGGTGCATACCCTCGCGATGGAGTCGTTGGGTCTACTGGTTTCTTGAGGATGCCGCGAGGCTGGTGGTGAGCGTCCATCGCGTGCGGAACAGTTGAAAATTGATAATGTAGCAGAAACGGAAAAGATCTAAGCGTCAAATATGACGCTCGCAACAGGTTGAGTAAATGCCCTAGTCAGAGAGGTGTTTTGTCGGAAGGAAATGGCAAAGAAATCTACAAGGAAAAGCGTCCGCGCGGGTGGGGGATGCTGGGACCGGGGCTTGCTCGAGCGTTGTTGCCATGATGACCAAGCGTGGCACAGCAGCATGATCTGCATTACGGGACGTGATCGGAATTGCCTCGTCCTCAACACTCTCGACCTCGTTTTATCAAAGGATCGGGGCGAACGGAGCCATGTACAGGCCGCTATTTCCTTCCGTGATGCATTCACGCACACATTGGACACAGCGGGTACCCAGTGTGGTCTTGAAGTTGATCCCAACCTCTTTTGCGACATCAAAGAAGGCCCATCTGCCATGTGTTTCCGATATTGCGGTAAAATACTATCAAGTTCCTGAGCTGGTGTCCAAGACAAACTTTACTGGTAGACCGCTGTCCATTCAATTGAGTATAATACGTCAATCATTTACTCTACATCAGCTCCACTCCTGTTTTCATATCAGAAGCGTGCATTCAGCTCACCCGTAACAAAGGCTGCACCAGATGATGATGTTATCCGTCCACCGCAAGACCAGGCCAAATACATCGAACCAAAATACTATTACGATGAAATTGCGGCACGAAATACGAGGTACCTTCTTGTTGCAAGTTTTAGCGTCCTTGGTGCCGTTGCTGCCAAAAATATTGTCACCGATTACATGGAAAATTTGGCTGCGTCCGCGGACGTGCTTGCCTTGGCCAAGGTGGAGCTAGATATGGGATCTGTGCCTGAGGTAAGTACATCTTAACTGATTTGACGGAGCCACCCCCAGTGATATTTTCGTCCAAGGCAAAGAACGTGGTTGTAAAGGTAAACAAAGGCATGTCATGCAGATGATTCGACTGTATCGACAATTGGTACGATACTTTGGTTCAGTGGCGCGGAAAACCAGTTTTTATTCGGCACCGCACAGCAGACGGTGAGGAGTTCCACTGATTGAGTTTGTCGTGTATCCTGACTTGACATTACCTGATGGTAACAGAGATCGCTGAAGCTCGCTCGGTTCCCCTGAGCGAGCTCCGAGATCCTGAAAAAGATGAAGACCGCGTTAAAAAGCCCGAATGGCTAGTGATGCTGGGAGTCTGCACACACCTGGGGTGTGTACCCATTGGGGAAGGTGTGCGCACCCGGTCGTGAGATGTTACATCAGGGATCTCTGACCTCATCTGTTCCATAAATAGCTGGGGACTATGGAGGATGGTTTTGCCCATGTCATGGTTCTCATTATGATATCAGTGGACGTATCCGAAAGTGAGCTGTGAATATGTAGGGACACGTCATTACTGGCTATGCGGTTGACCTTTCAATTTCAGAGGACCCGCCCCATTGAATATGGAAATTCCTCCATATGACTTCAATGAAGTCGACGGCAAGATAGTCATCGGCTAGGGAAGCGTCATTTAGATGAGGCATGTATCGCATACACGGTGCAACGTAGCACGGCGTCCAGTATCTAAGCATAAACAAAGCAGGCTCGATATGCTGTTCAGTGCCGAGGTTGTTCTTGCATGTGTATATTGTGTGGTTTAGTAAAGATAAATTACAATGCTGATGCCATTGCCGCTCATCGGCCTGTATACAGCTCATACTTGTCAATGTACTGTAAAGGGGTTTACCAGTCAACGATGGAAATATGCAGAGATCGTACATAACATAACCGCACCTTATCATGTCGGAAGCTCTTGCAGTCCATGCGATCCGTGAACAATACACCATCAAGATGATCCATCTCATGCTGAAGTAATCTCGCCAAAAATCCCCCCGTGCTGAATGACACCTGAAGAATAGCAAGGTCATTCAAACAGGCACCAGCTGCGAAACGTAAAGGATCTGATTCACACCTTGTTGCCCTTCAAATCCAAAGCTTCCACTTTTACATGCCCCGCTCGCTTTACCAGTGCATTGTAATTGGGCACGCTTTCACAACTCTCGTATTCTGCTGACCATTTGGTTTCCGGGTCCTTGTCTGTTATTAAAAGGGTCTAAAGTTTACCCAAGTCTCAGTTTTGGCTCACCAAGACAGGCTATCAGAGAATAAAATATAAATCATACAGGGTTGATTAGGAAGGTCAACGGGACTGGATCGATGCGTCTTTCTTCCAACAACTTTTTGTCCTCGAGCCGGTAAGCAATCAGCCGGATAGGATGCCCAATTTGCGGTGCAGCCAGACCGACCACAGGAGTATATGGGGAGGAAAAGACGCCCTTCATTTCACGGATGACTCGCTGGATTTTTTGAGTAGGAATGTCTTCGACTTTAATTGGTTCTGCTTTTACACGCAGGGACGGGTGCCCCGCTCGCAACACCGTGGGTGCTTTCTATGGCCAGAAAACGCTCTTTAGTATTTTACATTGTGCATAAAAGGTGTGCAGCCTGCTTACCCTGAACCATCCCGTGAGCCTACTTGCAGCGGACATTGTTGAAAACCCAAAACAAAATCGACGACGAAATCGACGGAAACCAACATCCTTGTCACGTGCGTATAAGATGAAATGCACCGCCATTACATGACTGTGCCATTTTTCATTTACCTAAAACGGCGATACGAAATGACGTCCAAAGTGTTCAAGGCGAGTAAGGCCTCTTGCCCCTTTAGCAGCAAAGCACAGGTCATCTGTTTTTCGCCCTTCGCCCAGCCTACCCGCCCCCCCAACGCAGGCGGATTTTTTTTTCTTTTGAGCGTTGGCCGAGTTCCTCCCCGCTGGGGAATGGTGACAAGGAGCATAGGGCATCTGCTGAGCTAGTTTTTGTAGCGTTTTTAAAGCTGTGGAGAAAGGTTTCAAGATTAGTGTAAGTTGTATGTGTGAGAAACAAGATTATAACGGTTGCATATGCTGACTATAAAGTGCAGACCTAAATCATGCATTCATACGTCAACCCTCACGGAGGGATGGACCTGGAGGAACTTCCGGTAGACTCGAATGCGACAGGGCACTCGTCCCTCCCTGGGTACACTCCGGCCCCCAGTCCACCAAGTAGAAACTTCCGCGAAAAGGCACTACCGCAACGGCCGTCGGGGTTACCAATGCCACCGGCGACGTACTCCATTCCAAATTATACTGACATCTTCCCTGCCCGCTACGCGGCCGATGCGGATTCTGTAGAAGCTATGCGCAAGTCGATGCAATCGGCGCGGAGGGCACACACCCTGTCCAGACCAGAGCGTCAGCGGAGTACTCGACGTGCAATATTGCGCTCTCCGAGCGCAGGTCCTCCTGCTGCCCGCGCTGGAGCAACCCGGCACAGAAATCCGTTGTCACAAATGCCAGAAGGTGCTCACAAAGTTGTGCATGATTATGCCGATAATAATTCATCCGAAATATGGCCTTGGTTTGCGAGGATTGTGACATGCTGTTTCCTGCCACCTTGTCTAAGGGCTTGCGGGAAAACGGAAAGAGCTGTACAACAGGCCTGGCGCGAAAAGGTGACGTGTGCCTTATTGCCTCACAATGGATCTCGTTCAAACACTCATAACTATATCATCACATTGCAGGTTGCCCTCTGTATGATCATTGCCGTCATATGTGGCATGGTTGCATTCTTGACCGTTGGATTACAAAGGGTGCTCTGTCCGAGCTCCACCAACGAAGGCCGGGTTGCCATGTTCAACAAGGACACCAAGGCTTTTAATCCAGGCTCGAGCAATACAGTTATCATTTCTGGCTACGAATACAATTTTCAGGGAGTCCAAGCGGCTTTGCAAGCAAGAGGGTTTGTTTTGGACACAGTCTGGTCCGGCGTTGACATCTCCCGCCTTTTTGCGGCGAATGCAGATGGGTCGTGTGGGGCATATTATACGAGCAAAATTACTTGCACGTTTCCAAACTCTGTTCTCATCAGTCCCACTGGGAACTGTGCCGACATTCGGTGGGTTCAGAATGTGAAAAAGGTGCAGCGCTTCACGGAATGGAACAACGTGGATGGCAAAACTAAGCCTCCACACGCTTTGACTGTCTATAATGGAGGTAAGGCATTATAGTATTGCTGTGGTGCAAGGTGTTCTATTCTTAACTACCACATCATCATAGCGTTGATAAATCTGACCGACTACCTGACTGGACCGCAGCAAGCGAGTAATCGGCTTACGCCATTGTTTTTCGACAATTTGGGAAAGGATGGCACTTACAGCTATGTCAGAACCGCGGACGCACGCCATGGAATAGAATGCCTACAGAGGACGTATCGCGTTGGCTTCGTTGGTGAGGAGACGACAGGCTGCATCTCTTCAATGGTGATCCAGACAGTGTCCTTGATCATAATTTTGGGCGTTGTGATAAGCCGGTTTTTAATGGCTATCTGGTTCCACTGGTTCGGCTCGCCGAACTTGACAAAGAAACCAAGGCATACGAATATGCCGGTGCCAGTAGGCTCGAATGGCCGCGCACCATATTCGGGGTCATACTCTGGTTCCTACGGCGACTCGAGTTACTCTCCCAATGGCGACGCAGACCTGTACACTATCCTGCTTGTGACATGCTACTCAGAAGGGGAAGAGGGGATTCGCGGAACACTTGACTCGCTTGCCAATACGGATTTCCCGGATGACAAGAAGCTTCTTTTCGTCGTGGCTGATGGGTTAATTACGGGTTCGGGCAATGACCGGTCCACTCCTGACATAATTATTGGGATGATGGAGCAAGACTCACGATTACCTGCGCCAGAACCAAAGAGTTATATCGCCATTGCGGATGGTACCAAGCAACATAACATGGCCAAAGTGGTACGTGCACGACGAAAAGTCCTAAGATATGGCTCTGAGCGACCGGCTTGTTACTGATTCCTGCTTCACTGTCTAGTATGCTGGACACTACGTACTCGGAAATCATCGAGTTCCAATGATCGCGGTTGTTAAATGCGGGACACCTACTGAAGCCACGCAGCCAAAGCCGGGCAATCGGGGCAAGCGCGATTCACAGCTGATCATTATGAATTTTCTGAGTCGTACTTTGTTCAATGATCGCATGACTGCTTTGGACTATGAACTGTTTTACCGGATTCAGCAAATTGCAACCACAGCGGATATGTACGAAGCGATACTGATGGTGGTATGTTGCCATAGCGTGTCACCTTTAACCTTGGGCGAATGATATGCTGATTGCGGATCCTCAGGACGCTGACACAAAAGTGGCTCCGGATTCGTTGGGGCACATGGTCAGTGCAATGAAGAACGACGTCAGTATCATGGGTCTCTGCGGAGAAACTCGCATCGCCAACAAGACTGCAAGTTTCACATCTGCCATTCAAGTGTTTGAATACTACATTTCTCACCATCTCGGTAAAGCTTTCGAATCTGTCTTTGGAGGTGTGACCTGTCTTCCGGGGTGCTTTTGCATGTACCGCATCAAAGCCCCAAAGGGTGATATGGGAGCAACCGTTCCGATCATAACAAACCCGGGTATTGTGGAGGAATACTCGGAAAACGTTGTTGACACATTACACAAGAAGAATCTCTTGCTGCTGGGCGAAGACCGCTTCCTCTCAACGTTGATGCTGCGTAATTTCCCTCACAGGAAGATGGTGTTTGTACCGCAAGCTATATGTTGGACGATGGTCCCTGAAAAATTTAGAGTCTTGCTCTCTCAACGGCGAAGATGGATCAACTCTACGGTGCATAATCTGCTGGAGCTTGTCTTGGTCCGGGATTTGTGCGGTACATTCTGCTTCAGTATGCAATTTGTTGTTCTCGTGAGTACATGGAAGTATTGACTATCCTGGTTAGACGAAACTTGACATTTTTTCTCTCCCAAGCTCGAGCTGGTTGGAACGGTGGTTCTCCCTGTCGCTATTTGTCTGACCCTGTACCTTATCATTTCTGCCGTCGTCTCGCAATCCGCTGAAGTAGTCCCATTCCTAATGCTGGCGGCGATTCTGGGTCTTCCAGGGTTACTCATCATTGTTACCACGCGGAAATTCGTCTACATTATGTGGATGCTTGTATATTTAATTTCGCTCCCAATCTGGAACTTTGTACTGCCAGCGTATGCTTATTGGCATTTTGATGACTTTTCGTGGGGTGAGACGCGAAAGGTCGAAGGGGAGCAAAAAGGGGATTTCCACGGGAAGAAAGAGGGTCAATTTGAGTCGAGTGCAGTTAGCATGAAAAAGTGAGTGTTGCGAGTAAGCGGTTCGAGAACATTCAGATCAGTTGACCTGTTGACTTTTAGATGGGCTGAATGGGAAAGAGATCGTCTGTTGTTTGAGCGGTATCAACTCTCATCTGAACATGACAAGGAGACAGAATATCGGCAGCAGAACCCTAGACTTGTGACACCGCAACAGGCCCCGCATCCCTCGCATTATTCATACCCGCACGACCAACGTGCGTCACAATTGGGGATCCCTGCAGAATTTCCATACCATCCTGTTTCCGTACCTCCACCTCCACGTGAGCGCACTTCAATGCCTCCCACCGTGGGTGGGGTCGCTGACTGGCCGCCACCTCCAGGCGGAAGCAAAGACCAGCACTACCCTCCGCTTCTAATGGGAGGCCTTCCCCGTCCTCCCGCAGCCTTTCCATCGAATCGACCCGTTTCTTCCGCACTGTTCCCTCGATCAGAGTCCGACTTGGGCCCTTCATATGAGATGAACATGACAGCGCCACGACCTACGGCTGCTTCTGGAATACGTAATGGAAGTATTGAATCTGCCTTGGAGTCTAGCTCCTCTGGAAGTTCCTCCTCCAAAGGGAAGCAAAGGGCAATCTAAAAATGAGGTGTTTGCAGATATGTACTTGTAGTAGTAGTCTTAATTGTATACGATATATTTTTATATAACCTTTGGATTATCATTTCATGTTTTCTTCTTGTCTCGTTCATCCCGTTTTGTTTGGAAGACTTTATAACGGTGGATAAAATCTCACATCTTTAAAATCGATAACGTCAGCACAGTCACGTGGTATCCCCAAGTGTTGCGGAAAAAATGATTCGAATGACTCATTCCATTTTTTGATGGCGATTAGTAAAAATTCCCTTGTCCTTTTATATTTGGCCTTGGTTTGGTTTTTTGCCCCCCAACGCAGAGATCCCCAGCTTCCCGAGAAACATGACATTTTCTACCCCATCAAACCTCGTCCCAGAGACCAACGGCGCAGCAGTAGCTGCTGCTGCAAAGAATGACTTTATTGTCAAGGCCGGTCTCGCCCAAAACTTGAAGGTGAACAATGAACACTTTTGGTCGGTTAAGACTTTACACTCAATAAAGGCTGCTGTTACTCTCTAGGGCGGTGTGATTATGGACGTGGTGAACGCGGAGCAGGCTCGCATCGCCGAGGAAGCAGGTGCATGTGCTGTCATGGCTCTCGAACGGGTACCAGCCGACATTCGCAAAGACGGCGGTGTGGCTCGCATGTCCGATCCCAAAATGATCAAGGAGATCATTGAGGCCGTAACTATCCCCGTCATGGCCAAGGTTCGCATCGGTCACTTTGTCGAGGCTCAGATCATCCAGCACCTCAACGTTGACTACATTGATGAATCCGAGGTGTTGACTCCCGCCGACGAGCAACACCACATTGACAAGAGCAAGTTCAAAGTGCCTTTTGTCTGCGGTGCAAAGAATTTGGGTGAGGCTTTGAGGAGGATCAACGAGGGTGCCGCCATGATCCGGACAAAAGGAGAGGCTGGAACGGGTAACGTTGTTGAAGCTGTACGACACGCACGTCAGCTTATGGGAGAGATCCGGAAAGTCCAAGCCATGGCGGAGGAGGAGCTCTACGTTTACGCAAAGGAAATCCAGGCCCCTTACAACCTTCTTAAAGAAACCGCACGATTGGGCCGTTTGCCCGTCGTCAACTTTGCCGCCGGTGGTGTTGCAACTCCCGCCGATGCTGCCATGATGATGCACTTGGGCATGGACGGTGTGTTTGTGGGCTCTGGCATCTTCAAGTCGGGCGACCCTGCCAAGCGGGCCAGGGCCATTGTCCAGGCTGTCACCCACTACAATGACCCTGCTGTTTTGGCATCTGTATCGGAAGACTTGGGGGAGGCGATGGTTGGTATCAACTGCGATTTGTTGCCAGAGGAACAAAAGTTTGCCAAACGCGGTTGGTAAAGCTGTAAGAGGCGCTGGTAGCCATTGTATGGTGTCCATTGTAGTTTACGGCTGGGTGGATAGCTGGGGGACGCGTTGGGTAGCAAAGCACAATGGGGTGCAAGGGGTAGATTCTCATATTTCAGACGCTTTAGCATTGCAATTTTCTTCTTTTTTTTTATCATGAAAGGCTATAGATGTTGAGATTGGACATGATTTTTGTTTAACAAATACGGTCTTTGTATTCGGAAGCGGATGTTACAAATTCTAATATTTTCCTTCCTATACCAAGAGATGAGAAGCGTCTAGTCCAACAGACTCCTAAAGCGCTCTTCCATCTCCTTGTTCAATTTTGCGTACCGCTCCTTGATAGCCTCCTCTCCATCAACAGGGTCCTACATATACAGAATGCATTTGTAAAATTGAATTCACAAGAAAGACGCACATCATTTCGTACCTCAAACTTCATTGAGCTCAACTTGTAAATAATGTCACCCATTTGCTCACGGATCTTTGCCCAAGTGATTTGGTTCGATGAAGCCTCTACCGTATGCCGTGCCAAATCGTAAAAGGACATCATATTGCGCAAGATACCGACCGTCTTGTAGAACGGACAGTACCGATCGTAGTTGGAGTATCCGTTTTGTTGGAGGAAGTCGTCCTTTAAAAGCTTGGCCACCTCCAAAGTGATCTTGTCGGACTCTGCGAGGGCACTCTGTAAACCAATTCGATCAGAACGTGTCATTGACAGGAAAAATGTAGTATTCACAATGATCACACCTTTCCGACGAGTTGCACAATTTCTGACAAGTCCTCCTCAGACTGGAGGACTTCTTTTGCCTTTGTTCGGATGCTCACAAACTCTGGGTCAAAGCGTTCGTAGTACGGGTCCAACGCCTTCATGTACTTTGAGTAACTGACAGACCAGTTGACAGACGGGAAATGCTTGCGCTGAGCCAGCTTCTTATCTAAACCCCAGAAAACTTGCACGATGCTGAGCGTGGCGAGCGTGACAGGATCTGAGAAATCTCCTCCAGGGGGAGATACGCTGGAATTATTCAATGGTAAGCTCACGTCAGCAAATACAGCTGGAAAGCAGTACATACGCGCCCACAATACTGACGGAACCCTGCCTTTGCGGGTTACCAAGACACACAACCTTTCCGGCACGCTCGTAGAACGAGGCAAGCTTAGCACCCAAATAGGCGGGGTATCCACTGTCTAGTAAACAGCAAAGAACGTAAATTAGGCAATGTGTTGTACGTGTCAACAGCAACTAGGTCCTTACCCGCAGGCATTTCAGCCAGACGACCAGAGATTTCACGAAGCGCTTCAGCCCATCGAGATGTTGAGTCTGCCATCATGGCCACGTTTTTACCCTGATCACGGAAATACTCTGAAAGAGTGATTCCGGTGTAAATCGACGCCTCACGTGCTGCCACAGGCATGTTGGAAGTGTTGGCAACAAGTGTGGTACGCTTCATAATAGGCTCCTGCCTCCCGTCCACTTCGATGGAAAGCTAAAGTGTGCAGCAGTTAAGGTTCCTATTACGTTTACGTCCATGGTACAGGATAATACCTCAGGGAAATCCATCAGGACTTCAGCCATCTCGTTTCCACGCTCACCACATCCAACGTAAATAATGACGTCCGAGTTTGAGTACTTGGACAGAGCCTGGGAAATGACGGTTTTACCACAGCCGAAGGCGCCCGGGATGGCCGTGGTACCCCCTTGTACGCATCTGCACAAAAACAACCGTTATTTTGATGCTGAACGGGATCGCAAATGGTCAATACTCACGGGAAAAGCGCATCGAGCACTCGCTGTCCAGTGAGCAACGGGTAATCAGCAGCCAACTTGTCGGTTACGGGACGTGGAGTTCGAACAGGCCATGTCTGTAACATTGTGTACTTTGTCTTCTCTCCGTTGAAATCCGTCTCCAACACAGTTTGCTAACGAGAGTCAAATGAGCCTACGTCTAACCATGAATGCGCAACTCCCGTCAGTCGCTCACGTTCAAGTCATATTGACCCTTCGGGGCAATGTAAGTGATTGTCCCTGCCGCTTTCGGAGGCAGCATAATAGCGTGGTTGGTGATGAAACTGTTTTCGTAAACTTTTCCGTAGATGTCGCCCCCAGTTATGTGGTCGCCGACCTGTCACTAAGGTCAAACAACTCGTCGAAGATATAGTCCATCACATATTCCTCACTTTGAAGTTGACAGGCTCGAAATCCCAAGTAAGAGATTTATTAAGTGCGGGAGTGCTGATCCCGCGGGGAATATAAATGCTTTGAGACACATCCTGAATAGCTTGCAATGGCCGCTGGATTCCGTCAAAGATGTTATTGCAGATTCCTGTTCCATAAATTAGGTTTATAGCCCCGCTTCAAAACCGTTCCTGTTCCACATACCAGGTCCCAGCTCCACCGACAATGGCTTTCGTGTCTTTAACACCGGGTCACCAACAGTGACTCCAGCTAGCAATGGAAAGATTAATATTCGTCGTTAATCATGTAGAATATCACCCTACACAAGACCCACATGTCTCCTCGTACACTTGAATGGTAGCCTTATCACCGTCGATACGAATCACCTCTCCCACCAATTCGTAGTGTCCGACGCGAACCTGCGACCAGCAATATGAGGACGCCTACCATCTCCACAATCTTACGACCACCAGTTGGTACATACCAATTCAAACATAGCGCACCCAATCATTTGCTCCGCCACGACCACTTTGATGGTTTGTGTCATTGACTGCTGGTAGGGGATACTGCGCGTAAACTGCCTCGTGTGAACTCACCAGGACCTGACACCGAGTAGACATAACCGAAAGCGCTCTCCTCTTCGGTATCCCGAATTTTGGGAATCTTTTGTGCATTTTCTAGTGCTCCAGCCTGTAGAGTTGGGAATTTGGTGAGCTGAACGCGGCAGCAGAAGATGCAGGATGATTGAATTGGTGTGGTTTTCTTTGCAATCCATCAAAACGAATCCCACGTCTTCACATGTTGTCCGCCGAGTCCACAAGGTTGATATCATGATAATCTCCTATTCCCAGACCCCTCATGCTTACCATTTGTAAATTGTACGTGTGCGTAAAACGTGAAAGATGGCCGATTTACAAACCGCCATACCAGCTGTCGAGGCTCCCATCATCGAAGGGGGACGCGGTGGCTGGTCACGTGATTGACGACAATCCACTTTGACGTTATCAACTCGAATAAGCGCTGCCCGGCTGTATCGACGTTACGCCGTGCGCAAAAGTAAGTGCACAGCGTTCAGGCTGATATTTCAAGGGTTTTGACGGAAATCGTCGTGGCCGTCCGTATTCCGACGCTGTCATCCGCCATGAAGGCCGCCATGACATGCATATGATCACGTGCCGGATGAGGAGGCTTAGTAAGGACGCGTGAGGGTTGCAAAGGCCGACCCCAGCGTTGGTTCAGCGCCTTTCGAGCTACGAGCATTGAAAGCCAAACAATTTGAACAACAGCTAATGTCAACGGAACTTTCCATCTCACGACGTACGTAGTTGTAAGGGAGTCCTTAGCACGATAATTGGATTGTACATATTACGGAGTGTGCTATCGGAATTGTCTTCAAATGGCGGACTACTTTGATATTGCTCAGAGTCTGCTGTTGAACGACCGCTGGAAACTATGGCTGTCTCCGGAGGAAGGAATAGTATTCATCAACGCAGCTAAGGACCAGGCAAAATGGACCGAGTTTATGAAAGGACCCCAAGTGTCTGCGGACGGTGCAAAAGGTTTGTCCAGTTGGTCTTGACGCTTGGAACCTGTGTCTTACTTTCATTTATGCACTGTTGTAGAAGAACCGGAACATTCGCAAGGTGGAAGCCGTTTTGGCGGCGCTTCCGTTTCTTCTTCCACCATTGCAAACTTCCGTATCCGTGAGATGATTTTTGAGCAATTGATACCGGAACTCTACCCAGATCGGAAGGATTTTACCACGGCACTCGTCGACAGGGACTCCATCAACGACATCCTGCTAGCCAATACTTTGAAATCTCTATCAAATGGCAATGGGATTCGAAAGCAGACGGATGTCGACGACGAATATGATGAGAATTCTGGTACCGTCTTATAGATCTCAGCGCTTTGAAATTGTCGATGTCTGATTCTCTTGCCCCGTTGCAGATGTTGGGTCTGATGGTGATCAACAGCGACAAAAGGTGCCTGCATTTAGCACTCTGACCGAGGAAGTGGATGTGAAAATGGATATCCCTATCGACGATATGTACTATAGCTATGATTACGATGTGGAAGCTATGGATTACATGACATCGCTCAATGTACGGAACACTTGAAATGGGATTATCTGCTTGATATTCCTCACATTCCATCGACAGGAGCGCGTTTCTCGAGAAGAACTAGAATTATTTGACCACGAAAATGACAAGACAGAGGCTGTAAGTTTTAATATTTCAAAGGAAGCATCTTGCGGAAAGGAGCTTACGTCTCCATCATTTTACAGGACGAAATGACAAAAGAGGTCCATTCCAGCCTAAAGGTAATGTATGATGTCGACCTGACGAGTCCTACGCGGGCAACTGATATAGAGCGTTCATTTATCCAGTACCTGTTTATGGTTGTGAACAAGCAAGCCGAACCAGAACGCCTTCAAAATATAAAAACATTGTTAGATGAAGTTAGACCGAGCAGATCAAAATGGGTGGGTGTAAGCCAGTGTCACGTCACCAGTTAATTATGTCTTTGTCTAATGAAAGCTACAGCACAGTGAGAATATTGGACAAGAGGAGCTTTACGCGGCATTAGAGAAGGTTTTGAATGATTTGAAGAATTATACGGTACGTCGAGGCTTCCTTGGTCGTCACGTTCTTTTTCAATAGATGTGCTCAGTTTTTGACATTGCAGGCCCATTCATTTCCATTTTTGAAACCGGTTGCGAAACGTGAGGCTCCTGACTATTATGACGGTTCGTTGAATCTGCAGAGCATGCCTGACTTCCCTCATCAATCAAATCTCAACCTCGTGCTTTACAGTCATCAAACACCCGATGGACCTCGGAACGGTAAAGTGCCTTACAGTCAGAACTTGCTTTCCAACCTACAGATTACCAATTCCATTCGGTAGATGACAACAAAGTTGAATAATCACCAATATCAGAGCAAAGCACAATTCTCAGAGGATCTATACTTAATATGGTCAAACTGTATGCTGTACAACACGATACCACCAGTAAGTAGTACTGCGACAGAGACTCATTTTTCTCATTGTAACTTCGCCTGAATTGCCTCAAGGATAATATTTATCGACGTCATGCGACGGCAATGCGACGGAAAACAACTGACCTTTTAAAGAAGGTTCCTGATATCACGATCATCAAATCCCGAGCTGATGAAGAAGACTCGGATGATGAAGAAGGTGGGCTCTCAAGCTGGTGCACCGACCACTTTTCGGGTCGCTAACCCAGTACAATTGTAGAAACCCCCAATGGAGTTGCAAATGATACCTCAAATGAAAATGGAATCTCGGTAACCACCGAGCAAGATCGACCTGCACAGGTGGATGAAAAGCGATCGGTAAGTACTTGGGATTCGTAGTGCTCTTCAAATGCTTACGGTCATCGTTCTATTCAGGCGTCTGTACTGTCTGAGATTCCTGAGTACGCTGGATCGCCCGCAGTGGAGGAACATGAGGCGGCACTTGCCAATGACAGTGCACACTTTCCAGATACAATGACCCCCGCCCCGCCGGATGAGACGACTGAGGAGGCCATTGATGAAGGCAATATTCAAGAGAGACGGTGGAAAGATGTGACCATGCAGTACCGTTACGAACTATGCGTAAGTTCGTGAATGTTGGCTCGAAGGTGATTCACATGGTATTGAATATGGCAAAATTTGAATCATCAGAGCAAACGCAGAGCTCAATTGAAAAGACCCTTTCCTGAGCGTCAAGCGATAGTACCCACGAGGGAAAGTTTGGGGGCATCAGTGGACGACGAGAGGGAATACGTGCGTCGTAACAAGCGACGCAAACTCGCATATTCTAAATTCAAGGATCCTTGCAAACGAAGAGACTCTGCCATGAACCTTTCAGAGGATGAGGAGCTTGAAATCGCTCTGGAGGAAAGCTTTCTTCCGGAGCTAAAATACACTTCTGGCTGTGTGCCTTCCTTACCCTATCCACCCTTTAAAATTGGCAATCGCGTAGTCGACCCGTCACAGCTCTTTGAAGATCCGAGGTATGACCCTGCTTAACTATTTACTCCTATATACAGAGTACTGAATGCTGCGTAAAGTGAGCTGTTGCGCACGCAGCCATCCTTATCGGATTTCCCTGAAATCCGACCGAAGCGAAAAGGAATACTGAATAGTCAAATTGATCGAAATATAAAGGACCTTCAAAAAGTGAAGGAAATTCACGCGAAGATCCTGGGTCGTGAGGTAGGACATTTTCTTTTTGGAAATGGCATGTACGCGGTAGGTGCTGATATCTCTCAACTCTTTGCGATAGTCGGGAGTGACAGACGAGACTCCGTGGAGGTCGCTCGTCAAACCTTATCAACCTTGCTGCAGCGAAACGTCACTACCACCGTTCACCCTGAACAGCGCCGCAGCCGCCGATGTGGCAAAGCAGAGCGTAGCAAAATTGCTGATGCATTCTGGCTTCGATGGTTGGTTTATTCCTCTCGTGGGACCATATCTTTTGCAAATAGCTTACAAGTCTGCTCTCCCTAGTTGCGTCCGAGTCCGCTTTGTGCACTCTGACCGATACTTTCCTGGATTATTTTCACAACATCGGGAAAACACTGCGCCTTTATATGGATAAATTCTCTAAAACAATGTCCCCTGAGGTGAGCTTTGGCGCAAAGATTTATTCTGCCGTATATTTAATATTGGATACGAAGGACCTCTTGCTCCATGCACTGCAAGAGAATGGCGTTGAGAATGTGAACCAACTCGACACGTATATTCGGCATGACATTGAAAGATATGGGGATAAGTTATATGATCTTCGCAGGAAGATGTCTTATGCATACAAGGATATGGTTAAGGTTGGCTTGGAATCTCGATGCTGCCATCAAGCTGCACTTCGATGTCTAATCATTGCGTGTCCAGCGAGCTGACGGTGAACTCGAGGAAGACGATATTGATGTGGAGGAGGCCGCCGATGATTTCATGAGGTGAGCATGATAATAAAGAGAGAAAACAGCTTAAATGTCGTGTCCTAATGGATGTTACCACAGTGGCAACTTCTTTGGCGATTTGGACATGCTCAGCTTGCGGGAGCTCGGCATCGAAGGGATCACCAGCGTGAGTAGACAGTTGTATCCCCTTTTGTATATGCTGAAGACACTGAAATCATTCCGCATGACAGATTCCACGAGAACTTTGGAGCAAAAAAGCAGACCGACCAATAAGAGCACGAGTTCGACGGCAAGCGCCACAGAGGGAGGAAGAAAATGGTATGAATACTATGCATTGAGGTTACCGTCGACGCCAATCATAACGGTCGTTGCTTGCCGGGACAGCCCCAATTGAAGAGGCAGTTGGCAAGCCATCTACGATACCTTGGAGACCCGTCGACATTCACAAAGTCATTGGCTTGCTACGACCTTTCTATGATAGAAAGAGAGCAGCTGGTGACATGATAGAGGTACGTGTTATTGTTCAAAACTACATCGTGGAGCGAAGCGATAATGACAATCAATCCATAGGATGAGTTCAAAGAACAAGCTGGGCCCTCTAGGGCTAAGATCCACCTCAGTCAGGCCAAAGTCGGCCGGAAGCGAAGCGCAGGAGGCGGGGGTGGAGATGAACCTCCCAAAAAGAAAAAGAAGGGTCCTGACCCGGCCCTTAAAGCCCAACGGGAAGCCGAAAAGCAACGCAAGGCCCAGGAGAAGGCCAACCGCTTGAAGCTCAAGGAGGAGCAAGTTAAAGCGAAGAAAGGGAAGGTAATGTAAACCTTTTAAAATTGGTTCACCCAAGTCAATCATTACTGATGTCGTAATCAAAAATAAGGGAAAGAAAGCTGGTCAAATAGCAGCGTGAGATTATTTCTTGTGTCAAGTTTGGAGAGAGGCTGAAGCAGATAGATATGAGAAGTGGCCGAATGAGGAGCCTGCAGGAAACGTTGCGGGATCCCCGATTTTATTTTTAATTGGTGTGAATCTTTTATTGTTGATGTGATGGACAAGAGTAATTTAATCGGTTGAAAATTGCAAAATAACACCCGTAAAGCATGAGCCTGCCCTACAAATGTTCCATTCTGCGAACCAACTAATATATGGCCCATCGCCAATGCATGCCATGTCCATCCAACAACTCCGGGTGTCCGATAGTATTACGTCAGCACTACAGCGTTACTAAGCCTCTGTCATGTGGCGCGGCATTCCAAACACCACAACTATAAAAGGAGGAGTTGCCCCCACTCTCCCATCAGTCTCCAAGTTTTGGCAGGACTGCGAGAGTTTGCTGAATAGAGGCGTTCGCGAATTTCCCTTGACATCCGCGCGGAATACAACAACACTCGATTCTCTCTCTCTCCTGTTCTCGCTATCCCTCCAATCCGTTGAATCCGCGTTGTGTTCACACAGGGTGCTTGCTTTGATTCCAACAAATTCCACTGAGATCCATAATGTCCCACTCCGTAGCCGCTGACCAGATTATGACGGATGCCCATGTGAAGCCTCCATCCGCATCTGGGATTGTCCCTACACTGCAGTGAGTGTCCCATATCCTCGCCCTAAAGATGTTGCTGGCGGCAGGAGGGTCCCGTTTGCAGAGGGAAGAAGAAGCTTGTTTATAGTTTTCTTAGCTGTTTGTCTTTGCTCGTACCCCGTTGGCTTTTCTCTTGTTTCTCATACAGCATTGCTCACCTCTTTTGAAATTTTGTTACGCTTTTTTCAATGAAGAAATATTGTGGCAACAGTCAACCTAGACTGTCGGTTGGACCTCAAAACCATCGCCCTTCATGCTCGTAACGCCGAATACAACCCAAAGCGTTTCGCTGCCGTGATCATGCGTATACGTGAACCTAAAACCACAGCCCTAATCTTCGCTTCGGGGAAAATGGTCGTTACTGGCGCAAAGAGCGAGGAAATGTCAAAATTGGCGGCTCGCAAATACGCTCGTATCATTCAGAAGCTCGGTTTCCAAGCAAAATTCACTGATTTCAAAATACAAAATATTGTTGGATCCTGTGACGTCAAATTCCCCATCCGTCTTGAAGGACTGGCTTTGAACCACGGTTCTTTCTGTAGTGTAAGTATGCTCGATCACAATATTCATCCGTGTAGGTCGTTTTTGAGTTCTTTGACGCTAAACCTGGGGACGGTTTAATCGCTAGTACGAGCCTGAGCTCTTTCCTGGACTTATATACCGCATGTTGCGACCGAAGATTGTACTACTTATTTTCGTCTCAGGCAAGATTGTACTAACTGGCGCAAAGGTAAGGTCTTGGTATGGGTGGTCAACATGTTCAAATTTAAAACTAACGTCCATGATAGGTCCGCGATGAAATCTACGCAGCATTTGAAAACATATTCCCTGTGCTAACTGGTATGTATATCTTGGAGGTGATTAAACACCTCCTTGCCGACACTAGATTGGTATCCTTCGCTTTGCAGAATTCCGTAAACCGTAAAATCAACATCCTCTCCTCACTACATGAGACATTGCAAACTCAGTGGACCCCGATCGTACCATCCATTATAGAGGGGGATCGCCGCATTGAACAGACTTTAAATCCGTTAAAATGGGCTGGTTCCGGTACAGTGGACGTATTCCCTCCGTTTTGCCAACCCGAAACACTTGTCGGACGATGGCAATGTACAAAGTTCTACCTTCTTGGCGTGTCAAGCTATTCAATAAAATATAATTTGGCAATATATGCCATTGTGTCTAAACAAAATGCGTACTTGATGATTTATTAGCCACACTGTGCACATTCCATCGTGTTGGGATATTTAATCCATCACAAATATCTGCTTTCCACCGCTGAACCCACTCATGGCCTTGCGGATACTCGCGATAGCTGTTTCCTGTATGTTTGGTGCATCGCGCAGAGAGGTTGTATCATGCCAAGGTTCCCGCAGTTTACCCGCTTGTGCCAGCTGGAACAGTTCGTCGAGCATGGTTGCTCGCTCCGCTTTAGAATGCGTCTCATACCATCTGGTCATCCAGAACCCTTGGCTCGTTAGATTTTTGAAGATAAACAGTGAAGTAGGTAGGATGAGTGGCTCCTTGGACATTCCACCGTATGTTACCAGATGACCATCATGTCTGCATTCGTTTCTATGAGTTTAACAGCGATTATAGACTTGTTCACCGCGACTCACCCTAGCAAACGAGCAATATTTGTAGCACTCTTGCCGCCGACGCAATTGAGCGCCAACCGCGGCGGTGGCCCCAAATTTTTAACCTTCGCGGCAACCTCTGGCTTTCGCGCATCCTCTTCCGATATCACCATATCCGCTCCAATGTCTTGCAAGTTTTCTGCGATTTCATCAAAATTGGGTCTGATCTTACTAAGTACGTGTTTCTTGCTCGAATGGATCCGCAGGCACGAGTTGAGACTAACCTATTTCGGATAACGTTCACAGTTTTGATATTCCAGGCCTTTGCGAGCTGAATAACGGACTGGCCAACACCGGAATTACCACCATTTTGTACCACAACGTCACCTTTTTGCCACGTCATCACAATGTTAATAAAGTGCAATCAAAATCACATTTATCGAAGTTCGCGATTTTACCAGGCTTGAGCGAGACGAAATCGCGCAGCATACGGTACGCTGACAAAAGCGCGAACGCATCAGCAAACGCCCCGGTGTATTAAAGGCGCAGAGAACTTGACGATACCTGTACAGGGATTGACACTGATCGTTGCTGCTATCAGTGGTGAGACCCCGTGCTTATTGAGCTTCAACAGCTCATCTGGTTTGCAGCTAGCGTGCTTCCGCCAAGTACCTAACGTAGCATAACGAAGATCAGCGATAACTGAAAATTTACTGTAGATCGGCGAATCGACAAACTTACGCACCGAACCCGCTTGCTGTTGGTATCACCCAGTCACCCACTTTCAAGTCTGTAACGTCATCTCCAGTGGCTATGACCTCCGCTAACCCTTCATTGCCACCAACGGCTCCAAGCCCGTCTTTGAACTGTGGCTTTACCGGGTATGTTCCTGATATTTCCACGGAGGGTAAGCTATCCAGCAGTAACTAGGCAGATATTTGAGGCGTTCCTACCCTGGATCTGGTTGATATCCGCTGGGTTGATAGGCGCCGCAACAAAGCGAATATGGACTGTGGACCTTGTCAGCGGCGGAAGTGGGACCTTTGTTATGCTGGATACATGTTATAAATTCAGAATTCGTTTGTGATATTAACAAATTCGCATTGCACTGCTCGCCCATACTTTAAAACCTTCTCCGGCGGTCCATATTGTGAATATGTCAAGGCTATGGCAGGCGAGCGAGCGAATGTGGAGCTTTTCCGCAGATAGCCCACACACACAGGACTTGGCACAGTATTTAAGGATCTCTTATGAAAGCATGCCATCCGCGGAGTAGCTGTTGGTATACGCTTTGACCAACTCATCGTGCTCAACAAACAGGTTGCAATGCGAGTTGGTGAAGACCATCCAACACCGCGCGATGACTCAATCGTCTGCTGTGCCATCCGCGCATTTCGGTACCATGGCAACGCAAGATCGGCCAACTCACAGCATTTGCGACCTTCAAACGGTTTGGAAAGCGAACAGAAAGCACAAAAAGGCAAACCATGTTTGGTGCATTCCGATCTACCATTGCGACTCTGGGCGGTCTTGTATGGTATGTCAAGAAAGGGTCTGATACAACCTGGGCGAGATGAAACTCAAGTTGGATTTCCAGGAAGCGACGTTTCCGCCTGACAGATACCCAAAAATATCGCCACAGAAAGAGGCTAAGGGCAGTAGACGAAGTTGTAGATACGCTGGTAGAGAGTGGAGTAAAACTGCGGGCTCTGGTGAGTGAATTTATGAATTCGTTCGTTTGGCTGATGCAAAGTCCTGAGAGGTTGCTAATTTGCGACTCGTGCACCAGGAATTGGCACGAAGGGCGCCAAAGGAGAGCGAAATGAGTCCGTTGGAAAAGTATTGGGTAGCCTCCAAACGGTATCGAAATGGAATCAAGCCTATACACTGGGTGCCTCACTGGACAAAAGTTCCACATGGCAGAAGATGGACTCCAAGTGTTGTTCACCACCGTCGAGGACCTCCTGGCAAATAGATCGACTGGCAGAGTAGGATGGTTAGGCATACTAGATGGGGAGGGGTTTGCATAATACATTATCGGGGCGGATAAAATGCGTATGACTGGGATCGGGCATGATTTAAGGTGGTTTTCGTCAGCAACGCTGTGTATATAGTCAATGCAATAGTAAAGTCTAACGCAAAAGATGTGACGGTCGTTGATTCATCCCTTCGACACGACAGTTGGTTCCTCCAGGGCAAAACCAACTAGAACTGCAACCACAATGTCCCATATCCATGGAATTCGCTTGCTTGGCTACATGCTACGCTTGAATGGCATGAATTAAATGCTGCTGGAATGCCTTTCATCAATCAGCCTGCAAATGGCAAATGTAGCGAACATCATTTCTTTTCTTCCTAAATCATGAGAATAGGGAGCGGACAGCGCGAACGCAGATCCCTCCCACAAACAAAAATTATCCACCTCCTCTGACCCCAAAGGTCAGGGAATCTGAAGCTCTCGAAGCAGGCGTGCATTGTCGAGAATCCCAAACAGGCGCTGCCTTCCTGATCACAGCGAACCTCGTAGCAGGTAAGTATGCAGAACAGCGGGGGTGCTGGGGACCTCTCCTTTTTATAGACAGCGGCGACTGCGCAGTGCGCACACCGGAGGCGTGGAAAAGCAACATACGGCATCGGTGGGTTGACTGCGCCTTGGTACTCTACCGTACTTGACAACACAGTTGCTAAGGTGGATTAAGACACCAAAACCTGATCGGGTCCAAGAGGTACGTCTGTGCGGTAAAGGGAGGAGATGGTCGTGACCTACAAGGTAGAGCCAAATCTATTGTCCACTACAATGTAGCGCAAAAGCAACGGCAACATGTCTGCATTATCGACGTTTGGCAGCAGGATCTGAGGGTTCATCCCATTTGCTTCTCTTGCGTCCTATGGCAATTCGAGTGTTTACAAAATGCACCTCAGCGTACATCATTGCACGGAACACACTCACCTGAGGCTGGTGCGGGTTGAACGGACGCGCCTCCAACTGCGCCTTTGTTCAAATTTGATACAAACTGAATCGCTCGCTGTTGAGCTTTCTGCACAGCGGCAGCGAGCTGTGGATTCAAGTTGCTGGCAACTGTCGGTGGTGGTGGTCTTTCGGTAGCCTGTTTGTGGGCTGGGCAGAAGGTGATCCTTTGTGAGGTTACTGCTATCTGATTGCTCGTAGGGCTCGTACCATACCAATGCGATCGAAAAATGCTTCTTCAGGGAATCCGTGTGGATCGTAAATCTCTTTTGGATAATTGGACCCAGTTTCATCCAATCCAAGGTACTCGATGAGCTTACTCATGATTGATGGGTTGCGGAATGCGTGAGTTTGTTCGAGCCGTGCGTTAAAGTGCATGCCTGAGCCTTTCAAATCCAGCCATTTCGCGATCTTCGCCTGGAGATCGTGTAGTTAGCTTGTAAACTACTACCAAATGCCAGAAGTGCTGTTCGAACCTGGGTCGCCTCATCGGCTTCATCATCCGGCTCTGGGGGAATGCCAGAGTTTTCTTCGCCTTCGATTGGTGGGGGCTTTAAAAGTTGGCGCAATTTCGCTTCGGCCTCTGCTATCGCAATGTCATCCACTGGTTCAGTTATACCCTGATGTAAACCAGTGGCTAGTCGCTCTCCTGATACACGAGGTGTCGTAGATGCCTGAGAGTGCGGGGAATTTGAGGGGAGATATGGTGATTGAAATCTGGAGCCCGATCTTGAGGGTGAGACGGATGGGCTGACGCCTGCCGATGCCGTTCCGGATGGGGGTCGACGTCGTATCAAATTACTTAATGGCTGTGGTGTTGTCGGAAGGTTTTGGTTTGCTTATTGAGATATCACCATTCAACGTCAGTTGACATGCTAATAGAAACGACACAGATGTGTTATTCTTGCCCCAAAAGCGTTCTGGAGCACAATTGCCAGAAACTTACCAAAGTTAACCTTTGTGAAATTAGACATACATATAGTTATGGGCTGCAGTCCACATGTTTGATAAGGCTATACTGTGTATTTAAAACGTCAGGAACGAATCGCGGCGTACCTGTCCGGCGGATGATCGGTGAGGTGTTTGGTTTGGTTTGGTAGAGGGAGAAGAATCTACCAGAGTACATCCAACAGATGAGAACTATCATCTATCAAGAGCGTCCTTTTCCCAGCTCACCTGTCGCAGTAGCGTTTAACAGGGCCTCTTGTGAGCCATTTTGAACGGGACTTCCTGCTTCACTTTTGTCTTCGTCGTCACTCTCTCCATACGCGAGTCCCAAGAGATTACTCATTTGGAGCCAGAATAGACGCAAAGATACTGTTGCTGGGGGCTGCGTGCTCGAAGGGCCGATCTGTTGGAGGTTCGTCGGTTCGTGATGGCAGACTGTGGATTATGATGAGAGTTCGATCGTTGACTCCCTGTATGACTGTGCCAATATGGTGGCGCAGTTATATGACAAGAAGCAGCTCGCTGGAAGGCAACTCACCAACTGAGCTGCTGGAAAAATGACTGCTGTTGCTCATGTGGGACGTCAACTCGCTCTGCGATGGGTTGAGACTCGCCCCACATGGTTGGGATATGCCACCTCGCACGCACTGCAAGCAGTGAACTTCATTACACCGCGAGTCACAGCTAGTGCAGTATGTGCCAGCTCTCTTCCATCTACCCGGCTGTCCTCCACCTCAACTGCCTCGGCAGCACCCCACCCTTGCGTCGTCGTCGGAAGCGGACCAGCGGGACACACCGCAGCGATTTATCTTGCCCGCGCAAATTTGGAGCCTGTTTTGTACGAGGGGTACATGGCTGGAGGAATTGCTCCCGGCGGTCAATTGACGACCACAACAGATGTTGAGAACTACCCTGGATTCCCAGAAGGAATCTCTGGGACAGATCTAATGGATCGCTTTCGGCAGCAGAGTGCGCGATTTGGTACAAAAATTCACACAGAGACGATATCCAAAGTGGACTTGTCGAGCAGGCCGTTCAAATTGTGGGTGGAGAATAAAGAAGATCAAGAACCGATCTTGGCGCGGAGTGTCATAATCGCTACGGGGGCGACCGCGAAGAGAGTAAGAATCTCCATCTGAAATCGCTAGCGAGACGTGGTTGCTAATATTTCGGTTCCTTTCTTCAGATGCGCATTCCAGGTGAAGAGACCTACTGGCAGGCGGGAATATCCGCATGTGCTGTTTGCGATGGCGCAGTTCCAATATTTAGACGTAAACCACTTGCAGTGGTTGGTGGCGGAGACTCAGCTGCTGAGGAGGCAACATTTCTCACAAAGTACGCCAGCAAGGTGTACGTCTTAGTCAGAAGGGACAAGCTACGAGCCTCTAAAACTATGGCAGACCGTCTGTTGCGTAACCCAAAGATCGAAGTTCTATGGAACACGGTGCCGATTGAGGCAAAAGGAGATGGGAAGCTGCTGAAAAGCTTGATTTTGAAGGATACCAAAACTTCAGAGACACGAGAATTACCTGTGAATGGCCTCTTTTACGCTATTGGGCATACACCCAATACCGGTATTGTGGCAACAGGAGGTGGGCCAGATGGTAGAGGTCCCCAACTTCAACTTGATCGGGATGGTTACATTATCACGAAGCCCGGTACATCGTTGACCAGCCGTGAGGGAGTGTTTGCAGCTGGTGACGTCCAGGACAGACGCTACCGCCAGGCGGTCACGGCGGCAGGCTCTGGCTGCATGGCGGCGCTAGATTGCGAGCGGTGGTTAGAAGAGGAACAGTAGACTTCCTCGGGAGAGTTGATTGCATTTGTAAATTACAACATCACATATAGAATGCGCGCTGGAATTCAAGAGCTCTCTTGACAAATGGAGCCGAACTGGGAGGACCGAACGGTCGACAGTAAACGTTCCGTTACATTACAGTCGGTACCATATGGAATGCGTTAAATAAATTTCAATGTACAATGACCAAAACACTTAAATAGTTGTCTAAACCTTGACCCAGCCTCTCTTCTTTAACCAGTTATCCCATCCTCGCGAACGCATCCTTCGAGCCAACAGCGGAGTCATGAAAGCTGTCAGGCCAAGCCTGATGGGAAGGACCAACTGATTCGCTGCGTGAGCCATCAAGCATGTCAACCCGAACTCTCCACAGATGTTGCTAACTGCCCCACCTAAAAGCGCCACATTGCTAGCCGGAGTAAGTGTGTCCCCAACTGCCAGTGTCGATGATTGCTGCTGACCAAGTCCTGCCACAACACAGTCATTGTCGCCCGACCACCAGGACTTCATACTCAGGACCGTCTCTGTCACCATACTAGCGTCAACACCGAATCGAAACGCCGCAAACCATGAAAAAAAAGATATGGCAGACACTGCAGAATACGTAATGACAGCGTATGCCCCAAACTCCCGCAGAAGCGCCTTAAAACCCTTTTTTACGCTCTTTTGTGTCAGCGAAGTTGAGAGTCCTGTAGTCGAGATAGTGGGTGCGCTGAGCCGTTTACTGTCGTTGGTAGTAGGAGTTTGAGTAGTAGAGTTTGAGGAAACCGAGTAGACTCGCCTATGACGGCACACACTTGCTCGTGTCCGACCCAGTGTGGTACGGTACAGGAGAAGCATAGCTGCAGACTTGCTATGAACACTCGGGAATCGTGAAATATGGAGGGAACACAATGGAGGAGGCTGCGTGCAGCGAGCACCTGCAGAAGCTCCCTCCAGCAGCGGAGAGATTGCTTTGGTCAAAAAATGCACGGTCCCCAGCCTGTGTACGTAACCGATCGACAGTGCCTGTTGCCATGGAAATAGCTCCAGATCTGGAAACGAGACGCCTGAAATTGTGCTGGATGCAATGAACATGGCAAGGTGACGAGAAGCTAGTGCCAAGCTGTCTTCATGTGTGTCCGGGACAAATGCTCTATGGAGCATTTACACTTTCCAGTCAGGATATGCGTTATAATTTTAAAGCAGCTCGTGGATGGGTTTTGGAAGCGCAAGTCAGTCAGCTATGCATTTGTCGAAAACACGCCAGTTCAATTGAATGCAATTCCAGGCTCGAGCCTTTCATGTGCTTGCTAAATGGGGCACTCGGTCTCAACGCAAGCAAAAGGCTGAACGCAAGCAGGATGGAGATACTCGCTAGTCTCCTTTATTCAAACTCGAGTCATTGGGTGGAATCGCTGTCCTTTGTGCTTAAAGTTGTTTGGAACGCGAAAGTTCATTACAAAAGCATGGCACGTGACATTGCTTTGGACCAGCGTCTTCGCTTCCTTTGGTAGCTTTTCACACACTGCCCATTAGACTTTTTGAAATCCCGACCACCATTCTCTTCTTGCACTCCTACTCTCACCACCACTGCTCACACAAAAGACAAGTGTCGACATCCAGACTTTAAGTGGAATAAATGACCAAAAATCGAAGTACGACACCCGTATTGGACCGACGACAAAAGACACCTGCACAGCCCGAGGAATCGCTTCAGAGACGCAGAAGACGATCCAACAGAGTCATGGAAGGTGACTTAGATGCACCTGAGACGCCTGTTTTAAGACGTTCGCGACGGCAAACCCCACATCCGGCCAGGGGAGCAGACAATGCTCACAATGACACTCAAAGCGAGGCGATAGCAACAAACGTACCCCAAGCTCAGCCCAGAAAGCGTGTTCGCGGAGCGTCTCACGACACTACTTCAATGTTGGATGACGAATTTCCAAAGGTTGACAGTTTGCGGGAGGAAGTTACCCCGGGCAGTCTAAAGAGACAACGGACCGATGCATGGGGGGAAGATATTGGAGGAGAAGGGAGCGGTGTAGAATCCGAAGGCTATCACATTACTCTCGCAGATGATGAGTCCCTTAGCGATAGGGATTCAGGTGTTCTTGAGGTTGACGCCCGTGCTCCGAGTGATGTATCAACTTCTCCATCCGCCATTATAGACCTCACTTCCGATACCACTACACTCCCAAACTCAACCCACACAGACACAACCCGCATGGCACACATTATCGACCTAAGTACACCGGTTGTCAGCCAGATTAGAAACCCTGTACAGAGATCACCCTCTTCTGAAGCTGTATTCGACCTGACTCAGGAGGAAGACGATGATTTGCAAGTCCTACATCATATCCCTGGAGTGCGACTTCCATCTGTACCTCGGGCTTTCACTAGCGGAATGTTAGAACTTGGTGCAGATACACTAAGCAGCCCTGAAGCTGGAGGATCCGTGCGGGCTTGGATAGAAAGTAAGTACGCTGCTATCATCCCATATGCCTTTGTCATGCTTATTTAACACCGACCGATCCAGGCGCTTTCAGTCGGATGTTGGGAACAGGATCGAGATCCGTACCAAATGACAATTTGCATGAAGTTGGGGGACAGAGTCCACTGCAACCGCAGAGCATCCGTTCCATTCGTCCTCGTCTCCCGTCGTTCAATGAGCTACAAGACAACCTCCGCACCACGGTAGCCCGCCCTCAGCCTCCACCGCCTCCCCCAGAGCCCGAAAACCCGGCTGCATTGAAATGCGCCATTTGCCTGGGGACTTTCAGCGTGAATACAAACCTGAGTGCAACCATTTGCGGTCATATATACTGCGAGGACTGCATAAAAGACGTGCTCAAGGTCAAAAAAGAGTGTCCAATGTGCAGGCGGCCACTGAAAGGGAAGAACAGTATTCATCGGTTATATATATCATAGGGGATTTTGGGGCTTGGGTTCATTGGATGGTGGAAAAAGGATTAATTAACAGAGATTGCACGATGCGAAAGAGAAAGGGTTGGTTTGTATTCATCTGACTGGGATAGGCTCATCTTCCTGTTGATTTGAAGCCGCTTTCGCCAAGGTTTCTTTTATCAGTACCGCCAACCTACGCTCCGCTATCAAGGCAAGCTCTTCATTAGTGGTTGGCACATTGAAGGACACGAACACTTGTATGCCAAGCTTTGTGGCTGTTCCGTGGGAAGTAAGCCTATTAGTGTACTGAACCTGCTTCCATCCAGGTTTGTTCGGAACTCTACCTAAGCGTCTAGCTATCCGCTCACTAACATCGTCAGCAGAAGTGGGGAGAAGTGATGTTGATGTTGCCGTTTTGTCCTTTCAACCATTTCCATACAATGTTATCTCTCAATCTTCAAAAAGGCACATCAGGATTGGAGAAAGGCAGCATGACATACAAATCGAGTGGGCATTGCCACTGCAAGTCCGTCCAGTCGCCCAGTTGCGGTGGTACTACCTTCGCCCGCCCCAGATCCAGGAGTTCCAACCCACGCAAAGACGGAAGATTCCATCACGGTAAATTGGAAGCACAAGGTATGGCTATCATGGGTTTCCGTGAGCTGATAGACCTTGAATCCAGGAACATGTGCCTCTGGCTGCAAGAGTGACATGGCTGTCTGGTCTTCGAGGTGAAAGCTCGCCCGCCCCTCCCGCCAGAGCAACGACTGCATCACGTGACCACAGCCAGCGACAGCTAAACGTCAAAGAAACCCTTTTCGCCACTGGTTCCAGATCTGTTAATTTCGGGCTGGTGCGAGAAACCACGTTGAATACCATGGACAATCAGCCTCTTGGGGCGGCGATGGAAACCTTACTCTGTGGTGGGAGCTCTTACAGACTTCAGCTTAGTAAATATCTGGTGTGATAGCTGGAGGTACGGCTTCGCTTGCAGGTGTATCGTTTTTATCACCTATTTTAATCCTCGCTTGTATGTTACAGTCCGTGTCATCTCATTCGGACCAAATGTCATCACCACCTGCAGCTCATATTCCTCGAACCTCTGCCTCTCCTCGCGCATCGGGCAGGAGAGGTCAACGACGCGGCCCGACACCTGGGGAAGGAGACGCTAGGAGCACGGGCAGCGGCGAGGATTCTCATGCGAACTCGCGCAGGCGAAGAGAACCCCGACCACCCTCTGGTCGAAGAGAAGAGGCTAGAGAGCTCTACAGGCAGCCGTCAGAAGGATCTCAAGTCCGAGCGCCGGTCATCCTTGAGCGACGGCCCGTTCCTCAAAAGCCGGAAGGCCCAGTACCTAAGGGACTGTTGCTGCGAAATCCACCTGCTGGAACAACCCCGACAAAAACGATTGAAAGGAATCTTGACCGAGGAACTAGTGCTACTACGCCTGAACTCGCTGTCCAAGCCGCAGGAGTGACCCTGCCTCTACCGCGGATTCATAAGATTCTTGACCAACATCTCCGCTTCCAGCCAACGGAAACAGTGCATCGCGCTCTATCTGAGCTTCCGGGATGCTTTGTCGTTGGGGCCATAGGTCGGCGAGGTACAGGAAAATCCACAATTCTAGCACATTTCTCAACGTCCTTGACAACGTTCCCTTCTGGTCAAACAAGGACCAACGGCATTGATCTACACGTCACGCCAGAACGTGTCATACTGCTGGATACTCAAGCACTACTTTTACCTGGCGGCCGGGCACCGCACGATGAAGCATTGCAAACAATGCGACTGGCTTGTTTCATACTTTCCGTCTGTCATGTAGTGCTACTTGTGTCGGACACACATGAGCTTGATGCAGATCTTCTTCATTTTGTAAGAACTATGGAAGCTGTTCGACACCGCATCATCCCTTTGTCGAAGGAGGAGCAACAAAGCGATGAACATCGACCAGATTTGGTATATGTTTCCACCAAGTGCACAAGTGATTCGTTTTTTGTTGAATCTTATGCGAATATGGCAACAGACTTTCTGTCATGGTTTCGAGGCACGCGTATTGGCGTGCTTGGCGGGAGTGTAAGCATGGGGAAGAGGTATGGACAGTATTCCGGACTAGGCAGCGACGATGATCGGAAAGGCGGAAAGCCAAAACTGGGCAAGAAAGCTTCACGTTCAAGCAATGGGGAGGTTGCTGATCCGAGGAGTTCTCCAGTGTCGCCACTGAGTGTTATGACATCTCCAAAGCCATCCGATCCTCGATCAGGGACGCTGGTCCGTGAGCCAAATATCTTTCTGCTTCCTCGTGCACCGGTTGTAAGCAATGCTTCGAGCGACCCAAATCCGTCTCCGGTGGGTAAGCCAGGTGGGCCCCCCATACTGGATCGATTGATCGGATTTGGCATCCCTGCTAGATACGAAGTAATGATGAAGGAGCTAAGAAATCAGGTTTTCGAGACCCCTCGATGCACTTTAACGGAAAAGAATCCGATGGTGCGGCGGTGGTATGGGATGTCAGAGCGTGACTGGCTAAAGTTTGCGACCAAAACTTGGGAGACAATTCGGAAATCGGACATGGACAGGCACTGGGCGCGAGTTATGAAAAGTCGACTGGAAAGATATTCCAGTCGATGACCCTTTGTATGATAGTTTTAGATAGATCTCTGCGACGGTAATAGTTTATTGCTTGCTTTTCAACGTCTTGCTCTCTTTTTTATATAGTGAACTGGACTTTCCGCACATAATCACTTGCTTCCAACTGTGCCACCGTGTTTTGGCAAAGTCATATAATGCCAATGGCACAGCTGATAAAATTAATTTGAACCCAACTCCCAACGAAGAAGCAACGGGTAGAGAAGCAGGCGGTGGCTAGCGACAACGCCATCATCCGGCAGATTCCCTACGTGAATCTTGGTGGTATCTGATTCTATCTTGCGAAGCTGGAAGTTGCTATTGTACATATCTTGTCCTCATTCACTGTGCCCTACCCACGAGATTTGCCCACTGAAGAAGTAATACCACAATGTCGTCTACCGCTTTCTCTCGCTCTGTTCTATCTCTCGCCACTCGCACGTCTGGCGCTCGCCAGCTTTCGTCACTGACTGCCCCGGCGGTGGGATCGGCATCTCAGATGTTGCGTGGAAACCGTCCGTCGGTCCCTGCTGTACCGGACTTGCAGGCAAAGCGCGGAGGTATGGGATGGACAAATGGCGTGTCGAGATTTTAAAGTTTCCGACAGAGTGGAAGCAATATTGCTGGTGCTTTGTTAACTTTCTCTATCTTGATTACTTACAGCCAAGAAGGTCACTGGCGGCAAAGTAATGCGACCCGAGACATTCGGCGTTTCTAGTCGTTGGTTTGTTCCACCAAAAGTGCGTCAGACTGCAGAATACGTCGGTATGTGGTACTAACTTTATACCTAGAAGGGAGGACAATGAATAATTACTAAAAACACCATTCTACGCAACTTTATAGAGGTGCCATATTATGAAGGTGAAGACGCTAGTCTTGAAACCTTCACAATTAACTTTGGACCCCAGCACCCGGCTGCACACGGTGTACTTCGTCTGATCTTGGAATTGAAGGGTGAAATTATCGTTCGCGCCGATCCCCATATTGGTTTGTTGCACCGTGGTACTGAAAAACTCATCGAATACAAGACGTACCTTCAATCGTTACCGTACTTTGATCGATTGGATTATGGTAGATTTTCAAAACCTCAAATATCTCTCGGCATGAACCAACTAATATTATGTTTTTGCAGTATCCATGATGACGAACGAGCAAGCATACTCTCTTGCAGTGGAGAAACTTCTCAACATTGACATTCCTCCTCGTGCAAAGTACATTCGTACCATGTTTGCCGAGATTACACGCATCTTGAACCATATTATGGCCGTTACTACCCACGCCTTGGATGTCGGTGCTTTGACACCCTTCTTGTGGATGTTTGAGGAGCGTGAAAAATTGATGGAGTTTTACGAACGGGTGTCAGGAGCGCGTATGCACGCTGCGTACGTGCGCCCTGGAGGTGTGGCGCTCGACATGCCCGTGGGTTTAATGGAAGATATCTTTAAGTGGGCTGAGCAGTTTAATGCTCGTATCGATGAGACTGAGGAAGCACTCTCAAATAACCGTGTCTGGAAAAATCGGTTGATTGACGTTGGCAAAGTTACTGCCAAGGAGGCTATTGATTATTCTTTCTCTGGAGTCATGCTACGTGGTTCTGGTGTTGCCTGGGATTTGCGTAAAGAACAGCCATATGATGCTTACGAGGATATGGAGTTTGATATCCCGGTGGGAACCAACGGAGATTGCTACGACCGCTACTTGTGCCGTGTGGAAGAAATGAGGCAGAGTTTGCGCATCATTGCGCAATGCCTGAACAAGATGCCTCCAGGACCCGTTAAAGTAGAGGATGCAAAGATCGCCCCTCCACCGCGCGCCACCATGAAGGAAAGTATGGAGGCTTTGATTCACCACTTCAAGCTGTACTCAGAGGGATACTCAGTACCTCCTGGAGAAACTTACACTGTTATTGAGGCACCTAAAGGTATGTGCATCAGACTTTACGCTCTATGTTCGGTCAGAATGTCTTGTGTGACATGTTTAAACTAGGCGAGTTTGGTGTATACCTTGTATCTGACGGTTCTAGTCGTCCATACCGGTGCAAGATACGTGCACCCGGTTTCCCCCATCTGGCTGGAGTAGATTTCATTGGACGAGGGCACTACCTTGCGGACGCCGTCACTATCATTGGAACTTTGGATGTCGTGTTCGGTATGTCATGTAATGCGTTTTGTAGACACAGGCTGAAGCCATCTAATGTGGCGGCCCTCTTCTCTTACAATTAGGTGAGATCGATCGGTAAAACAAGTAGTTTGGAGCTGCAATGTGGTCCCAAAATCACAGACTGCAATATGCTGGGGTGGGATGGTGCTAGGATATCACGGATGGGAGGTAGAGGGGGTGTATTGTTAATGACATGAATATGAGATACAAGACGTTGCATGAGTGTTTTATAATGAAGAAAGACCTCCTTAGTTTATATATGATGCCGTGACTCACGCGGAAGGTCAGATCCTCCCTTGGACAAAACACGAATGTTCCATCCGCTGGCGACCGCACTGGTGTCGGCATTGATATCATACCTATGCCTGTGGCGTTTCCCGTCAACTGCGCTACTCGATAATCCAGCGAACGCATTACCCACAGCCATTACCTCGCTGTTTCTCTGCCAGATCGTTCTCGCGATAGTTGGAGCCTGGGACAGCGCCACGGATCTAAAACCCGAAGGAAAGCAAAAGAACCGAAAACAGCAGGTTATAGAACCACGATGGCCTTGGATTTCATCTGTGATGTATGGGATCTGGTGGACTGTGTTCGGAACAATCACGTTCTGGCTGATCGCGGTGCTGTTTGGTGCTCCAGTTTTTGAGTAAGTTGGAGTCAGCACCTCGTTAAGGGCTAGCCGAAAGTAGTATACTGAAGATTTGTGGGTCAGGCTTGTGGAAAAAACTTGGCTTGCAGCTGCCTATCTATCAGTATTGGCTGTCTTCCCGACTGGAGCCGCCCTAAAATCGAACACTTCGGCATGGATAAGACTTATTTCCTCAACTGGCCGGTGTGTTGCTTGAACTTTTCACCGCCTTCTAGGAGATTTCATTCTCACACGGTCATAAGTCTTGAAACCGCAGTTGAAAGGATGGTGTATTATCCGTTGGTGATGTCCGTCGTAGGTGCATGGTTTGGAGGATTTGTGATACCGCTGGACTGGCAGAGGGACTGGCAGGTGAGTTGCCGTTATGCCCGTTTCAAAGACGAGAAAGCCAACACATCGGACAGAAATGGCCAGTCCCAATCGTTTGCGGGGCCTTTTTTGGAAGTTTCGCTGGCCACTCCCTGTCCGTGATCTTCAATCAGCTCGCCAGCTAACGTGGAAAGTAACGACCTGGACATGATATACGAACTAGTATGCGACATGAGAAAACAAAGCTATTTCGTAACCAGCAGTTCAATATCGAGCAAAGTATGGATGATTCGTTCAATATATGTACACTCTAGGCAGTCTTGCATTCCAACGAGCGTCCATTGCGAGGATACAGACGCGATGCATGTTTTAAAACCTTTCAGGTCAGCAGGAACGGCATTGACGTTTTGATATGACAGAAAGCATTCCCAGTGACCTAGTTATCCTCTTCTGATGGGGGCACGATAGTCCCCTTAAATACGTAAACTATTATAATATTAAGATACATTTCTTATGTCGCTGTGGTCGGCACATCAGTCAGTGAACTTTTTCAGCTGCTCTTGGCTGGCGCTGCGTTTCAGAAGGCTTGCGGTGCTGCTGCTCCTACTCAGCGGCCTGGGACTGGATATTTCGAGATTCGGTGGAGGTGTCTTTGAGATGTTACGGCTCGGTATGGATGGGCTTCCTTGTGAGCCAATATTTAGGCTGCTGGTGCTGTGCGCCTTGGTTAGAGGTGACGTGCCTCGCTTTATAAACTCATTTCGAAGGTTTTCTATACGTCTCCCCACTCTACTGGCCCTTTCGCTCCCCGTAAGATGACTCGTATCTGAATCATTGTCGCTGTCACTTTCTGAGTCGTCGCTACTATTGACGTTAACTGCGACTTGGGGTGATAGTTCACCCTCGCCTACACGTACACTTCTAACCGCCAGCAGCTCGAGGGAAACAGAGCGTTTGAACCCGGAACTGCTGGGCTGCTTAAGGCTCCGGGTGTCATTTCCAGGATGTGGACTTTCTATATCAATCGGTGATTTGGGGTACTTGAAGAACTCCTTTCCGGACGGGCTTTCGACGTCACCATGGCTATCAAAGGACGTATTTATCGTCAGCTGCCTCCATGCCTGGTCGTTTTTGGCATATACCCTCTTGTAAAAGACATAGCCGGCAGCCATGAGAATTATCGCGGAGGTTATTAGCAGTGCTCCTACTATGACCGTTCGCTTCTGGCGTCGTGCTTCTGCTACGGTGTGGGAGCACGTTCGCCCATTGGCTTGTATTTGATCGGGATCGATTAGAACGTCCTCCTCCCCACATGTTCCATGAATGGTGAGAGACCAGTCCAGCAAATCGCCGGTTGAAAAGGGAGCCCCAGTGTACGGATCTATCTCACCCATTCGAACGTCCTCAATCAACAGTTTCCAGGTGCCCAGAGCCTTTTCTCCCCAGGAATGAACAGTCATAAAAGTCCATGGATTGTACCCCTGATCGGAATCATCTTTGAAGCGAGGAGCAGCCAGGATGCTCTCGGTGAGCTGCGGGCTCACCAGCTTGATTGTCAGGAATTTTCTGTCAGGATGTCTGATGCGAACGGTCACTTGCACATGCTCTATGGCTGCCATCCCTGCAACGTCCTGCGCGAGCACATCAATCGTATCCGTCTCCTGAGTCCCGGCGAGGAGTCGTATGTGCTTGTAGCTGTGTTTGGTAAGTGTTATTGCCGGAGATGGAAGAAGCGTATGTTTTTCGGCGGCCTCCACCAGCAGAGTTGCATCCATTACTCCAAAGCCATATTTATGACTGACATGACGCCCTGCTCCGTTAGTGTGCCAGTCAGCATCCGTCGGGTCATTCTTCTTGGCAGTTGTCACAATGAGATGCTGGATATCACGCCAGCCAAGGTCGGGCCTGTGTGATGTCGTTAGACGCCAAATGTCTGCAAAGTGCATGACAGTATCAAAAATACCTCACGGAGAGCATTAATGCAATCATCCCGGAGGCCAGAGGAGCCGCCGCGGATGTTCCAGAATGACTGGCAGTGCATTGTTTAACATCAGTCGTGACCTAGTAGCGATGCATAGTGTCAATCAATATACAGTCCCTTTTTGACGTCCCTTCTAAAAAGGCTGCAAGGGGGCGTACTCCCATACTTACAATACCCAGTCCATTCCCCCCACTGTATGAAACAGCCAAATGGGCACTGCAAAGTTCGCCGTAGAACGGCATTGTTCCCTTATTTGTCACGGCTCCGATGGCTACTGTTTCGATAGCATTTGCGTAGCTATCAAAGTTGCAATTGTCACCTTCGAGGCCACCATTTCCGGAAGCAAAAACATATATGTTGCCGAAGCCTCGTCGGCCCTTGCGGACTCCCGCTGCCAGTGCTGCTTGTGCTAGATATCCTGGCCCATCCAACGCCATCCCATCGTCGTTAGGTCCCCATGAGGAAGAATAAATGTCAATGATCTGAAATTGGTGATTGAGTGCTTGAGCTTCAACGGCATCGGTGGTTGTGTTTGCGATTAAGCGCTCCCCTGTGTCAACCTTTCGATGAACAACTGCTTGAGGAGCTGATGTCCTTTCTTTACGAGCAATATCTCACCTGCTAAAGTTGCTCCATATGCGACGCCAACTCCACACACATTGTTGGCCACAGCCGCAATCTCGCCAGCACACCGCGTGCCATGGACGTCTTCTGGTGCCTGGGGAAGAGGAGTATTTGTACGTTCATTGAAATCGTAGCTGACCGCTTCGTTCTGAATAGTGAGCAGAACATTACAAACACAAGTCACTTTGGGGCACCAGTAAATCGCAAGACGAACCCAGTTCTCTGCCAAGTCTGGGTGCATATACTGTACGCCATCATCAATAACAGATACCGTCACACCACTTCCGTTGATTCCTCGAACCCATACCTACAATAGAAGGTGCTGACGTTGAGCGAGACCATGAGTATTGATGTGATACTAACTCATGAAACCCACCGGCATGACATTAATGTCGTTGTTTTGATACACGCCGTTTACACCATCATTATACTACTCCAAGTAGATACAGGTAAGCTCAATTGACCGCAAACATTTTCCGGGCATTTTCAAGATGTCTTACCAAATGCCACTGCTCAGGGAAGCGGGGGTCCTTGAACTTTTGAAAATCCAATTCTCGTTTGTATCGCTTTTTTGGCGTTTGCATCTCAAACCACTTTACATGCTCTGATTCAATCAGTAGTCCATGCACCTCGTCTGGCATTCTCTTTTGTAGCTTTCCCTTCCCACACTGATCATGTTCTTTTTCCGTTGACGTGCAAATGTCCACTTCAAACAGGTAATATCCATCCAACAGCCCCACTTGTCCCAGAAATGTAAACTCATGCTCTGCGGCATAGGCCTCGGCCTCAGCCAGCGTAAATGGCCGGTAAGTCACAGGATCATGAAGTTGGACTGCCCATTGCTGACGCTCTGGTTTGTTGTTTTGCTCAGCATCAGCGGGTTGAAGGAGCAATATGACAAGTAGAGCAGCTGTGAGCGCAACTATCAGGGTTCTTGGGACTTGAGTAGGCATTTCATGCCTTCCGATATCGGTGCAGCTATGCTAAAACTCTGACCCAACCTTCGCTGTTCGATGGGATACCCTCGTCAATAATCAAAACAAAAGCTGGACGGAAGACGCTTACCGAAGGAGGCACGTGACAGACGCGGGTAGTCACAACAGCCAAAAGGCCTTTCCGTTGATCTTTTTCGCCCAATTTTCTCGAGAGGGACGGCGAGATGGATGTGGTTACATTAGTTATCATCTATGTAACCCTCTTCGCTTGTTTGGTCTTTATTCTCTTGTTTGGGGAAGCGAGTTTCTTTCGGGATGGGTTCATTGGAAGGATGCACCGGGGTTTAACGGACTCTTTTCCCCACTATTTGCAGTAGGCACCTTTGGCCGCAATTGGGCTAGTCATCACTCGATATGTTTTTTTTTAATTTTATCATGGTAGCAAAACCCTTCTGATGATATGTGGTCAACGTGTAGTTAGAAAGTTGGATTCTGGCTCCAAATATCTCCTCGAGAGCCGTCACCCCTTATTGCAAGTACGTAAAAGCCTTGTTTGTTGCCAACGGACCGAGAATTGAATGAGTCGTTAGATATTTTATCTTAGCCTTATTACTGGATGCATATTCATATTCTGGCAAAACGCCTGGCCCGCAATACCAAATAGCCACGTAGGCAAAATTCATGTGTATGTGGAAAAAGTTGAAGAATGCACCCGCCAGATTGATCACCGCTCATGCTGTACTGTTCTAATAGGTATACGGTTCCCTTAATGATTGCTAGTGTTTATGGAAGTTTTATTTTGGCAAGCTGGAGTAACCCGGGCGTCCTCACCCGGGAAAATAATGATCGAGCACTTAGTATATGGGAATATGATCACATCATATTTACCCCAAAAATGTGCCGAACATGTCAGTTCCAAAAGTATGGACATCTCCTATCTGGTTCAGGCACTTTCTCTTCAGCAGCCGCTTACTCTTCTTCTACCTCAGACCCGCTCGATCGAAACATTGCTCTATATGTAAAGCATGTATTGCGAAGAGTGAGTGAGTATATCATACATTGATCAGCTTTCCTTCAAATCAGAGCCAGTGGGTAACATTAATCTGGTTTCAATTGCAGCCACCACTGTGCCTGGAGTGAGTTTGAGAAAATAAGCTTGAGCGATGGTTATGATTCTCACGGGAATCCCCTTCTAGTCAATAATTGCGTCGGTCACCTCAATTACCGATGGTTCTTGCTATTCCTTTTCACGACCTGCGGGATAGCATTCTATGGATCTTACTTGGTCTTGCAGATTTTCCGTGCGGAAATGGACAAGCGACAGATCCACGATCTGTGGGTCATGGATCGCATCACTCAGGAACGTAGCCGGATCTCGTTTAAACAAAAGTGGCTTGTAAGCGTCTGTCTCGCAAAATACTTGATTCTGCCAATTGACATGGTGGCTGGTTGCTTAGTATATGATCCACCATGAAATGATGCTGGCAGCCTTGGGGATATTTGCCGCATTAGGTGGCATCGTCGTTCTTGCGTTCATCTGTTATCAACTTTCCCTCGTCTTTCGCGGAGTGACCAGTACGTACAGAGACAAATCATGTAGTTTGACTCGCTCTTACCGTTACCTTGATATAGCCAATGAGTCGTTCAAGTGGGATGATATAGATTACGACATACGTAAAGGGCAATTGCGAATGCCGCGAGAACTATACGATTTCAACCATGGGAGGCACGAGGAAGACCAAAGCACTACTCGCGCCAAAGGGAACACAACGGCGACACGGCGGAAAGGGCGAAAGGGCAACGAGAAAAGCCACGATCAGGAACGCGACGACTATGTATCTATCAAGTCCATTGCACAAATCAAAAACATCTACCATGGCGGCCCATGGGCAAATCTGATGGACATATTGTTTCCATCTCCCTTAAACGTGTAACGAGTGGATATGACAGTATTCTCCTGCCGTTCATTATGCCTGGTGGGCACAATTGTGTTTTGTCAATCAGCGTTCTCCATATATTACAAATCCTCTACTGTGGTTCCCCTTGTTGTGTGCTGTGAATATGATACATATTCCATTTTACCCTTGTCCCTTTGGTTGGAGTTGCATGCGACCGTCCTCAAGCTGTTCTATGGGTATTTTTGTTTTTGATCCGTCTGTTCGCTGGACGAGCAGCTCTGATGATGTGAATCCAATGATTTTTACAGAATATTTCGAGCCACTGTCGTAGAGATAGGCCTTATCATTTCTTCGAAAAGTAGTGCCTTGGTATCGCAGCAGTTCTAGTTCTGAGCGAACTTCGTATGATGGTGACGTGTCATTCGCTCTTTTCATTGCTTCCGTTATGCTGTCAGATGGAGGTGCTGATGTGCTAATGTCGGGAGTTGCTTTGCCGTTGTGAATCCCGTGCTTTTTACTGCGTCCCGCAGCTGTCCTAATAATCTTAGAGATATGGTACTGGCGGGTGATTGATACAACAAGATGTTTTCTTACCTCCACTATGCGATCTAGCGGTTTGAATCTGAGGGGATGCAAATATGAGCATATGCATCGCGCATCTTGCAGCAGCGATGAGATGAATCGGCGACCTTACCCCTATTGATTCTAGGTCTTCATTTATTTCATTTTTTGAAAGACCTGATATTGTCGCAGCTGGAAAACCACCGCTGGCTATAATCGCTCTCCATTCGCTCAACTCTGCTTTGAGCGCCTTTCGTCGCTTTACGCACGCTGCCCTGTCAGGAACTGTAGACGACGGGTGCCCTGATGAGAAACCGTTTTAGTCCTTCCCGAGTGTATCTGGGACCTCGGGGCACTGCACGTACCTGAATCTGACGACTCCAGCTTGCGCTTTTCATCGTACATCTTCCATCGCTTATGCTCAATCTCTGCTATCATTTGTCTTCTAAGTTCCCCTCTCTTACACTGCAAAACTCAGGTCATGAGAAATGGCAATTGAAGATTAGTTTATACGGCAACCACGGGAGATACCCACAATAAAATCGGTTCTCGCTTGCGAAACAGCAGCTTCGAATTGCCTTTGGAAACTTATTCGCTCCAATCGAAGCCGCGCCTCCGCTGCATTCAACCTATCCACCCTCTTTTGCTCGATGTGTCGCATTTGACTTACTAAGACCGGGTGGGTGCCTGATGTAGATAATAACACAGGTTATGTATTGAACGTTGCAGCAAGGCCATGGTTATGCTACCATTTCGTATTGCGGCGTCCTCTCGCTCCAGTTCCGCGATTTTCTCCTGATACATTCTGCAAATCAAAAGATATCACAATTGTCAGTTGACCGATGGTTGGGTCGCAATGAGAAGACCCAACACAGGTATATGGTCAATCTTACTTTTCTCGAAATCTTGCAAATTCGTGTTCAATATCTGTCAGCGCCTTCAGCGCCTCTTTTCGGAAGACCTCGTGTTCATCATCTAAGCCAATTGAACAGCATTCAATCGTATCGATACGTGCAAAACCAAAAGTATCCAGAAGCGCCATACCTTCAGGTCCTATTTCCGTAGATCGTGAGTTTCCTGGCTTACTTCGATCTTGCTTAATACGTTTACTGGACTTTGCGGCTGTCTCTAGCTCGACGAGTGACGGTGATGGTGATTGCGGGGGTGGTGAGTGGATCGGCATTGTTGGCTGCTGTTCTCTTCGATCCGGAGTGTGTGGTGAGCCTTCTTGCTTCTGAGTTTGAGGGAGTGAGTTGCCAGTCAGAAGATCCTCGTCGTTCTCGTCGTCATCCTCGTCGTCGGAGAGCTCTCCCGCCTCTTCTTTCAGTCGGGCCAACTCGGCATCAGAATCTGTTGCATCTTGGTTCCCGTCCATTGTCGTCACGAGTTCCGACTCGCTGCCGGTCACGACGTCCGCCATTCTTGTCCCAGGTGGTCTGTCAATGAGCGGGCGTGCACGCCGGAATACCTTCGGCAATGGGCCCTACACAGGTAATTTGATACGGTACGCTGCAAGGAGCTTGTATCAATACTCCTGGTATAAGAAGGCAGCAGGAAATGGGTTTGTACAGCCACACTGGCGGGCAGAATGCGAGCGAGCGTGACAAATTCTGAAGTTTTAGCAACTCCGCACTCCGCGCAACAAGTTTGCAGAAGGTATCCGCAGCAGCCCAAAAAGCTTTTCGTAGATATGCGTTGAGAAAACAAGCGGAATGCAGAGTAGAAAAAGGTGAACTGATCTCTTGAAAGTCGGTCGCGAGTTTTCGTTGAGCTTTTTGTTTGAAAGCCCAACTCTGGAGTTGGTTCGAAAGGCCTTTCAACGCTGAATCAAACCCGTGACTCAGTGCTAAATGAAGTTGCTCGCCTCTCAACGAGATCACCACAGGAAAGCGTAGATTCCCTCTAGCCAGATTGCACGTTTCAAGCCTTTGACACAAATGCCACTGCCACGGCAACTGCTGCTGCGCTCCGTGGCTGGAGGCCGGCCATTGCATCTGAACAGATGGCCCACAAGAGCAGGAATGGCGACACTCACCGAAGGTTTGCAGGTTTGCAGTTTTACATGCTAGTTCTGCTTTGGCGAGCCTAATGTGCAATGCTTTCGGTGTAGTGTCGGAAAAGTATCAGCCAGGTCACGTCGTTCATGGATTCAAAGTTCAAAACGTTCGCAAAGTGCCCGAGTTTGACTTGACCGCCATTCAACTCAAGCATGAAAAGACGGGGGCTGGCTATTTGCATGTTTTTAAGGACGATTCGAACAATGTATTCAACGTTGGATTTCACACTCCTGTGAATGATAGCACGGGAGTGCCGCATATTCTGGAGCATACAACCCTCTGCGGTAGCAAGCGCTTCCCCGTCCGTGACCCATTTTTCAAAATGCTGAACCGGAGTATGGCAACGTTCATGAATGCTTTGACGGGGAACGACTATACCATGTATCCCTTTTCTACCGAGAACCCTGTAGATTTTCGCAACCTCATGGATGTATATATGGATTCCACCTTTGCGCCACTGTTGAGAGAGCTAGACTTTAAACAAGAAGGGTGGCGGCTGGAACATGAAGATCCTAAAGATCCTTCCACTCCCATCATATTTAAGGGAGTCGTATACAACGAGATGAAGGGAGTTCTTTCGGACGTAGGAAGCCTATTCGCGATCCGGGCTCAGCAACACTTCTATCCTGGAACAACATATAGTCATGTGAGCGGCGGAGATCCAATGGCTATCACGGATCTAACTCATTCACAGTTGGTCGAATTCCATAAAACGCACTATCATCCGAGTAATGCACGGTTTTTTACCTACGGCACATTCCCGTTAGAAGAACATTTGAAAGCTATTGACGACCGGATCGCGCGATTTGCACCGATCCCGCCACCTCAGGATCCGGAAATGAAATCGTTTGCAGAACCCAAACGCATTCGTGTGACTTGTCCTCCAGACCCAATGGGTGAGCCGGACAAACAAACCAAAATGGCAGTAGCCTTTCTGTCGAACAAGGACACAGACGTCTTTGAGTCGTTTGCGATGAGGGTCCTGACATCGCTTCTTATGGACGGTGCCGCGTCTCCTATGTTTAAGGCACTGATAGAACCGAATATAGGGTCGGACTACTCTGTAACCACTGGATACAACCAGCATACAAAAATGACGAATGTGTCATTTGGGCTGCAGGGGATCAGGTCTGAGGATGTGGACATGGTCGAGGGGAAAATTATGGACGTCCTTAGAGATGCTGCTCGTACGGGTTTCGATCCAGAAAGGGTGGAGAGCATTATTCATCAGACGGAGCTTGGCCTCAAGCATCGGAATGCGAACTTCGGAATGATGGTGGGACAACAAGTTATGAGCCACTGGGTGCATGGGGGTGATCCATTGGAATTTTTGGAGGTCGCAAAGCACATCCAGCAGCTCCGCGCTTCTCTTGCAAAACCCAAATTTTTCGAATCGATGATTGAAAAATATTTTTTGAACAATCAACATCGCATGGTATTCATAATGGAACCTGATGAGAGATTCAGCGAGGAACTGGCGGAGACAGAACGGAAAAAATTGGACAAAATGGTCAATAATTTGAGTCCAACAGAAAAGCAAAAGATCTTGGAAGATGGCGTCAAGTTGACGCGGAGCCAGGAGGCGACCGAGGGTGAGTATCAGCATTCCGTCGTCAATTTTTTATCCGCAGTTTCTCATTTACCATATACTATCTGTGCACAGATGTGTCATCTCTACCTACCCTAACAATTGCTGATATTGCACAGGAAGGAAAGCAGTATCCCGTGGTAGACGCACCTGTCGGATCCAGCGCGTTCCCGGTGCAATGGCGAACGACAGCCACAAACGGTGTGTCATATGTATCAATCGTAAAAGCCATTGAAAAACTTCCTCAGGAACTCAAAGAGTATCTGCCACTCTTCTCCAGCGTGAGTAATGCCATGATAGCAGTGTAGGATAGATGAACTCGTCTGCTAATCTTTGACGTATCCCACTGTGGATTAGTCCCTTCCGTCCATTGGGACACAAAGAAAATCTCTTCCGGTTCTCGATGAAGCCGTTCGTATGTTTACGGGGGGAATCTCAGCGGCAGTCTCCATCAGAACCGATCCTGCCTCCCTGTCCGAGGCTCGCGCCTCTCTAACCCTTTCCTCCTCGTGCCTTGATAAAAACATTTCTCCTATGTATGAGTTGATGTCGGAAATCGCTTCTGAGGCTGCCTGGGAGGACTTGGAACGGCTGCGTACAGTGGTTCTAACAGCAGCGAGCGACGCCAGCCAGGGTGTCGTACAAAGCGGGCATCGTTATGCAATGTTGGCGGCTGGTGCAGAAGTCACCAAGGCAATGAACCAGTCAGAAGTTTTGGGGGGTTTGACTCAAGTAGGATTTTTGGGACGGCTTGCGAGGAATGGCGTAGATAGCATTCAGCAAATATCTGAAAAATTGCAGGTAGATATGCGAGGGTGTCCACCGCAACCGGATTGTCGCGTCCTAACTGAATAATTTGTTGTTTAGGAAATTGCCAACTTCATTGCTAAAGAACAGACATCCTCGAAGGGAGCTGTTATTACAGTGGACAGCGCTCGGGACGCTCATCAGCAAGGCATAAGTCGTCTTGTGGATACGTTGGGTTGGCAGGGAACTCGTGCAAATCGTTCTGGGACATCTGAAGAGTATGTGCCGACTTATGGACGTACATTTGTACCTCTCCCTGTGGCGGTCAACTTCAGCGCCAAAAGCTACTTGGGAGTACCATACACGCATCCCGATTCGGCAGCCTTGCAGGTGCACACCAATCTAGTTCCTAAATGTGGCTAAAATGCCAAATGCTGACTGCATCGTTCTCAAAAGGTACTCGCTTCGCTTATGACGCACCGCTTCCTTCACCGTGAAATCCGCGAAAAAGGTGGCGCATACGGTGGAGGGGCTTCATACTCGAACCTTGATGGCACCCTTTCATTCTGGTCCTACCGGGATCCCGCGGGTGGCTTGGAGAGAACTCTTCAGGCTTATGATAGAGCCGTGGAATGGGCGCTGGATATCAACCGGCATCTAGGCCAGCAAGAGCTGGACGAGGCCAAGCTCTCGATATTTCAGAATGTTGATGCTCCTATCAGTGCTGCTGGAGAGGTAATGCGCGGGTTCAACCGAGCATAATATCTAGTTGATTTCTAAATCGTATGTTCTCGTGTTCAGGGCATGCTTCGCTTCCGAACCGGCATTACATTTGAGATGCAACAGGCGTAAGCTACAACCTCTTTTCTGGTGTACTTATGACAAAACTGATATGTGATATCCATCCATAGACGACGGGAGCGCCTCTTTGCTGTTACGTTGTCCGATGTGAAAGATGCTGCAGCTAAATACCTTGCTCAACGCCCTAGTGCTGTTGCAGTGCTGGGTGGCGAAGAGGAGGGCAACCGGCTAATTCAAAACTCGCAGAAGGAATGGAAGGTTGTCAACTTTGCGGCGTAGAGATAGACTTGAAATAATCGCTGGGTGCAATTCTGGCTATATAGTACCTATCTAGCATCCTTATTGCAGCGTAGTATCTATTTATTCCACATATTGTAACATATCTACAATTCTTAACCCAATGAATCTGTCACCAATTTGACGTATGGATGTGCTTGATCGAGTCCCCGCAAAACTTTATTCGCTTTCCCCGCTTCTCCACTTCGGAAGTACATTAGGGCTTGCAAGCACCTTCCAGCTAGTGAGGTAGCATTGAGCTTCAGGGCTTCATTTATTGCTTCATTTGCCAGGGGAATATTGGCTATTGTGAGGGCAAGTTTTGTCAATCGCAATAGTGACGAGAACCTCAGTCGCAGGTAAGACGATGGTTTCATTAGCAGACTTTGACGATAACAGAGTTCTGAGGCTGGATGTAAAAGCAGTGATTGGTAGAGCTGAGCCAAATCCTAACAGAAGACAATTGTTACCGAAATTGTCATGTTCAGGATACTGTGACTTGAGTACTTACCTCCAGAGCCGAACCCAAGCCTGTAATAGCGGCCTTCTTGTATGATAAAGTCGCCCCTACCGCATCTGCCGTGGCCTGCAATCCCCTGCCAATCACGGCATAAGCGTACCCTTGAAGACGCGGATGACCTTGCTCTACTACATTTGAAGCTAACTGCGTCCCTATTCGCAAGTCGTCCATGGTGTGGCCATCAGCTTCCCCTCTGGCAATCCCTGATTCCGCCACCACTAACGTAGACCACGCTATGGCGGAAGACAAATGGCTTCTTCTATGGGCATGATTGACAGAACCGGATAGTAAATTACCCTGTTGTTCGAATGTTGCCACGCTCGCTGCTTGCTCTGCTATTCTTTGAACGGTCTTACACCTCGTGCGGAATCGCAAAACGGACTCTGAGGGATTGTTCTCAGAGACGCTCACATCTACTGCGGCATCTGCACGTATTTGCAATGCAAGCGCTATCCACGCCACTGCATTTCCAGGCGATATTCGAATGGCCCTCTGTAACGCTCTCTGCCTTTTCCGGGATTGCGTAGTCAAAGAAGTTCCAGAACCAGCTTCGCCCGCTGCCAGCGATGTCAATCCAAGTGTCATGTTGACCGACGAGCGAGCTGCCGAAGTCGGGGCGGCTGGAAGGACGACTGCCGCATCGGCGGTCTTTAAAGTCGAGGTATCGCCCGGTGCATGACTGCAAACATAAGGATTCATAATCTTAGCATACGGTTCACGGGTTTCACCCATTGAAACATACCGGTATAGAAACTCAGCTAGCGTTCGCCACCGTTCGGCTTTCCACGGATATCGATGTACCGCTTTACTGAGGAAGCCTTTGCTTGCTTTCAGATTACCCTGTTTCAGAGAAAATTTCTTTAGCACTTTTGGGTACTTTACGCGCACGATGTACACAGGTATTACCTGAAGCATAAACAGGCGACTCAACACGTCGTCGGCGTCGACGTCCAATTCCCCAAGCCCATCTGGTGGGATCTTGATAATCTCGGCCGCAGCGCTTTGCGCTAGAGCGAAGTCTTGCCGAATCAACCCAAATGCACAGAGTCCAATCAGGGCCTTCATGTTACGAGGGTCTCGAGCGACACTGAGTAACAATTGGTCAATCGACATCAAACCCTCCAGGACGCAATTGATATACTTACCAGGATAGAAGTTGCTGCTTGGCCAGTTCCTGGTGCTGCTCGCTACCCAGTGCGTAGAGGACTTGGCTCAGAATCAGCGTTACATCGTTCGGCAAGGTTGTCGTCCCATCCTCGCCGGTTGCGTCAGCCGCAATTTGGAACGCCTTCTCAAACGATTCCAGGCTTGCCGGTAGTCGTTCTTCAAAGGACAGCGCCAAGCCGTTTCCAATCTGCGTATAGACGTCACCAACAGCTGTATTCAATACTTCGCTGTAGGCAGCTGTCGAATCGGAAAAGCGCCCCATTGAACATAACACACGAGCCCGATTTTCCGTGATGAGCCGTAGGGATGTCTTGCGTTCGTCAGCTGGCAGACGCGCTATGTTTGAGCTTTGAAGCGCCCGCATAGCGTCATCAAAGGCATCGAGGGCCTTGGAGTAAATGCCTTGTCTCTCTAGCACCAGTCCAAGGAGGTTAAGTGGACCCCAGTCATCGGGTCGCTGTTGCGTGATCTTGAGCAGACAAAGCGTGGCTGTACTGTATGATGCGGAATCCCGACGGCGATGCCTTGTGGCATGGCGATATATATAGTTTGCGTATATGTAGTTGACCTCTAACTTTTAAGAGGCTTGCCTGAGTGTTGTGTGCATTCATTCGTCACTCGTAATGCCCTACTCACCACAGCAGTGCCACCTAACTCGTAAGCCTGCTCGAAGAACTCAAGCGCATCCTTGCCGGCGCGTTCCGCAATGATTGCTAGTCCAAACCAGCCCATAGGCCATTCCGGGTCTGCAAATTGAACCCTGGAGAACGCCTGTCGTGCCAGGTCAAGGTCTTCTTGAAGCAAATACAATAAGCCAAGATTGGCCCATGACGCAGGATTCTAGACCAAAATCATTTAGCAGAAGTCGTAGCAAACGACGTCATCTTCCATAGCTACCGGTTCATACCTCGGCGTTGCTCTCAAGAGCTTTTATCAATGCATGTTGACTAACACGTGCATCCTCCAAAAGTGTGTACACTCCTAATGCATTCCAGTAGGCATCATTCAAGGGGTGCTTCTTAATTGCTTTCTTCTCACATGCGACTGCATAGGAAGAAAACCTCTCTCGTCGGGCTCCTTCGGGATCTTTCGCAAACAGCTCATGGTGGCGATAGAAATATGTCAAAGCCAGGTCATGCCAGTACCCTGCGCTAAGGTCAAGAGCTTCCTTGGAGCCTTTCCGTGCGCAAAGTTGGATAGCCAGTTTATACGCTGCGGTGGCGCAGCGCAAGAGGAGATCTACGCCTTCCGTACTATCCCCGTCTGCGACATTGCTTTGTCCAGACGCAGAAAGGCTCGCTTCCAGGTAGTCAATCGCGTCTCGTACAACCTGAACGGAAGCCTTCTTTGCATATGCTGGAATGAGTAACTTGTACGCTAGACTCGTGTCGCCAAGTATTTTGGCAAGCGAATGCAGCTGCGTTGTTTTCATTGCATTCAATGTTGTTTCGAGAGCCTCGCCCAATAGCTGTGCACACAGTCCATGAGCGCCACCCTCAAAGCTTTGCCGCGCCTCCAGAAGCAGACTTTCACAGAGTCCCTTGAGGGTAGGGATATGTGCTCTCATGCTTTCACGGTTGGTAGCAGCAATCAAGTCTAGACTTTGACGGTAGGCTTGCACAGCTTCACCGTACAGCCCAAGCTGTTGTTTCAGTGCAGCCACTTGGTAATTCAAGCTGACCGAACCTGCTTCTAATTCGAGGCCTCGACCGAACGCCTTCAATGCAGCCATGTACTTTCCATCCGTCATATAGGCCTCTCCCAAACCCTCCCAGCAGTGCGTATCCTTAGAGTTGATTCGAAGGGCAGTCTGAAAGTGCCCCATTGCCTCAATGTGCTCCTTATTTGCCTGCCATCGAGAAAGGGTCAATTTGAGGCCGACTGTACAGGCTACGTCAATTCTGCACATACCAAGGCAATAAAACCGAGCTGTTTGTAGGCCCACGCGGCACGCTGTGCTTTCGACACAAATGCGTTTAGAACGCCCTTGGCGGAAGTTGACTGCCCATCTTCAAGAAGCATTCGGCTTAATGCTTTGGCCGCTTGTTCATTGCCTGCATCCAATGCAACTGCTCGCGTATAACACCGCACTGCGCGAACGCGATCTTGCTCAATTTCGGCATAGAACTGACCAAGACATGCAAAAGCCGGGGCATAGTTTGGGTCACGCTTGGCAGCACCCAGCCAATTTGCATGTGCAAACTGCTTATCAGTGCGATACACATCTTTGATTTGCATGATAGTAAGTGCCGTGGGTCAAGCCATTTAGCTTCAGCGCTACACACTCACCGCCCATTGCCCAATAAACTTTACCCAGCCAACACAGATGCACAGCATCCTCTCGTTTGCCAATGGCCTCACGAAGAAGGCGTAAAGCTTCAATATAGTTTCCCTTTTGGTAGTATATCCATCCCAGTTCCGCCTTGGCAGTGTCATTTTCGTTATCCAGTTGCAGTACTTTCTCGAAGCATCGTTGTGCCTCGTCAAATTTTTGCATTGCACTAAGAGTCATCCCCAAGCCCTTTTCTCATAGTCAGCACTCTGTGCAAACGAAAAGGAGGCTTCCGCTTTGAATGGTTACCTGTAGTCCCATTATGTTATTGGAACTTCGTTGCAGAATGCCCTTGTAAAGCTTCAAAGCATTCGGTAAAGTTTTACTCCCCAGCAGTAGATACGCGCGAGCTAACGACAATTCTAGTGACACAGCAACGCTAATAGTAACCGTGAGACATATACGTTGGGATCAGTAACTGTAAAGATTCTGCGACCTTACTTTGTAAGATTCTGCGTGGTCCGCTCCGTGATTTGTGTATAGAGTTCTTGAGCTTTGTTCAGACATTCCACCGCAGCGTCGTAATCACGACGATCCACGTACACCTCCCCGAGTACTCGATAGCCGAAAAAAGAGGATGGGTTCTCCTGCAGCCCTTGCTACACGACGGTGTTAGAGAAGATTGTCACACCATTTGCATGTCAATTGTTTGACACTCACTAGAAGATCATTTAGAGGATCGACATTATCCGTTGACGCTCGCCACGCTAAATAGCCACTCGCCAATCGTACAAGATAGGAATCGCCGAGCTCATTTCGAATCAAGTTAAAGAATCCCACGTCATAGTCGGCTACAAATTCACTCGCTCATGAGTTTGAGTCATATGCAAAAGGGGTTCCAAACCTTTAACTTACCTACGGCAACATCCTGGCTGTCGATAATAGTCTCGAATGAAAGAGGGGCTCGAGATCCTTGGTCGATTATGGCGCGGGCAAGGGAGAGCATTTTGGCATGCAACTAGAGCGCTGTTAGAAATTTAACTGTGCGGGCATTTGTTTCGAGCGATTACCTTGCCCTTCTCTTCTGATGCCACATATGGAAGCTTTTTGGACATAAACTCGACAAATCTCTGTCCTATTTCCAAATAAACCTGGTTTTCCTCAGTGTGCTGCTTCGCAATATCGAGGAGTATATCATAGATCTCTTCGAGCTGCAGTGCATTGGAGAGTAGGCGCTTAGGAACTATGGCCAGTGTGCCGACTAGGCTAAAATGTGAATATTGAAACTACCTGCGATGTAATGATGACCTCCTTGTCCACATTCTCCCTGATGACTTCTAAGCTATCCGCACCTAATCGGCGTCGTCGCGTTTCCACTTCCTTACTTCGCAATTCGGTATCATGCTGCTCCTGCAGATCTGCAATGCGCTGCCATAGTACTAACGGGGAGGGAAGGTCAAGGTTCGCGCAGAGATCGTTGTATTCTGTTCCCGGAGCAAGGCTTTTCAGCACGGCAATAGCCTGAAACAGCATTTGCTCAGTTGCGGCATTATGCAGCTCCTCCACTAATTGTTATATCTTCCTACCTTCAATCTCTGATTCGTACGCTCGAAAAGGTCGATGAGCTTATTTGTTGTTTCAAGACATTTCTGTCCTTCTTTACTATCAAGAGAAAGCTTTTGAATAAGCCAGGACAGAGCGCATGATGCAAACGCATTAGACGCACCTCTCCAAATACAATCTTCTCAACGCATCCAACGCCTCTGCTAGCCGCGAATTATTATCCGTCTCACCATAAAGGTTGACAAGTCCCTGCCGACATTTGGGAACATGAGCATGGCAATTATCGCCATAAGCCAAAATACATTATCTCCAAACCTGCCAAGCAAGAGGATTTGAAGGAGCAAGCTTTGCTGCCTTCTGATATGCTCTTTCGCTTTCAGCAACGTTTCTCAAGTTTTGTTCAGCGAGCCCCAAGAAGACGAGAGCATTGTAATTTGTCTCGTCCTCGTCCAAGATCTGGACGCAATATTCCTTCGCGGCCTCGTAGTTCTTGCCTTGTAACTCTTCTCGGGCGCTTTTCAAGAGCTTTTTGAGTCCACTCATTAGGTTGCCTGGCTTCAAGATGGAGAGGCCCTTCAGTCCTCCAATGTCGGAGAGCTCACAAACTGCCAATCTGCTGAATGAGTCATTCTGCTGTGCCACATTGGCCATCCCATTTTCTTGGAACGCGTTGATGGCATTTCAGTTTGTTAACTCCCAGCCAAACCCATGTTTCCTACAAGAGTGCATTGTGCGCAAGACATGGAACGTGCAGGAGAAGAGTAACTTCAGGAGCAGCAAAAGGCGTGGATCTCGCAGTGTTGTGCGGCGTATCCCAGCGACGAGCTCCAACATCTCAATAGACATTGGCTTTTGACGTAAACAAAACTTGAAGAAGCTTGCTGTGCCGCTGGTTGGCATGGCATTCACATGATCTTGTCTGATTGGTTGGAATTGAAAAAAGAAATGGGCGATGAAAAGCAGCAGCAGCCCCAGAATTAGTTGGACCTTCCTCTTCTTCGCATCTCTTCTCCAATCTCGGTAGAACGAGCCGAACTAATCTTGTCCCTCTTGTCAAGTCACAGACACAGCAGTACGTATTTAGAGTGGAGAGGATGGCCTTGTACAGGAGGAAAGAGACTCATGTCCTTATCGCGTTTTTGTTTTGCAGTTCAAAATGGGTCGTATGCACGCTCCTGGAAAGGGTATTGCCTCCTCGGCTCTCCCCTACCGCCGTACTCCCCCTTCATGGCTCAAGACCACCCCTGAGGAAGTCATTGAGATGATTGGCAAGTTTGCCAAGAAGGGTCTCACTCCCTCCCAGATTGGTGTGATCCTCAGGTTCGTAAGATCCTCATTGACCATTTTCCGGCCTTCCCACTGACAGAGTTGTACTCTTGTATTATAATACAGGGATCAGCACGGTATTGCTCAGGTCAAGAATGTGACCGGTAACAAGATTCTCCGTATTCTCAAGTCCAACGGTCTCGCCCCTGAGATCCCCGAAGATCTTTACCACTTGATCAAGAAGGCTGTTGCTGTCCGCAAGCACCTTGAGCGCAACAGGAAGGACGCTGACTCCAAGTTCCGTCTTATCTTGATCGAGTCCCGTATTCACCGTCTTGCTCGTTACTACAAGAAGTCTGGCCAGCTTGCCCCCAACTGGAAGTAGTACGTATCTGATATCTGTTTTGTCAATTCCAACATGGTCACCACCAGATGGTGTCACATGCCGGGACATTATGCGGGTTTTACAATGTTCCAATTGCAACCCGTGAGGGGGATCAATTGTTGTGTTGTATTGCTCCTTAATCGTCGTCTTCAAAATGCTTACCGATTCTTCCTTGCCAATCTGTAGCGAGTCCTCCACCGCGTCTGCTCTCGTTGCGTAAGCTTTCGTGTCGATGTTTCACAAGAGTTGGTCTATTGCTGCGGCTGCGGAACTCGTTGTTCCTGCAAGGATCATTGGATCCCTGTGGCAAATGTGTGGTCGTTCTTTTGTTAGTCCTTTAATAGACGATCATATTTCGGCTCGAACTGGCATCTTTTTGATTTTTCCTGTTGCATCTCGTGTGTGCCATAAGCTACTGTGCTGCACGGACGCTGCCATCATTTGATTTGATCTGCATGCTTGTTTCCATCAGTGTCCATTTTGGAACCCAGCCGTCGCGTTTCTCTAATGTTCGGAGCGCGAACAGCCTCGCTGTGACTGTGCCACCGATTTGTATCTTGTGTGACCATTGATGATCTCAAAAAAATCGATATCAAGGCGACACACTTGTGCTTTTGACATTACCGTTTGGCGAGCAGATTGGCCTAAAGGCGTGATACCAGACAAAGGGCCTTTGAGAACGCTCTACGTTTGATACCCATTGGAACTCCCACACTGGCGCAGTCGCAGATCATGGCGAAACCTGCGCTCCCGATAGTTGTTCAAAAGTATGGGGGAACCAGCGTCGGAAGTGCCGAGCGCATGCTGGAAGTGGCGGAGATTGTAAAGTATGTGCGGATCCCTACTTTCCCTACTTTCCCTACTCCTGGTTTCTCTGTGGTATTGATGATGCGTTGTCTCAAACACTTTTGCGTGCAGGTCCAACCTCAAATCAAACCGTGTCATTGTCGTTCTCTCTGCCATGAGCAGCCACAAAAAGGCTGAGGGAACCACTAGCCGGTAATAAGTCCTGGTGGATTCACGTATGTTGGTCGCATATCTCACTGTAATGTACCTTTGGATAGACTCCTCGAGGCAGCAAAGGAGGTGCTAAAGCCGAATTCACAACGATACCTCGATATTGTGAACATCATCGAAGAGGGGCATCTGAAAACAATAGAAAATGCGGTCGCTGAAGGTCCCGCACGGGCTGAGGCGGAGCGAGATGTAAAGGCCGAATGTTCTCGCTTGCGATCGTTTATGGCGGCCGCCGAAGTGATCGATGAAATATCTCCACGGTCCAGAGATGTCATGATCAGTACAGGCGAGAAACTGTCAGCACGTATCTTTGCCGCCTTGTTGCAAAGCCAGGTTTGTAACTGAAAATATTCGCTGTCTACGTTTCGCTTTCATGGCTCTGACCATCTGATCAACATGTCCATGTCAGGGTGTAGACGCCGTTTACGTGAATCTGGAAAAACTTATTGAAGCACAATTTGATGAAAAGGCGATCGACCAAACCTTTTATGATTATCTAACACAACGGCTTGCAGTGGTCATTGAGGGTTGTGGGGAAAACACAGTTCCTGTTGTAACGGGCTACCTGGGACCTGTCCCAGGAAGTATCTTGTCGACCATTGGGCGAGGTTATACGGACTTGACCGCTGCTTTGATTGCGGTTGGAGTGGCTGCACGGGAGCTGCAGATCTGGAAAGAGGTTGACGGCATATTCACGGCCGACCCTCGAAAGGCGCCTAAGGCGCTTTTACTTGCTTCCATCTCCCCAGAAGAAGCTGCTGAGTTGACGTACTATGGCTCGGAAGTCATTCATCCATTCACTATGGAACAGGTCATCCGGGCCAGCATTCCCATCAGGATCAAAAATACCTTCAAACCAGATGGAGACGGTACTGTAATTATACCAGAAGGTTGGGTGCCGCCTCAACACGCCGAGTCCATTGAATGCCTCACACCTGGAGGCACACGGATACCCAAACTTGGAGAGGATTACCTTGGCAGCAAAACACCCAATGGAAACGGCCTGGCCTTATCGGAGGACCAAAAACGACCAACAGCTGTCACCATCAAAGATCATGTCATTGTCCTCAACGTCCATTCTAATCGCAAGTCCGTGTCGCATGGTTTCTTTGCTCACATATTCCTGGCCCTCGACCGATATGGCATTGTAGTCGATCTCATATCCACCTCTGAGGTTCATGTAAGCATGGCATTAAGCCCGAATGTAAAGGAAAGCAAACTGGAACGGGCTTTGGTTGAGCTACGAAAATATGGAACGGTAAGCACTTTGGGCAGTGCCTGTACGTCTTTAATGCAACGTGAGTTAACACGAAATGTCTTTCTCCGCAGGTGGATGTGATTCGGAACATGGCGATTCTCTCCCTCGTAGGGAAGCAGATGCGAAATATGGTCGGGATAGCGGGTCTCATGTTTGAGACATTAGCGAAGCACAACGTGAATATTGAAATGATATCGCAGGGAGCGTCTGAGATAAATATTTCCTGTGTCATTGAAGAAGAGAGGGCAGAGACGGCGTTGAGGGCGATACATGATGAGTGCATATTAGGGGACATTTGTTCATGACTGACTATTTAGATAGAATTTCTTTGAAAGTGTGTAATATTATTTGATTTTGAATGTTGCTGACAGGTTTGTATTTCAGTTTTCCTAACCAGCGGTGTCAATCAGGTTTTCGTAGTGATATGATCGAAAAGAGTGCATGGTTGGGACCCGTAATTTAAGCAGTCTCAGTATGTCAACCCATGCACGGGCAGATAGGCATCCAGCAAACACACAAGCTACAAGTGACAGATGACACTTTTCTCATCGACTGGGAGCTGCTTCAGCTTGACTGACGTTATTCCCTGCTATCAGAATGGTTTAGGGTTCGCCTGTCGAGCGGATGTTGGGATGTTGTGAGTCATTCGGCGACAGATCACTTGATGTTTACGTAATATGGATGGGTCCTTGACAGCCTTCCTGTCAAAAGCTTGCGCATTCCAGAAGCACATTCCCATCGTCACATCATGAGTGGACGAGGTGCAGGAGGAAAGGGTTTGGGTGTTGGTATTGGCGGTAAAGGCAAAGGAAAGGGTATAAAACGAAAGGGACCGTCTGGCATCAACTTGTCAAATTATGGCACACCGAAGCGGCATAGACTGGTCCTCAGAGATAATTTGAAAGGAATTACAAAACCGGCGATCAGACGGCTTGCACGAAGAGGTGGTGTGAAGAGAATGTCGCTGACCATTTATGAAGGTGAGATAATGGCCCGCACGCCGTCCTGTGCGAAATGAACTTGGCTAATCAGCTTGCCATAAAAACAGAGGTCCGCATCGTTCTTAAGAAATTTCTTACCGGCGTTCTTAAAGGTACGGGCTTGGGCCTCGTAAGAGTATGCGGGTTGGCTATCATTAACATGACGACATCAGATTCTATTGCATATACGGAGCACCGCCGTGCAAAGACTGTCAACGCCATGGACGTGGTGTATGCCCTCAAAAGGTATAACTCATATTCTTTTTGTGTTTGGTTCTGCTTTGACATATCTCAATACAGGCAAGGCCGTACTTTGTACGGGTTCGATCAGTAGCAATCTTTGAGAGAAGAGTATGCTGTAGACATCACATATAAACTCGGGATGTGATAGGCGGATGCTTGCCATGAGAAATTCCTTTTGCTTTCTCTAAAGGATCAAAGTCGGTCCAATGCGGGTCCGTTTTGTCTTTAGCGATGTGGAGAACATTGGCGACTTGAGCAATTATTATGCAGAAAATTGAGCATGGCCTTCTTTTGTACATATGTAAATTGAGATGATTTTGAAACAATTCTTACGCATTTTGGAAGTCAAAACTGAATGAGTTTATTTATAGCTTTACAGCGCTAAGGGAGGTACTGCTCAATACCGAAATTAGAGCTTGCTACCACGAGATTTAGCAGCTAAATAGGATTGACGGGAAAAGGATCAAATGGTGCGCACGGCGTATATTCGAGTGTCGCTTACCATTACGCTCCATCAGCTTCTTGAATGCTATCGCGGGGTCACCAGACATATACCGTTCTGTAAGGGCATCTGTTTCATGCATGAGGGTCTTATATTGTTGGTCCTTGAAAGCAGATCGAATGAGCCGTTTTGTCACTAGCATGGAAGTTGGGTGGCATGTCTTCACTGCTCCTTGTAGTAATTTAGTCGTTTCGGAAGCGAACTCCTCATTGCTGAACACTCGGCTACAGCGGGAAGCGAATATCAACACCTGGAGCTCAACGGGCAATGACGATGAAAGGCCAACGTACTTGACAAACCCGACTTTCTCTAGCTCCCGTGCAGTGAAGCGTTTGCCAAACAGCTAAATAATGCGAATCGTAAGCCTTCCTTTTGGCTGAGAATTCGGGTATCTGCCTGCCTACCAGTGCTTCCTGCGCCGGGCCCAGCCCCATTCTTTGCACGAACGCCAACGATGAGTTTCCTATAATGACGTCATGCTACTTTTAGAACTCCGAAACGCTAAGATAAACCAGTGTAAACCAGGTCTTTCACAGATACACACCTTCCGCGCAAAGTCCAAGGGAGGAGAATGGGCAAGAAAGGTATGCAGACTCGGCAGCATAGATGATATCCGCATTCGCAATGACGCCAGCGGGATATCCAATCACCGGCCCTGGTAACAAGTAGAACAATCTGTAAGTGTGTCACAATGTGGCAGCCTTGTAATAGATAGTCACCATTCAACAGCACTACCAATGGCTTTGGGTGGTCAATTACCGCCCGTGTGACTGCCGCGGTAGCAAATTCGAGGACAGTTCTAAACTTGACCCAAGCTTCATGTTTGGATTTTGGAGCTTCCCTTTCCTCTGTGAAGTCTGCACCACTGGATACCGACGTTTGCTGGTTGAGCCATTGGACAATATCAAATACCAGAAAAAGGGCACAGGCCGCTCACCTACTGAAGAACTTGCCCTTTCCAGTCAGCACCGTTATACTGACATCATCTCGCTCCGCCAAGTCTTGCAATGCTTGCTGCAATGCTGAGTAAGTTCCTTGCCTGAAACTGTTGAATTTCTAACGGGATTTTAACGTGCTTAATCGATCGTTTCGCGGTGGGATGATGTACTTGCGGGACCTACCTCCTCCCTAGACAATGTAATTGTACCAATGCCTCCCTCCACACGCACTTCCAAATCTTGATATGACATGATTAGGTTGCAATTATCTTAAAGATGGTGAACGAGGTTGGAACACGACGGGATTGGGATTAGCCGTCCAAGCTGGTAAGCAGCTGAGTCAGTCCGATCGCCAGGCCAGCACGTGATCAGATCACGGTGAAAGCGAGTCGTTGCAAATCTCGATTGCAGATCATTCAAGACGAGTATAAAGGTCATGCCCAAGAAACCAGCAGCGGGGGGCAAGGGCGCCAAGGGAAAGGGGGGAGCAGGCGACGGTAATCAAAGCCCTGGCGTCTTTATGTTCGTCACCTCTAAGCACTTTTAACATACGGACGCAGACGATAGTGGATCGTCAAAGCCAACAAAGCTAAAAGCAGCCAACTCAATAAAAGTACTTTGAACATGATGGAGCTCCATTGTAGTAACACAGTGAAACCTTATATGTGATTGTGAACATCATAGGTACGGCATATACTGTGTGAAAAACACGGAAAGGTACCATTTGTGCTGTGGATTTTTGAGGTTACCCGGCACTGACTTTCGTGGTTTCTCAAAGTGCATGGAAGCGATGGCGAAATTAAAAGAGAAGCAGCCTTTCGATAAGGTTCTTGCCATATCAAGATACCTGCAGAACATGGACCAAGCTGACAGAATTGGATAGGTTGCGGAGCAATACTCTGAAGACAAAGCAAAACAAGGCGGCTCACTGGGATGGATGGTGAGAGGTACGTGTGGCAACGATTAGAGTTTTCTTTCCAACGTAATGGAACCTCATTGACTTCCGATCAGGCTCAATGGTTGGAGCTTTCCAAGACGCTGCGTTTGCCCTTCAGCCGAGCACAGTTGGCAGCCCCATTTACACAGACCCTCCAGTCAAAACCCAGTTTGGTTATCATATTATCATGGTTGAAGATAGAAAATAAAGGCAGCCAAAGCTATCTGTGATATAGCTCTATTGCCATTCATAAAAGACGTTTATGGTTAGATTGCATGACTCATGATTGGTTAGTCAGTAGATGCTGTCCGAAGTCCGAACGCGCGCTTCTTCCCGTCCCCGCCGCTTCTCATGGCGACCATCTACTCTGTCCACAGCGGCTCCCCAGACAAGGCCGCGCCCCCCATACAGCAACATCGTCGCGCGAATCCAGGAATATGTCTCGACCAGGTGTATGACCCTGGAAGTGAATCTGAAGCTTCACCTCCAAGGAAGCAAAGTCTGACCAGCTCCGAATTGAGTTCTCTTAGCTCTGTGCAGGATGCCAGCACGGAAAGTCTGGGTGACGCTGAGATGGGAGCGGTGCATACTGAGAGAATTGAGACGGAAGATGTTTCTGGAGAGGAGTCCTCCCAAGCCATAACCGTAGATGATGATGGTGAAGTGAAGGACGACCCGGGCGAGACAACAACGGTTCAAGACGATAGCCCAATGGAAGACGGTACCGAACAGGAGACTGAACCAGCGGTAGAAGATAGCACGCAGGGAGCGCGAGGCGAATCCGGCACAGGGACATTGCCAGATCCTCCAAAGGGAACTGTCGCAAAACGCCGCTCGTACCTCGCTGAAGCCCCAACAACCAAGAAGACGAGACTTCAGTCGCAAAGCCCACATTACAACGCCATCGATCAAGAAACTAAGGAAGAGATGGAGGACTTCTATCGCGTCTTCCCCAAGCTGTGGGAGAATTATCGGCTAGTTAATAAAATTGGAGAAGGTTTGCGAGACGGCCAGAATACCTCCCAAGGTAGCTGCCAACTTAAAATCATATGTCTTGACCATAGGAACGTTTAGCTCTGTGTATAAAGCCCTTGACTTGCAACATTGTGCGTACGATAATAGTCGATGGGCGACGTATCAAGCTTTGGCGGATTCCGAAGACGATGACGGCGATACAAAACAGCAGAGACGAAGAGTACCTGCCGTCGCCCTGAAGCGGATTTATGTGACAAGCAGCCCTCAGCGAATTTTTAACGAAATTAAGATCTTGCATATCCTGAGGTCGGTGCAAGCACTCGTCATGTGGATTCCCTCAGGCCTGTTGCTGATTGCTGTTCATAGTGGACATCCGAATATAGTTCCGATCATCACGGCGATGAGGCATGAAGACCAGGTATGAATATTGTTCCGAGCAAGATAATTCAAATACTGACGAGCATGCATGATGGTATATTAGGTGGTCGCCGTGTGAGTGCCAGCATTCCTTTAGGGCAGCATCTGTTTGTGCGATGTTAATTTCCAATTCAGTCTGCCTTACTTTCGTCATCTTGATTTTCGCGTGAGTTCTTGCTGTTTCTATGCTAAATAATACACTCTTCTGAGTTTGAGTTACTCATATTTCAGGATTACTATTTGACGATGACCATGGATCAAATCCGAGACTACATGCGCTGTTTATTACGAGCGTTGGAACACGTTCATAAACATAAAATCATTCACCGCGACGTGAAGCCCAGTAATTTCCTGTATCACCCAAAGCTTGGCACTGGGGTTCTAGTAGATTTCGGACTAGCGCAGGTATGTTACCAGAGAGGCTGCTGCAGCATCTGCTCTTAAGATGTTCATGGACGGCATTCAGAAAGAAGAGACGCGCGCGAAGGGTAAGAATGATGGAGCGACCAAGGATAAGCCAGTCGTCCCCAGATCGAGAGGCAGTCGACCACTCGGGTACATTGTAAACGATCCACGGTGGGTATGATATGAGCTATTCATTTACTGAAGTTTATATGATGGTGATTGACGACACTTTGAAAACCGCGGCAGCCCAAGTGTGCGGGCAAACCGTGCGGGCACAAGAGGATTTAGAGCTCCGGAGGTTTTGTTCAAGGTCGTCAATCAAACATGTGGTAAGATCATACGAGTGGTATAGTTTTTCTGCAAAATGACTCAGTCCTGACGAAAAATTATCTGTGGCTACAACAGCCATTGATATGTGGTCTGCAGGCGTCATACTCCTCTGTATATTTACGGGCCATTTCCCTTTTTTCCAATCCAATGAAGACCAGGAGGCGCTACTGGAGATAGCACACATATTTGGCAAAGTTGCGTTGAAAGAAGTCGCGACTTACTTCAGTACGTTGCATCTTGCGAACTGTCAGCAGAGCGGTAGGGCTTAACAATTTCTGCACAGAACGGCGCTTTGAAACGAACATTCCTTCGGTTGGTCAAGCCATGTCCTTTGAAGACATGTGTTGGAAGCTTCACAGCAAGCGAGCAATGGAAATCCCGCCAGAGGGATTTGACCTATTGCGGAAGTTGCTAACCTTAAACCCGGAACAGCGAATAACCTCAGAGGAGGCCGTTAAACATCCGTTTCTGGATGACCGAGAAGCACAGGAGCGACTGTAATTTCATGACCGGACAGTGTGTGATTCCGTATTTAACATGTAGATAGGCACATTTCACTGTACAAATAGCTTAAGCATTACGGGCTTAATTGAGCTCGCATAATATGTACAAAGATGATTCAGGACGATGTTCATTTTCTCAATTTTGTAGCCGGTGATGTTGCGGGAACGGGTAGTTTTGACCGTCTGTATCCTTGTATGTCGGTGTGCGACACCGCTGGACTTCCATAATCGACGTCCGATGTGCTCTGATCACCTCCGCTTGGCACATCTCTGATTAAGGAGACGGACTTTCTGCTGGGGAGATTCTCCCCGAAAGATGTATGAAGTGTTTCCACAGCATCTGTAGCCCCGATTTCACCCTTTGACATGACGCTCCGTGGCTCCCACCTATCTGTCTGTGACTGGAGCTCGCCTTCCGAAGCGCTCAGTTCACCATCGGAGACTTGGATGCTTTTTTCTCTCCCTTGTGGTAGGGTTCGCGGATAGGACAATACTTCGATTGCAGCTGGGTTAGGTACCAAATCAGATTGCAAGGACTGGGTGAGTTCACCCGAAGATATGTCACCATCCCGATTAAATCGTTGGTTTGGAAGGCGACGTGGTTCCATGTTGTGACCCTCCTGGATGCGAGTGCTCCTCATCGAGATGGGAATAGGCGGGATCTGGCCTGGCAGGCTTACAAAGCTGAGAGCGTCCCGGGATGTGGATGAACCCTCTGATTCTTCGTCACCGGAGAGCGCCCTCGCTGTTCGAAAGAACCTTTGAGAAATCGGATGTGCGACTTCCCCTTCACTATTTATTGCAATGATTCAGGGTCTGTTTTAGAGCCACGAGAAATTATGTCCGAGATAATGGTGTTACCTGAAAAGCTGAGTACGGACTTCTCCTTCAGACAACATCAGTGAAAGTGTGGTAAGCCCGACAGAGCTGGTATCGCTAGATGCCACAACGGCAATTTCCTTTCGGGAGGACTCGACGGGATGCAATTGTTGACGTTGCGTCTATATAGTTAAACAATTCAAAAGTTAACTTGGATTTGTCCAAGACTTTAGACTTTCAGTCTTACCGGTCGTTTGGACGTGGCTATATCTTCCTGAAAACCAAACGTCTGCACGGCTTTGGTTGATTGCTCTGCCTTCGTGATTTCCTGTCTTTCTACACCGCTCCCAGCAGGTTCGGTATTTTGCCCTACTTTTTCCTCACCACGTTGCATGTTGTTAGCAGACTCATGGAGCGCTTGCTGTAGCAATTTTCGTTCTTCATTGAGCGGTTGCTGCTCTTCCTCAAGTTTCTGTTTCCTTTCGGCCTCTTCCCTAGCGAACTGTTGCCTTCGTTGGAATTCTTCTTCTTCTTCTAACTTTCGCTTCCTCTCAGTCTCTTCGATAGCAAGCTTTTGCCTTCGCTGAAAATCTTCCTTTTCTAACTTTATCTTCCTCAGAGCCTCTTCCGCAGCCAGATTCACTCGTTGCACGATTTCTCCTTCTGGCCAATTTCGCTTTTGCTCTTCATTATCCAAAAAAGCCTTAAGTCTCAATTCGTCGAACTGCACCCCCCGCCGTCTTTCCTCTTCCTCTGCAGCTCTTTTTTCTTCCTGTTCCTTTCGCTCCTGTGAGAGCTTTTCTTCCAATACTCTTTCCAATTTCTTGCGATTCTCTTCGGCGCTACGTTCAATGGCGTCCAACTTCTCACGATGCAGTCTGTCTTCTAGATCTTGTTCTCTTTTCTTACGCTCTGCTTCTGCAATACGCTCCATTTCTTGCAGTTTCTCACGATGTAGTCGATCTATTTCAAGCAGTTTCTCTTCGTGCAGGCGCTCTTCTTCCTCCAGTTGCCGCTTACGTCTGTCGAGCTCTTTCCGGGCCTCGTCAGCTCGCCGCTCCTGTCGTAACTGTTCCAATTTTATCCTCTCCTCTTCCTCTTCCAATCTGCGTCTTCTCCGGTGTTCCTCTGTTTCCATTCTGCGTTTCCTGCGCTCCTCCTCTGCTTCCAGCTTGGCCCTGCTATAAGCTTCGTCCATTTTGCGTACTTCGTGAGCGGCAGGCACGTGTACCTGCACCTTTGGAACACTGGGTAATAGCAATGGGGCACTCTCCACACGATCACGCCGTCGGATAGGTGAGGCCTGCACCTTGTTGATCTGCTGCTCCATAGCCCGAAGTCGCTCTTCTTGTTGGCGTCGCCATTGCTCGTCCTCGTTTATGGAGTTCCTTTTGTCCTCTTCTGCTGCTTTCCTGAGCAGCTTCAGCTCATTAAGAACCGCCAGAGACTCGGAACTCTCTGTGTTTCGGGGAGTTAATGAATCACGATTTCCTTCGGCTTTGGAATCTTGTTGTTGTTGCTGCTGCTGTTTTAACTGTTGTTGCGTCGCCGCGGTGACACGACTTTCCATGACATCAATAACCGTTTGAAATGCAACGTTCCGTCCCTCTGCGGAGATGACTTCCTGCAGAATCTTGTCTGCTATCTTCTCTGCAGCGTAAAGAGTATTCGGAAGGCTCGCTGGTTGCTGCAATTCGGCCATTGTCTGGGCATCTGCGTACATATCGGCAATTGAGCCACTTTGCCGATAACAACTTAAACTGGTACAAGTGCTCTCACCTTGTCGCGATGGTAATGGCCTGGCTGGTATTGGTTTGGCTGCTAAGGTTAGCACCTCCGCTTGGACCCACTCTGCAAGCTTCTGTTCAAATGTTCCCAGACGCCCGGACGGCGGAGGACTAGTAGCGGCAGATCTAGAACCCGAGTAACTCATCTATAAGCCATCTGAAGGGAATCTGTGCCTTGGACGTGGGGTGTACCTGTAACCGCGCAAGGCTTCCTCTTTCCTATGGGTTAGCTCCTCTTTCACGATCTTGCGCATCGCTCGCCGGGTCTCTGCTACCGTAGGCATACGCACATTCATCAGACTTGAAGATGGACTCTGATATGTTGTGTTAGCAGAAACTTCAAGCTTCGGAATAGTCATAAATGCAAGTCTGGGGTTCGTCAAGGCATACCGTTCCTTCCGGAGTTTGATACTGAATTGAGACATCCTGATTTAAGTAGCATTATCAACATATAACACCAGTGATGATATGTATCCAGTGTACCATGTACCTTGGGTGGAGTGACATACTGAACGCCGATAGTTTTCTAGTATTTAGGAGTGGTTAAAAGCTTGAACAGTCCCACTGAAGTCGGATTCAACGCTCACTGGTGTTTTAGCCAATACCTTCGGACTCACGATCGATGGAGACCGCGAGTGAGAGAGTTCCACGCCCGAAGGACTCCTACCGGCTAGGTCATCGTCAACTGTCAAATCACAATGATTAGTGGGAGGAGGGTGGGAGATTGAACAAAAGTTGCTCATGCCATTTATTTCCGAAATTGATGGGAAATTTATCGGGGTTATTTGAGGGGCCGACTGTTTCAATACGGTAGGTTGAGATGGGCGGGGCGGCGTCATTTCACGCGATTTCGCAGTAAATGCCGCATTCGGTGGACGAATGGACGTAGGTCGTAAAAAGACGGGCGAATTGGGTACTCTCACATTGAGCAAGTTCAGTGGCCGTTGCGCGGAGCCATGTCGAGCGAGTATTTCTCGTCCGGTGGTGATGTCTTGCGGGGTAACTACGCGCTTGTTACCGGAGAAAGCTGGGTCTGAAGTAGATGCCATTTCCCGTTGAGATGGAGGGAACGAAACCAGCGACCGTTTCGGTGGCAAGTTCTCTTGTGCAGGCCTTTAGTGTGGCGCCAAATGAGTATAATTCCCCAGTATTTTGGCAAAATGCCATACCTTAATTTGCCCTCGTTTTTTCTAGCTCGAAGTACTACGTTTTCTTGAGTCTTGGTACGAGGTTTAGTCGGCTCATATAAGGGGCGTTTGACTGGTGCTGAAGTCTTCCTGTTCGCAGTTTTATCAAATATTTTGACGTTTGTGGGCTGCCGATGTTTCGGCTGAAGAATGGGGACGTTTACCATCGGACGGGGATATGTTTCTGACAGAATTTGTCTAGAACGGCCTGCTCCAGACAACTAGGATGCATTCAGTTATTCTGAACAAGGACATGGCTGAGGAATGATCACTCCCTTTCCGTACCTCAGGAATGGCAAGCTCCTCGATTTTCCGTGTCACCACCGCTTTGATGCGGTCATGATTGAACACGTCTGAAAAACTATCTTCATCCAAGAGGTCCGAAAAATTGAAGTAAGTTGGCCGCAGTGATGTGCTAGACACTTCCGACTCGACCATATTCCCCATCACAAGGCTCGTTTTCTCACGAATTTCACGAAGAGCTTTTGTAACACCAGAGTAGGAGAAGGTCTGTGTCGGAGATGCTCTCAAACGCTTGCTGGAAGAGTTCTCACCAAAAGCGACAGAAGTGTGCATGCGTTTACTCTTTCCATTTGCTTCAAGGTCTTGTTGGTCAGCTAGCAAATCTGATGTAGGGGAGCTATCCGACGATGGTCTTACGACTTGCTTGCCTGACGCTCTCGTTGCAGCGACATCGTCCAATGGTGACCAACCCATTCTTCTCTTCATCTGAGCAAAATCGTACAGAGCATCCTCGATACGCTCCAAAAACTGCGTTTTGTGTGATGCCGCAACACCGGGTTGGCTTGTTACCGTGTTTTGCTTCGCACCCGTGCCCATCTCTGGAGGCGGATCCAAATTGTGGTCTGATATATGAGTCCCATTTAGAAACTCTCTGAAATCCCGATGGAGGGCACCGAGTTGCATTTTTAATTCGTTCATTAACACGAGTGCATCCTTCCAGTTTGACGATGGTATTGTTGATACTGGCACGTCTGCTGACTGCGGTATTGTATCGGGATGAGCCGAATGTGACGTATCAGGTTCCTGAACACTCTCTTGGCCTGACGCTCTCGTTGCAGCGACATCGTCCAGTTGTGACCAACCCATTCTCGTCTTCATCTGAGCAAAATCATGCAGAGCATCCTCGATACGCTCCAACAAGTGCATTTTGCGTGATTCTGCAGCGCTTACGACTGTGCTTTGCTTCTCCCTTTTTGCACCCGTGCCCATCTCTGGAGGCGGATCCAAATTGTGGTCTGACATACGAATCCCATTAAGAAACTCCCTGAAATCATGATTGAGGGCACCAAGTTGCACTTTTAATTCATTCATTAACACAAGTGCGTCCTTCCAGTTAAACGATGGTATTGTTGATATTAACACGTCTGCTGACTGCGGGATTGTATCGGGATGAGCCGACTGTGACGTATCGTGTTCCTGCACACGCTCTTTCTCAGAACGTATGATGTCGTCCGTGGGTGCTGACTGCGGGATTGTATCCGGATCAGCCGACTGTGACGTATCGTGTTCCTGAACACTCTCTTTATCAGAACGAATGGTGTCGTCCGTAAGTACTACCTGCTCGCTGAGGTGCTTCCGAAACTGCTCTATGGAAGCTTGCAAAAGGGATGAGGCCCCCACCTCCTTGTTGCTTATTTTGGAAGCTTGAGGAGTTTGGCCTATCAATTCTGTTACAACTCTCACCGAAGGCGAATTCGTGTGGGTCTGCATACGCCGAGCATCCACTTCGTTTACATTTCTGGCCGATGCTTGCTTTTCGTGTCGAACATAAAGGCCTATCTCGTCCTGTATTGGGAAGGAGCTCGGTCCTGTGGTAGCAGAGACGGTCTCCCTTTGGTGGGCTCTCGCTCTGTAAAGCAATTCCGTTGCATTTTTCAAGCTCCTTTCCAAGGTGTCAATAGGAAAATGCGGAGGGCCACTCAGCGTAGTAGCGGGTCCTGCCAGGTTTTGTCGCGAACCGACCATGGCCGCGGAGATCTCGACAAGCTCTCCTCAGCGTTGGGTTAGCCACGCGACTGGTGCAAAGTCACGCATTTCGTCCGACCATCTGGACACGTCGCATTTTCCATCTGCCATCATCCTCGCTTCCCTCCCCAATCCTTTTGGCGATGAATAACCCAACAGTGTCGTCAGACACGCTTCTGCAAGCTGCTGTAGCTGCTTTCAAGCGTTCAGAGTATGAGAAGGCAATTCGACTCTTGACAAAAGTAGGTTCAAGTGGCCCAATATACTCCTTCGAGGGTGCTAACGTCGTTCTTAGGGCATACTGCAGGATCAGTCAAACTCTAAGCTCTACGATTGTCGTGCCCTTGCTTTTCTGAACTCTGGAAGGTTTGATGATGCACTCAGCGATGCCGAACGACTTGTAAAGCTGGACCCTGTGAATCCGAAGGTTTGCTGAAGCTCTGAACTACGTGGGTGACCGCTCACTAAAGTCTCCCTACATCGCATACAGGGCTACATCCATGCGGGTAAAGCTTTTCAATTACTAGGGAAAACTGACAGCGCCCTTTGCATTTATCGTATTGCAAGGAAAAAGGTTTCGAAGAGTCATCCTCGCTATTCGGTAAGCCTCAAAGTATTCATTCATGCAGTTGTGTCATTCCCTCATCATAAGTTCACTACATGGTTATCATTAGAGCATTGAGAAGAGCTACACTGAACTATTGGAATATACAGGAAATGTGAAGAATTCCCGTACCAGCATATCGACAATTCCATTGGCAGTGAGAAGTGCACCCCAGACAAGCCTTAGCAATTGCGCCGAAGGAGACAAGTTAATCTCTGTGGCCAAAAGAGCAAAGCAGGATTTTCCAGCTGCGACAGCTGCGGAAACACTACTCAGCAGTAATGCTGCGGCTTCCAATTGGACTGGCAATTTTGGTTCTTACGCCCTGCCATTGGAGCTCATGACGGCCATTTTCCACTATCTTCCAATGCCAACTTTGAATCGATGTGCGCAAGTGTCGCGAAATTGGCGGGCATCAGTCAATGGCAATAGTTTGCTTTGGACGGACGTTGACCTGACTCCGTACAGTCGGAAGGTTTCCAATACCGTGGTACACGCCATAGTGTGTAGAAGTGGTCGATTACTTAGAAAGCTCATAGTACCCGGTTGCACGAACATCACGAATACAGGCTTAAAGAGCCTTTTGGCACAGCGTTGTACCTCTCTGACGACTTTCGAACTGACTAACAACTCGAAGGTGACTGGTCAAGCATTGGCTGAGACGATGAAATCAATCGGATCTCAGCTCACTCGTTTGAGGTTAGCCAACACGAAAGTCAACGATATATCTATACGCAGCATTCTCGACAGTTGTCGAGCTCTGAGTGATCTGGATCTGTCGGAATGTCCTGGCGTCACAGATGCTGCTTTCGAGATCAGTTTAAATTTCAAGAAACGGGGTATCCCAATGGCCCTACAAAAGCTACAGCTCTCTTCCTGCGCCGTTTCTGATCGTACTACCTTCCTTTTATCGCAATCTTGTCCGTCTCTCAGGGAAGTAAACGTTTCACAGTGCTCGAGGATAACCAAAAGCACGCTCGTCAACATGGCTCACTGCAGCGGAATAGAGAGCCTTGTCTTAACGGGAACTGCTATGAACGAACCCGCAGCCATCAGTTTCGAGGATGCCCTCCTTGCATTTGCCGAAGGCTGCAACCAGTTACGTCAATTTGTCTTAGCATCATGCCCGCGGGTGTCGGACACATCGGTGGAATACCTGGCAGGATTCTGCACACATCTTTATGAAATCGATTTCACACAGTGTGCGACTATTACCGACTCGGCCCTACGCAGCCTCGCTACCCATTGCCCCGCTCTTTCCCGTGTCCTCATCGCTACTTGTCCTCGCATTACGGATATGGGTATCATTTTTCTAGCCCAGAACGCAAAGGAATTACACCATCTAGATGTCTCAAACAACCAAAGCATATCAGATCGTTCACTTGAAGCTCTTACACAACATGGAACGCAGCTTGTAACTCTCGCGATGAACGGTTGTCCGAAAGTTACCGGTATTGGCATTCGAGCGATAGTTACAAGCAAGCCTGGAAAACAGCTTGAAACTCTTCTAATCGATAACTGCCCTGGAGTTCACTACGAGACGTTAGGGATTTTGCGAAAGATGGCACCAAACCTCAATATGTCGGCACGTTTTCATTGAGCTGAGCCAATAATGCGACGACTCCGTTATCTATAATAAATATACAATACTGTACATTGCCATCTATATAGAGACGACACAGATATACTATGTACAAGATGTTTTGATGCTTGAGCATTATGGGAGCGCCAGCGCTCTCTGTCGCACCAACTTATGCTTCTGCAAAGGCGGCTTTGAGTTTTTCCATCTTCTCGTTCATCCTCTGCTTTTGTCGATCCATTTCGGTTAACACAATGCGCATCTCAGCCTCATGTTGGTCTCTCTGCCAGTGGTATTACAATTGGACAATAACATTTGAGATAAGCGAAAGTACCTTACACCTACCTGATTTGAAGCCTCTTCTATTTCTTTTTGTAGCTTTCTGATTGTTTGCAACATCACATCACGTTCCCGTTCTAAAAACGCGAGCCTTCCTGTCTGATTCTGCGAAGAATCGCTTAGCCAATGCCTCACATTGGTATTTAGCGGCTTGCCTTTTACCTCGTATGTGCTTTTGAGTTCCAGGTTTGCAAGCTCTTGAGATTTCAAAGCCTCCTCTTTCTCCTGGAGCCAACGCTCTTCTTTGGCTTTGAAAACTTTCCGGATCTTCGCGACCTCGTCTTCGATCATATGAATACTCTCATTCCGCTCTTTCAATTTTTTTGAGGCCTCCGCCAGATCCTTTCTGAGAGTGTTCCGCTCCTCTCGGTACTCGTCTATAATTGACTGCAGATGGTATATCTCTTGGGTTTGTGATTCGAGCTATGTCATTTTGTGAGAATGCAATGACATGATATCAAACAGGTACCCCGAATGAGTAGTACCTCCTGCTGCAAGTCCTTATTTGTCTGCTTTTCAAGCTCTAAGCGATCCTCTAATGAATCTTCTCTTTTTTCAATATCCGTAAGGAGTGCCTGATGCTCACGACACTGCCAAAAGACGATGAGGTCGAAATCCTTACGGCGATATCAAATTTGAAGACCCAGAGGGAACACCGTACCTTATTTTCCAGGTTCTGTTTAAGATTCTTAATTGTTTCATTCTGATCTTCGAGCATTTTATTCTTCACTCGTATAGCCTGTAGAATGATGGCGTTAAGTGCGTGTCACGAATCTATTGCATATTTCTCTCAAGGTTACCTGATCCTGTCCATCGCGGAATCTGTCAAGATCGGCTTGTAATCGCGCATTTTCTGAATCGAGGCGTATTCTTTCTTGCTGAAAGACCGTTGTCTGCCGTTGCATGGGTTGAAGTTAGGAACTCTCTGCGCTCAGCACTTCCAGTGTATGTGATTAATAACTCATATACCTGCTGGGCAAGCTCTGCTTTTGTCCTTTGAAGTTCAGCAGTCAGGTCATTGGCAAGTGCTTGCTTCATGTTGTAGTCGGATTGCAAAGATTTGAAATCATGTCGCATCTTTTGAGAAGCTTTGAGGCGGTCCTCAAGGGCATGGACTTTGTCCTATGCTGATTGTCAATCATGTGCAATCGGTTTATGCGAATTCGCCTTGCCCACCTCAAAAATGGTGAAGGTCATTTGATGCTTCTCCGCCAAGTCGGCTATTCTTGCCTTCTGCTCTTTCACCATGTCAGTGAGCTCTTTGATTACAGACGCCATCTCTTTTTCTTTTCCAGACGCCGTTTCAAGAGCCTTGAAAAACGGTAAGAGGTCCATGCAGAATTAGGGTACCTAGTACAAGCAGGTCCTTACTTTTGCCTGCGCAGTAAACTGCTGCAAGAGCTCTGTGTAAGCATGCCGCAATTGCGCAAAACGACCCTGCTCCTCTAGAAAACAATTCAGCGTCCATCGTAGTCGAAAATTCACCCAGTTGAAATGAGCTACCTTTCATGCCTTTTCGGAATTCTTCCTCCAAAGCGGCATAGGCATGTTGGGTCCTCGTAAGCTGGTGGGATACTGCATCGTACTCAACTTTGTGCCTTTCGAGCAACTGGTTGGTAGTCTCCGATATAGCCTGTTTTAATTCAGAACTCCGCATCCTACATAAATGTCACCATGAAGTGTGTTTGTCGCTTTCGCACAGTAAAGGACAACACGTACGCTGCGAGGTCGTTTAACTGCTGGCGGGCGTCAAAATCTCGAGAACTTAAATTTTGCTGTAATGCACTGTTCTCCTTTTGCAATTGCCTGATGGTAGCTTTGTAAATTTCATTTTCTTTCTTGACCTGGAGCATTCACACATGAGCTGGAATTATGGTCAATGGCGGACTAAATAGAAACATTACCTCCGCAACCTTGACTCTCGACTGCTCCCGATCTTTTACTAGCCGGACGGATAAACGAGCCTTTTCTTCCTCGCATAGTTTTAATTGGCATTCTAGCTCTGCAGCAGACACCTATTCATCCTTTTACAAATGGGTTCTTGTAAGGCGAATATCTACACCTTCGCCGTACCTTGATCTCTTGTTCAGTTGTTTTTACGTTCTTTAGCTCTTTTTCTTGTGTCAGTAGGTGAGTTTTACATTCCGCGCTCTCAGCCAAGAGTTGGTCGTATTTCAGTCTTATATCGTTTAAGTCGGCCTTATAAACGGATCGCTTTTAACCAAAATCACAATCCTCCAGGCCAGTGCAGCTCACCTTTACTGAAGACAGCTCACTAGCTATGGACTGACAGCTTGAATCTGCCTCTTGCAGCCGAGTCTTCAGTCTGGAGTTTTCGTCCGCTAAAGCATTTAATTTATCTTTGTCTGCACCCGCTGCCTCAGCTTGCCCCGTTGCCTTGACAGTTAAGGTTATCATGATTTAATCATGTCAAATACACGGCTAATTAGAGAGGGTGTTTTACCTGTTTCTTTAGGGCCATGCATTCATCTTCGGCCTTCTGGCGTCGACTTCGCTCCTCGCTCAACTCTCCTGTGAGCTTTTTTATTTCATCCGCATACGTTTTCTCATTGGCACGCAGACGCTTCTCTTCCTCTTCTAAGGCACGGATGAGTTTTGCGTTGGCTGCTAGCGCCACAGCCGAACCGCCTTGCATGTCAGAAGACGTTGGCTTTCCTTTACTACTGTACAGAACTGAGCATAGCCCCGTTTGCCTACTGTTTCATAATTTGCCTTACCTCTCAGGACTATTTTCGTCGGTTTTGATATTGAATGAATTACAACTCAGCGGCTTCTTTTCTGCCCGATATCGTCCTTCCCGTGAATGCATTGGTTTTTGCTCGCGCCACACAAGGGTCTGACGCTTGCCATTCTGATAAATCTATCTGTCAATCCAGTACTTAACTTGGGAGCAAACAAGAAAGCGCACCTTAGACGCCGGGATCCTCGTTGGTAATGTTGTGTACTCTGACTCATCGCTGCAATATTTGGATATTAATAGGACGCACATTCAGACATCAGTATATCTGTATTGGCGTTCCAACCTGTTCTCGCCAGCGCCAGGGCTTGAGGATGTCGAGACGATATCATCCTGACGCTCAACGTCATAGTTTACGGCATCGGCACCAGATTCTCTGCGCATTTTAGGAGACGCGCGCTGACCGTCTCTTTTTCGATGCGATTGGTCATCTCTATTGAGTGACGTTATGCATTCCATTAATCTTTCCATCTGCTTTTCAAGCCGTGTAAGACGGTCTGGTGATATCGAAGATCCCGTCGATCGATTTTGGAAACTCGTAGGTCCTCCGTCTAACTTAAGGGACTGCGCTTTTCCGATCATATTGCGGACCTCATTGTACAGGTTCTCCATCTGGCTGACATCTGCCTGCGGCCGCTGTTGAGTTGGCGCACGCATTGAACTCGTTACGTCCAGTACCGAATCCATTTGTTGTTGCAACTGCGTAAGTTGTTCCGAGAGATAGTGCACCTCATTGTCAATTCGTTGCGCTCCGGAAGGTGTTGAGCCGCTCTGAAAGTGTCTCGAGGGGGCAGATATGACTGGGGTCCGTACCGAATGACCCGGATCGGCACTATTCAATTGATATCGAGCAATCAGCAAAAATGATATGGTACAAAGATATTTCTGCAACGTAAAAGATCTACACAACCTGGCGCCCTCTTTCTGGTGTTCTTGGACAAAGTCTGCATATTTAGCGATATCCGGATGACTTGAAGATATGTGAGCTACAGGAAATGGGAAACATGAGAAAGGTGTGCACCATAGAGGGTTAAGTTTTTGTGTTTCAGTACATGTTACGCGAATACCGTGCCGATCTACACCGTCAACTGAATGAAGTTGCTTCAGGAGATTCAAGACCATCATTGGGGAATAGGATGGCGCACCACAGATCGGATTGACCTTGGACACCGCATGGTGGCCATTCAAGACAAGATGCTTGAGTTTCTGATGAGTTAATTTCAATATTAATACTGAAGATGCATAGGAATCTGGTGACATAACAGTGTCGTCTAAATATGCCAGACACTGGACTTACCATGCATCCCATCAGCGGACGAAGCGCTTGCCAATCATCAATATTGTTGCCTTTGAGATCAAGCAGCTCCAACGAGTAGTCATTTCCATGCATGTCAGTTAGCCCTTCCAAGGTGCGGATAGAATTGAAGGATATAATAAACTGGCGCAAATTATGAAGGTCTCGCAAGTTTTCGATCCGACAGATCTTTATTATTCGCAGAACAGAGTGTAAAGAAATAATAACACAGGAAGACTAATCGACAGCTCCTATTTAACGCAGTTGTTGCCTTGTATTGGTTTCCTACCTTATTGTTAGAGAGGTTCAGCTCTCGCAAGTGTGGTACGACCTCCAGGCCCTCAATCTTCTGTATCTAGCTCTGGATGTGAGGAATGATTCCTACCACAACAGGCCAAGTCTCGGCCAAAGCAGGCAAGCATACCAAGTTACTGGAGAGGTCCAATATGACCAACGAACGAAAGGCCTGGAGAGCATTCCTATCGATCTTTGTTATGCGATTCGAGTGGACGTTAAGTTCGCGAACGTCTTCCAGTCTAATTGATGATCCAGAAGAGCCGCCCTGCCGAGCACCCAATCGCAGATAAAGATCCTGCAGAGACGAGAGGGACCCATCTATCTCCGAAATGTTGCACATGCGCGCATAGATGGCTCACAAAGGCCAGGAAAATAGCGCACCATGTCGCGTGCGTCTGACCTTACTCCATCCCGTTACACATGTTGTTGCTATGGTATCGTCAGAGCTCTAGTACCCGTTCCTTACGAAAGCAGGCTGATCTCAACTTCACAAAACATTTGCGTACGCTCTTTGCCTGCGTTCAAGCACATAGATGTCATGAACATGACGCTAGCAGTCTCAGCAGTGGATGGTTCAGTAGTAGAGGCGACCTCACTTGTAAATAGCGACCCTTGTAAGGTGCCTCCTACGCGACCAACAAAAGCGAAGCGCAACATGTACTGTTATTGTGAATCTGACGGCCGAGATGGACGGTTTATGATACAGTGCGACGGATGCAAGAACTGGTATCACGGTAATATTGCTTCAGTATAATGTAAGTAAGGTTGTAGTTAACGGCTACATTGTCATATTGCAGGCGAATGCATAGATCCTCCAATGACAGAGGATGACACCCAGTATTTGACCAAGTTCTACTGTGCGGAGGTTTGTGAGAGTCAAACTGCATCTTGCCGGAACTCATTCTTATCAAGTTGCTAATTCAGTGTGAGGCAACGCATGGGAAGAGTATCTGTAAGTGAGACTATAGGCAGATCAGTATTTGGCAGACCTCTAAAAGAACTCTCGTGATTATTCCATGCGTCACCAGACAAGGAGCCCACGCGAAAGTCAAAGCGAGATAGAACGCAAATAAATTACAGCGAACTAAACCAAGGCGTGGCTGTGGAGGAACACCGTTTTACAAAGTTGTTGAGAGCGCGATCTTTCGCCCCTGACAGATTTCAACGGCTCCAGGGCCGAGATGTAACGTTGGACTGGGCTCGAACTACAGGTTTGAAAGAGCCCATTGTCATTGAGAGTCCGGAAGGACTGGACATGTGCATGCCAGACAAGAGTTTGATTGTACGTATTCTTTGTTTCAAGAATCGTTTATCTGTTCTTATTGTGGATGGTGCAGGTCAATCAAGTGGCGGACCTGTGCGGGAGGGAGCGAGAAGTGGATGTCATTGAAGTAGCTACACAATCGGAACGCATCATGACTTTGGACGAGTGGGCAAAGTATTTCCACCAGCCACCAGAGAAGCGAAAGCGAATTTTGAATGTAAGTCACAAACGATTCAATGTAGACACCTGAATTAGCCCTGTACTGACCTGCATAAGGTCATAAGCTTGGAAATTAGCCAAACACCGCTAGGGGACCAAATTAAGCGTCCCCGGCTTGTCCGCGAGCTTGACTGGATCGATAATGTCTGGCCCGTTGATCTCAAGGCAAAAGATGATTATCCACGCGTCCAGCTGTACTGTTTGATGAGCGTGAAAGATAGCTACACAGAGTAAGCAACATCTGCAAATGATTGGCACGATAATTATTCACCCTGGCTCAGCTTTCATATAGACTTTGGTGGGAGTTCGGTATTCTACCATTTACTCTCCGGTCAAAAGGTATTCTACTTCATCGAGCCAACAAAAACGAATCTACGAAAGGTAGGATTGTTGCTCGTGAAGCACTTGTAACAGGCTTATTGCTAAGATCGTATTCAAAATTATAGTATGAAAAGTGGTCGTCATCGCCAGATCAATCGAATATCTTTCTTGCAGATGAGATTAAAGGAGGCGCAATTGAAGTGTGTCTCTACGCCGGCAACACGTAAGAAGGGGCTTGCAGGTTATCAGCGATGCCACCTATCAACTAATCGTCATTGTCGTAGGATGATTATACCAACTGGATGGGTAAGTACATTACCAGTAGGAAAGAGGATGAGGCATGAATAGTTAATGAGAATGCAGATACATGCCGTATATACGCCAGCGGATTCAGTCGTAATAGGTGGAAATTTTCTTCAAGGTGAGCCCTTCTGTTCTCCATATGTACACAACTAGTGTTCCTTAATCAGTTTTTCAAGGGCTGAATATCGGAGGACAGCTTGACATCTACGAAATTGAAAAGCGAACCTTGGTACCTGCGAAATTCAGGTATTCGCGTACTATAGAGGCAGAGTTGTACATGTACTGAGATAAGATTACTCTTGTTCTACAGATTTCCTTTCTTTGAGAAAATGCAGTGGTATGCAGCGAAGGCTTATCTCGGCATACTAAAAGGTAAGTAAATCTTCCTCGAGACAGTTTGAAGACGTTGATGATCGTTGACCGTATTGTAATACTAGAACATGCTGCTCAAATATTATCGAAGTGGGAACTAGATGGCTTGAATGTCCTCATCAACTTCCTTCAAGAAATCGCCACACGTGTGAGCGATGTAAACCGTTTGAAGAAGGAAGAGAGAAAAGCGCTGAAGCGAACCATTCCCCAAGGGATAAAGAACGTACAGAAGCTTCTACGGAAACTTCAGAAGCATGTAAATGCGGCACGGGCTGAGATGGGGATAGACAAACCGAATCCGCCACCTTCAAAGTCTGCTAGTTCCTATTCGCTACTAGCAGGTCCATCCGACGGCGTGAATCTTAAAGAGCATGAGAAGGATCTAAGTGAGGCGGCCACAAACGCAGTTGACCTCGATTCGCATCCGAATGCGACGATCAAAGCTGAGATTCACACCTTGCAAGCGGGGCATTTGGAGCAAATTGAAAATGAATCATTGATCGCGCATGGGAGCGCCATTGATGATGACTCGGATGAATGGCTTTCAGATTTAACCGAAATGGAATTTTTGGATTCAGACAATGATGATGAGCCTATTGATGATGAAGATGACGGCGAGTATATGGACGAGGATGATGATGGAGTCGTCCACACGGACGATGGCCAAGCGTATATTCCCGGCGGTAACACCAGAAAGGCAAAGCGAAAACCAGAGTCCGAGTCTGATGATGCCAGCGACGATGCAGATGATGGTACACGTGCAACTCGAAAAAAGAAAGGGCGATCCTTGGGATATATCAGAACCAGTACAACTATCAGAAGTGACACCTCAAAGGTGATAGATGTACCCCATATCGCACCCCCTGCTCAGAGCAAACCGTGCGTCACGTCCTTGCCAATTCGTAAAGAGAGTATGGCGACTAATCCACCGAAGGCCGCTGTTACCGGAATGTATCTGCCACCACCACCGCAACCACCTCCAACTAGGGAAGTGAGCAACACAGCTAGTAACCAAATCATTAGCAACTCATCAGATGAGATGAAACCAACCATCGCGAATACAGCAGTGAACGTTTCTGCACCGAAGAAAGAGAAAAAGCCTGCCACTGTGTACCAGCGTATGTCAAAGACAATGAGCCGACTTGGAAAGCGTCGGTGACTGTAGTTAGCGTGGCAGGGATGTAGATATTGAGGCGCACTTAGGCCATTGTAGTTTTAAGGAATTATATTTAAATAGGAAGCCTCGCTGAATTATGTACAAGTTTGATGTGACCGCGCTGGTGTGCCTGAAGTCTGTGCCCAGGCGTGGATTCGTCTCTACGTCCATTCCATCTCTGAACCGCCAACAGCTGTGTTTATCTCTATCACATCGACGATCCCTCGAGGTGGCAGAAGCTTATCCGCAGATGATTGAATGGTATTTTGTAAAGTACTCACTTCTGCTCTGGACTGCGTAAGACGTGACTGAAGAGCATGATTTGCAGACTGGATCTGTACAGCCTGAGTAAATAAGACCGTCACATGTTTTACTCTCGGTTTGGCTCACCTCGGCCAATTCCGTGTGTAGCTTACTCAGTTCGCGTCGCTTGGCATATACGCTGTAAGCTCGAATTGCCTGAGCGGGAGATACTCTGTGCGATAGTTCATTTGAGGATTGTTATTGAACTGAAGTTTTGGGTGGCGCCTGGAGATCCTGTCGCATTCGATCTGTATTTACCTGAAATGCATGCACTCCGCTGGTGCAGAGCTATTATCTGTTCTCTTCGACCCTCGCCCCTGCCCCCTTTCATATTCTGCTTTCTGCCTCTGCTGGGCTAGTGCAATAATGCGGTCAAGCTCGTTGAGTTTGGCCACAACATTTTTATCCATGTTAATGTCCTCAAATTCTTCCTGTCAAGGTAGGGAACAATCCATTCATTGGCCAGTTTGTCATTCACAGTTAGAAGATTACGCTTACTCGTATCGATTCTCGAATGAAGGCAACCAACTGTTCACGCGCGCTCCGAAGTGCATCCGGATTATCGCGTGCGAGACGAGGAAAGGCTTGGGCCATTTTCGCGTAACTGTAATATTAATATGAGTAAAAAATCGACAGTCTTCCGATCTATCATTTGAGCACCGGCAAACTGACCTACATCCGTTTAGGCATGTGTTTAAGGCCGCTTCAAAGACTTCACGGAGCTTTCGCATCCGTGGACCCTCTTCCACCGTCATCTCCGTGTCTGCAGGATCTGTTGGTGGCATATTAAGTTGAACTTCTGCTGGTACTGACATTTTATCAATGTCTCTGTTTGTATCGATGCAAGAAATGAACACGGACGAGAATGATCTCTGGAGATGGTCCCAGTACACGTCAAGCGACGCCAGCTCCCAATCGGACACGACGTGGCACCTGACCTGTCCGAACTCCGCTGGTTCCCCACTGCCCCCCATTAGCCCTCTGTCAGAATGACCTAAACAGCGCTACAAGACGGCAGGCAATAGTTAGATTAGAGTCAGTTATGCGCAGGTGTGCGAAATACCAAGGCCACCAAGGCATTGGCCTAGGAGTGTAAAGGCACCTTGTGGAGGGCGTAGCTGGGGGTTCACGATGAACCTTCTACTTCTACTCTTTGGCTGTTTGGCACCGCTTGCTTCAAGCATTGGCTATCATCGAGCCGACAACTTGATACAAGGATTTTATGCGAAAGCAGATAGTTGTCAAAGTTGATTCCCGGACCACACAAACACCGTATGACTGACGGACGTCCTTGCACAGTGTTAAGGGTAGCAGATATTGTTACAAGTATGATAAAACAAGGAGTAGTCGGTCATCAATGTTAGGAAACCATACATAAACATGCATTGGAAACGAAGCTTGCGCAAATCCATGTCCTGTCTACCTTGCCTCCACAAACGAGACTGATATTGGAGAAAGATCAATGACATGTATGATCGCCCGTTTTCATCATCAGACTTGGCATCAACAACAAAATACAAATCATGGTCTGTCAAGTCCGTATACACATGTCGTTAAAGCAAGCCTTGGAAGACCTACTGGAAGGAAACCTGATCGGAGGGTGACACGTGTTAGGTAACATTCCGACCCGGTGGCGGTGCTGTCAATGCGCCAAGTGGACTGCTGTTTTTTGACTTCAACCGAGAATACAAAAAGACGAGATCCTGCTTTTAATTTCCCCATCCGACTAGCATCGACACACAAACACTTTACTGAAAATTGCCGCAGCTAAAGCGCATACCTATTTAGATTGGACATATGGAGGTGCCTCAGTCAAAAATTGAGTTGAGGATATCTTGCCGGTGACTGTCACTTCTCTTCAGTTGGAAACATACACGACGAAGGCGAAAGCTTACTCTTTATTATTATCCCAACGTCCACTTCCAGGCATCTCTTGAACAAAGATGTCTTGAGCAAAAGCGATCCACAGGTCATCTTGTATACGGCGAGCGCGTTGCGGGGAGGAGGCTGGATAGAATATGGACGAACTGAAACGATAAAGGACAACTTAAACCCGGACTTTGCAAAGGGCATCGTTATTGACTACTACTTTGAAGAGGTACGTGTTGAGGTGTCGCTAGTCTTCTTAACCGGTGGAAAATCGTACCGATAAATCGCATTTTCCTCTCGCACAGGAACAACGACTCAAGTAGGATATTGAAAGTCTTAGCCAGTATACCCGGGGACAAATATCAATCATCATTTTTCTAGATTTGTGGTCATGGATATTGATAAGCCGAACGGATCTATCCACGACCAAGATCTACTCGGCACCTTCGAAACTACTTTAGCCACCATAGGTGGGTAATATGACGAGACGCATGCTCTCTTTAAGTTGTTGACGACAAATCTTCCGCTGTATAGTAACTGCCAGTGGACAAGCATTGCAAAGACCGCTCGCTCATCCCAATCGAGCAAAAGCTGGCTACATCAAAATCGTAGCGGAGGAGCAGACTAATTTAAAGCATGTCGTCAAGTAAGTGCGATGTGCAACATGATTAGCACCCGTCCTTTATGAATATGAACACCATGCGCTCTGCAGGATGACGTATCATGGACGAGATCTGGACAAAAAGGACTTCTTTGGTAAATCAGATCCATTTTATCAGATCAGCCGGACACAGGAAGGTAAGCGGTGTACTGTTGCGCAACAGTGTTCATAAAGAGGGTGATTTTGAAATCCGGCCATACACATAGACGGTTCGACAACCGTTGTCTATAGGAGCAAACACGTTGCGAAAACCTTAAATCCAACATGGGACCCCGCAGTTATACCGGTCGCCGCCCTATGCAACGGAGACCTTGACCGACAGCTTCTTTTTGAAGGTATTTTAAGCACCATATCTGTAGCTTGGATATGAAGCGCGCAGTTCACAATACTTACCTTCTGACACTCCCTAGTCTATGACTGGAATCGCAGTGGAGGTTCGTCAGCGGATGGTAAGATCGATTTTGAAATAAAATCAGGACCATTGCTTATTGGGGTTGGATGACTTTTGAAAGCCAGTGACCTGATTGGACACTTTAAAGTACGTGAATGGATTGATGTACCGTGCTCTTGATGGGAAACTAATTGAAGTGAAGGCATCGGCCAACGAGTTACTGAAAGCACAGGGCAAGGAGTTTGAACTGATCAACCCGAAAAAAAAGGAGAAGAAGAAAAATTACCAAAATTCTGGCTATTTCCAAGTCGTACAGTTTTATCTGGAGGATGTTCCTACGTGCGTAGAGTGAGTCGTGCCACTCAAATTTGTTCTCTTGCTGAATGTTTTGTTTGTACAGCTTCCTTGATTATTTGGCGGGCGGTACAACACTAGGTCTTGATGTCGCAATTGACTTCACTGCTAGTAACGGAGACCCACGGAACCCAAACTCTCTACATTTTCGGGATCCATCGCGATACAATTTTTACCAAGAAGCTATTTTTTCAGTTGGCAATATATGTAAGGTTCATTGGCTTTTGTAATCTTATGATAGCGCTGACGAAGACATGCCATCACCCAGTACAGGCATATGACACGGATAAACAGTTTCCAGGTGTGTGACTTTTATCTCCTTGCCTTAAATGCTGGCTAGAACATGGCTAACAAGAACGTGGAATCAATCTTAACTTTAAAGCGTATGGTTTTGGTGCGAAGTTCGGGGACGGCACAGTGTCTCACTGCTTTGCTTTGAACGGAAATCCCAAAAACGTTCGTTTATGCGTCGCTGTCGTTCTTGACGTTGTTGGCCACTTACACCGCTTTAGCCTGAGGTTTATGGTGTTCAAGGGATACTGGATGCATATATACTTGCCCTCTCCAACATTTCACTGTACGGCCGTAAGTAATTTTTACGTTGTCTTTCATGGTTTCAGGACACTCATCCTCTGGCGTCGTTTGAAATCGTGTCATTCATCAGCTACGAATTTTTCACCTGTACGTAAGACTTGAAGGTGTCTTGATTTCTTGAGGGTTCAACATTCAAGGGTTCTCTTTATGCAGATAATAAACCAAGTCGCAGCTCAAATCAGGGAGAGAGAAAGCCGGCATGGACCGGGAAGCAACTACTCAGTTCTTCTAATGATTACAGATGGTGAAATAACAGATATGGTCTGCATTGGTCGCGTTGGTTTCAAAGGACCGGGTTGTCATCTAACACTAAGACTAGGAATCCACAATTCGCGCGATAGTGCACGCGTCAAACCTTCCTCTCTCGATTGTCATTGTTGGGGTGGGTAATGCGGACTTCACCAAGATGCATGTTCTGGATGCGGATGATCAGCCTCTGATCGCGGACGGGCGTCGATGTGAACGCGACATTGTACAATTTGTGCCATACAGGGAAATGGCTGGAAATCCGCACAAATTAGCCAAGGAGGTGGGTCTCCTCCGGCTTCGTGATTTTTCTATCTGTTTCAGATGTTCATGAGCCCTCCGGCTTGATAGGTGCTCGCAGAAATTCCTGACCAGTTTGTCAGTTACATGCGCTCTCGGGGCATTAGACCTCGCCCTGCACGTGCACACTCGTTTGCATCTATCACATCGCAGGATAGCGTCCCCAACATGTCTGATGCAGGGCCATCCGATTACGGACTCGCGGGCCCATCTAGACATGCTACCATGCCGGGGTTAAGAAATTACGATGCAGGTCAAAGTAGCGATGCATTACAGCGCATGGCAACTACACCGGCGAATTATGCACCGCCAGCATATACGACGCCACCGGCTGGAAACCCACAGAACTATGATCGCAAGTCGGGACAAGGCCCCTCTTATTAGATCCTCTACGCAGTTGTACCCAGTATTCCCTAATTGGCGGAGGTTAAGATCTCCATCCACACATGCACAACGCACGCATAATGCAAGCTGGAATTTTTGGCATTAATTAGCAGCTATAGAGATTTTGCACTAGTATTACGATATTGGAAAACCCCCCACGTGTTGCCTACAGTATCAACCGTTCAACCATCGTTAGAACTGAGACCTCTCCGTTAATCACTATATCTATTGAATAAACAGCCCAGGTATTACTCACAGCCAATAATTGTTGACAACAGAGTATCCCCATCCCTTCCAATCACAACATCAAATTCGATCATCTTCTAACGTCATTTGTCGTGCCACGTCCGTGCTTTCCACCATCTTTTGAAATTCTTCAAATGATATCTTCCCGTCCAAATCCAGATCTGCCTCCATGATTGTCTTATCCACGATTTGTTGCAATTGGCTGTCTCTTAGGTTATTTCCGACCATCATTTTGAGAACTAGGAAAAGTTCGCCGTTTGATATGAAGCCGTCGCGGTCCATGTCGTAGACTTTGAATGCAACTAAAATGAAAAATCAAGGAGAACATATTATTATATTATGCCGCAGGTACAAATGGATGCAAGCCTTTTAATGCTTGGGAAGCCATATGCTACTCTGGGTTCGCTATTACACGCCACGCAGACGGAGTAATGTCACGTTCATTGTCGACAGCAAATAAACCTACATTTCAGTTTCTCTTCCCTGTTCCCCTTTGTTGAAAACGCACTCAATCCAGAAATGAATTCTTTAAAATCCACGTCCCCTGAGCCATCGTTGTCAAAGACGGCTAATAGACGCTGTGCGAGAGGGTTATTGGCAACTTGGGGAAGGGAAAGGAATTCTTCTTTGGTGAGGGAGCCTGAGCCGTCTTTATCTAGTTTTACAAAGCGTTTGTATAGTCTTTGGATTTCTTCAGCTGAGACTGTGAACCAAGAGGGGCATTAGCGGTTGTCGGGATCATTAGAATAACATGTCCACGCGATGCTACTGGCACTACAGCTTGGATTATCTCCCTTACTTACAGTTTGTGGTTGCCACCATGTCTTCGAGATGTGACCCTTGGGCGCCCATTGTTGCAGGTTAAAATGTGAGTGCTGGTGATTGCGGGGGTTGAAGGAGCGTCTTGCTGGTCCGCTGCGGGGGTACGCGAAAGTGATGACGTTGAATAGCGTTGATCAAGTTTCATTGGCTCATTTCAATGGCACAGTCATGAGAAGTGCGCTCCAAGCGAGTTGAAAGACGCTTAAAGGCGAGCAAGTCGTAAGAGGTCGTTGTTGAGGTTGGGAGGGTCGCCGTGAGCGGGAAAGAGGCAAAAGTGCGCAGGCATATCAAACGCACATGCAAAGGTCCGGCATGTGCGTCCATTGCTCTCCATACTCTCGTTCGACTTGGGCGTCGAAATGAACATGGGGAGAGACGTGTGGTTGTTGTAGTGGCTGTGCAATACATTCGCGTTACTATGACTGTCGTACTCTCTCCAAGTTGAAACTGGCGAGAGCTGCTCTCAACCGACAATGGTGCGCAACATGTGGAAACCGACGAGACGACTGGGTCTAGCCAGCAAGGTAGGTTATTTTAGAAACATATCGTGCGCCGCAAACACCTGTGCCAACTTGTCGAATGATGCAGCTCAGCTCCCGTCCATTGTCGACTGGTGCGTCTCCAAAACCGTCCCGTTTCCGACCATGCACACTGTCAGGAATACAACCGACTGGAGTGCCCCATCTCGGCAATTACCTCGGTGCGCTTGCCAACTGGGTGCGCTTGCAGGATACTAGGACCGCCGACTCTCACGTCTTGTACAGTATCGTCGACCTACACGCGCTGACAGTTCCGCAAGACCCTATCGTACTAAGGAGGAATGTGCGGGATATGGCGGCCTCACTTTTGGCCTGTGGGATTGATCCAAAACGGAGCATACTATTTAGACAGTCCAAGGTGGCCAGGGCCTGTGTGCGAAGAATTTCGGAAACTTGACGTTCTTACTCGTCCATCATGGAACAGGTCCCACAACATTCAGAACTAGCGTGGCTTCTCTTTTGCCGAACACCGATTGGATGGTTGAGCCGTATGCACCAGTGGAAGGTATGAGTCTCTCTCCGGCCCGACTCTATTGGCAGATTCAACTAACATGAGCAACATATACAGTCAAAACTGCAGATGCTTCAACAAAACAACCCGAATGCAGCTGCGATAACCACCGCAAACGCCACCATATCTTTAATGTCAGGGGGAGATGAAAATGCGAAGCTTGACGGCGATGAGAATACACAAGGCTTAAACATTGGTTTACTGGCCTACCCGGTTCTGCAGGCGGCAGATATACTGATTTATCGGTATGGGATGCTTTCCCTTGCATAATAGTGTTCTCATAAATAACAAAAGTTAACAGTGCGACCGAAGTGCCTATCGGCGAGGATCAACTGCAGCATTTGGAACTCACAGTCATGGCTGCACGTAGCCTCAACTCTCATTACAAAAAGGAGATTTTCCCCATTCCAAAAGGGATCTTTGGTATGAGAGCAAATAGACTGTTCAAACGTCCTCATCTGATTTATATTTTATGTTTCAGCTTCCTCATCCTCCAAGCGTATCATGTCCCTCCGCACTCCAACCTCCAAAATGTCAAAATCAGACCCGTCTGATGCTTCGCGTATTAACCTTGACGACACGCCCGACCAAATCCGCTCCAAAATTCGAAAAGCCACGGTCGACTCTTCTGTCGGTATAACATATGACCCAGTCAATCGTCCAGGTATTGCCAACCTCATCAACATCTACTCCAGCTTTTCGAACGAAGAGGTTGCGCAAGTCGCAGCGAGGTTTGCCACCAGCGGCAATAAAGACTTTAAGGAGGCTGTAGGGGAAAGGGTAATCGAGGGTTTGAAACCCATTCGTGAGGAGCTTTTGAGGCTACGGAAAGATATGGGATTTGTCGAGGAGATTCTCAGTGAGGGAGAAGAACGGGCGCGCCACCTTGCCAGCCGGACTTTGCGAGATGTGCAGAAAGTGGTTGGGCTAATATAGATCGTTACTTGCTGGTAATGGTAGCCCAAGCCGACGAAGATGTGTAGACAATGTGATAGATCACTTTTTTGTATTTAGCAGCAACTTTATTCATATTATCAGAAATAGCAAAAAGATCAACAACAGCCTAAAATAATACATGGCGGCTTGGACATATATCTGATCAACTACATAGAAACAGTAAATCTAAAGGAAAAAAAGAGGGAGGGCGCGCGAAAATCATGCTAAGGCGTGTATATTGGCAACGATTCGCTGTCGATATAGGGGGGTAATCGTGGTGGGTAACGGTCAACTTGTCCAACTGCTGTTGGTGGAAAGAGTAAGGGGAGCAAATTGCGGCTACGAAGCGGCGTATATCCAGCAGCTATCGTGATGGGCGGCCTTGACGCTTGCGTTCTGGGCTGCGCTGCTATTCGAATTGGATCCAAGGAGCGATCGGATCGCATTGGTGAGTAAGATGGTGGTGTCGATGAGACCATTTCGCGGAAGCCAAAGAGTTGTTTACAAATGTATTTTGTGATTTATTGCAGAAGCAGTCTTGACAAGGGGAATTTCGTTGTCCATCCCCAGCTTTAAATAGTTTTTCGGCCAACCACACTTGTGATGGGGTTTGGGGGACGAAATCATCGGAATCATGATGACTAAGCAGATCACAGTCAAAAATGTGACTTGTCCACATTAAATCTTTAAGGTTTTCAATTGGTCGTTGAAAGTGGAACCTGATGCAAACAAACACAACATTTGAAAACCCTATGCAAATAAAGATTTGTGTTCTATTTTCCCCCAAAACCCAAAATGTAGTGATTATCTACAATGGAATCCCATGAAGGAGATCAGTATTGTTGCATCGGGTCAATCGCAGTTGCACGTTGCCCAGCGTTCGGGTTGCAAACCCGGCTTCGCAGTATGCGAAATCTGTAGCAGCGATACTCGGGTAAGCACAGAGTGACTGCATCGTCAAGAGGAATTGCACTTACAAAATTCCCACTTTCGCTTGAACACTTTATCGTATTTCGCCTCTAGTCCATGCTCTTGAGCAACTGTATCGCAGTTTTCTATGAATTTCTCTCTCCAGATGCGGAGGGCTTTTGCATAGTGCGGTCCAATGTTTCGCAACTCGTCCACAATCAGATGTCCCTTACTTCCTTGGTACACAGAATCCACTAAGGCTGTGACAGACGGACAGTGACCACCCGGGAAGATGTGACGTTGTATAAAGTCGACTTTCTTCAAGTACTGTTCGTATCGCGAATCCGGCATGGTAATGACTTGTAAAGCTACGATGCCATGCGTGGGATGAAGGAGTTCATGACACTTTGCGAAAAATACGGGCAGAAACTCAGGCCCGACCGCTTCTAGCATTTCCACTGCAATGATACGGTCGAAACGTTGACGTGAACTCATATGGCGATAGTCCATAAGTTTTACATCGATTGATGATGAGAGGCCCTCTGCTGCTATGCGTTTTTCGGCCAGTGCCTTTTGTTCTTTACTGAGGGTTAAAGTGGTCACTCTACATTTGTGACGTTTGACGGCCTAGAAGGCGACAAAGAGTTGGGCTTGGAGAATTGAGTGAGATTGCAAAAGAAGACACATACCTCAATCGCTAATGCGCCCCATCTAAATGTCATCACAAATAAACGGCCCCATGAGTATTCGCAAGAACGTATGCTCTCTAGGACCAAGCAAGAGTACCACTCACCCAGTCCCAACTTCTAGTACGTGATGTCCTTCTTCAATACTTGCCAAATCCAGTATGGCATGTATTTTTCTATACTGAGCTTGCTCTAGAGTATCATCCTCTCCCGCCCAGATTGGGCACGAATACATCATTGAAGGATCCAGAAAACTCGCAAACATCTCATTGCCCAAATCATAGTGTGCTTGAATATTGCTCACTGCATTCAAGATCGTGTTGGGAATCCGAGAGTGCAATACACTGTTCAAAACGGAGTTTAGGCCTGCCGGTAGCAGATTCATCTCGGAATAAGCATCACGATTCTTTGTCAAGATCTTGATGAGCGTTGCAAGATTTGATACGTCGATCTCATGATACATGTAGGATTCACCGAATCCCTAACGGGAAGGGAAATGTCAAGATGACCAAAAGCGAAGTAATATTTGCTATCGGTGCTCACCATTGCACTGAACAGCATCAACCGGATCCAGAATGTATCGCTCAGAACCGTAACGAAAGCTTGGAGATTTGGATCATTTTTGCTGCCAAACTCTCGAGCATCCCCATTTTTTAATGTAATATGAATGTAACCTTGGTTTGTCCGTTTTAATGTGGAAAGGCATGCCGATTGTGCTTTACAGATATAGCTATCGTTAGTTTATCACGCCTTTGCTCGTGTGCCAGACGCGCCGCCAAAGTAATAAACGAACGCCTCACCAGTTGATACGAGCAATTGCCACGGCGACAATGCGGCTGCAAATCGCGTCCATTTCGTATTAGTGCTTGATAGCACTTGCATATCCGGCGTTTGAGTCATGGTTTTGGTACGATGCGGAAGAATTCAATTTAAAACAGGCAAAGTTACAAAACGATGGCCGGGTTCAACTATATACAGAACGCGCAAGTCTCGTAAGTCCGAGAGCTGGCAATGGTCGGCGCTGCGGCGTGGGATGGCGGCTTGAGCCAATGTCGTAAGTACTTAAGCGTCCCAACCCGGAAAAACAAGCAGAGCAGGAAGAAACAGCCTAGGGGCGGCCTCAAACTGTAATTATTCCACCAATAATTGCTTATGTCATCTGTCACCCAACGGAGCATCTTCTGGAGACTTGCACCCACGACTCATGTCGGAGTCTAACGGAGGGGTTTTTTGAGGGCGACTCCACATGTTCTACGGCCTACAGGACATGGCTGCTCTTTACAAGGAAACCCTTTGGTTGCTTCTCAGACTCGTCTCTGGAGCGCGGAACTCTTAATGTCAATGCACGGGCATGATGACCACCGGTCGTTTGCAATGCGTCTGTTTGGAGAGAGCCAGGTACGCCATGTTCTATTTCCCTGCTTGATCCGCAATGGAAGAATCCACGTAATTCGCCAAGTTTGATCCAAGGTATATCTCCTTGCTTATACGTTGCTTATAGAAGCAAATCCGTAAGTTGTATGTACCCTCATCCCTTTTGATTCTCAAAGGCCAAGTAATGTCCAGCTGGCCGAGGTGAGCAGTTGGTTTTCCCAGGTTTAAGCCCGACATGGTCAACGACCATCATCCAAAGATGGCTAGCCCTTTTCCTTGAACAGCAGCTGCTTCTCTCATCCGGCAGTTCCGACTGTGCTTGCGTAATCGTTAGCGTCATCCCGTCACACAAACACGACAAGCCATCTTGGAACAATCCATCTCTAAATCAACTTGCGTTGACCGGAATGTTCGACGAGAGATTTCTGCGATCCTCCAAGGGAACAACGTTGAGTATCCCGACATCTCATCCATCATAGCGACTGTAGACATTGCACTTGGCCAAGACCTGTTGATATCCTTTTTCTGTTTTTCTCAAATGGGCGTGAATATCCTTCTCGGTACGTTTGTGGACCCTCGACTGACTACCTAGGCCAGAGACGCTAATCTTACTCTCAGTCGGTGCCGGGGCTGTTGGAGCGTTCTACGCATCTCGGCTTCATCAGCCTGAAAAAGGTGTGCACGTCTCTGTGGTTTGTCGGTCCAACTACAAAGCAGTACTAGCATCCGGGTTTCAGTTGAAAACCCGCGCTTTCGGCGAGTACACGTTCAAACCCCAAGCTGTCTTCCCCTCTTGCAAAGCGGCTGCAGAGGCAAATCCAAGCATAGTGTACGACTACGTTGTAATAGCAACCAAAGCCCTTCCCGATATCGACGACGAACCACAAGAGGTCGCGCCAGTGGTGACACCGGGGAGAAGCTCAATCGTGTTGATTCAAAATGGTGTCGGGATTGAAGCACCTCATCGAGCCCGGTTTCCAGCAAACCCAATCTTATCTGCTGTAACAGTCATATCAGCCGCACAAACGGAACCGGGTGTCGTTGTGCAACATCGCTGGACCCGCATCTCCATTGGTCCCTTTAGTGGAGACGAAGATTCTTCCTTAGCACAGTCTACGATCAATCAGCGCGATCAATATGCGCAAAGCTCGTTAGAGCGTCTCGTAGCGATTTTCCACGATGGTGGCATATCGGACGCAGAAGGTTGGGATACCATTCAAATCCAATTGGTGCGGTGGCACAAGATTGCCATCAATGCAGCATTCAATCCCTCTTCCGTATTGTCTGGTGGATGGGGAAATGCCGATATGGTCAACGATTCTGAACTGCGGCAGCATACTCGTGGCTGCATGCAAGAAGTCTTTGATGCGGCTCGTAAAATATTTGGACGTCCATTCCCGTCGGACCTAGCCACCATTGATGCCATTATCCGGTCTACGGAGCGAAACAAGGGATCCAAGCCTAGCATGTTGTTGGATTGGGAGGCAGGGAGACCAATGGAGCTTGAAGTGATCTTGGGGAACCCGATTAGAATCGCTCAGAGATATGGCATTCAGATGCCGCGACTGCAAACAATGTATGGATTACTGAGAATGGCAGCACAAAAGCGGGGTATCCAGCGACCGCGGGAGGCGACACCATCTACGGCCAAATTATAGTTTCCTTCTTTCCAATTCAATGTTTCTTATGCCATTATGTATTTTACTGATGAGAAAAAACAAAGAGTTGATCCGACTGGCTCAACCAGCATCTGATCAGCGCTTTTGCTGCAAGAACAAGTCGTTGCGACCCTCCTCTTCTCCAAACGCAGCTAGAATAAATAAACCCTTCCTGAACTCCACGTTGCTCTACCAACAACTCTTTTTCACCCCCGGTATCTCACCCGCCAACGCTCTTTCTCGGAAGACGATTCGGCTAACCTTGAAATCGGTTACATGACCCTATGTCCGCATAACGGTACACTATAGGTGAGCTCAGGCAGCTGAAATCTATGACACGAGTCGTCTTGCACATACCCTTGTCTTTCCACTCTCTACACATCTGTTGTGAACTGCTGTTGGCCGTGAATATTTTGGCAATTTTTGAAGCTCCAATTGCGCACGAATGCGGTCGTTCAGGGTATACTTTCCAGACTTGTCTCGTGCTATAAGCCGGAGGGCTTCGCGTGTGATTTCATTTTCGGCTACACAGAGCCGAGTAAGTTTGTCTCGGATGATATTGGAAAGGGGCATGATGGAGGGGAGGAGAAGGGGTAGGAAGAAGGAAGAACTCTTGGGTCAGAACGAAGAGATCCGTCGTTTAAGCTCCAAGCCGATCTGCTTGCAGGATCAACGACTCATTTGTGATTGCCATGGCAACAGGACGCATTAGCTAAGGCTGGGATCGCCAACTTTGCCGAGGCAGCTTTCCCCACATTTGTCAGCCTGCCGCTCATCCCATTCCAATGTCTGAACGACGACCTAGTATTGCCGGGGAAGAGACTCCTCAACCACCCTTCCCTGTATATCTGAAGGGCGCGGTATCCAAAGGGTTCGGAAGGGGGAGCAGAGAATTGGGAATCCCAACTGGTATGTTCTTCCTCGGTTTGTTTAGATAGCAGCAGAACCTGTCTCGCGGAATCGTCCCTTTTGGAGTACCAGTTGCGCTTCTCACGTTTTGCCTTTAGCAAACCTTCCCGAGGAAGTCGCAGACGAAGCGGGAAAGGTTATTGACACGGGAATTTACTACGGATGGGCAAGTGTCGGCTCATGCCCAGAAGTCCACCCAATGGTGATGAGTTTTGGCTGGAATCCATATTACAAAAACGAAAAGCGATCTGCGGTGTGTTCCTTTATTTTAAGCTGCCACGGATGTTGTCATGTTCTTTTGGTATTCATTGGTGAACTTACAGGAGGTACATATCATCCATGATTATCCCCAAGACTTTTATGGCGAAGAACTACGGATCATTGTGACTGGTTACATTCGTGCCGAGAAAAATTACGAATCTCTAGGTAGTATTCTGTTTTTTCTATTTCACCCGAATATGGCCATTGACACGATATGATCTAGATGCCTTGATAGACGACATCAACACTGACATCCGTGTTGCGAAAAACTCTCTTTCACGTCCCGCATACCAAGCGCTGAAATCCCACTCTTTTGTTGTCTCCCCTATCCCATAAGCGCCGACCGACGCACTCTCTGTTTACATATGGACACAAGCTCTAGTATCTACATATCAATGCGAAAGACTGGCAAATCTACTTATAAATATTACAGAAATTAGATGATATTTAAAAAGACTTTGACTGCCGCTTTTCAATCTCTGGTTTTTTCGGGTACCCATCGTCCGATGCACACGTCCCATATGGCAAACCGCTTGATACAGGTTGGGTCGGCCAGTTCCTTCCGCGTAATATCTGATGGTACCACGACGTGACACAAAAGAACTCGCTACGTTCACATTAATGAATGTTCCCTGATGCATGAACTTACAGATCTGTCATACCTTATTAACCTGTGCGCAGACACGATTTACGCTCAACGCCCATACCCAGGTTCGTGCGGGTATATCGGGTAGGGTATCCCTGTGTGCAGTGTCTGAGACGCTCGGAACAACAACTACCGCGTAACTACAGCCAGTGGGAGATGAGATTGCTATACATGAAACGAAGAAGTTTACGCGTAACGTACTCGGAATGTCGAAAAATCGGGCCTCGTCTATAAAGGACTACAGAAAATGACATTTGAGATCGGTGATGAATTGATGATGAACATTTAAGAAACCTACCATAATCGGTTCCAAACTTGATGCCTGATTTGACAACCCACCCTTGACTTCTGTAATAATGATACGCAGCATAACGGACAGCGAATTCGCTCGAGAGTTTTGAGGTCGTCATTATTTCAGGCCCCACCAGTTGTGAAGCAAATGTGAGTGCATTTGGATGGGATCGCAGTTTTGACCACAGTTCGCATGGTTCAAGTATGTCACCCTAGTCTAGGGTCAGAGACATCTCAGATGGATATACAAAAGTAGTAGTTTACCTCTTCCGATTCTTTTACAGCCAAAATACCTAGGCCGTAGGCAAGGAAGAACGCCTCTTCTGGCGTCAGTTGATATCGTTCGGGATCGACAGTGAGAACACCCCAACCCAAGCCTTCTGCGTACGGTGTCGACACTAATGAGTCGTATCCGTCTGAAAAGGATGACATGCTCGTCGTGGATTTAGGTTCCGATGGCGGCTGCGGCACATTACGCCTTTGAGCGGTCCTCATGGCGCGTCGGCGTGCAGCGAGACCTGTGATTAGATATGATGTTAGAGCAAGGTTTCTGACGGTGCAATTTTGTAACTCCCCGACGACTAGTACTACTTCTTGGATGATGTACTCACTTTCTCCCTCGGTACTTTGTCCATCCCTTGCCATTCTCTTCCACCAGGTCGGTTCGCCACGCGATAATGTAGCCTTTCCAAAAAAGCCACCTCTCCACAGACCCAATCCAAGAGCATGAGTCAAACCAGCTTCCAGGGCAATGGTGCTTTTCCGCTTAAACTCCTGTTCCCAGCGCAAGGCCCTGTCCACTTGGGCCTTTCCGTCTTGTAATATCCACACGCAACCAGACTCTCCCACAAGAACTCCTTCATAGGGTGGCAATGGAGGTTTACGGAAAGGTATTAATGAACTGAACGACTGGAAGAGATATTGAAGGAAGGATGCAATAGTGATTGGCAAGAAGAAACCCTTGAGTGGCTCTTCTTTGCTAATTTGTAGCGGAAAAGGGTTCTGAAAGAGGTGCCGGTCATTCTTGCGGATTGGACGTTTCGTGCTCTGCAATGAGTCCTGAGTGGCGCCCGTCGTGTCGAAATCGCTAGGCGGTGATGACTGCTCGTGCGAGGGTACGGCGGAAGACATTTCTTGTGCGTTTTGATATCCAGCGGGCCTCAAGTCATCCCAGGTCTGGTTGGAGCCACTTGCACTACAACCGGATTTTGTTCCAATTGGATCATGGTTACGTCATGGCTTACCAGCTTATTGGTTGGCATGAACAGGCAGCACACTAGTAGATCTCTGGAGGCATTTTCAATCTAGAAGATTAGTATGCAGAGCTCGTACTAGCAACAAGTCGGCTGCGAAATCACGGCGGTAGTTGGTCGTATCATTGTGTAAGCATCTCGCTCAGTTTTGTGGACCCGCTTCTGCTAGTTGTACGGCAGCTGCGTTGGGCACCACGCTTAAACAAGGAACTCTCAAGTAGTATTATCTGGATGCTTGAAAGTGAAATCTACTGGAGGACCAGTACATGCACCATCTACGTGAAGGATTAAAAAAACACTTGTAAGAGCTGATTGTCCATTTGGACTCCCCGTTGCACACATCAAGAAACATTGGTTGGACTACTGCAGCATCACTTGTGTCATGTCCCAAATTGAACATGCGTGGTGCGTACATGACATTCAACTGAAATGCAAACAGAAATGTTCATTGAATGCCTTCGCCATTCGCTCTTGCCACGGCTGGAGAGTGATCACCTCATCTATCCAAATGGGATAAATGACTTGTTGATATGGCAACAATAGTCGTTGAACGGACAAGGCGAAGCGGGAGCGGCTGCGAACCTGGCGCTGCCACTTCGGAACACCGAAAGCCGGTTTACCAGCAGTAGGGCCCATCTGTGTCCTCGACAGCAGTTAACACTGATACTTTCATTAGTGTATACGAAGCATGGCGTTACTGGACACGACCGATATTATCATCTTGACGGTGATTGCTATTCTCACTGCGGTGTATATCCGGTATTTTAAAGATAGCGGCTCCAAGACGGTTACTGTTGGGGGTGCAGGATCTGTGGCGGCGTCGAGCGGTCCCGCCGGAAGTGTTAAACCGGGATCTGCAGAGAGTCCTCGGTAAGTCGGACAATCATTGTTGCAGCATGTCTAAATGTCGATTGTAGCTGACTTGTTTGGGTCCACAGGGCATATGGAAAAAAGTCTATTTTGAAAAAGCTCCAGGCCCTAGATCATCCCTCCCAGCTCATTCTCTTCTATGGCTCGCAAACGGGAACAGCGGAAGACCTTGCAACGCGGATTGCAAAGGACACAACAACGCACTTCAACATACCTACTCTCATATGTGACCCGGAAGAATATGATATGACCGAGCTCACAAGATGGCCAGGCGAGGCAGAGGGGAAGAAATGGCTTTGTGGCTTCTTCATGGCTACATATGGGGAAGGTGAACCCACTGATAACGTTGTAGAGTTTTACGACTGGATCATGGCTGGAAAGGGAAAAGGAGAAGATGACGGAGGACAGGACGACGGCGGAGATGATCCACTGGAGGATGATGCACTGGATGGGTTCAAATATATCGTCTTTGGCCTGGGCAACAAAACATACGAACATTACAATGCTATTGGCCGAAGGCTTGATAAACGTTTGAAAAGCCTTGGAGGTGTACGTATCGGGGAACGCGGCGAGGGTGACGATGACGCTAGGTAGGTGGTACCAGCTTCATTACATCCTGAATGTTACTAAATGGTTCGCTCGTGGTGCAGTATGGAAGAAGATTTCCTCGCGTGGAAACCGAGTATCCTTGCTGCCATGGCCGAGTATTTCAACGTCGAGGATGCTGGCTCTATAGGTCAGCGGGACAAGCCTCACGTCCCGCTATTCGAAATCGCTCCTGCCACAAATATATCACAAGCCCAGGTATTCTGGGGTGAATACAGTGCGGGCAAACCCAGGCGGTGGCAAAAGGCACAGGATGGTGAAGAAGATTACGAGATGGTAGATAGTGGCGTTGGAGAGAAGTTTGTTGAAGTAAGGTATGTATGAGATTGCATAAAATTAGGACGAAAGAGTTGGCGCACACAGGGGTGTTGTTACTAAGAGCGTACTCGCCGCACAGAAGTAGAAAGATTGCGTACGATGCAAAGCATCCCCATTACGGCAGGATTTTGACAAGTAAACCACTGTTCATCGATGTGCACGACGAGTATACCTTTGACAACACGTATCACATGCCCCGTGCTGGCCACAAGCGGTACTTGGTGGAGAATACCAAAGTGCGAATTGAACGTCATTGTTTACACGTTGACCTGGATATATCGGGTAGCGGCCTGAAGTATGAGACCGGGGACCATGTCGGCGTTTGGCCCGTCAATGATGAGGAGCACTTGATGAGATTGGCGAAGGCGTTGGGATTAACGGAAGAAGAACTTGACAAGGTTGTAATTTTGAAGCCGAACAAACAAAATATGGCGGCAGAGAGCGCCAAAGTCCCGTTCCCTGTGCCCTGTACTGTTCGGACAGCCTTACTGCATTACTTGGACCTAGCTGCCATTGTGAAGCAGTATCAGCTTGAGGTATGTGCTGCACAAGGTGGATTTAGTAATCAGTAAGTCGTGCGGTTAACCTCCGTTTTTACTTTTCTCCTGCAATCAATTAGATTCTTGCAAAGTATTGCAAGGACACTGCAGAGCGTGACTTGCTCTTTGAGCTAGCAGACAATCGAGAACTATATGTTCCACTGATTGAGCGAAGTCGCAAGGATCTTGCTGACGTCCTGGACGTGTTCCAAAGCATAGAGGTACCAATAGCAGTGGTACTCGGAGAACTACTGCCCCGCATCGCCGTTCGGTATTATTCCATCTCATCGTCGTCCAAAGAGGAGCCCAACCATGTAGGCGTCACAGCTGTAATGGTTCGATATGCTCTGCCTTCTCAGTTCCCATCACATCGCGTCAAAGATGGCAAGGAAGGAAATGTTGTTGTCAAGCAAGGTATTGCAACGTCGTGGTTGCAAAGGCTCCATGAAGCGAGAAGTGGTCTAGAGGCGGAAGCTGGCGTTTTGAATAATCATTCGGAGACTGAGCCGATCCCCATTCCCAAGTTCTACCTTCCCTTGTATATCCGAACATCGAATTTCAAGTTACCCCGCAACCCTCGCCTGCCCGTAGTAATGGTGGGTCCTGGAACAGGTGTCGCACCATTCCGAGCGTTTGTCCGTGAAAGGTACCACCTTGCGTCTACCTCGCCCGAAATGAAAGTTGGACCAACCTGGCTGTTCTACGGATGCCGGCATCCCGACAAGGATTTCTTGTATCGGGCAGAATTTGAGGCAATGGAAAAGGGGGTTGCGAGTGGGCAGGTCGATTTGGATTTGAAGGTGTTCAAAGCATACAGTCGCTATGAGGGAAAAAAGGTATACGTGCAACACATGGTAAGAGATAATGGAAAGGATGTATGGAAAATGATGGGCGAAATGGGAGGTTACTTTTATGTTTGCGGGTGAGTAGTATTCAAAGTATCCCTGGGACCAGTGGAAGGGTTACTTATGTGCGTATTTATTTTTGCAGTGATGCGAAACACATGGCGCATGATGTGCAGAATGCTCTCACTGAGCTTGCACTCAAGTTTGGTGGCATGGCCAGTGAGGATAAGGCGAAGGCTTGGGTTAAGGACTTGAGGACCAAAGGACGCTACTTGGAAGATGTGTGGTCGTAGCGTAGGATCATCTAGGTTGTCTTCAGAATCATTGCATTGTTCGGTATTTTTAAGCGGAAGTATAGCCACAGAGATAGATAATATTATGCGACAGCGCGTGTAGAATTCTGCGGTTTCGACCGCAGGAATAATACTCGTTTGTTTATATTCGTTTACATAGCAACGGGTGCGTCACGCGTATTGAGTCATCAAGCAAGCGGTGATGATCGTCTGTGCTGCTTCGAAGATCACCGATCTACTAGTACCTACGCATGTCGACTTCCGAAACTTCACGGCCGTCGGCAGGTGCTGCCAATAACGATGACGGAAAAGAGGATCCATCCTTTGTGCGATGGCGAGAGACATTGTCTAGTTTTCTCACTCCCAGACCTTTAACCGCCCACGAAACGGCCGCAAAGGAGGCGAAGAACATTGAGGCAGCAACCCAACAGGAGGAACGGGAGAATGCGCGCTGTGAGAGGTGGAAGAAGAAGCTGCTGCAAAGCAGTATGTATAATGAGATAATCCAGGGCGTGCTAGGTCGACCTTGAAGTTTGACTATTTCTTCTTGACAGGTCCGATGGTAAAGTTTATGATGGATAACCTTGAAAAGGCAGGCTGTCCATTTCGAGAAGATCATTTCCGATGCACTCCATGTGAAGTAACAAGAGCTGGAGGGTTTGCGCCGGATTATGGGGTAGCTATCTTCATTGGATGTCATCCGCATCTTGGAAAACGGATGCTAACCTAGTAACTCTGTAGATTATTCTCTGCCAAAACAGTTTCCTGTCGAAAAAGCACATGGAGGACACCATGACGCACGAGCTGATTCATGCCTATGACCAATGTACCACAAAGGTTGATTGGAACAATTGCGAGCATTACGCTTGTTCTGCAATTCGGGCAGCGAGTTTGAGTGGGGATTGCAAATTCACAAGGGAGTTGAGACGAGGATTCTTCTCTGTTGCAAAGCACCATCAGGTATGTTCAGTTCCATTTGTTTTTAATCAAGGTTCATGAAATTTATTTGGCTATTACTTGTAGGCATGCGTTAAGCGGCGCGCGATTGCAGAATTGAAGCAGCTGCCACAGTGTCAGGAGGAGAGAGTGGCGGAGGATGCAGTACGAGTAGTGTGGGATAGCTGTTTCAAGGATACAGCGCCTTTTGATGAAATCCCATAGTTTTATGGCAGATGATTTATGTTCAAATTCTCTTGTTTATAAATTATATAGAATCAATGTAGACAAATTCATTTTCATAGCCAATATTCATCGTCCAAATTGTTCTATCATTGTTAAAGGCAAGTGGTAGACTGCAGCTGTTAAGTAGGAACGTTGCAGCAGTAGCGTACATTAGACCTGGTTAGATAACTTTCCAAACCAATCTTCGCCGATTCGAGTCAATGGTTTGTAGCTTTCACGTGATCAACTGCGAGCTGCTCGACTTTTCCCCAGGTTTTGGGCAGCGTTTTTGGGACCGTTTTTTACATACTTCCGCGCTGGGTGGAACTCTGCATTGAGATTATTTGCCATGACAGCTGATCTGGCAGAATCGCTAGCGGTATTGTTCGCATCTCAAACAGGGAACGCTGAATGGATAGCAAAACACATTCATGAGGAGGCTCTGGCACGAGGATACATTTCAACATGCCATTCACTCGACGACCACGCAAAAGCCAACCTCACGGGCGACAATGCAATCATAATAGTAGCTTCGACAACCGGTGACGGAGATCCACCTGATAATGCGACAAAATTCTGGAGGTGGTTGCGGAGAGCGAAGGCACCCGAGCTCGAGGGGTTGAAAGGCAAAAAGTATGCGATACTTGGACTCGGTGATACCAATTACAGTAATTTCTGTAACACCGCGAAACGATTGGAGAAAAAAATGACGGACGTGGGCGCCGTACCATTTACACCAAGAGGGTTTGCGGACGATGCGACAGGGTTGGAGGCTGTCGTAGATCCTTGGATAGAAACGCTTTGGAAAGCCTTGCCGCAGGTTGCTTGTTATGATGAAGAGAAAGCAAAGGCTTTTGAGGAACGGGCGGAGAAAGATGGGAAATTTTCTCTCAAGCTTGGCGCCGAGAAAAAGTCTGTTGGGGAGGCTGTCGCTGATGGGAAGAAAGATAACGGGGAATCCGCCAACACTAACGACATCGTTCCAAAGTCGAGCGATGGGAAAGCTTCTGCGCCTGTTTCATCCGTGAACGAGGTCTCCAAGACTGCTAATGGCGGCGACTCTGGAGATAAATCTTCAGTTGCAAATGCTTTTCTAGCCCCGTTGAATGCTGAGGAGCACGAGCGTCTCGACGCCACATCGTGTACTCCCGTTCCTATTGTCGTGTCCAAAGCAGCGCTTGAATCTGCAACCCAACTCACGAACGTAGCGAAGATCCCAACCGAGTATCTGGATGTAGAGCTAGAGGACCAGGGACGACCAATTGAAAAAAGTGTCATATTGCCTTGTCTCATACGTGACACCCAGATTATTGGGTCTCCTTTTGATTACACCGCTGCCAATCCCTTCAAGGCGAAGATCGCTGGCGTTCGCTGTCTGACTGGCCCAAAGGCACTGAAGCGTGTCCTTGAGATTGAGCTCAACATTACTGGACTGGGTTGGGAGTACGCTCCTGGAGACGCATTTGGCATTGTATGTCCAAATCCAGATGGGTTGGTTTTACCGCTTCTGAAAAGGCTCAGTTTGGAGCCTACACGATTGCTGCGGGTAACAGCAAAAGGAGCGGCTGCCCTTCAAGGCCTGCCGTTTGAGACCAAGACGCCCGTAACGGTGTACGAGGCATTTAAATACTATTTGGATCTCCATTCTCTTCCCAAGAAATCCTTCCTGCGGGTGCTTGCGGAACATACATCTGACCCGACAGAGAAGAAGACTCTCTACTTCCTTGCCAGTGCTCAGGGTGCAGGTGCTTACCGAGACTTACGTCCACAGCAGTCCACCCTCTTGGATATCCTGCACACCTTTCCAAACTGTCAGCCACCTCTTGCGCGCCTGCTTGAAACGCTTCCCCACCTACAACCCCGATACTATTCCGTTGCGACGTCACGGCTAGTTAAGGAAGATTCCGTCACATTCGCTTTCAACACTGTTGAATATCGCACCCCCGCACCATACAATAAACCCATCTCAGGTCTTTGCTCAACGTGGTTGGACGTACTGACCGGAAAGAAGTCTGCACAGAACGTGCGTGACCAGCTGAGCGACCAGGAATTATATATTCCCATTTTCCCCAAACCAATCTCTGAAATCACCGCGCCGTTCCGGTTACCCGAAGACCCTTCCGCACCCGTCATAATGATAGCCGCCGGAACAGGCATCACTCCGTTTATGTCTTTCCTTGCACATCGCCACCACCTGCGTTCATCTGGGACATCGTCATTTGGCGCAATGTGGCTATTTCATGGTCGCCGGTTTGCATCTGCTGACGGCGATGCCCTTTACGAGTCCGATCTTGATACCTATGTCAAAGGAGGATCCCTATCGCGACTGTTGGTATGCACTTCACGGGAGGACGTCACGCCCGACCAAATACGGTACAAATACGTTCAAGATGGGATACGTGCGTTGGGCACGGAAGTGTGGGATCTTGTACATGAGTGTGGAGCCTACGTCTACGTTTGCGGAAGTGTCGCGATGGCCAAGGAGGTCAACCAGGCGCTAGCTGATATAATTGTTCAGAATGGAGGGGCAAAGGATGGAGTCGAAGCATTGACTTTGTTGGCTGACTTGGGCAAGAAAGGGAGATATTTGAAGGATATTTGGACTTGATGAGTAGTAGTCGGCAGCATTTGTTCTTATCATTATTTTTTAACTATATTATAGTAATAACATGGCTTTGTCAAATGTTATGGTTTGTGCGTAGCAGGCGCAACCGTCATGTGTTGCCCCATTTGATCAATGTTAGAAGTAACGTCAATGGATGCACGTAGGATGTAGATCATAGTTCATGCAACTTCCAGCTCCGATTACAATAGAAGGTCCCACACAAATCACTTGTTTCGTACTGATTAGCTATCGGTGATCGCTGGACGGGCGCTTGAACAATGTGGCCGTGATCAAACCGACAGCCGCAACCGCTGCCCCCACGATCGCCATACCAACGAGACCCTCTGAAATTGACATGAACCAATCAGTACACTTCTTGTTTTGGTCAATCCGATCTACGGACAAGGACGCTCACCAGATTTGACTTTGTCATCGATTAATTTTCGCAAGGACAATGCTTTGTTATTGCGCGACTCAAGCTGTAAGAGTGTTTCATTGTATTTTCGAGCATTCTGTCCAGTGAGTTACAGGATTTAGTATTAAGGGTGAGCAGAGATGCATTCTACCTTCAGCTGCATACCCGATAGTTGCCTAGTTTGTATTCCCCCAATGCAAGGTAGTATAAGCATTCCCGGCGTCGACTTGGAAGGTCGCGGTAAATTTCTAGAGAGATTTCCATTTAGCAACATGTATCTGAGCAGTATACATGTACCAAAACGTACCGTGCAATAACTTGATACCCTCTTGCTGGTCGGTCCGCACACGACTTCGTACTGGAGAGAAAAGAGGTCAGCCAACGTTAGTCGTATCGCTAGATAGCACTGTACGCACCAAGTGCCCAAGCGTAATTGAATTTGGTTTGAGGCCGAGGTTTTTCGCCTTCAGTCAAGTATTGGTCACGAAGAATCTGATTCGGGTAAGAATCCGTTTGGTTGCTGCTTTGGACGTACATGCACACTTACCTCGAGCTCCTGAGGAGATAGAGAGATGTCAGCTTCAGATGCGTCTGGCAGTGTGTCCATGGTTTTCCACTCCGTTCTAGGGGCTCGTCTGTGGGGGAATGTGATGACTGTCCCAAAAAATCTCGGAATTCAGAACCTCAACGCCATGAGTCAGATGTGTGTCAACGTCACCACGATTGGATCCGCATTAGATCCAGAAGGCCGTTTTGTTTACAATGGATCTTGTCGACATCTTTGATATTATTTTGTATTGTGTATTTGAACCTTTTACTGCAGAAGCAAGCAAAGTAGGAATTTAGGTCCTACATACTTGGAAGAGCATCTACTAGGTATATCAGGTGTCGAGGAGCATCCACTCCTTGTCCTTGCCCGACCAATCCAAAATTACGTTTGTTTATTTTGTCAATGTTTTATGAATAGTTTATACACATACAGATGTAATTTGCGCTAACCTAAGTTAATCCCATTCACTAAATTCTTACGATACACCCTGATCGTTTTGCGCTTCGCCAGCTTCGGGGGCCATGTTTTTGCTACTCTGCTTGGACCAGGTCCACCACGGTCTTCCACCTTGGTTCCATGATGACCTCTTGTTCATCTTATTAATGGGAGTAGTCGGAGTGACTGGAGAGCTGACTGAAGTGGCCTGGGTTGGATATGTCGCTGCGCGACTTGCTTCTACGTTAGTTATTGTGCTCACATCCAAGGGAGAACTAACGGCTTCCGGGGGCACCGGTGGAGTGCTTTGCGAGGTGACATCGACCGTATCCGGTTTTGTGACAGTGAGCGACCCCTTTCGCTTCTTTTTTTTCTTCTTATTAGAGGATTTCGACAAATTGTCGTCCGATTTCCCTACCGCTCTTTCCTCCTTTTTCTCTTTTTCCGGGGAGATCTTGGAAAGGGATAATTCGCTTTTCGCTCGTAGGCTATTTAGCGACTTGGAGTTACTTGATGTTCTGGAGGAGTTGGAACCACGGCGAAAGAAGCTGCTGGTCTTGGACGACGTTCCTACTGTTGACATGGTGTCGTCTGTCCATTCGCTGCTGTCTATGCCACCAAAGGCGTCATCCGATAGCGCTTTCGTTGGAAGAGTTACTGCATCATCAGTAACCAGCTCCGTTTGTTCAGCATTCATGGCCGATCGTCGGAGCGAGTCAGTACTCTTCCCCTTCAGCATATGGGCCCATGAAGGCGTTCGCTTTATGTCCCCATCGCTCATCTGAAACCGCGATATATTCTCTTTTCGTCTCATGTCACCCCCGTCCTGTGATTGTCTCTCTCGCTTCGGTTCCTTGGACGTGGCAGGTACAGATGTGTTCCGCCGTCTCGCAGCTGTTGGAGACGTTTTGAGACTATTAGATAGCACGCTACTGGGTACGTTATCCGCACTCATAGGGCCCTCGCTGGGGATCTCCACCTCCTGATACCTATCGGCGGCATCTCGCAGTATGTTGTGCTCAAAGTCATAATGAATAGAACAGAACCGTGACCGGATGGCTTCAGCTTCTTGAAGCCATGCATTTTTATCGTAAGCACTGATGGTCTGAAGAGAGTGAATTTCTTGCTGCAGGTGGATAATTTGAAATATGTTTTTCATGCCTAATTAATTTTCATTTAGCTTCCTTCCTTGGATAAGTATAGGAAATTCTCTGCTACTCACCATGCGCATCGGGCTTATCGAGGAAGACGGCTGCTTCCAATGGAATCGGTGGTTTGAACAAAATGAAAGTATCCGCCTTTTTCGGGCGCACAATGAGGACGAGATCGGTGAAGAACAGTACGACCACCTCCACGGTGCCATTGGTGTTCTTCTTCAGATAGGTAAACGACTTTTCCGAGATCAGTTCCCGGCGCCCATTCGCAAGCTTGAATCGCTGATGGAAATAAAGGGGGTCAAAAAAACAATTTAGAACCAAATCGCCAGAGTACACCCCTTACCTCAACTACGTTGTTGAAGTCCAAGTTCTCGTCAATCAAGTTAATCCTATATGCAGCCTCATGACGTCTAACACCCTCATTAATATCTGCTACTTTTTTTTCAATACCGTTGATAAAATCATTGACAGTCTCGTATTCCGACGACCCTTTCACAGTATTTGATAACAGCCGCTTGAACAGGATGGGATACCGGGTTATGCGATGCATAGGCTTCACCAACAGATCTGCTAAGTTTAACTTGTTCAGCTTGGGATTAGCTTCGCACTGGGTCAGCATTTTTGTGAATAGAGGATCTTGTTTTAGTCGAGCCAGCTTCCGTCGAGCATTGTGTTGGTTGCTGCAATATGTCTCGTACGCCGTGAAGGCATCTAAGCGCTTGGCGAACAAGGAAGTAATGTTGGGAAGTAGAGCGCTCGTGAAACTGACGTGATTATGAAGCATCTCGTCCCGCTTGTCAATGAGAGTAGCAGACAGCTCATCGTGAATATCGAGAATTGTTTTGACGTTTGAGAAGACATCGTTCTCGGATTCCAAGGTCAGAACACCGGCCACTGATAGTGGTCTAAAGAAAATCCCCACAATGTTCCTCAGATCATCTGTATAATTAATTTCCGTCTCGATGATTTCCATCAATACATCCCTCTGCTTGCGTTGTCGTGTTTCATCCTCTTTTGATATCGTTGGTTGTCTCATTGCGGATGTTCCACGCTTGGGATGCTCGTATAGAGTAGCTGTATCAATATTGACCTTGAGTCGGAATGGCGTTTCCAGGAGATTCAATCCGAGCTTAGAAGGACAATCTTCATGGCGAAGGGGCACATCATCTCCATCTCTGCTGGTATATGACAGAATATAATCTTCGTCGTTACCTGGCATCAAGAATTTTTCGAGAGCCATTCTGATGAGTTGCTTGACGGTCGTCTCGCTGGTAATATAGAATGTTTTTGTAGATTCGGCCTTCATGGCAGAGTCCATTGTAACAACTTTGACCACCTCACCCTCCGTACTGAGGTCCGCTAAAACCGTACTTGCCGAACTTGACGTCCTCTTGTGCTCTAGCGGGCGTACACCTTCTTCGGCTTTCGTCTCTACTAGTGAAGGATTGTTTGCGGCAGCGGCAGCAGCTGCAGACAGAGCCGCCAGTTGCAGTCGACATCTGGTCAATTCATGCTTGAGCACATCAAGCTTCTTATTTGAGCGTTCCATCTGCGAGTCCATTTCCACTGGTACCGGTTTTTTGCTACTACTCGGTTTGGCTCCCAAGCTCCCTTTGGCACGGAGTAAATTATCCAGTCCGTCCCGAATCTTCATTTCAATATCCACTTCACGCTGCACTGCTTGCATTTTCTCGGTTACCCGTTTCATCTTCTCCGACAAAACTTCGGTTTGATCTTCTACCTCGAGAGTGTTCGATGGCTTGACACAGGAAACCCGGATAGCGTTTCGACAATTTTTGTGGCACATGTATCGACAGGATTCGCAGCGGTATGCCGAACTTGCATCTTCGCTCCCCTTGTCATAGGCGACCTTACGGCAACAATGTTCACAAAATTGTTGATCACCATTTGTATACTGCACGAATGTGTGTGGGAGTTCCCCTGAACCATATGCTACGTTCAACTGGTTCTGAAAGTAATAGACGAGGTTAGTTGGGCTCATCTTTCAGAAAAGCGACACTGCATACATTGGAGTTCCTTTTCCAGTCCTTGCTTGGACTCGCGCTTCCATCATCTGTGGTATCAGGAGCATTGGCAGACTTTCGGCTATCAAGAGATGACATGCTCCTCGTCCTCGACGCAGAGGTTGACCCCTGTTTACGCAACAGATGAGTAACCAAAGGTAACCGTTCAAAGGACATGTCTGCAACCACCTTTTGCGACGACTTTCGAACAATAACACCTGATCCACGGACTCGAAAAACCTCACAGTCAACACCCATGGCTTCTAAGGACGTCATCAGCTTTTCCCATGCTTCATTTCCATCGTAGACGGCGGATGGCATGTCCGTAATTCTCTCCGCTGCGCGATTATATTGAATGGTAGTCAAATGCCTGGTTCCTCGTAAATCATTTCTCATCGCCTGATAAAAAGCACTTGCTCGGAAACTTGGAGCAAATGAATCCGCTGAGCGGATCGTATCCGCCTTTTTGCCATCTGCAGCTGTATCTATACTGGCGTCAAAGGTGCCGTTGTAAATCTCCTCCAACCAATTCAAGACCATGAAGGCCAGGTCGTCAAAAAGCGTCGCATCGTGATTATCGATATTGGCCTTGATGGCTGCTATAACCTTGCGGACATTTTGGTATTCGGGTGGAACGCGGCGGAGAATAAACATTGGGGCCGTTTTGACGAGGTATGTGTTATAAAGACGATATGCTTGACTCTTGCGAGCGGAGCTGTACAGAGTTGGGTAATCAAATCGGAATTGTTGGGCATCCATTCGAAAGTACTAAAGTTAACCTAGTCAGATAAAAAGAACCATACGGATAAAGGAAGGGTTTTCGTTGCCATACATAAAGATTTTCAAATTCCCTCCACAACAAAAACATTAAAAAATAGCATCTGGAAGGCAGATACATGCGTCGTGAGCAGAGGATCCTTCTGTCTCCTTCGCAAAAACACTTACCTTGTAATAGGATGATTCCAAATGCCTGCAAATCCCTGCGTCCCAATTTCCTTCAAAAAGCCATCATCTTCAGGTGCCTGTCCTTGTCCGTCTCCAGGTGCAGCGGTTCCGGCCCGTGACCTCGCCTCACGTTTAACAGAGGCACCACTATCGTGCTTTGGCGGCTCTGGCGGAGGTGCAATGGAGTTTTTGCGTAAATTGGACAGAAGGTTTGGTATGGTAAGCAGGTTGCTCATCGTTTGGAAGGAGTACGAGGATCTTGACCGCACCACAGGAGGATGCGTTTGATTTGGTGAAACGAGCCCTGTTCCACTCCCCGGCAAAGATCCAGTTGCACTTCGCGGAAGCTCAGCCGATCCATGCGCTATGAGTGCTGGAAAGTCCATCGGACCTTCGCTGCTTCTAAAGTCAGCATCGGACGGAAGGCCGCCTGCATCCTTGAAAGAGGCACAACGTCGGATGGTTGCGATCGTCGGACCAGATTCTCGCGGTTCTGGTGGTGATGCCAAATTGTCAAAAGACCCTCCATATCTGGTCCCGCCGGTTTTGATACCAAAGCCTCCTGATTGGGGTCGCCAGCGTGCCTTAGACTTTGACGAACCGTCGCTGTCTGGGGGACTCAGCGGTTGGATATTGAGAGCGGCGTCAATGTCCATTCTTGTACCAGACTATCAAAGGCTGCAAGAACATGCACCCGCCTCGGACAAATTAGCGAACTTGCAGTTTTGTCATGTAGCGTGTTGTCTCCGCACGAATCATGACTGAGATTTCCAGCGACGGTCAGGTGAAATTTAGATACTATAATAAGAACACATGCGGAATATGCTTATTCCAGACGACTTTCTTGATTGAGGTACTAATGACCCTAACATGTCATCATACTATTGCTGATCTTGGAATCCAAACATTTACAAGAAGGCCCTATTCATCCCCACCCGCCATAACCGCTCGCTGTCCCAATAACCCTTTATCAGTAACGGGGATAGTGTATCCAGTTGATTTAAAAGTAATACTAGCCGGTAACTCCGGCTGTCCCTGGATAAATGTAGCTTTCAGAATGTGATCGGCATGGATCACTTTGCCAGTCCCTTTCAGTAAACCATCCTTCCAATCACCCTCCATCTACGAGTGGAATTATCAGCAGGCCAACTCATAATCTTACATATATCCAGCTGCTTCACACTGTCGTACCTTGCTTCCATTTGCTATGATTGTATATGCGCCTTTGCCGTGTTTCTTATCGTTCTCCCATTCGCCAATATATGTATCTCCATTCACATACACATAGGTTCCTTGTCCATGTCGTTTGCCCTCCTTGAATTGACCTAGGAAAAAGTTATTGATGCCCTTCCAGAAGAGACTATGAGAGAGTTCTTGTATTTCACCTCTGTATTTAGATCCGTCAGGATATACGAAATCTCCCTGTCCATCCCGAAGATTGTCCTTGTATTCACCAGAATATCGGGCTCTAGTTTTCTTCCACTTGTAGACACCAAACCCGTTGCGGGCACCATTTAAGTATGTGCCTTCGTATATGTCCCCATTGGGAAAGATGTTCTTCCCTCTGCCGTGGCGCTCTTTGTTTTCGTTCCTCTCTCCTTCATAGATCTGAACATCTGTAAACACCATGTTTGCGGACGATGTCAACATCCGGAAACATACCCCAATGCTAGGCCCTTCCTCCTGATATTCTGCCTCGCTTCCTGCGTCTGACATGGCGTCTGAAAAAGCTTCAAAATGAGGTAGTCTTTTGCAAAGAGGAGATGTTCTAACGTCCAGCGGAGTTGCCGCTTAGGTAATGCATAAAGTCACGAGACAACCCAGATGCCGGACCCGGCGGGTACCACTTGATGTGCCTGCCGTCGCCATCTTGTTTATATATCGGGCGCCAATTGATTCCAATAGCTCAGACGACTCCGCTGCTCGTCCAATAGATACTATCGATTTTCTTTGCCACTCGTTGGTTTCAATATTTGCAAGCGAAGCCCAGGACATGAACTTTTTTGGAAGGTAACGCTTGAGCTGGACTGCTTCCTACGAAATTTCGCAGGCTCAAAAACATAACTCCCAGCAAATTCGGGAAAGGAAAATCAAAAAAAGACGGGACGGCGAAACCTCTATGGCTAAGTCAGCCATTTGTCGAGGCAACCCTTGTCAACGGCAGTTTGCGGAAGGTGGTGGCGTTACCACGATATGTGGACATTAATGAATGGTGAGAAGGGGCAAGGGAAAGACAGACGGGGATTGAAAAAGGAACACGACGAGATTCTAAATTATTTACTCAAATTGCTGTAATAGGCTAGCGGTCAATAGTAAGTATTCCCCCCAGCAAAGTTATTATTCCAACTATGTCAAATCTAATCCGCCATTTAGCCTTTGATTTCTTCAACTACGTGAATCTGTTTTATGGTGCAATTGCAGAATTCTGCACACCAAGAGATTGCTCAGTCATGAACGCAGGACCAAGGTAGAATCGATCGATGGTCAGATGCAAAATGGGTCACTGACGGCACAATGCTTAATTAGCACCGAATATACCTGGACAGATGGTCAACGCCGAACGGTTAAAATTCCAGCTCCTCAGTACGTAGACTACGTAATGACATGGATTCAAAACGTGCTCAACGACGAGACAGTCTTTCCGACAAAATCAGGTTGGTATCTCCGTTCTGGTTATGCCATTTTCTTCAAGTCCTATAATATCATCTCTCTTTGAAGGCTCCGAATTCCCACCAAATTTCCTCATCTCCATCCGCGGTATCTTTAAGCAACTTTTCCGAATCTTTGCGCACATATACCATGTGCACTACGATAAAATTCTTCATGTGTCAGCCGAGGGCCACTTAAATACCCTTTTTGCGCACTTTATCTGTTTTGCAAGGGAGTTTGATCTATTGGATAAGAAGGAACTGACCCCACTTATCGATTTTGTGGTAGAGCTGGAGCAATCGCAGCGGATATAGTGGTTTGGATCTAGGAAAGCGAGAAGGGAGAAGAATTGGGGTATCGTGGACTCTAATTTTCCTGTATCTACGTTTATATAGTATATCATTTCATACGTATATGGGGCGATGGACGTCGCGGGCGCTGTTCTACATAATACAGTTTTCACCAGCTTCGATATTAGTCACGGGACATGCACATCCTACGGCAGTCAGCTATTTAGCATTTTATTGATTTATTTTCTCAATATAATTTCCAGGTACCAGTCCCATTTCCACCAGTTTGATCTTCACCTTTCCCTTCTTTGGTCTGGTCTCCGTGTCCGTCTCCGCATCCTTTCCTTTCGATTTCGCCTGCGAAACCATCTCCTCCAACTTCCCTCGACACTTGAGTCGTAATGCGGTTGCCCATCCAGCACCATACACACCTGCATAATCTAACAACTGATTCAATTGTGCCGCCAAGTCTGATGGTGCTGGGTTGCTGTGGACGGTGATGGCAGGTCTGTCATTCAGGTCACCTGTTGTCTTGGATCCGCCGTGAACAATGGTGAGTAGATCATCGGCTACATAGTCGATGCTCGCCCATCGCTCGTTTAAACCTGAGTCCCGCGAAGCGGTTGGAGTTGCTGAGTCGTCAACTTCTTCGCTTTCCATCGATTGTGGATCACCGGAAGTGTCCTCCCTCTCTATCTCCCCACCAACTTCTTTTTCTCCCGCTTTTTCCTCCTTTTCGGGATCTCCTGTCTTGTTTTCCGCTTCCTCATCCATCTCCATAGGCTTGGTATCACTACCAACATCGTCTCCATCCAGCCACCCAATAAAAGCAATAAAGATTTCGTCGCCCTCCGCTATGGTCATCTCCCATTCGGTTACTTTTTGGAAATCAAACATTGCTCGCGCACGATAAAACCCTAGCTCAACTCCACCCAAGTGCTCCCGCAATTGTTTCGCAAATTCAGGCAATACCAAATTATTCATATCATGTGCCTCAACATCATTCGGATGTGCTCGGGGTTGCATTCGGTATTGCCCACGTCCCCGATGATCGTCGTCGTCGGATTCAAAAAGGCGTTCTGCTGATCCATATGACGTGGTTTCATCTTCATCTGAAGAGGAATTGAACCAGTCACTGCTGTTGCTTCGACTGGATGAGGCGGAATTTTTGGGGAGAGGGAGGCCGTAATGACGTGGGTCGGTAGTTGGGAACGCAAAGTCCCTGACTTTCACACCAGGTATTGCTGAAGAAGATGACATTAGATTTCAGTGCTGTCAAAATCCAGATTCTAGCACTTTTCTCCTCCTTCTATGTGCATGCCGACAATCAAACTCTACGAGCATGTTTAATGCAGCCTTCAAGCACAAAACTGTAATCCCTGCTTTCCCACGCAGTGCATAGCGAACCAAGTCCCGCACCTTCAAACTGCGAGTATCGCTGCACCCTCGACGCCCTCGACTTGCTAGCTTGCGAGGCAACAGAGCTCCGTACGCTGTTTCTTCCATTTTTCCAACTTCCCTCGCTTCTTCCAGAAATCCGCTTTCTTTCCTCTTCACTAATACTTGTTTCGGGGGCTTCAAAACACTAAATCAGACCACAAGGAACCCAAGGACACAGATGAACGGATTCCTACCTAGAGAGACAGGCACCACCTCTTTGTCTGCCTCCATAAAGGACTATCCAGTCTATTACTGAAAGGCTTCAGAGTTATCGTAAGGTAGTAGGTTGCAGAGCGAACAGTTCAAGTTGCTTTACAGGTGAGGAGGTACGCGGTTCCGTCAATACACGGTGATGACGCTCTGCAGTTGGCATGGCAACAACACTACCCAACTCAGCCGGCAAATATTGAATTCTAGTCGGAGCTACTAGTTTCTGCTGGTTACTACACATTTACATTTATTGAAAGCCTCATATAAGACAGAAAAAATTATAGGAACAGACCAGAAAAAACCCATCTATGTCTATCACGTTCATAGCCGTAATGAACTATTAAGCTCATTAGATATGTCCAATAACTCACTGGCACGAGCTCCAGACCATTGTCTAATTCCGACAACTTCTCCGCGCTCCACCTTTTCCAGTAGTTGCTTCAACTTGTTTGCATAAAGGTCCATTATCGTCCAAATGCGTCTTCCGCTTTCCAGCATTGGTAAATACACCGTAGTGATAATATCCAGACCTTCCTGTATTAGAGGATCGCGCAGCGCCGAACGGGGAATTATTCCGTTTTGGCGGACTCTTGACACGAAGGCAAGGAATGCGGCACCGACAAGCCATACTGTATAGCATGTCACAGGATTCTGTATGAACAGAAGAGGTGGTGCAGGCGACGCGGGGCTAAACTCTTCCGCTGGAGATCGTGAGGGCGTAGGGGGAATAGTAGTGAATCCATTCATAGCATAAATCGCTCGGATGAGGAATGCTTTTGCCCGCATCGTCAGCATTAGAATCTCGGCGGACGTTGCCAAAGGTACGTTTGACAAGGTAACACAGGTACGGTAGCCAGCAGTTCCGGTAACGTCCATCTCCAAATCCACTCCCTCCCGATGATGCACAAGCGCAAAGGCCGCGATATAAAACGCATTCATCATAGCATATTGAAAGCTGGCCAGCTGCGCGACACTTGGCAGCGGAGGTAATCTCCCGTCCCTGAATACTTCCAAACTATCAAATGAACGCTCTTCCGGTGGCAAAGTGCTCCACCATTCCACCAGCACGTTGTGCAGACGAATTCTCTCTTGTTCTCTCTCCTGAGCACTACATCCACTCGGTTTTGGCAACACAGAGAAGACCAAACTCGCGGAAGTCCCTTCGTATCGACGAGTGTCAAAGGGTACGTCGCGTGAAAATCGCTGAATGCGCCGTAGCAAGAATTGCAATTGTAAGAACCATGGTTTCGTTCTATCGCAGTGAGTCTCCAGTAGCTCGAGCGACGGCGTCCAGGCATTGGGTCGAAAATCATGAATCGTGTAACTGGGATGGCCATGAAGTAGTTGGCGCCAAAGACCTTTATCTTCCAATTCCGGGGATGATGTTGCAGGCAGCGAAACAAGACTAGCCCGTGAAGAGTCCACCGCTTCGGCCAAAATATGTGTATAGTTGGACTCTTCCATGGCTGGATTCAACTCGGCGGCCATTGAAGTCATTGTGTCCGCCGTGAAGCAAAACATCCAAGTGATGCGTAATGTCAAAAGTGTATGACGGGGATCACAAGAAGTGGGGGCTCCCCAGAGCGAGAGTAAGCGGTTCGCCTCGTGTCCACCGGCGAAACCAAGCCTCGCCCTTTCCGTAGCCTGAATAGCAGATGCTGTGAAACAACCGACGTATTAGGTTGACAACATGCAGGCTTGAATGAAAAATTCATCTTGAACTTACAAAAGTACTGGAGAGCCTTAGCAGGCTGGTTCATTCCAAAACTCCATTTGCCCAACATAATCAGCACTTGTAACCGGGTTATGGTATCAGTTACCCCTTCCAATGCCTTTGTAGCTTCAGCGTGGAAGAGTTCCGATGCAGTCCTCGGATTACGGTACGGTTCCTGGTACAAGGCTGGATGTCGTGAATGCAAGCATCCGTATGCATAGATTGCGTATAGCAGCGCTGGGGAGTGCCGGTTCGTTGGGATGAGATTGGAAAAGAAGTAAGCCTCGTCAAATAGAGGCATACAGGTATTGATGAAAGCAAAGTAAAGGGCGATGAGATGGGTGAAGAGATGCGGTAGTTCTAGTGGTACAGTTGTCTGCATAGATTGTGGGATGGGAGTTGATGGATGGATTGCCGTCAGAAACGTTTGAGGATCGATTGCGTACGTCATCTCGGCAGACCCGAGAGGAAGATGGGGAGGTACGAGGGATGGCCATGATACTGCGTCAAACACTGGTACTTCGTTACCGAGCATGTAGGTGATGGGCATGGCGGGTGAACCTTCGGACAGGTCGTCGTCTGACGCAGGAGGATCCGATGGAGGCGGTGAGGAGTATGTTGGGTTTCCAGCGGCGACTGCCGCTGTCATGGTAATAGCTTGTTGTTGTGTACCCACAATTTGTCGCTGACCCTCCTGCCAGTCCATCCATGACTCCTCACCATCATTCTCGTCTTCGTCCTCGTCCTGCTCGTCTCCGCTCTCTTCTGCGTCCTCCACTGCATCAGCTTTTCGGCCACTACTCAACCCCTGCATAATGCCAGCCATTTCGGCCCGTGCAGCTGCAGCAGTGCTGGCAGAAGGGGCAGCGCCTCCCTCCTGCAGTGGCCGTAATAGCGCCTCTAGTGCTTCTAGTCGCTCAATCAGCACGTCTCGCAGCTGCCTCCGTGGTCGCTTTTTCTTTTCGGCATAGGTGCACTCAACGTCGAGAATCCCTCGATCCCGAGCCTTTTCACAGTTGTTGCAAGTAGGGCGAGCGCCGTTGCACTTTCGTTTCCGCACACGACATCGGTCTGGGTGGCGGAATGAAAAATGTTAGTTGGTGGCCGACATTGTCGGAATGACTCTCACTTACCGCAAGCTTGTATGCGGCCCTTTTTTGCTGGACTGCTATCGACTGCTTCAGTGGATGGAGATCCAGAGTCCAAAGATGCCATTAGGCGCTGTTCGTGGTGGTGGAATTGATCAAATGATCAAATTAATTCTATTTTTTCCAACTCGTCTGGTCGCTGCCCCATTTCTCAGCGCCTGTCCTTGTCGTCGGTCAGTCACCTTCTGTCACACAGAGGCGTTGTGATCGGCACGTGCTCAAGGGTTAGGCGCGCATTGACGGAGGTCGAGATGATGAAAGAGTGCAAATGGCCAATTGGAAATGTTCTCCATCGTTAATTTAGCGACCCGTCTGTCAAGTACCTCCTACCGTCCATCCTATATACAATCTCGTCCTACGCTTGCTCAAGGTTTTCTACTAACACTTCCAAACTCTTGATCAAACTTGACATACAGCTCTAAATCCTTTGGCGAAACACTGGGTTTCACCTGCGTCAGCGCGTCTATGAAATCTTCGAGGATAATGGGGCGGACGTCGGACACGTCTATATTTGAAATATCTTGAATGTCGCGTATGGGACCTTTGCGGCCAGATAAGTTATTGACAGTGCGGAGAAAAACGAGATGAGGTTAAACTTACCGAGAGCTGCCTCGCGGACGAGACCGTCCATATCGGAACCACTGTAACCTGCCAATGACACAAGACTTTTAAAACTGCAAGTATTGTAAGGCAACCGACGTGTGGCTCACATACCATCGGTTCGGCGAATCACCTCGTCAACATGCTCGTCCGATAGCGCGTGTCTGAGTCTCGACAAGAGATTCAAAACAATACTTCGACGTGCTTCAGCCTCGGGTAACGGGATGTAGAGCCGTTTCCGAAATCTCCTGCGGGCAGCCTCGTCGATTTCATGGGGTCTGCTCCAGTGTTAAATGATCAGCGATTTTGGTCGCAGTAATGTGACAGCTGAAGTGGCGGTCGGCACCTGTTGGTTGCACCTGAGAAAGGGCTCAGCTTCGATGGAACGATAATGAGCTGCAAATCACTTTGGTAAAACCCGTACCTATCAACAAAATCCTATCTTCATTATCTGTCCCACAACCATCAAATTGAACCTACAGCAAGCAAGTCAGCCACCATGTCACAGGAATGCATCCAACAAATGCAACAAATGCAACAATTCCACACCAGAAATTCCGTCTTTATCCGTCGGGTAGCATCGTGCTCCCCGTCAGTCCGTTGAGTTAACAACGAATCGATCTCATCAACAAATATGACGCTTGGCTGGTGTACGCGTGCCACAGCAAATAAAGCGCGCACCATTTTCTCACCGTCTCTTTGTATGAGAATGCAATTCATTGCCATGATCGGATGGCAAGAACTGATTTAATATCCCAACTTACCCGATCTACCGGGGAAGGTAACATAATCAATAAACCGCCTACTGGCATCGAAAGCTACAGAGATCCACACATACCCATTTGGATGTCAATGAGGAGGAGCTGATACTGAAGAAGGTCGCCTTGCATTGACTGGCGATGCATTTGCCAATTAATGTCTTCCCTTAGATGATTATTTCGTCTTTTACTCAGCGGCTCCAGAAAATGTGAGATGAAAAGTTGTCTCACCTGTCCCTAAGGAGCAGATTGCAGCGATACCCAACCCGAAAATTAATCAATAGAGAAAGAATGTCACGAAATGCTAGGAACACCCACCAGGCGGTCCAAACAAAAGTAGCCCTTGAGAGAGAGCTATTAGCATGGCACTGTGGTCGGTTAAGCCCCTCTTTGCAGACGTTACCTTTTGAAGGCGCTCGTACCCCGCAGAAGATATCCGGTCGCAACATAGGAAAGACTACAATCTCCTTGATTGTGCTTTTCGCGAGCTCTAAACCAGCAATGTCGTTCCTAATAGTCCATCAGATCATTAAGACCTGTTCTGGAACGCATATGCATGATGAACTGTTTACCAAGTGACTTGAGCAACTTTATCCAGCATCTCATTCATGATCGTCTCAATCATCCGAGGTTCTATATTTCTAAGGCGCTCATCCACTTCTTCGCCCTCCTGGCTTTGGGCGGATTGCGGTAGGTATTTCCTTGCACGCGTAGAACTAGCAAGTATCATTGGCAATTCGATAATGTTGATAATGAGCTGAACTATTACCTGGTACTATTTTCCTCATCCCTATTCAGCAGTGGTGAGACAAACCTTCGCCCGTTTGTACCAAGATGCTTTTTTCTTTTAGTAAGAGTTGCCCCTCCCCGGCCAGAACTCGGCGGTATGCGTCCCCGGTTCTTGGTCAAGTTATCCAGCGCCTACAGGACTTTTGGTCACAACCGCCATCAATATACTTCCTAATCAAGCGAGCACTTACCAGCTTTTCACCACCGGTCATGAACCCATCACTTGATGGATTGGACCTGCGATTAAATGCATCTTCTTCGCTTTCCTCTTCATCCGAGTCACGGGCTCGTCTCTACCGAACCGATGACTATGCATGAGTAGAAACCTCAAATTGCGGTGCGATACAGATAGAGCACCTTATATCCACTTCGCTCGTCCATGTCCATAGGATCAAGATCATCAGATGTGTCCGTGCGTCTATTTGATGGTCTCAATGCCGCCAAGCTGACAACATGACCACCCGCTGATGGACCTCTCGTGCTTGACCGGACGTTTTGATTTTGTGTCCCAGTAACGTGTTCGGAAAATCGACGGTGGAGACTGCTACCAGACTGCGGAACCACCGATTCAGTTCCGAAAAGGTCTTTTCTCATTTGTGATGATTCCGACCGTTGTGACCGATTGACAGCACCGTTCAACAGTTCTGCATTGGAAGTGGATTTCCTTGTACTCACCGGTGCAGGAGCCGGCGTGTGGTGCTGCATCGAAATACCTTGACCCTGAACAGGTCGAGAAATTGGTGTAGACTGCTTGACGTTTGCAAATAGTGCTTTCGCAACGCCGAATTCGGTCAAATCTGGTGGAGCCAAGTCCATGGAATCGTCGATGCACATCTAAAGGACTAGGGTCAGTTCCTTTACTGGTCCATATTCATTCCCTGCTCAGCATGCAAATTCCGGAATCCTTCCATCATACCATATCCATCATGCCGTCCAACGTCAACTCCGACTTCCAGGTTTGCATGCGGCTTTCAAGCCGACCGCGACGCTGGACCAGAATCTTTTCAACCTGCGCAGCAACTGACCCAGCTCTTTTGCTGTCAAAGTGAGGTTCCATGCATTTGCCATACATTTGCAGATACTATTACAACGATTGTCAGATGCATTGTTTTGTTTATTTTGGTGAAACCACACATAAGATCTACCTCCTCCTCTGCGTACGCGATATTGTGACGTCGCTTTATAGCTAGCAGAAGATCCTTTCCCGTCAATCGTGCGCTGTATATATTTTCCGCTGCATCGGCGGCTTCAGCATCCACTTGTAGCATGGCCTTCCGCATATGTCCAGCAGCATCGAGAGGGTTGTGGGTTTGTTGTCCAGTCGCACCCTGAGGTTTCTGTCCTTTAGCTGCATCCAAACAGGCCTCTGCTGCAAAGAGATGTGTTTGGAATCTGTGCAATCGTTCTCTGGCCTGCTGATTCATTCTTTAGCAAGGTTCAAAACACTATTGGGAACATTACCCATCCATTGGGCGGCTGTGCTATTCATTATCACCGTCAAGTGAACATCACGTTCTGCGACTGCCATGGCAACTCGTGAGTCATGTCAACAGAATAGAGTTTGGAGGCCGACACTGTACACTGGGACATTGACTCCAATCTCCATTTACTCATCTTCCACATGCCTCTGTATGAACTAGTTTGCATAGCACGATCGTCAGCGGTAAGTATGCTATCTGCTGTAGCTGAAAAGGCAAAATCCACTCAATACACTGCGAACTCTAGCCAATACGAGCAGCGGCGAGAGCTGCCACGAGTGCGGCGGATGCACTCAACTCCACCCTTCCATTCGCTGCCAGCTTTGGACCAAGTGCGGGGTCAACTGTGGGGTCATATCAGGGCTTGTTTGCTGCACCGGAGAAGAAACCTTTGACGTCCACTCAGAAACTCATCAAAGAGTCGGCCCTCCAAATCCTTGATCGAAAGGGTGTGGTAAAAGGATTCGAATTGACAGATGCGGACAAGACACTTCCATATCGGATGAAGAGACATCAGGAGATTTTTGATACAGGAGAGTAAGTATTCATGCAAAATTGTACCGTGGTGCGAAAATCGATTTGTTTATGCTTGCCTCTTACTCCGATCCTTTTTTGCAGCTATTTTGTAATGCAATTCTATTCCTCCCCACAATCCATGCGTGCGCTTTCCCGATCCTTGCGGTATGACCAGCGTGTCATTCGACACACTATGATCAAGGTTGGAGAATCCCTTGCGGAGCTCTCAGCGTATCAGCCACCGGAAAAGTTGTAGAGGCCATTAGTGTTTATATGGAGTTGGGTTGTTATTTATTTATCGGAGCTTAGGATAGAGTCAAGCATTGCCAGGGTGTGGGAGAGTTTTTAGCAAATAGGAGCTATAGCCGTTGCATTGAACAAATTCGCCGGCTCATATTTGAATAGAATTCCATGCGATCAACAGAAGCTGATTACCACAAGTCTTTTCTGTATGAATATCATCAAAGGTGAATTTAACGAAAAAGTCGGAAACGACGATTAGATTCTTTTAAAAAAGTATTACATTAAGGTACATATTACAGTTATCTACAAAAATATTACTTGAACAGTCATAAACAACAATTATAAACTACAAAGATTCACTAGGCACAAAGAATTCCTCCTCCGCTAGTCAAGTCGAAGGGTGCATACAGCATACTGTGTGTACACTGACCAAAAAGTTTGTACGCATCTTTACAAAAAGTCTGACAACGGGCTCTGCCGCGAACCAGTCGGGCGCGGGCGGGCGGGGGCCGGCCGGCTGTCATCCGAGTGGCATGTGTGTTTACATTGCAGGAGACACCAGTTGGCCGGAGAGGTCATCCTCTAATGAGGAAGATGACCATCCAACGGTTTATATCCGCGTCATAGCTGCTGCCAAAACCGGGAAAGGTTGCAGGGCCGCCAATTGCGAGCATGGTGCGGTTCTTGTTGTCGCATCTACCATGCATCGACACCATCTTCATCGAACCCTCTTGATACCATTCTCTCATACTCAGTATTCAACAGATGCTCCGGAAGGCCTAGTCCCCACATCTGGAAAGCATCAGTTTCGAGGATAGATTCCTCGATCAGGTTCATATTGCCTTGATTCGATTCTATCACTCCAACCTTGGCAGCGAGGTGCGGTGCAACCACCACCACAGCTCCCGCCAAGCTCCTGGCCACAGCGCGCACAATAATAACCCAAACTGACCGCTTCAGTTTGGTCAATTCACCACGTTCATTAAGCTCCATTTCCGACGGGAACAACAGGGGCAAATCCAAAGCCCTATTCGCCGCCACGCATAGTTGCAGATATTCGCGAAGGAAGCTCATCTCTTCCATCACCTCTGCAGGAACCATTGACGGAAGATTACGATGGGCGGTAGACGCTGACATGACCCATTCGGTCGCTAGATTGATGATGGTGGCAGCAAGGACTTGCACCGAATCGTGTAGATCCGACAAGAAGTTTTTTGGAGTAACGGACGTAGCAGACGTCTCAATAAAATCGTCCTCGGGCTCATCGACGTGCTTCTTCTCATCCGCTTCGTTCACGCTCTTTAGTGCTGCATCTAAAATATTCTTATCTATACCGGACTCGGCGAGTTCTTCTTCGGAGAGTGTTTCAGGTGACACTACTGCAATCAGAGGCGGATAGGCCTCGTTGAGTTGCTCGAGAAATTGCTCGTCGCTCTCGTCCATCAGAAATGACGGTGACGAGGAGTTCCCCGATTCGACTGCCGAAAGGGACTGAAAGATATTGCTAATGCTACCTTGCGCAGGTCGTCCCCACTTCCTTAGCAAATGTCCCGCAATGAGGAGTATTTCGGGCTGTATGAAGCTTGAATCTGGCTGCGGGAAAACGCGTGATGCCATGTTGTAAGTCTGACGAGCGGTTGCTTGTCGCGTCTGCATATAGAATCGCGCCTTGTGTGCGATGATTGTGAGACATATTGTCGAAAGCGCTATTGGGAAGGGAGCCAGTCCATCAGATCCAGGTGGGGGTGGAGGAGGAGGCGGGGGAGCATTCATTCGCCCTAAGAAAGACATGCACATCAACGTCTGGCACCCACATTATACACTAGATTTGACCGCTCTACCCACCGGCAAAGCCCGCCATAAACGTTCGCCCAAAGTCCACAGATATGCGCGCCGAGCGTCTTCTGGATGCTTCAATTCCCGCTCTCACCGCTGTTCGTGATATAATTGTCGTCGTGTCCCCCGCAGCGTGGCCCATGGTCCCATTCGACACCACAGATGAGGTTGCACGGTGCACAAGAGATGCCGCGCGATGCCTTACCATAGCGGCAATGACCGCTGCTTTGAAGGTAATCATGTCGTATCACAAGTCAACCAGACAGCGACGTGTGTTTTATGAGGAAAAGTCAATGGAAAATATCCCCTCGTCCGTTCAAGAGTACGACTCCTGCATTCAGCAAACGTATATCGGAGCAGACTCGTTCGATTGTGAAGACGATCACTTGGACGGGAACTACTAGTAGCCTTTTCGCACTGGCGAGGTCACAGCCGCGGGGGGTAGTCCCACAAACACAGACAAGCGTGTTCTTCTTGGACCACGGGGTTTGACCCTGGTGACCAGAATCTTGCTAAGAGGTGGACGCAACAGGAATGTCCGCCCTCCTTCTTTTATTTTCCCTTTACCTCCCACACCTCCTTTGGAGCTGTCCGTCAGTGTTTTTTCTTCGCCCACCGCCGACCACAGCCCTACGGAAAACGACGTTTTTCTCGCGTGTGTTGTTGGGGAAAGGTTACCATGTGAAATTCACGCTTCGGAAAAATGACGTGTTCGTGAAATGGGAACGCGACAAAGTCTTTTTGGCTGTGGATCGTCACTGTTGAGCTGTTAATGACGACGACGACGACGACGACAAACAGTTTTAACGGGTTGCCTATTGGCAGCTCTCTTTTTTTGCAAAGAAAATCTTTGGGGTTATCAAAGAGTCTCTGATTGCACAATGGATTGACGTCTGATATAGGTCATTTGAATTTCATGAGTGGGGCCAGCTTCCAATCTATCAGAGAGTGGAACAGCGAAACATTATGAAAAACACTTTGTAAACACGTCCAAGGTCGGGGAATGTATTGTGGATACATTAAAAAAACAGTAGACGTCGAAAATATGCTGGTACATTATCAGATGTCGCTTGACTCGAGACACTTGGCTCGAGAAATTAGTCTTCCTACTACAAGTCCAGTTTCTCAGCAAACTCGCCACATAAGGCTACGAATGGCAAGGTACAAGTGGGAGACATATATTATTAGCAATGGTCTAAAAACGAACAGTGTGATATCATCGCGCATCCCGTTTCATCTGTTGAGAAATCACGACAGGGTGAGCCAGGGAAAACCTGTATCGCACAGGTGTGCTTCCAACATACCATAGGCTTACTTAAACGGAGCTGGTGTTGCGCTTCTTCAATGCCGCGGGGATGGTGACCAAGTTGTCGAAAGCCTGCTTGGTGGCAATCTCGTTTTCAACTTGTTGGACAAGAGGCGTCAAGTATCGTACGTCCTAGCAGTGCAACGCGGCGTGATTTAGATCAAGCCATTCGGTAGACAGGATTCCAATAAGATCAACATTTAATCCAGTCTCGCCCAACCAACTCTCTTGCCCACAATAAAGGAAGCTGGGAACCCACCTCTTCTGGCTTGGTCCATTCCTTGGGTTCGAGCTCGGACTGTTGAGCAGAAAGGTTGATCGCCCTCCTCTGCCGGAAGACACGGTCTGTGTTTTGATAGTTACAATCTGAATAAGAAACTTCGACAAACTCTGTATTGAAGTCGAGCCGGCACCCACCGTGGTACTCTTTGGGAGGGAGGCGGTTAAGAGCACCCTGGACAACTTCGTTCTCCTCAGGAATGAGGTCATCGTAGCGCAAACCTAAGCAGCACAGCGCGCAGATAAGCTTCAAGGTCTCCACCAATTTCAAATCCACCATTTCACATGTGCGTACCCATCTTCCGGTACCCCATCAAGTTGTGGTGCCATTCCGCAAGGTTCTTGGCGGTCTGGCTGTTACGCAGAGCACGAATCGACTGCAGAAGGGAAGTCATTGCCTTGTGTAGAGTTTTTGGTTAGGGACGTGATGAGGGTTGTTGCAAACCAGTCGTCGTCTTTGCTCCGTAACAGCCGTCCCAGAATGCAAAATGGTTGCAAAGCGATTTAACCCGTGTATGGTTAATCCGGTTGGCGCCGACATTAAGTCACATTAACCGGATCAAGGCCATAAAAGCGAACCCCGCCGTCTTCTGCCATGCAAAGCAGCTCATACCATGGTAGTTACGACAGCCGCTCAAAGAGATTTAGAGCCGTTTCAGGTGCTCATTCTCGGTGATGGCAACTTCTCCTTCTCCCTCGCGCTCTGCCGGATTTTATGGTCCCGACCTTCTGATCTTTTGATAACCCATGAGAATCTTCATGTGGGCCATGCCTATCTCGGCTTGCCTACTACCAGTGGTCGCAAGATTCAAATAACCACAACATCCTTTGACGACAGACAAGAGCTGTATAAAAAATATCCCGAAAGCAAAGAAATTTTGGCTGCTTTGGAAAGCGAGCGTTTCGCAGCAGAGGTGACCGTCCTGCACAGAATAAACGCATGGGAACTCAGAGATCACTTTGGGGACCAGAACAAGTTCGATGCCGTAGGTATGTTATGGATGGGTTTTTAACAACTGATTTTATTGGCGCTATTTAATGCCTTTTCTGTGGACTGTCAGTATGGAATCACCCGCACCTTGGAACCGAAGACTTTCGACTCCATCGCTTCTTAATGGCCCATTTCTTCAGTAGCGTTGCAAGTGTTTTGAAGCCTAAGCATTCTTGTGTCTGTGTAAGCCTTGTGGAAGGGCAAGAAACTCGGTGGGATTTGGTTGCGCAAGCCGCGCGATCGGCTCTGGGGCTCACGCAGGTCGCGGCGTTCGATGAGAATTTGTGGCCGGGGTAAGTTCCTCTCTAATAGGTCTAGCGATGCTGTCGTGACTCTGCAGTGGCTAATATTAACTCATCATTGAAGCTATGTAGTCAAACGCAATAAACATGGCGGGAGCTTCAAAAATACGCACACAAAGCAGCACACCGGCAGCGAAATGAAGAGCCATTTGTTTAGATTCGCCTTGGGAGAGCCAGAGGTGATATGGCGAGGCTTGGAGAGTACCGATATTGATCTGGACCTGCTACCAGGAGTGACGACAGGGGCCCCGGATGACGACAGCTCGATAACCGATTTTACCGTAGCTTCTGAGGGGCTGACTCGCTCTGCAGGCGCATCTCCAGACTCCCGATCGAGCAAATCGAGCCCAGTTTCAAGCTTATCATTCTCAGAATCCCAAACGTCATTGCCGTTGCTTCTCACGAAACCTACTCGAAAAGCCCGTCTTCGTGCTTCTATCCCATCAGACCTGGTTTGTCCCCATTGCGGAAAGCAATTAGCAACAGCGCGCGGCTGGACCCAACATGTCCATATGGTTCACACGCTTCAGAAGTTTGGCAGTGATTGGAAGCCTGATCGTACCAAACATCTATCATGCCCACATCCTTCGTGCTCCAAATCCTTTGCCGACGCCGAATCACTCTGGCAGCACGAGATCAACAAGCATACCACCGTAACATCTGACGAACTCCCCACTGCGGTGGACCAGCTCAAAGGTTCAGGTCCCTCATCAGAATGTGCTGGTGACGATTATGACTATATACCGTGCGATGTATGTGGTCAAGCCGTTGTGAAAAGAGATTGGGGAATGAAGCTTCATTTGGAGACTTTGAAACCCGCTGTTGGGCTGGATATGAGATGCCCTCTGTGCGAGACGGATGGACAAGGGAGAGGGACCGTAGGATTTATTGAGAGCCGAGCACTGTTTCAACATTACAAGTTCTGTAGGAGCAAGAGGAGCAAGCCATCTTTGGCTGTTGAGAACAGAAATGATGGTCATACTACTTAGATTTTGTACCATAGATTACATATTTGCATATTTACTTGCTAAGCGAGAAAACTTTGCCACTGATCGGGGGCACAGTCAGTCCTTGAAAACTGGATGCTTCTTCCATTCGCAGCAATTGCCTCGGCGACAACCATTATGTGTTCTATTGAAGAGGAGATCCAAACGGGCGACGCTGAAACCCCGAGTATCCGCAGCCGACGCCGGCTTGTTGTGGAAGGTCTATGTCACAAATGCAAACAATCACCACCAGTAGTGGATATGAAGCGGGTCATGTACTGCAAGTAAGTATTTTGGTAAAGTGGAGGTGTCGGCAGCTTTGGGAGGGGAACTAAACAACAAACATTATTGCAGGACCTGTTTCAAAGAAAGTGTTGTTTACCGCTTCAGAGGTAACCTTATGCGAGCGACGAAAATAGCTGACGGAGCAAAAGCGCTCGTCGCATTTTCTGGAGGAGCGTCTTCTAGGCACGGAACCACTGCTCTTACGTCCTCCTCTGAAAGTAGGCTCACAAGTCTTTGCGTTTAGATTACTGCTGCACCTACTATCGGAATTCCACGAACCAGATCCCTCCAATCTGCGCAAGAAACGGAAGTTCTCTGACGTCCTGATTTGTCATGTAGATCAGAGTGCCGTACTAGGAGGTGAAGATAAGGAGGCCGAAGTGCGAAGAATTGGCGAAAAGTCTGGCTTCCCTTACTTGCATATTCCTCTGGAGAGTATATTTAGCAATGATGATGGATCTGATGGGGGGGCTCTTGTACCGGTCGGATTCGACTTGGCAGACACAGTCACGCTCAAGATGGTACATCGGGTTACATCGACGCTCTCACCCGTCGCGCGGCTCCGGAGAAGTATTCATGGTCTTGGAAAGATGACCGCAAAGGAAGATCTACTACATCATTTTACTATGCGGGCACTTTTGAATACGGCACGGAAGGAAGGATGTAATGTCCTAATCTTGGGGGATAATGCAACGAGAATGGCTATAAGGATATTAGCTTTAACCAGTAAAGGTGGAGGATTTGGCTTGCCAATCGAGGTTGCTGGAGATACGGACTGGTTCGAAGGTAGGGGCATCTGTAACAACGCCAGCATCTGATGGTTAGTAATGAATCTCTCATTCATAGGACTGGTTGTTGCCCGACCGCTTCGAGACGTACTTTCTAAGGAAGTTGCTGTCTACAACCAGTATACTGATCTAGATACCGTGGTGATGCCGGCGTTGACCACGGCGATGCCTGCTAAATCTAGTATTGATAGGATGACTGAAGGTGAGATGCGCTACTGTCTGCCCATTAGAATGTACGTCTCTGGATCTGAAGTCCTTATTTTTGCAGAATTTCTTGTTGGGCTGCAGCGAGACTTTCCAATGACAGTGAACACGGTCGTTCGTACTGCGGCCAAAGTTACATCTGAGCATCGGGCGAAAACAGTAATGAGGTGTCCGATGTGCGGAGGGTAAGGCATTTCGATACTCATTCTCCCTAGGTCATTGAATTTACCTAGCTCCGGGTTTCGCTAGGCCAATACAGGACGGTACAAATGACTGGCGATCCGGACATACTGTCTCACAACTATTGAGCCATGCGCCAAGCAGTGACACCACCTCTGAGGCATTGTCAAGTACATCAAATACACACCCCTGCTCAACATCATGCGCCTGTGCACCAACCGTGAACCCCGAATCCACATCGACATCCTGTTGCACGCCCGCAGACCAGCCGATCAATATCATACCGTACCTTTGCTATCCGTGCCAAAATATATGTCGTGACGCACAAGAATTTGGAGCTACAGCGGCAAAGAAAGGAATCGATGATGCTACTGTTATACTACCAGCTTATGTCGGGGAGGAGATCACTATGCGAAAAGGTCGGGAGTGGATGAAGAAGGAGATTGAAGAGTTTTTAATAGATGAAGAGGACTAACGCTTTCAAGTGGGTTATGGAGCGGGTCTGATTTTTTCGTGCAGTAAAGCTATAGACAGTGTACATATCATCAAATCATATTGTGAGGTCACACATATTGCGCTGTCGGGTGAACCAATTAAAATGTACACCCAGCTTTAAGGGAGCACTAAAGCTTCTCCATAATCCCACTGGACGGCTTAAAAACGTCCGTGAGTACTTTGCAAAGTGCTGCGGAAAGGCGTGCGGCCAAAAGCTTACGCGATCGCTGGCCGTCATCCCTCTGGTGCTGCGCTCGCTTGCCGACTTTTACCTGGCATGGGCAATTTGACAAGGCCCCTACGCATTGCCTTCTATGTCAGTGGACATGGTAAGCACATAGGAATTGTGAAATATTTATTTGATAGATTTGTATATTCATGTTGTTACTACTACTATATACAGGGTTTGGACACGCAACGTGAGTATAAGAATTGCATTCCATTTTCCCAGAGGTGAACCCTCTAACCTCTGTTCCATAAAAGACGGGCAACGGTGACCATCAAAGCCCTTCTCTGTAAAGGACATGCCGTTATAATAACCACCTCAGCACCCCGTTTCATTTTCGACGATCTCTTGACTACATATCCTCAATGCACAGTCCGAAATATCGCCACGTTAGATCCCGGTGTAATACAAAAGGACCCTGTCACAGTAGACGTCGAAAAGACAATGGTTCAGCTGAGGAGCTTTTTGGATGGTATGAATGATGTTGCTAGCCAGGAAGCGGCGTGGATGGCGGAGGCAAAGTTGGATATAGTGTGTTTGGATGCACCATTTTTACCCGCTCGAGTTGCAAAGGTAGTGAGACCTATCCGACGCAAACATTCGCAGCGCCGCCGGGTTTAAAATAGTCCTTAATGTTCACAGCAAGTCGGAATCCCCACTGTCATGATCACGAACTTTACCTTTGACGCCATATTCGATGCGATCGCCAAACGGCCATCGGACAAGGAACTGGTTCGACGATGTAAAGAGATGTACAACGATACTCAATACCTAATCAGGATCCCCGGGTATATCAATATACCTGCTTTTGAAGATGAAGCGGATCAAAGAAACGTTCTGGATGTCCCTCTCATTGTCCGCAAATTTCGCCAGTCGCGTGCTTCGATTAGGGAAAAGCTGGATATCCCACTCGATTCTCACTGTGTGCTAATAACTTTTGGTGGATTCGAACTTCCGGGAAGTGCATGGACAGCGGAGAATGTGCTCCCAGAAGGATGGTACGGAATTGCTGCTTGCCCTTTTACAGATCGAGATGTACGCGGACGCTTGCGGAGAATTCGGGCCGAGACCTGGTACATGCCGGATCTTATCAATGCTGTTGATGTAGTAGTTGGAAAATGTGGGTACGGCACGTGTTCCGAAGTCGTTGCACATCAAGTTCCCCTTGTATATGTTCCACGATCCGGGTTCGCCGAGGAACAGGGCTTGATAGAAAATATGATGAGGCCGTATGGATATGCCGTTGAGATGCCGCAGCAAGATTTTTATCGGGGACATTGGACACCACACATTCTGCGAGCCAGGCAAATGAAGGAGGACCATCCTCCTCCGAGTTACATAAGAGATGATGGGGAAGCTATGGCGAGCGAATACATTATAGGGATTGGACTGCAGAATGCAATGCGAAATAATGGTCCTTATGTAGAAAGGTAGGTATCTAATTAGATCTTGTATATATATTGCCCACCTAGAGGGTCATGCAAGACCGGACAAATACATAATGATGGATATCTATCTATGCAACGAAGCTATCCTACTCAACATATCGTTCTGCTTATCCGACTATTTTGCTGAAAAGGCGCCGGTTCCTGGTCTTCCAATGACCGGGAATGAGAAGGTCGCGATAACATCTTTGCCTGAGCCAGGGAGTTGCAGTCCGCCGGTAACAGTTTGGCCAGCCTTCACCGGTCCTACACCCTTTGGTGTGCCTAAGCAACATATGGTGCGTCGATGTTTATTTACCGGTTTTCTTTAATAGTAGCAGCGCGCATTTGTGAACCTACCAGTGAGGATGACATCACCCTCCTCTAACTTCATGATAGAGGATACGAATTCAATCAACTGGGGAATCCTAATAGCAACCGTTTAGCTATCCATCATAGAATAATCACGGCACCTATGAAACGTACTTGAATATCATATCCTGAGTGGACCCATCTTGTACGGTACGTTCATCAACCTTTCAATCAGACGTCTATGAGAAGGCATCCTAGAATTGTACGCGATGATGCTCGTCACACCTTGAGCCACAATCGTAGATCGTGCGGATTTTTAATAGCAGATCTCTCAATAAAATCACTATAAAAAGCATTGCACCATAGTTTGTCAGAGATCTGGGATACGATCGACGTGGGCATGAACTTCTTTCTAACCTGACAGGAGTGAAGGTGTCGAATCCTTTTGCGGCTGCCCAAGGCTTTCCGCTTTTCTTGGCTTCATCCTGCAAATTCCTAGCGGTCATATCCAACGCCAGGACATATCCACCAATAAAGTCATCCGCTCTCGCGGCGGTGATGTCTCGTCCATTCTTGCCAATGACAACGCCGAGTTCGACTTCATGGTGCACCACACAGTTTCTCGGAACCTCAATTTTGCCTGGCTGAAGGAGGTAAGATGTTGTAGGTTTGAGGAAAAAGAATGGGCTTGTTGGGACTGGATTATTCAACTCTTTGGCATGTTCACTGTCATATGCGCTTTCAACGACTGGGAGTTGTGATGGGACAATGCGACAACTTACGCATAGTTGCGGCCGATAGCAACAATCTTGCGACCAATGCGGGTGAAATCTCGGAGGGACATTGTGCAGGGACCTCCAAACCAAGTGATTCTTCACGGAGAAACAGCTCGAGTTCAATCAAATAGTTCGTGGCTAAGCAGAGAGCTCACGTTATGGGTAGCGTCATTAAAGTACTGATTTAACACAGTGACATAACGGAGCTGTTAGGAATACCGGCATCATGTCCATCCCAGTTTTGGTCAATCGACAGGTAGGAAACACCATATCACAAGGCTTTACAAAAGTCCTTCAACATTGGTATCATATGTGTGAATTCTATACGAAACTATCACAGCCCATCTCCCGTTCTCCACACTAATTTTGATTTGGGAATTGTAGCAACCACCGTGCATACAAGGTTGCTTCTAAGGTTGCGGACACACGGAACTACGCATGGTATAAATGATATGCAGACGTTAAATTGCCCATGTGCATGCCCAGCGCTATGCTGCCCATAACTCGAAAGGTTCCAACGCATGGGCATGTTCGAAATCAAGTCACCATGCCGCTCATTAAGCTCGATATGGTATCATTACAATTACATGTAATATTCCACCGACTGTCGCGATCGGTGTGGCCTCGCCCGCCTTCTCCTATCCGCACTCAGATCTCCTGCTCTTATACAGCAAGGCAATGGTCAACATTCCGCCGCTCTCTGCAATCTACGAACCGGCCCTCGACCAAGGCTTGGTACCAGACTTTCTTCTTCGCAGAGGAATCAGATATCTTTTGTCCCGGCGGATTTCTCAGTTAGCTAGTGCGGATAAAACTGGCTACATCAAGGGGCTCAAAGCTCGCGAAGATATTGCGGAACACACCAAAGAAGCCAATGAGCAGCATTATGAGATTCCCACAGAGTTTTTCAAGCTGTCCTTGGGGGAAAGGATGAAATACAGTTGTTGCTTGTTTGAGGGAGGTGAGAAAGTTTGAGTTATTGTTATATATAGTTGGTGTTGGGATGAATTAAGGTATCTTCTTTGCCAAGGCGCGAAAACGCTCGAAGATGCTGAGGTTGCCATGTTGACACTGTATGTGGAGCGTACTGAACTGAAAGATGGGATGAGCGTGCTAGATCTGGGTTGCGGCTGGGGCTCGCTTTCCCTGTTCTTGGCCGAAGTAGGTTCGCTAAGCGCGTATAAGTGTTCACAATACCCAAACAACATAAGGAACTTGGCTGACCTTGTTTGTTGTTCGGGCCAACAGCGCTTTCCCAATTCAAAGATCACCGGTCTTTCAAATTCCTCTAGCCAGCGGCAGTATATTATGGCGCGAGCAGAAGAACTTGGTCTATCAAACATTGAAATTTTGACCGGTGACATCAATGTCTTTGAGATGGACAGGACGTAAGTAATTTTCCTCTGTTTTATTTACCAACCTCTTTCTGAAGCTTCACCCAGCTTCGACCGGGTTTTTTCCATTGAGATGTTCGAACATATGAAGAATTATTCTGCTCTTTTCACAAAATTATCAAAATGGATTGTCCCAGACACAGGCCGTCTCTTTGTCCACGTCTTTGCACATAAAACTACACCGTACGATTTCAAAACAGAAGACGACAATTCGTGGATGGCAAAGTATTTCTTCACCGGCGGAACAATGCCTTGCGAAGACCTCTTCTTATGGTTTCAGCAGAATGTGGAGGTTCTAGATAGATGGACGATTAATGGGCAAAACTATGGTAGGTTTCTACTTGGCAAAGGGGCCGTTTGGATTAAGCATTAACGCACATACATCACATGCACAGGGCAGACGAGCGAAGAATGGTTGAAGCGACTTGATGCAAATAAGCAGAAAGCAATGCCGATCCTTGTGAAAACGTATGGGGAAGAAGCAGCAAAGATGTGGTACCACCGATGGCGTGTGTTTTACCTCTCTGTGGCGGTAAGCTCTCTGCAGGTTGACGCTATACCTGTGGAATGACTCGCTGATTCGCGAGTGCAATAGGAGTTGTTCAACTACCAGCGTGGTGAAGAATGGGTGGTGGTTCATTACTTGTTCAAACGACGATAAGGTATGTCACAATACGCACAAGATTCAAAGATAACTATTGAGTATGGCAGCTTATGATAAGTTATATGTACAGCGTGGGAAACGGGTCTTGTTATGGTAATTATACAAATCTAAAGTGGTCCGAACTGACAAAATCTGTCAAGAAGTTCTGTCATTAGTATGCTTATTGGAAGAGAGGAGCATCAGATGAACGCTCACATGTTCCTTTGGTGGGATTTGCTGTATCCGGGCTCAGCACAAATATTTGGCAGAATAGCTTGGACTGTTTGTCATCGCCATATCGCACCGTGCCGGTGACTGTGACCAGTATTTGACCAAGATCTAGTTGTAAATAATGACGAGCGTGTTAACGATGAGTGGAAATAGACAAGTAGCACCAAGAAGCTTGAATTACGTACCCATAACCGGCTGACTATCGTAGGAATGCACAACGTGATCTATCGATAAGAGCACCAAATTTCACTCCTTGACCGAACATTTGAGGCGATTTGAGACAGGCGGCTTACCCGTCGCAGGCAGCTTCAGGAAAAATTCTGAAGCATTCTGCTGCCCAACTAGAGGATTTCCGTTCCACAACACGGCTGAAGAGTCCTTGTACATTTGGTGCAGTAAATGTCGTTGACGGTCGTAAACTTTGTAAAAGGTTGGCACAAAGTTATCTGCTGCCCGACTTGCAACTACAATCTAGTGAAAGGGATCAGAGGTGCAAGATGCCGGGTAATGGAATAGCGAATGCTCACCTCGTTTGCGTCTGCCATGTTGAGACTAAGATCTGGGAATGTTGAGAGTGCAAGACGAGAAGGTGCAGCTGTCGATGAGCGGCACAGCCATGTCGTGTCCATCTTATGTGGAACGCGGCCCGTGAATGCTAGCAGTGTGTTAAGTTCTCCAGCAACTTTAACGAACCCATAATGCATCTCCCAAAAATGTCATGCACTGGAGGCACTGGAAAGCTGTTTCGTATGAGCATAAATAGCATACCGCAGCAGTCAGTTCAATGGTGGGCTGCCAGGAATATCAGGGTTGCTCTCGTCTCGATTGTTCAACTCGTGGGGTCCTTTATTTATCTGAAAGGGCCCTACACCTAAACATTCTGTCCGTCCTCTCCCTGGTGGAGAGTGCGTATTACAGGCTCTTTAAGCCGGGCAAGTATTTAATTATACAATGTTTGAACGGACGGGAATATCTGCGCAAGAGGATGTAGACAGAGTACTTTGGATCAACAGCAATAAGCAAAGTGCCCGACACCTGTGTGGTCACTGTTGAACATGCAGTGACGTGACCCGTATGACTAAACATAATTCACAAGCTACCATCAGAATGTTCTTGTTTCTTTGGCATATACCACAAAGGTGTGCTTTCCTGAGGAACAGGTATTTATCATCGTCCTCGTCGTCCTCCACACCTGCTGTGTGGGATGAGACGCTTTTCAATCACGGTTGCTGATATGGGCCAACCTTCTTGCACATCGGGTAGCAACTCCTCAAACAGAATTGCCATTGCGTTGTGATGATAGTTGTAAACTCGAAGAAATTGGGAATGAACGCTTACGTGAAGCTCCCATTTGCATCTCACCATATTTGGATTAATTAACGGCGTGGTGACTTTCACATCGACGGGCAGGATAATGAAGTAACGACGGATTGGAGGTCCAGATCTCCTTCGTTGACTTTCTGAATCAGCAACCCTATAAATCTTGAAGGATCCCAGACCGGACTCGCACACCAAAATCAGTAAACATGGCTCTTACCCCAGAAGTTGCACAAAAGGTATGCGTCTGTCACCTCTATTCACGCAGTCCGCTGTCGGTTGGTTCCGCACGCTTACACTTGCGACGATGCATAGGTTCTGACAGAAATTCAAAACAAAATTGTTGAAACTAGCCGCCAGCTCAGCATCGTTCGAGCTCAGCTCTCCACTCGGGATCGCGAGAAACGCGTTTGTGAACTCACTGTCAAGGAACTCGCATCTCTCGACAGCAATACAGGGTCCTATCGCGCTGTCGGTAAAATGTGAGCGACTATCCCAACGTTGTTTTGCTTGTATCGGCGAAGAATCCGTCTCATATTTTCATTCTGCCCGTAGGTTCATACAAGAACCACTTCCCGGCCTGATTAAAGAGCTCGAAACGCGCAAGCAAGAGTCCGAAAGGGAAGCAAAGAACTTTGAGCGGGCCGCGGGCAAACTGGAGAGGGATTTGAATGATGCTCAAAATACTTGGAAAGAAATCATGCATAGGGCGAAGCCAGCTGCATAAAAGTGCAATTCAGTCGGAAATTGCGTCATTTAGTAGAGGTTGCGATTACGATGATGTATTGTTGGAAAACCTAATATATAGTGCCAGCGTAATGACTACAAATGCGTCGCAACTACAGAGAAACAAGAAACTGAAAACTGCATCATTATTTCTTTGATCGTGAGCTCGATATCGCTTTGTGCCATTATTTTATTGTGAGGATATGTAGACATGGCATGTGTTTCACGACTCATCGCGCGCATCAGATTCTATAGCATCTTTTCTTCCGGACCCATTCCCTAGCGGCTATCGAAATTTGATGTGTCACTCGGTCTTCTGTGGCGGCTCCAAGAACTCCTCCGCATATCGACATCTTCAGATATCCTTCGCCCTAGTGTACCCCCAAACTCAAACATGACCCACAAAAAACGTTATAGATCGTCTGAATCGCAAACCCCGTACGTTCTTGCTAGTGTTACTGCAGCTGACCTCGCATGAAGGGTTTTGGCAAGGGTCGACGGAACAAGGGATGTCTAAGCGGAACCTTCAGCCGGTGCTCCGCCCCTGGTCACATTCTAAGTTGATTTGGTGGCACTCACCATTGTGCTGCTGGATACCGAACACATATTCCGGGAGGCAAATGAGGCGGTGGGTTGCGGGTTGATAGACGGTCCTAGTGGGGTACTCGAAAATGCTGTTGTCCGGCGGGGAAGGGAGGAGCGGGTTGATGTAGACGAAGGACGAGCTGTCTCCTTCCGTAGCGAGCGAAGCGCATGTAGTCGTGTTGTGCGAATGAACATTGTGGGGTTCCTGGAGTAACAATGTCGAAGAGTTCCAACCGATCTTTATTCTCAACGTTGAAGCGCAGATTCGATTTCTATGACAACGCATGACTCACGTTTTTGGACAATCGCGCATCAAGAGCTTGGAGTAGGATTTTGCAGATTGCCAACATATAAGACATGGCAGCACGACCTCTGATAGCACTCCAGCGCTGCTTCTCCTCAACAGTGCGAACAGCATTTTCGGCCGCCAGAAACCGTCCTGCCCTTTCTACCCCTTTCACTGCTGCCAGTGCCGGCCCAGTTGGCGGTATCCTACGACGAGGACTGCAGGACTTTTTTGACAATGAAAAGGGATGGACATGGTCGGACTCTGCACTTCCTACAGGTAAGTTGAGGAACAAAATGGCATCATTCAATTGCAAAGGGTTTATGTTTTCCTTTATGCTTAGGACGAGCATGGCTTGCTGCCGAACTTCGGAAGAAGAGCTTTGAGGACTTGCACCAGTTGTGGTGGGTGTGCATAAAGGAGCAAAATAAGCTCTATTCGCAAAAAGAGGAGGCCAGACGGTTCTCGCTTTTCTTTCCGCACAAAGATCGATTGTTCCAGGTAAAGTTTGAGTTTACCCTATAATTGGGCCGATGAGAACGTCCCCTGCCCAACACTAACATATGTCGTCACAGGTGAAGCTGACAATGAATCGGATCAAGCAAGTTGTCTGGGAGCGCCGTACGCAATGGGTCCGTGCACAGGCTGTTGTCCAACGCGAGCGACAGGCCGAGGTGCTCCGCGCGGAGGGTCTCTCTGAAGTGAAGATTGAACAAACCCTGGAAGAAATGTTCCCTGTACCTATCGAGAATATCGGAAAGAGGCCTTCCAAACTAAAATCTGAAGAGGCGCGGAAGAAGGAGATTGATCTGAAGGGTCGGGGGAGAAAAAAGTCGGGAGGGTCGACGTGGTATGTCGTGTAATGTACCTGTATTTATTAATAGGCTTTGGTTGGGAAGATGAGTGTTTGTATGGTTGATTGGGAGGTGATTCGGCTTGGCAGAAACGTACAAAGTCTGGTTAAAGCTCCAGAAGGAGTTGCGAAGAAGCACCCAACTGGCGTCACAATGTGTTGTGTGTACTAAAGTACATTGCTTTTCATCACTCTATATATTTATCAAAAGAATAAACCCACTGTTTCCTCTTGAACAATTCCAATGCAACACTCTGCGTTGCAAAACGCCGTTGTCGTTGTCGTTGTCACCCAACGTCGGAGCTGTATTTGTGATGACTCACGTGTGTTTGTAGTGAGTCACGTGCTTTTCTATTTCTTCAAAAGGGTTGGGGTGCCCTTCCCTTCCTCGTTTCTTCCTTTCGAACTTCCCCCATTCCAACTCGAACGGCTGCGTGCATTTACAACGCTCCCTCGCGCATTTTGCTTCTGATTTCTTTGTTGTGCTCGGCTTTCATATCCGCGCACCAAGATATTGGCTGATCTTCTCACTCGACACTTAACCTTTTCGCGCCTTATACACCCGGTTTCTTCCCGCGGTCCGCTTCATGAACTTGGTTTGGAACGTTGTGCTTCCGGTCTACGACAGTCTCCTTCCTAGCGAGGATACACGCCCGTATCATATATCCCCACACTACATCTCCAAAACTAGAAGGAAGAAAACTTTTAGTTTGAACAATTCGTAAAAGAATTCAAGTTGGATAGTAAAGCACGAGCAAGTAAACAAAAAAATTCATAGTCTACACCATTTTCCGGAAAAGCGATTAAAACAAGATGTCTGGTGGTAATATCAACATTCGTCGCGATGTCAGCGACAAGTTCTACCGTTACAAGATGCCGAGGTCGCGTTGATTTGCAGTGCGCAGTTCTAGACAAAATACTTACATCATTTACATGGTTGGATAGGCTAATCTCCAAAATTGAGGGCAAGGGCAACGGAATAAAAACGGTTATCCCCAACATGTCTGATATTGCAAAATCCTTGAGTCGTCCGCCTACCTACACGACAAAGTTTTTTGGTTGTGAGCTCGGCGCTCAAGTCAAATGTGATGAAAAGAACGACCGCTATATTGTTAACGGTGCCCACGATGCTGAGAAGTTGCAGAAGCTTTTGGATGGTTTCATTGACAAGTTCGTTTTGTGTCCATCCTGTAAGAACCCCGAAACTGACTTGGTAAGAGAGTGGTCTACATCCTTCTAGCCCCAAGTGGTGCATAACTGACAAAGCTTTCTTCCATAGATCCTTACAAAGGACGACTTCATCATGAGGGACTGCAAAGCTTGCGGTGCTAATTTACCTGTTGACATGCGTCACAAGCTTACCACATTCATTGTGAAGAACCCTCCTGCTCAACCAAAGAAGATCAAGAAGGCAAAGAATGGGACCACGGAGGGCAAGAAGGATATGCCCACACCTCCCGACACTGCCTCCAACGGGTCCGACGACGATGCCGATGAAGAAGTCACTCGTATGATGGATGCTGAAGCCGCCGCCATGCTGGCGGCCGCACCCGCTGCCGATGACAATGCTGACGACGATGACTGGGCGGTTGATACCAGTGCGGATGCGGTTGCTGCTCGCATGAAAGAGCTCAGCGTTGGCGGGGCAGTTGCCAAGCTCACGAACGCTGACGAAGATGACGAAGACAGTGATGGTCTGTATTCCATTTGGCTGCTAGCTTATTTATTTGTAACTTACTGAACGAGTTTGACAGATCCTCTGGAGCAGTTCGCTGATTACATTACGACGCATCCTTCTGCCTCTGACGCTGAGATTCAGAATGCAGCTCACAACCTAGGAATTCGTTCTGACAAGGCTTGCGTTATCCTCGCTCAGGTTCTTTTTAACGAGAAAATCTTGGCCGACAAACAGATCACCAAACGCGCTGATCTCTTGCGTAAGTTTTTGAAGAATGAGAAAGCCCAGAAAGGGCTTCTCGGGGGTATTGAGCGTCTCGTCGGTGTTTCCTATAAAGACCTCCTTCCCAAAATGCCGGTTATTCTCAAGGCGCTGTACGATGAGGATCTCGTTGATGAAGAAGTTTTTTTGAGTTGGGGAGAGAAGGCCTCCAAGAAGTTTGTGGACAGGAAAATCAGCAAGGAAATCAGGGAGAAGTCTGAACCATTCCTTGCTTGGTTGCGTGAGGCTGATGAGGAGGAGAGCGAGGAAGAGGAAGATGATGAGTAGACTAGTAAGCGGTCTTGGGAATTCATTGGGGTGTTGCGAGCTTTATTCATGGGTGGTTTATGAGTTTGGGTGGCATGTAGTGTGTTCGAGTCTTAAATATGGTTATCTCATCCTCAGTGTTTTCGCAATCTCCTTTTTTTCTAATGGGTTTCTCGAGTCACAATACCAGAGTTGGCCAGCACTATATTTGCGCAAACTTGATTCACCCGGCTACTGTTTACAGACTGCCATCACACTTCACTCTACAAATTCTGCAATCTCATCATACGTGAAGGTCTACAGAAATAGTCATCAATTGACAGACCATCACAGCAAGCGGTCACAAAAAAACTCTCACCAGGTACTCAAAAGACGTTTCCATCTCCACCACAGCTCGCTCTCTTTCCGAATCCCGTTCTTTTAGTCGTCCCACCTGTCCGATGTGTTCCGCGTCTGTACATTGGACGACACAGACAAGATGTCCAACTGCTGGGATGACTGTTTCCACATGTCGATCTTTCACTCCTTAAAAGGACCAATCAGTGAGAAGGCTATGGGATCAAGGCAGCATGGAGCGCACCTTCTAAAAGTTCTCCAGAGTCCAGTCGCAGTACGCACTCTCCAGCAGTAAAAACGTCTTGGATTGTGCCTTTGTGATTGTAGTATCTGCCATTGCCTAATGATTTGCTTATAACCCGCTATGTAAAGTAACGAATGCAAGGCTCAATAGGGGCGTCCACGTAATTCCTGCCTGGAAAGGAACCTACCACTCTTATTCGTGGTCGTAGCCATGACCGTTTAGGAGCCGGTGATGAAGAATGTGAAGAGCTGCGTCGCGCATTTCCATCAACATCGCGTTTTTTGCCTGTTGAAGTGTGTCCGCGTGGAGGAAGGCGTCGGATATCTTCTAACCATACTCGTGCAATCTAAACCAGCGTTTAGTTACGTTAGAAAGAGTAGTTGTCGCTCATCAAGCCCCAGTGGACCCACCTCCTGAGTGTTATTCAACTGGACTTTCACCACGGTCCCTGACGATCGCTCTTTTATTTCCACAATGGTTCCTTCCTGGCCTTCATGTCTGCCCACAGTCACGAGCACGGCGTCGTTTACACGTAATGGTGCTGAGCCACAGAGAAAACAAGATATTTGACAGTATCAGTCTCGAGGCGACAATCATTTACCATTGAACAAAGTGATACAACCTTCTCGTGGAGGTGTACGTTCTCTCTCCTTCTCCTTACGACTTCGGGGTACATCTCGATTAATAGGTTGAGCGGGAGTTTCCGCTAAAGGCTGGAGTAGGTAAAATTACAAACCAAGATAGGACATGGGATACGACAACAATACAGAGTCTTGCGCAAACTCTGTTGCATGGGACTTACGTCTGGTTGCCGCTTTTCGCCGGGTTTAATGTACTTTTTTTGTTTGACCTCGGTTGGCGGAGCTGGTGTTGCGCCTAATCCAAGAAGATGTGGTCGCGGTTTGTTGACGATTGGTTCAATCAAGCTATGATTAATTAGCGTAAATTGCTGTCTTCACCTCGAAACAATAGAGAGAAAACATCTACCCGTTGGGGTTCTTGCCGACAGGTCTTCCCTTTTCCCATCCCATTCCTCTCAGCATAGCCATACCAAACTCTTCTATGGGCACCCGCTCATAATCATCCAGTGTTGCCTATTTATCAGGAACAACCGAATAACAATTAGGTCCGTACGGCCAAGGCATGTCACATCTCAACATTGTGGTGTACCTCGGCTGGTCTTAGATTCACATCATGGCGGTACTTTTCGGTTGCATCTTCGATTTCATCTAGTCCAGGCACAGAATTCTGCGCCAGAATAGGCAATGTGTGAAGGCGCGGTTGTGTATCGTCCTGCTCGCCGCTGGCATCTAGATGGAGTCGTGGCATGGCATTAGCGACAAGGCACACCGTTACACGCTAACGGGAGTAAGTTTACCTTTTAATACTGCGGCCAATGCTTCCTCCTCCACAGTCATATTCACAGCAGGAGCCTTGGACATTTCTGCTGATTCAATTTCCTCCGAGTCTCGCAGTGTCACTTGAGTCGGCAATGATGTAGACGATGTGGTCTCGACTACTTTTCGCTTTTTTCGAATCTGCAAGCCCCACTTTGATCCATCTTCTGCCGGATCTCTGACAGAATCCTGTTTTTGTTCACCTCCGCGCTCCTCAACAATGGGATCTGCAACCGAAGATACGGGTAGTGCCGGAGATTGACTACGATTCGGTTCTCTTTTCCCTTCGTCCGTATCTGATTTTGAAGATGCCGAGCTTCCTGCATAATTTCGCCATTGGTTTGTTTTGATAAGAGGTATTACGAGTGGACCCTTTGGCTCCGCGACAGTTGTCCTATTCAAGAATTCAATGAAATTTCAACGCGGTGAAAATTATGCTTCACATCGGACATACATACCCTTTCAGCTCAAACCCAGAAATTTCTGTAATAGTTTCATCCACAGCTTGAGTACTCCGATAACCACCCACTCCGTCGTGACGGTCAAACGTCCCTATTCGCCGCTCAACTGTGGCCGTCTTTTTCGCTCCAAATGATAATTTAATGGAACTTCCTCCTTGTGCTCCAGGAGTTCCAGCTCGGGAGTCTGAATTGTTAACTGGCGAGGATCTCTCGTTTGCTGCTGACATTGTTGTGTTTGCCAGGACCAAACGTCGGTCGAGTGTGCGAAGTCATCCAGCGTTGTCCATGACTGTGCCTATACGTCACGGGAAGCACGTGCTATGACCATTCCATTCCTTGAGTGTGCTTTGCATGGGAGTTTGTTGTGAATTGAGATCCGACGATCGTCATGGCAGACCTACAGCAGTATATAAATCGTACGCAGTTATTGGCTGGTTTTATAATGAAACGGGCATCAAAATAATGACCATATTGATCTTACATCTAGAAACTGTGGCGGTTCTGACCTCCGATGGAAGAGTAATTATGGTGAGCAGAGCAGCACTTCAGAATAAACCATGCTTGGAACCAGATGCCTAGCACTTCCTCGCACGTATAGTCCTCTGGGTGTGTCACGGATGAACGCTCTAAGTGAACAGGTTGCCCGAGGATGAATGGACGATCCTGGGGTTAGACTTTCCTTACTTCTATACGATGCCGTTGGAACAGTCGCGACAGTTGCCAATAAGGATATTCAGCTTACCCCAGAATTTGCGATACAGGGGACACTTAAAGGTTTTGATCAAATTACCAACGTAATTCTATCCGGTTCGTCGGAACGAGTATTCGGTGATGAGGGCGTGGAAGAAGTGCCACTTGGGTTGTACATTATACGGGGACATAACGTGTAAGCACACAACATTGTTTTCTTCGTTTCCTGCATCCGCAGTGTTATGACAGATGCTGCTCTAGTGCGGCAATTGGACAGGTCGACACTGAGACGGATGAAACAATCGATTGGCCAAGAGTAAAAGCACAACCTCTGCGTGCCATCAAAGGAGGAGCCGGAGTATATTGATATTTAAATAGGGGTTGTTATAGCGTAGCTTAGGAGAGGGCAGGTATTGCTGCAATTCGAAATCCGACGCGCTAGGGAAATAGGTTCTCAACCATGTAAATATGATTAATGTCGTGATTGTGAAAAGCCCTGCGGCCATCGCATCAATCAATGTCGGCAAAGAAAGCTGCATTGGCCTTCTTGACGCCCCCTATTCCTCTCTTGGCCTTTTTAGGCTTCTTTTTCCGTTGCCTCTCCTTCGTTTCTTCGTCAGAGCTGTCCTCATCAGATGAAGCATTCGGATTTGTTCGCTTACTGCCGATTGGCTCTGGAGATGCCTCTATGGTACTATTGCCGACGGCATCGTCCTCATTTTCGCTCTGATCGTCCTTATCCTTGTCCCCGTTATCCTGCGCGGTAAGATCCTGTTCTTCGGCCACTTCATCTTCTTCGTCCTCCCTTAGCGCTTCTTCTACACTCCAAAATCTAACCGTAGAATCATGCGAGCATGTTCCCACCCAAGTCCCATCCCTCGTTAACCGGATCCGCTCAATAGGCATATCTCCATGATCACCTACGGCACCTACCAACCGATTTGGCAATATCCCAATAGCCCGAATGATCCCGTCCCCTGATGCGGTCATGATCGTCGAATCATCCACCTTCACTATAGAATCTACACTAGATGGATGGCCAGGAAATCGATCCGTACAGTCACCCCAATCCCCCCAAGAAAATAAAAGGAGGACTCCATCCTGCGTTCCGACAACCGCCTTGGTCGTGTTTCGCACAACCTCAACACAAAGCAGCTCGTCATCTTGGTTTTCTGACACAGCTACAGGTTTCGACTTGCGGATGTCGAAGATGGAGAGGCAGCCGTCCCCACCGGTAGCAAGTAAGGTCTTTTTGTGCTCAACAAATGACATATCGGAAATAAAATCGACATTTTCATGGTACTTCATGGCAACTTTTCGCTGTCGGGTATCCCATACTTTAACGCACCCTTGATCATCTCCAGATGCCAGCAAGTGATCACTCAATGTCAGTAATGCATTGAGTGGTTCACTGCAGTCGGACGCCCGGTACATTAGAAAGTGGATGCTAATACAATTAGTCGTCAACAAATCATACCTGTGTGCATTAGGCTTGCGCAACGTGACCTTGCCTGTTTCAATATCAAGCACTTGCAGACTCTTATCCTTCGAACCTGTAAACAGTACTATAGTGGCCAAGGAGTTACACTAATGCAGACTAGGCACAATACCAGCTGCAATGACACACCTGACCCATCCGCACTGAAGTCTAACGCACGACAACTCTTTTTGTGGTGCTTAGACCGAACGACCTCCGTTGGTGCTACTCCTGCCTCATATCTGTGACTTTGGACAAGGCGTCAGTACGAGTATGCTGAAATTTCTTATTGTCATGGTGGAATACTATACCAAAAAACCTCTCCCGTGATCAGTCCAGCAGCAACAATGTTTTCATTTGGGTGGAAGGACAGCGTAAAAACTTGCGAGTCGTAGCATATTGGGAGCGGCGTATCAGCCTAAAGAAAACGAAAACGACGAATATGGTCGGCACTGAGCATCAGAGAGAAACTGAAAACGCAAGTCGATAGTTCTATTTAGCACATACCATGATGTTGAACACTTCCAGAGAAATGCTCTTGAATACCAAGATCTATATGGGTTTCCACGGCAACAAGCCCGATGCAGTCATTCAAACCCACAGGTTAGCTTGGTGTTCGCTTTCATCTCCCAGAACGCTACGAAATGACAACGGAGGGGCTCTCCCCTCAGCCGACGCAGGGTAGGAGCGCTATTGTCGAATTTGTAATTTCATTCAGTCACCCATTGTCCCCTCCTGGTCAGGTATCACCCCATATGCTACAGTTGTCGTCGATATTGAAGGCACGACGACACCCATAACGTTTGTCCATGACGTATTGTTTCCATATGTCAAGGAAAATCTTGAAAGCTTTTTAGTGGAAAACTGGGACAATGAAGAGTGCGTGGAAAAAGTAGCGGCATTAAGGGAGCAGGTGAGCATAAATAAACAAATGACACATCAAAGTCGATCTAAACTAGCGGCCTCAAAAAAAAGGCAAAAAAAGATGTCGAGCAAAAAGTAGAAGGAGCTATGCCGATTGTCGACGCTGCACATCCTGATCGTGAAGAGATCTGCAAGTCAGTCATAGCCAACGTCAAATGGCAGATGTCCATAGATCGGAAGATTGGCCCGCTGAAGGCTTTGCAGGTAAGATGTCTGAATGGCGGCTCATACACCGTTGGCGCTTGAATTCTCAATGAACTCGTTTCTAATGTAGTTGGGTCCACTAGGGATATATGTGGCGGTCTGCGTACGAAAGCGGGAGGATAAAGGGAGCGTAAGTCTGGCACTTTCCTGGCAGAAAAGGTTCACGGCATTAAATTATTTATACCCAAACTGCATCACCGAATAAGTGTTTACGAAGACGTCGTTCCCGCCCTCCGAAATTGGATTGAGCAAGGGATCGATGTCTACATATACTCGTCCGGGAGTGTGGAAGCACAGAAGCTGTTGTTTGGGTGGTCGGTTGAAGGCAATATTCTCAAGGTATGCAAAACTAATGTGATAGAGCAGCGCATTCAAACCAGGATATTTTGTTAATTGTCCTATCATACTACTGTCAGTACTTCAAAGGTCACTTTGACACTGGAGTGGGATTGAAGGTTGAGAAAGCAAGTTATGTGAAAATCAGCCATGAAATCAAGCAAGCCCCTGAACGGATCTTGTTCATCAGTGACAACATCAAAGGTATATTGAGGTGACGCTCTCAATTGCCTATTGCCTGTCACCTACCGGTACGATTTCAGAAATCGATGCTGCCATTCAGGCTGGTTACCAGGTAGCCATCACCAACCGTCCGGGCAATGCTCCGTTACCTTTCCCCCCCGAAGCCACAACAACCACCTCGATCGAAGTTTGTGGGCAGCAAGTACCTATTATAGACACGTTCACAGAAGTCTTCGAGCGGACGAGCAGCTTCCAAGCAGCTAGCAGACCTAAACAGGGAGATTTTAAACTAGACGATTTGATTCACCTGGAAACAATGTAATTTTTATACGATAAGATCAGTCCTAGCCCACTGTTGCATTTTGTGGGAGGCGTCTCTAGGACTATGCCTTTTACTGATGGAGCTGTTATTTTTGATTCGCTCATTCAAGGTTCGAGGAGCTGGGCCGTGAGGATGGGTTGCGAGATGGGATACATGCTGGGCATACCGAAGGAAGAGTAGCTGGGACTGAACGTGGGTTTGAAATGGCACGTGAGGCAGGATTCTATTTCGGTGCTGCAAAAATGTGGGCCGAAGCGGCACAGAAAGGATTCGTAGAGACGTCAGACCGGTAAGTTTGGCGGACCGTGATCAGCTCATTTCCATTGTAGCTGGATACTAAGACCTCTTCTTCAGAGGTATGAAGGCTGTTCAGCTGCTGAGAGCACAGGCACAGGACTTCCCGCTTGAAAACACACACGACTCTGAGGGACCAGACCCAGTTACATCGCTTGATCGGATACGGGGAAGATTCAAAGTAGCCTCTTCCGCATTTGGGACATATGCTACGGGCCAGAGATATAGGGCAGATGAAAATACGAGACCGCGGATGAATTTCTAGATGTTACTTGAGTATGTTCATTACTTGTCACCCGGGCGATGCAAAACAGGGCGGCGCTATGGTATGCTATATACTAGATCTACTCCTAACTTAGATATGTGCCGTTGATTCCTCCCATAAAGTCTTCCCGCTACATGAACACACTGTCTTGGGGTTTTCAAACACTCCAGCTGATCGGGCTATAATACCACACACGGAATCGCTCTTTGGGACTCCAGACTGCTTCGAACTTTGCAACTTTTCCAAAACGATAGATCTCCCAATGACGTCCCAAACCTTTACATCTCCACTCTCTACTACCAGATCCCCTCTCCCGCTCGCATCCACAAGCAGCTTACCAAATTCTTTGAGGGCCTTTCCCGTACTCTCGCAGCCGCCACTGATATCTCCGCATTCGTGCAGCGAGACCGAGAGTTCACCGGGTGGCATCCCATCCACTGTTACATCCACTAAACATGTCTCATCATCCACTTGCACCATCCTAGCGAGGCCCTTGTTATTGGTCTGAGCCCAGCCTTTCGCACCAGGGAACGACTCAAAGATACAGACAGCAGCACCGAGGTGTTGTGCGGATGACGATTGCCCACGAAGGACGGTGTTCAGTCCAGTTGAACGGAGTGTGCGAAAAAGTAGAGAGGGAGGTGTTGTGGCTTCTATAGTGACTGTTTTGTTTGGAACCGAAATGTCGAGGGATCTAATGCCATTCAGTGGTGAAAGTGCGGTTTTGACGGTTTTGACGCATGATTCGCAGTGGAGATCCACGGCAAACTGCGTCTTTAGAGGAGTCTTCAGAGTATTCGGTGGGGTTGACGGACTTGTCATTGTCATGTATATATTCGAATGGAGAAGCTAGTTCAATCGAAGCTATCATGCTGACAAACAGGTCCATATATCCATTGTTGCCATGACAGCGATCATATGCGCAGTACCGCTCAATTAACCTCATATCTATCATTAGTGTGCAGGTGGTAGAAAATGTCACTAGGGACACATTCTCCCTCCAACCCACTACAACCGGTTCTAATGTACAATTAGCCAGCCTGTCCAACCCTTCATAACCTATCCTGCAAATGAGTCCCACCCCTATCCTAACTCGCTACAGGTTCCAGCCTGGGTTGAACTGGGGTACGTGCAAAGCAGCAAGGGCGTTCTCCGTTGTTCTCGTTCATGTCCTTGCCGCATTAACGTCTCGATTCCACTAACTAACTACCACTAGGCCTAATTACACATGCGATAACATCACGGTTGTTCTAACCGGGTAACTAAGCCCACCACACGAGAGAAATCGTACTAAGCCCTTGATTCCGAAATTCTTTAGTCGGAGGATGTTCAGATACTAGTAAAGTCAGACTTAGACTGAGGAATACGCGTGGGAACAATCATAAAGATAATGCATACCTGCAATCGTAGCAGTATAGTAGTAGCAGCGTTTGCAAGGCGTTATGTTGTTTTTGTCGGGAGGGCGAGGTCCTCGGCACCAGAGCAGTATTCTCATGGTGGACTTGAGAGTGCTGCGTGAGCGTTGGGCAGATGCTTCAAGAGTCGAGGATGGGTAAAGAGGGAAGAGACAGCAAAAGGCCCCCCTTTTATAGACCTTTGACATGCGCCTCACCGCAGTTTAAAAAAAAAACATTACAATACATGCCACACCGTTTTGAGCAATAGAGGGGGTGCTGATTATGCGATATGATTATATCTAGGGAAATGACAAAAGTAGACGCGACCAAGCAACATATTTGCGAGTATTATTAAAGAAGAGCTTTGCATTCATTAGGATCGATCTGTACAAATAAACCAAATTAAAAAAATCTACATGCATTCTTCTCTGCAGCTCATCGAATATCCCAAATTTCCTCCGTATCATCTAACCCTGTACGCAAAAACTCGTCAATTCGTCTCACAGGTATTCCTTCCAAATTATCGTTCTCCTCATCTTCCAGCCAGGCCCCATGCGTTTCCGCCTCTAAAATGGGTGACGCAGCAGTTGTTGGAGAGTAGCACGGACCAAACGGGCTCGCATCAGGCTCCGAGTGCCTCAGAGCGCGCCATACGGATTTAGCCGGGGTCGTGACAAGGGTTGCGAGACGCTTTGTTACCGAGAGAGGGGGGCTAGCCACGCAATCTTCGCTTAACAGCAGGGCTGACGTAGACACTGATGGCGAGCGCAAAATTGCTTCGTCAATGTCAATATCATACAGTGGGGATGGTGATGGTGGCACCTTCACAGTGGGGTAAACCACTGGTGTGCAGTGCCGGGTGAATATTGGTCTATTCTTCTTTGGTGTTTGTATTGGCGTATGTATTGTTTTTGTATCGAACGGGAGAGTTGCATTCGACGGCTTGTTGCTACCATCCGTCCGTTTCCATTGTTCTCCCTCCTCCGCAAGGGCAGATTTCTTCTCACAGAAAAATGCAATAAGGATACCCACAGTCAGAATGGCGGTACAAGCAATAGCCGCGGTGATATAGCTGCATGGCAACAGTCCACTATCAACTGATTTCAACCGAGCAGCAATTGCGAGACGCTCTGAGGCGATCAACGTAGAATTGAAAAGCATTTTGTCCGTTGTACGTAAATTAGGCGCCTAGGCCTTGCGATGGTCGTATCGTACCGTGTGTGGTTGCATGTAGCAGGTGTGTACTGAGTTCTTCTATATTTGAAAGAATGCCGGCTTCCGAAGGATCGCCCATTCGAATTAGGTCTCGCTTGTTTTCCGTTCCGACGAGGGGAAGAATTTCACACTTGGGCGTTCTCCCAGCCATCCCCTGCTGATCCAATTGCCGGACACGTGTTCTTTAGGTGGTTGTTGCTATATCAACCACGCGGGGGGGGGGGGGGGGGGTTACCCCGCGATTTCTACCTGTTAATGTCAGTGAATATCCAGCCAGTTTCAAGACTGCTAAAAGGAGTGCAGTTGAAAATGCTTTCATTCATCATTGGCAAATCTGCTAGGTACCAGGGCTGCAAAAGCTTACAATAGTTAGATTGTCCAAGTATCGATCGACCAAAGTGCAAGTATGGGGAAATGGAAACCTCAACATCTATTAAGACCTCAACAAAGATTCATGAATGACATATGTTCCCAGGTATTGTAATCGCATCTATTTCTCAAATGGCGGATGATTACAACACACGCGCCTCGTTCTTGAGCTTTGAAAGCAGCTAAGGTTAAAATAAAGTTAGCCCTACGAGTCGATACAGCTGATCCCTCCGCGTCTCAGGATAGCGCACCTCATCTACACTCTCAACCTTGATTCCGCCCGCTCGCTTGGGTGGCTCGATTACTTTCACAGTCTCAATAGTAGGTGTTACATCGACTCCCAAATCTTTCGGTGTCAGCTTTTCCACCTTCTTTTTCTTGGCTTTCATAATGTTTGGCAAGGTGGCATAGCGGGGTTCATTCAATCTGTACAGATGTGTTAAACTTGGCCCGCGTCGAAATGATCTTTTGCATGCATACCGAAGATCGGTTGTGACCACAGCTGGCAACTTTGAGGCGATTGTCTCCAAACCACCGTCTACCTCTCGTGTTACCGTCAGCTTGTCCCCAGCAACTTCGACTTTGGAAGCAAACGTGGCCTGTGGAGCATGTGGTTAACGTTTTGGCTACTGGAACACGCATATGACCCGTACATACCTGAGGCCATCCCAATAATCCTGCAAGCATCTGCCCTGTCTGACTGCTATCGTCGTCAATGGCTTGTTTGCCCAGCAACAAAAGCTCTGGCTTCTCCTTCTCTGCTACAGCCTTGATCAATTTGGCCACCTAGGGTTACCCCGTATGAATTCGCTTTAGCGTTCCATTATGCAGCGCGTATATCTGCTCCCGTTTGTACCTGCAAAGGTAACACCTCGCTCCCCTCCGGAACCTCAATATGAACACCTCGATCAGCACCCATCGCCAAAGCCGTCCGTAGCGTCTCATTCGACTTGCTGGGACCAACTGTCAAGGCAATGACTTCTTTTGCCAGCTTCTTCTCCTTCAAGCGAACAGCCTCTTCGATCGCAATCTCATCGAACGGGTTCATAGAGTGCTGGATGGGCAATCATTCTCAGAAGGTTGACAAACATTCGAAAATGGCATGCTTTTGCTTTACCTTGACATTGGTGTCAACCTTTCCACCTGCCACGCGAATCTTGACAGCGTAGTCCACCACACGCTTCACAGGAACAAGAACTCGGTTGAGAGACATTCTGATAGGGCTCGTAATAAATTGAGGACACTGTGAATCTGCAACAGTCGGCCGGGTGACGCCGGAAATGCGAGATGGCGATGGCTGACTCCCACTGTTGTCATAGAAATGATTTCCACGTGACTTATATTCACGTGATGAGAAGCACATTCGGCAATGAAAAGCGGAAGAAGTTGAAATCGTTCTGTGTCCACTGCCGCATAGCATCTCCCGTCAGATCGCTCCGGTCAATACATCAAGATGGTACGTGGGTTGTTGGGTTACTGAAGGAAGTGAGGATTGGTGGATGGGAAGACTTGTCGAGATGGATGAACGGATGGATGGATGGATGATTAAATGGATGGACCGTGGTCGAATGGGGAACGACTTCAATACCAATGATACCATTGACTGACACCTTACCGAACGTTTCGTTGGTCATTCTAGCCTTCCCGTCTTCACAAGAACAGAAAGAAGCGTGGTCGTAAGTATACAGCTGGCGCATTTGCACTTTCGTCTATCGAAATAGTGTCTGATATTGGTCTTTTTACCAGACGTGTCCGCTGGTCACGGTCGTGTTGGTTAGTAGATTTGCTTTGTCCCCTGGTTACTTGCGAGAGGCAGTCGCAGTGGCCATTATGGGGATTCTCGTCAATCCGAAAGAACAGCTTGCTGATGTGTACTTCCTGCTGCCTAAATTATAGGGAAGCACCGCAAGCACCCCGGAGGTAGGTTACAGGTTTTTGGAATCTTTTAGTGAGCCGAGAAGGGTTGACACCACTTTCACAGGTCGCGGTCTTGCTGGTGGTCAGCACCACCACCGTATCAACATGGACATGTTCCACCCTGGGTACTTCGGAAAGGTCGGTATGCGTCACTTCCATTTGACCCGCCAAAGTCAATGGGCACCTGTGGTCAACGTCGATAAGCTCTGGACCTTGGTCTCTGATGAGGCTCGTGAGAAGGCTGCTGCCAACCCCACTGGCCCTGTTCCCGTCATTGACGTTCTTCGTCACGTAAGTTCATCATGTCTTTGTGCTTGCTGTCGCGAACGACGAATTTACGTAGGCTTCATCTTCGCTCTTTAGGGTTACTCTAAGGTTCTTGGAAAGGGTCGCCTCCCTGAAGTACCCTTCATTGTGAAAGCTCGTTTCGTGAGCAGGAAGGCTGAGGAGAAGATTGTTGCGGCTGGTGGCAAGGTTGAACTTGTTGCTTAAATGCGTTCTCCATCGTCAAAATATATACATAATAAAACCAGCTTGCTTTATGTGTCACGTCAAACCATCTGTTGCATGATCTCAGCGGAGACGGAGCAGAAGTTGATCAGAAGTCATTCTCTTGAAATCTGCAATATCTATAGGGGACCAACGATGAAACTATCTATGCAGACCAATTACTATATAACTTGTCATCACAGCTTCTTGGTAAATACAGTCGTCGCCCACAGACGGCCATCAGGAAGAGCAGCAAAATCCTCAATGACACCGACGCGCTGCCAACCCCACCGTAGATAGATGTGCTCAGCGGTACTGCCGGTTACAGTGTCAAGAACAAGCACGGTTCGGCATCGTTTCCGGGCTTCTTCTTCTAAAGCAGACATGAGAGCCGAAGCATATCCGTGACCGCGTCCATTCCGATGAACCAACAACTTGCAAACTTCAGCGCGATGCCTGCCATTGGCTTGCGGCGCAAGGGCGAGGCCAACAGTGCCAAGAATTTGTCCCTCACTATTCACGGCCACCCAGGTAAGTATATTTGGATTTTGCAATTGCTTATGCCACCAATCTACTGCTGCATGATGCGTCAAGCCCGCCAGAAAGCCTACGCTGGAACCCCCATCCACACAGTCAATCAGAAGCTCTGCCAACCCAGCTTCATAGCTTGCCGCATTTCTCGGGTCCACAAGCTCTATCCGAACACCGTCAGTACGTAAAGCGGGAAGGGTGGAGCTATGAGCCGCCATGTCCGTCTTGATAAAGTGAGAACTGGGGAGAGGGAAGGGATCCCGGCGACAGCCATGGACCACTTATCTTCCCATGGGACCAAGCTGTGGAAACGGGCACGGCTGTCACGTGCCATTTGGAACTCCGACGTTTTTGAAGTGTTTCTGCAGATCCAGCGCTACAGGGCAGTATATGAATTTAACAGTGCACATAGTGTGACCCACATCTGAATATATAGAGAAGCTAGGATGCCTAAGAAGAAGGTAAGCGAAGAATTTAACATTCCGTTCATTATCCGCCTGCAGTTGTATAAATCGATCACCTTTACAGAACACAAAATCCGACGACATATACGAAATCCATCATCAGATCGGAAAGGGTTCATTCGGTGAGGCACGTAGGTTTGCCGCGTACGTTGTACAAAAGCTCGTTTATTGTGTGCGTTGAATTCGTGTATAACCGCGGATGCTGACATTCTGTCGAGTAGGTTTATAAAGGTGTACATAAGGCGAGTGGGACGCCGGTCGCTATCAAGGTGATTGATTTCGAAGGTATAGCCGCAATATCAGGAGGATGTAATAGATGTTTATATCTGATTGCCTGCTGGTTTCAGAATCCGGAGACGATATTGATGAAATACGACAAGAAATCTCGATTCTTTCCGAACTCGATTCTCAATGGGTCACAAAATATTATGGGTCTTATGTGAGAGGCACTAAGCTGTGGATTGCTATGGAGTATTGCGATGCGGGGTCATGCTTAGATTTGGTTTGTAGTTGTGAACTTTGAGTGGATTGCCTCCATTCCGGTCCTGACCAGTTGTGCTGTTGGAACAGATCAAGACCGGGGTCCTAGACGAAGGTCTTGTTGCAGTTGTCTCTAAAGAGCTATTGCACGGGCTCGACTATCTGCACAGCCGCGGAAAGATTCATAGGGATATCAAGGCGGCGAATGTGTTGCTGACGGACAAAGGCGAGGTGAAGTTGGCAGACTTTGGTGTTTCCGCCCAGGTACTTTATCTGAGGGCCTCTCCAAAATTTGCAATGTTGGCAATACTGACGACTTTTAACTTTGCCAGGTAACAGCGACAATCACAAAAAAGAACACATTTGTCGGCACCCCTTACTGGATGGCACCAGAGGTTATTTTGCGATCAGCTTACAATTCAAAGGTAACGGCACACACTCTTCAATGCTCTGTTTATATACCAAGAAATTTTGATACTGATATCAAATAGGCGGATATATGGTCATTGGGTATCACGGCATGGGAACTTGCAAAGTGAGTGTGAAGATCGTCCAATAGCAATACTTACCGTACTTATTTTCTTCAAAACAACAGAGGTCTTCCTCCTCACGCGAACATCCATCCGATGCGAGTCCTGTTCATGATCCCCCAACAATCATCTCCTGTCTTGGGCTCTTCTTTCTCCGCTGAATTCCGGGATTTCGTGGCTCAATGTTTGGCAAAGCGCCCAAGTCAGGTTAGTGCACTTCCATGTTATGTGGTTTTTAGATTGTCAGAGTTTGAATGACACCTTCGTGTAGCGGCCTACTGCAAGCGACCTTCTCTCACACCCGTTTATCCGCAATGCCCCCCATGTCTCCCGATTCCAAGCGAGAATCGAAAAGTACAAACTCATGAAACAAGAAGGCAACACTGAGGTGTCAAATCTGGATAAAGCTGCCGATATAGCCTCGTGAGTGTGATTGGGTATTTGAGCTCAACCACATTTGTTTACTGATTTTTTGATCTTGACTAAAGAGGCACGGAGACTACCCGGGATCTACCTCCGAGCTTTGGATGGGATTTTGGTACGGTGAAGCAGGTGAGGACAACCTTGATTTTATCTGTATGGGACGTCATCAAACGAACAGCCGGCTCACAAGACTGCATCCCTCAATGGTAACCGCTTGATAGAATACATTGAAATCACTTCGCACAATGGTGGGATCTGCTCATCTTCAACACGCTCTAGGGTCAAATTATTTATCTTTTCTGGGGGATGTTTCATTTTTAGACTGAGAGATCAAGTAGGAGTCTCGGAAGAAGGTAAATATTTGGAAATCTTGCTGTCTTTGGTTCAAGAAAGTGAATATTGAATATCCCATAGCATAGCCTGGGAAGATGAGTTTGACAATCAGACATTACACGCCGACGATACCTCACCACCCACTCCCAAACCATCCGCCGTGCCAAGTACATCGTCCGCCGAGACTTCCGGCTCATCCTCGCTTTCTTCATCAGCAAGCACGTCGACAACGATGTCCTCCACATCTCAAAGGCCATATCTTCCGGTTCTGAGCTCCATAATCCAAGCAATTAAACAGGTACAGGTACAGATTTCGTAGTATTCAGCGGCCATTCGGACTGATTACGGGTCTACCCTATTTTGACAAAAATAAGGCCTACCCCAACGCTCCACCGTCCACACAGCAGCGTCTGACAACAATAATAGACACCTTAACGCAGATGATGCAAAGTGATCCGATGGTTGGTGAAGTTGTAGGGCGAGAGTTGGTTAGATTGTTACAAATATCTCCGGTCGGCTCCCAGTCAAGCACGACGACGACCAGAGAGGCTTCGATGCCTCCATCAATCTCCACGCCGCAGAAGCCACTGAGTACATCGCACCAGCCTCTAAAAACCTGCTCAGATTCACCGCGATCACCGCTGGCAAACCGACTATTGGAACGCTGGAGAGCGCGGGCAATCAGAAATGGAGCATGAAATTGGATGGATTCTACGACATTGCTCAAATATATTCATTTGCCAATATCATTTGTTCAGCAGAAATATTCTGTTTCGAGCAAGTAGCCACCTCTTTGATTTCAGCTCCACCATCACATTCTTCACACCACGCCTGCGAGCACACGTATTAAATATATACAACCTTTGGTGCTGCAGAGGCGTGCGTATCATGGCATTTCTTTGTAGTGCTCCCTTCTTGTGATATTGTCCACGACCCGGAATGGTCAGCGTAGAAGCCTACAGTTCCTCCTGTGGTCCTAGATAGTCCTCCTTGATTGTCCCAACACAAAACTAACAAAAGGAGATGTTAGAAGAGGCTTGACATTAAGATGGCCAACAAAGGCATCGTTCAAGGCATTTGCGGTATCCCCACTTACAATTTCTCTAGCATCCGTTCGCATACCGATGATTCGCGCTCTTACTGCCTGTCCTTTTTCGATTCGAAGAGATATATCCGCTTCCTGAACCATGTCACACATTAGTATGTGAACATGAACGATGCATATCAAGATTCAACTATCTGCTCGCACCTCTCCATCTGACACATAAGCCGGTGGGTTGGCACTGGGGTCAAATCGATAATACGACGGGATAAGCTGGAGGACATTGAGGTCGACCATTAGTGTTGGTAGATCTCAGGATCCATCCTCCGGTACATACCGTGGCAGCTACGAACATCTGCAATGGTCCTATCTCCGCCCAAAAGCCAAGCTACCACACATTAAAAAGAGTAAGATGTTAGTGGATAATTAAGATCATACTGCCAACAGAGGTTTTGCTCGCAATGTACCTGATTGACCGTCGTGACCACTCCGTCCACCACCATGTTTTTGAAGACCTTCAAAACAAGCGCTTTGTATACAACGTTGAACTCGGCCAGCCCTGTCATCGGCTGGAGGACCCCTCTTCCAACGTCCAGTATGTCCAATACACAGATAATGTGCCCATATCGGCCCTCAATGTGACCCTCGACTTCATCGTAAAGCTTACGTTCAACGTGTTCGCGTAGCCGTGGGCCAAAAAATTGTGGTGGAAGACGGACAGTATGATGGAGAGTTTTCTGACATTTGCACGAATGGTGGTTTGTTCGACGAAACAAAAAGGTTCAGCGGTTGAGCAAATAGTGCATTTATTCAACCGTTATGTCCATTGCAATGGAAGTTCATCTCACGTACAAGGAAGAACATGGTTCACCAGACCGGTAACTCTGAGGAAAAGGTTGCTCCGCTCGGCCTCCTGCGTGGGTCCTTCTAGCGGCCACAGAGCTAATAGATGGGGTCGGATCAGTTCGTGTTGTAATCTGGCGGCTCTAGAACTACACAAGAAGCCAAGCGTTCTACTAATCACAGTACGCTGCATTACCTTTGCCTCTTTCTGTCGGTGTGCGGTGAATCGTGTCCGTCACTATCCTTTAGGGCGAGGGTTCGGGATCTTCGAATCAAACTCAGCGCACTTCGAAGCAAGCAACGCTCGGGCACACCACCAACTGGGATCGGCGATTCCAATGTACCCTCCAACCATTCGTCATTTAGTTATTTCCATGACAACAAGGTAACAGTAGAAGGTATTCGGTAATGTCAGTCTTTACCGTTTGTCATTCTTCTTCCGCCTTGACATACGCACAATATGTTCTCCTTCGGTCCCCAAACACCAAAAATCACCCTTGAAGAGGCTATCGAGAACCGCGTAAAGGTATCTACTCACCCCCCCTTCTGAGTGTTGCTTCTCTGTTGCTTATGTACCACGTAGGTGCGACAAAGCTTCACCAAGTTCCTGACTGTGGTGGCTGCTATCCGCATCGGTGAGTGAAGTGGATTGGCAAAACCATATATCAACGTATTTGAGGACCTGACGTATATGTTTTTCTTTTAACCATAGCACCATTTTTGGTGGAATACGCGAAGGAACTCTTGTGAACAAATGTAGGGATAGACGAATAGACCGACAGTGGGCTCTTCGGGGCTCGTATGAGAAGCTCTTCTACAAAACCAGTCATTTGAAACCCTAACCATATCGCCCTACTGTGTGCTATATCTTCTCCGAGCGAAGCCATTGCCCAACTCGTAACGATATCGCACGTTGTGTCTTGTAACTAATTAAGTGATTGGAAATAAAAGGGGGCTCTCAGGATATCATTCAAAGTGCCTGTGTTCGCAAAATTACAATATCGTCTTTTGGTCTATCTGCAGCGTCGGTTGGAACCTGCACACAGTCAAAGCATTCGTCATCAAAAAGGCCGCAAGCACTCTAGGAAAGAGAAACCACACATACCAATCCAAGTCTTTTCACCACATTCATACCCGCACTAACCCTTCCGAAAATCGTATGCTTTCCGTCCAACCACGGCGTAGGCGCGAGGGTGATGAAGAATTGGGAGCCGTTGGTATTTGGACCGCTGGAGGGTAATGATCGGTGAACAAAGTCAAACGCAAACTATGACCGCAAGTACCGTACCTGTTTGCCATGGATATAATCCCTGCTCCAGTGTGCTTCAATTGAGGATGTATCTCATCCGGGAACTTCTCGCTGTGGATCGTAATTGGAGATCAGAACTCAAGTACTATGCTCATTGCTGAACTGATATAGCCAACCCGTAAATACTAGTTCCTCCACGTCCTGTTCCGGTCGGATCCCCTACGAAGATACAAAAATCAGTGCGCCATCTAACAGGTTCGTTCTTTTGATCCACACCTCCTTGAATCATAAAATCCTACGTATAAAACGTCAACCATGTAATCACAAGGTTAAAAGATCTAGAGTGACAAATGAGAGGCAAGTTGAATCCATAGTCAAACATACCGGTATAATTCTGTGGAACTGAAAACAACGAGAAACTAGATAAGCATGGTTCTCACACGCTAGCGCTTGCTAGTGACTTTAGCAGGACATACTTTCACATTATTATAATACCCCCGTTTCGCCTGACAAAAGATGATCCCATATTAACGTTAATAGTTCGAAGGTGCACAGGAACCTAATCTGTCGTCGTGCCCTCTCGGGACAATTTCCAACCAACCAGTTGATAGAAATTCTCGCAGGTTCTCGGCGCATGGTTCCAGTACAGCTCAATGGTTATTGACCCAGCACTCGTTTCCAGTACAACGTAACGAGTATTTTGTTGCGTCATGTTGGGTGATCTCTCTGCAGGCTGGGCGAGGAGATCGTTGAAAGAGTTGGGTTCCCCAGAGCACTGTCGCTAGTCACGTGATCTCTGAGCCCTCCAAATGCCCAATCTCGTCAACACAGTGCGTCGTTTCTTTGCTGCGACATCATGCCACTCTTTCCTCGCTCACGTTCACATATCCTTCGTCTCGGTGTGCCCTTCTTTGGCGCCATGCTCCTTGCAACGTACGGCATGGCACACTTGGCCCAAACACGATATGATTACCATGACAAGAAGACAAAACTGGTTTGTACAGTTTTCCTTGGGCGAGAGAGAATATGAGGGTTAAAGCATCTTTGTAGCTGGCAAAGAAAGAGCAATTGCAACTTGATGCAGATCGAAAGCCATTCAGTGTTCAGGAAGCATATTGGGTATGTGCAACGAAGTTAAAGTTTTAGCGACTTTGTAGATCTGATTGTTGTTTCACAGAATTTGACCAGCAAGAAAGAGGATTGGGACGATTGGGATATGGTGAGGGTGCCGAGACCCCCAGGGGACGAATGACTTGATACTGGAGATGCTGCAACCATTACCAGATATTCAGTATTTATTCATTATGCATCTTACTGTATATTATCTATCTGTACATAAACGAAAAACAATAAATAGCGAGCCAATCATGAGATCACCACTACTCTAAGTCTACCTATACTTTATGATTCCGCAAATATTCGGACGCTACAGAACCTGTTGCCTCTTCCCCATCTTCATACACCGGTACAGCAAAAAAAGTAAATTTATCAAAGAACAGGAACAGTGCCAAAAACAAGAAGTCCGCCCCCCAACTGATTACGCTGAGCCACATTCCCCAGTGGAACTGCACGGCGTTCGGGAAGCGAATCTTGCCTTTGCTCTGAATGTCATAGATGAGCCACACGGCAATGCATTGCAAAATCATATGCGCCGCCACAGAGATCATGATAACTTTCTTAAAGAATCGTCGAACGGTTCGGACCGAGGATGACTTGTGTCGGTCGGGGTGATACCATAAGGATACATTCCACCACACGAGAACATTATCGATCAAGAACAGAACCGCTACAGCTCCAGCAACCGCGGCGGCAATTTCCAATGAAACCGCTGAATGCCATTCAGTTCCGCAAAACACAGATTGGTCCGGCACCCCGGGTGACGGATCCGTCTTGGTCCAAAAGCGCACTGTGCCCGTCCCGCTACAGAGATCTGTGTAAGACTGACATTGAAGTTCAGTTGGGTAGTTGATCTGAGGCGAAATGTTCTCTTCGGGCCTTCCCCCGTCGTCCACCATTCGATAGCAATATTTGAAATACCCAAACGAGTATTCCATCAACGCAGTAATACTTCGTTGATCTGCAACAGATGGCACATAGTAGACGTTCATAGCCGCCAGAGTAACGACTGTTAAAACGTAAGTGGGGAAAAAGAGGGAAAAGTAGAAGAAGAGGCGTTTATAGTCGACTTTTGTTTTGACGCCAACAGGAACTCGGCGGAGTTGGAAGCTCTTGACCGAGAAAAAGGATGGGCGACGAAAAAAGGAAGGGCGACGACCAAACGATGGACGTCGCAGGGAAGGGCGGGGTCGTCGAGGTGGGTCGAGAACAGCGGGGTTGCAGATTATATCCGCTGCGTCAATGTGGGTGTCGTCGGCATACTGGTTGGGTAGTCCTGGCATACTTGTGGTTGGTGATGCCGAACCGGTCTTTGAACAGTAAGAAGATAATGGTAAAACGTTCTAGGAATTCGCAAGGCCCTCTGCCATGTCGATGCGTGGTCTTCTTTCGGTCCTCCTGCCGCTTGGCCTTCCCGACCGTTATCCTTCTGCCGTCATCACCAGAATTCTTTGTGTGCACCAAAACGCGCGAGAAATTTGCGGGGATGGCTTAGCACTGCTGTGGTTGGATCTTCTCACGTGACTGAACCATCACCATGACAACCAACAGACGGTCCGCATTCGGGAAGGACGGAAGACAACCCACAGCGAACCAGACGGATTACAATCGCTTTCGCTTTTCAACAGTCATTGAGTAAGACGCGATGGCCGGAGGAAACCCTTTTGAACCTTACAACATTGCCGGTTTGAAGGTGCCCCGTTACAAGGTATGAGTGAGAGGTCTCTACTGAAGTCGCGCTGAACACGAGAACGACGTGAGAACGTAACAATTCCATCGATATTCACAATTTTCCATCACGTCAGGTGGCCCTCTACGGTATCATCGGCTACGTGGCTCTCGTCACTGGTGTCATTCAGTACAAGAAGTTGCAGCCCCCGGCGCCCATAACATACGAGAGTAAGGAAGAGGAGGGTTACGTCAAGCGATACATTCAACATATGGAAGGAGAGTTGAAGAAGCCTGTCCTTGTCCGTCAACCCTTCACTGGCCCTTCCGCCATCTAAATACAAGATCCTGAAGCAGCGGAGTTTGAGGACGGCGAATGAACAGTAATCTCCGATATCCCGTTTAGACGCGCTTTGTCGCGGTAATTGGTGGGCTCGGTTATGTGCTGGGAATTCTTGCTGATAGAGATGTGAATGGAGGACCGGATGATGTTGGCAGTAAATGGGACTCATGCATACCGCTGATTTTGGAGTGGAAAATATATCGTTGCAAACATGCAGACCCTCATAAGTTAACGTGTAGATATCCACGACTGTACATTTTCCCTCTCTTGAGTAGATGGTTTACATTCTTGTGGATTGCTCAAAGTGGACTGGGGCGTCACGCCTTCATGGATGGCTCTTCTTTCTTGGCATCTAACGCAGACGCTGGCCTAGTTTCCATGCATAAAATTGAGGACCTCTCAGACATGGTTCAGAATTAAGACACGTTGTAATGACCCCTGGAAAAGGTTTGCATTGCGGCTACAATCGAAAGAGGTGCGTACGTACTTATAAACACCTGATAGAGGGCATATTACGATGCGGGCCAAAGCGAATAAGTTGTTAACAATGAGCGCGCAGGCAAGCGATGACGTTAGTGCGGGGCACAGCTCATACAGGCAGGCCCCGCTCTATCTCATCGTGCATACTTGATGTCCAGAGGTCCGGGGTAACGTTCGTTTGTCATTTTCTGGTCTCCTCAGGACCGGCACAACCAGAGGCAAAAAACTCGTATACAATCATCATATATGACGCACAGCTTGTCTTTATTATTTTTTTGTTCGCCCAAGCCCTCAAGATACACGCTTACAAATTGGCATGCCGCGGATCCAACGGAGGCGAGTAGACAGGGTCTCGGATATATATGGAATGTCTTTGGTTCTATAATCGGGAGTTTCCGCTTATTGGCCTCCCAGAGGAGCCTCCTTGGTAAAGTCAGCACGCTCGTGATATGGAGGATTCTGATAGGTGTAACAGAACAGGTCAGTTCTTTGACGTACTTCACTCCGATGCTGGGCAGCTAATCTTACGCACCCTCAAAAACATCTTTGTTCCACGCCACCATTGGGCCTCCATCCGCGCATCACTCTCCCAAGGCATAAACAAAAACGACGGGTTGACATAGCGATCAGTGTGATAGACGGGTTCTGCTTGCTTTGCATCGAATTTTCCTCCTTTTCCGACTCCAGGCACAGGTGCCTTCAAGTCCAATGGTTTCCACTCTTGAACGTTTTCCATGACGCCTCCTTCACGCTTTTTGGCTGCTTCGAGGCGGCGAATCAGGTCTCGGTCAGTTTCGGCTTGGAGGAGAGGAACAAGGTTGATGCGAGTCCAGGCCTTTTCACGGCGGAGCTCCCTGTGTAAAGCAAGGTTGGTTTTTAAAGTTTTACAAAAAATAATTTATGCTCCGCTCTTGTCAAATAGAGCCACCACAGTTCTTCACACTGCCCACCCATAGCAGACCTCATCAACTCACCTTCTCTCGGCATTGGCCTTGGCAACCCAGTACCATCCATAGCCCATGACACCAAAAGCAGCCACAAAAATGACCAATCCAGAAGGACCGCGTCGTGGAAGATAGCGCTTGTACTGAATCGTATCAGGGAATCCTCCCTGGGGGGGAAGGTCCTGCACCGTCGCCATCTTGTCTAGCGTAATGGCTTGTGCTATCGGATGTGAATCAGCCTGCTTGAACGCGGGCTGGAATTCAAGCCATGTTGGTGTGGGTGTGCGTTGCTATGGGGATGTTGAGCCATCCAGTTCGCGACTGCCTTTGGCTCTCCGTTTGGAGATCAGTTATCCCTAGTTCGACCACAATGTCACTCCGCACGGCCCTCCGATCGATAACCCGCAGCCGAACAACCCTTCATTCCCTTCCCCGCTTTTCTACTACCCCATCTTTTACATTCCGACAAGCTGCTGCCGCTGGGTTATTCACAGTCTCACCTGCCACCGTAACCGTTCGAGGAGAGGAAAGTGCCGGAGCGTCCACGGTATATATATTGAACGCTTTTTGGCTTTGGCTGGGTTGGTATGTTGAATGGTTTCTGGTTTGCTTAAGGTCATCTCGCTATCGAGCCTTCTACGAAGTTCCGTGCGGGGAGCGGCCGTGCGCACCAATTTTTCAGAAGTGAACGATGATTTCTAGGTAAGCTATGAAATACGATGCACAAATTTCTCCAACAGCTCAAATAATCCTTTTTTTGGCCTGCCAGTATTTAATATCATACGATAAACTCTTTGACCATCACACGGTAACATTTAACCACACATCCTGATCCTCGCATTAGTCACAGAGCTTGGTTACGAAACATGGGTAACAAGAGAGGGTTCTTCAAGGGTCATTTTCAAGAGGTGCATCTCGCCTGAATTGAGGGTACACACACGGGAGTGTTCTTGTTTATATTGCAAAATAGAATCGGCGCTTGGGGCGTAACATGAGCAAAATGAACAGAATTTCAATGAGTGTCGCATTGTCCTTGGAGCAGTTTAATCAGTCACGCCAGTTATGCTGTCCATATCTAGCTGATGTGCCTCATGTCATATACTTCCCACATATTATTAGATATTCAGGCGCGTTAGCTGACGACGGGAAACAACGCAAACACTCCAACATGTGCTACCGATACAGCAGACAATCTAGCTAAGTACGAAAATAGGTAACAGGTACATATCAACAAGACATCACGCCTCTCTACTGCAGGGCAACGTAATTTGCCGGGAACTACAAAGATAGTAAAAATGAGAAACATGATTGCTATAACCGTCTTGGCTCTTCACTTACCGCGCCCTCCTTTCCATTACATTTGCCCGTCCACCAGTCATTCTGACTCTGGGTCTTCTGGACAATCACAATAATATCTCCCTTCTTGAAGCCCAAATCTCCCGATCGCTCTCCCGCGAAATCGTACAATGCAACGGCCGTATCACCCTTCTTGGTGGCTGGAGGAGGTGGAGCGGCAACGCCAGGTGTCGGACTGCTGAGGAAGCCCTGCGCTGGAGCCGCAACACCAGGTGCCGGGTTGCTAAGGAAGCCCTGTGGTGGAGCGGCCCATGCAGCAGGTGCTGTTGGTTTGCTATTCTCAATACCGGTGGACGGTGCTTGAGCGATGGAGCCACTGGAACCATAAGAGGCGGGCATAGTGCCATTTCCGGGTAGGGTAGAGGTGGTGCCTGCGCGTCGATTCAGAGCTCTGCGCAATACAGAAGGTTCATTTCGCGTGGCATGTCGTGTGATTGCAAAATGCAAATATTACCTGTACAACTCTTCTGCAGCTGGCGGCGGAGGAATTGACCCCGAGAGAAGTTCCTTTGCAGATACCTTGCGGTGATAAAATGTCGCATTGGCGTCCTTGCGTTCGACAATCACTGATCCCTCAATTGAAACACCCGCAAAAAGTCCACGCGTTTTGCTGTTCAACGATAGATAAATAATGTTGACAACACGACATATGTATCGATCCCACATTACCTGTATGAGAAAATGGCTGCAAAATTACCAACCGTACCTGCGGCCTCTGCGTTACGTCCGATTGGCCCAGCAGCGACTGTGAGGTATTTTGTTGAGTAAATGCAGCACGACCAATGTCCCAACTCGTTTGATACACACCAGAAAGGTTTCCTCCAAGTGTCACATTTCCCCCATGACTGAACGCTTTTACCGCATCTCTTGTGTTCAAGATAATGACGAAGTCCGTCAATTCTGCTCCAATTTGACCACCAACACCCTAGAGACACCATAATTATCAGCATCAAGTAAAGATGCGGAAACGTTCAACACAGACGATTCCGTACCATTCCTGCGGTTCCCTGGTTGCAGTGAAATCCAAACCAGCATTAAAACTATGCAATTCAGCGAGCGGATGCACACACACCGGTACATACGATTGCCGAAGGAGCCGACCAACCTAACCCAAGCGAAGTACATCAGTATAGTGCGTGCAAAGGAACAGCAGAAGAACGTATACATACCTCCATTATCGAGTCTATGCAGAGGTAGGGGCGCCATCGCAATCTGTCAGACGCTGCAAGAATATACATTGCTCGACAGCCCCAGTCTCCTACCTTGCAATAACCAGTCCCGAACCCGCACGACCGGAAAATAAAAAACCGGCTTTTATGACAGTCAAAACCGCTATACCTTTGGCATTTGCTGCACGTCAAACATGTGAGCATCATGCCATGACACGCAAACGCAAAAGCACGGATGAAAAAAATAGGTACATACCAATTATATGAGGGGGAATGAGTTGGTCTGGACCTTTTCCCTTCTCGGGTTTGATAAAATGTTCAATGATCTTTGCGGCTTTCCGGCATTCTGACGTGAGATCGGAGGGAAGGGGTGAGTTGACCATGTTTGGGGTTCTGGTAGTGACTCAGGCAAGCGCTCGTGCAAACAAAAAGGAAGTCAGAGAAACAACGCTGAGATCACAGGCGGATGAGATAACGACGGCGATGTCGCATGGAAGCTTCTTTTTCATACCTCAGCGCCAGTGATGACAACGTGGCTTATCCGGATAATCCCGTTGGAACCGTGCGGTTAAACAAATGCGTTGGAAATCCGCCAGGTCGGCAATTTCAGTTACCATCTAACCGTTTATTTAATTATGGTTTTGATATGCGCGGGCTATTCCATGACTATGCGATATGCACCATGCGATATGCACCAACATTCCAACCGACATATCCTCAAACATTCATTCACACACCATCCGCATCAGCTGGCCTTGACACCTTGCAGGATAAAAGTCTCGGCACTCCAAGTTCAACGTCAGATGTCCAATTGCCTCCCGACTTGGCGGGATTGTCTTCCGTGATGACTGTGCCACTGCATTTAGAGATTCCACGCCTGTGATTGGCTGAATTCAAATGCCATGTAACTATATATAGACAAATCAGGCTTCCATAAAAGCTGGTTCCCGAACATCTTTCCCGTCCTCGTTCTGTCGCATGTTGGTTTCATAGTTTGTGGCATTCATCTTGGTCTTCCCATCTTCTTCATTTGCACTCTGAACTTTACCTATTCCTTGTTTTCTTCTGTACGCTCACTATTGATTAGCAAAAGTCACTGTCAAATGTCAACCAGGCTCGTCTCGACGCTGTTGGCAAACCGAACGCGGACGCTGTCAAGTCGCATCTTGCGACCTCTATTACCTGCCGTCAATCGCATCCCGTCGAGCCTTCCATCATGTCTGCCACCTATGCTGCCAATTCGCTCCGCTGCCGCATCCCTTTCCACCGCCGCCCCGCAACGCATGGACGATGATCTAGACAACACGCCAACTGCATGGGTAGAGCCGGATAACAGAGTCACTATCCGGTTCGGGGATTATGCAACAACGTCATTCAACGGAATCTGGCTTCGTGACCACTGTCGTTGCCCTTCATGTTTTCATGCCATCACGAAGCAGCGCTTGATAGATACCGCCTCAATTCCCTTGAACATCAAGCCATCTAGCATGGCCGTGTCGCCTGATGGCAAGACCATCAAGTTCGTCTGGGAGGATGATGGACATGAAAGCGTAATGGATTTGGCATGGCTGAGACAGCATTCTTACAATCCCAAACTGGCAGAGAAGAAGTTGCTGCGGGATAAACAACTGTGGGATGCCAGTATTGCAGAATCGCTCCCGATTGTCCAGTATAAGGATGTAATGGCAAACGAAGAAGGATTGGCAAAGTGGCTGGAACACATTGATGTGTACGGAATAGGATTCGTAGATGGAGTGCCGGCCACCCCGGAAGCTACAGAACAGCTGGGTCGGCGGATCTCATTCATTCGCGAAACGCATTATGGAGGATTTTGGGACTTTACTGCCAATCTCGAACACGGCGACACTGCATACACGACTCTCGGTCTTCCTGCCCACACGGACACGACGTACTTTACGGATCCAATAGGACTACAACTCTTCCACCTTCTGGAGCACCGCGGAACAGGCGGTGAATCACTTTACGTGGATGGTTTCCACGTTGCACATCAACTTCAAACACTGCACCCATGGGCATATGATATTCTCTCCCGAACACGCATTTCCTCCCACTCAGCCGGCGACAAAAGTACCTTGATCGAACCTACATACGGGCGACCTATACTCAACCATGACCCAACCACCAGAGAACTTTACCAAATCCGATTCAACAATGATGATCGTTCCACATTGGATCATCTTTCTGCATCAGAAGTGCGAGACTTTTATGCAGCCTTGAAGGAATGGATTAAATTATTGAGAGATAAGCGGAATGAATTGTGGACTCAATTAAGACCCGGTCGGGCTGTCATGGTGGACAACTGGCGGGTATTGCATGGACGAGCAGCTTTTACTGGACACAGGAGATTGACTGGTTGCTATCATAACTGGGATGATTACAGAAGCAGAGTGAAGACGGTTTTGGATAAGAAGACTATCTAGTTTTAGTTTGAAAAAGGAAGTTACAGTAGAAAGTATGTATTGTATTGTTGGTTGCTTGCAAAGCCTATTCAGCACATTTGCAGCAAATTATACTGTGACAAGTCTTTTGGTTTCAACACGCACGTAAAGTGCACACTATAATAATTAGAGACTAAATTTGCTACACGATGAACCATGTGCTATCGGCAAACGTTTGATCATAATCAAGTAGCCGCGCAATGGTGCCATCCTTAATTCCAACCATGTTGAAGCCCCGCTGCTATGTATCTCAGCGCCACTGACCGTATCCACCATACGCCTGTGCACTCGAACGAGCCTGAAGGGCAGACTCAGATTTCATCTTCCTCAGGCCATTAGGGTTGGAACCAGGACGAGGAGTGGTGGAATCACGGCGTTGTCCCCAGACGCCTGGGCGATCAGGACGGGCCCATTGACGTTTGGACTTTACAATCACAGGGAAGAAGAGAGTGTTGAGCTGATTCTGACTAGGCTTGGAATCAGAGAAAAGTCGCAACACATTTGAATCAAAGAGCATCATACGTACGCTTTGTACACATCATCGTGGGTTTCACCAGAGATCTGAATGGCGTTCTTCTCTTTGATGTAGCTGATATCGGTGTACGTATCCATTGCAATTTTACTGAATAAATCAAAGTCAGCGTGCGGCACGGCAGCATATCCAGCTCAGGCACTTGACCTACCCGATAGCCTCTGCATCAGGGCCCGCCCTCAGTCTCTGTTCATCCCAGCCCGGGGGACAGTAGACAAAGCCAGTTACATCTACCAGCAGACAGACAATTGTTCTAAATGTTAGTTGATCTGCCATATGTTCGTTGACGCCACCGAACCCACATACCAACAGCAACCTGCTCCCAGGTCCTCTCTCCGTTGAAAGTTGCAGCGTTCGTCATTGTAGATATAAAGAAATAGTAGAAAACGAAAAAACTAGTATACAAGAATGGAAGGCGGTGTTCGGCTGTGTGTATGAGGGATTGAATCAAAAGACGGTCGTTCCAGAACTAGCGATATATTGGATTTTTTTAAGGGGAACGTGGCCGTAGTGGTTTTTAGACGATGGGAATACCCAAAGCAAAGAGGTCCTTTCTTCAATTTTTTTTTTGATGAGGGATGGCGAACCGTCGAGGAAGGAACGGCAGCTGGAAGGAAAGCCAAATCCAACCTTTAGCGCACTTTGCCCCTTGGATTTGAACTTTCAACGATGGGGTTGGGGCCATAAGGTTGTGTAGATACCGCCCATAGCAACGAGCATGGCACAGTCAATTGATTTGCTCAGCAGATGGAATCTCATTCTACGCAATTGGCGCTCTCAGCATTCTTTCGTTTTTCGTAACTGGTATCTATCTGGTTTTACCATGGGTGCTTGTATTTTAATACGCAATTTGATCTATAGTTGGAAGCACTACAGCACAACGATCATGGCACTAGCAGCAACGGGATCATGACATGCATTTAGTACTGCAAGAATTATTGGGTACAAGACTACTACGTCGGCAAGTTTTGAACGACCCACCCATGACATGACGATGCATGGTCAGGGCTGGACAGCAATACAACAAGTCCCTTCGTCCCTGGCCGGCAGTGGCTGGAGCGCGCTTACTCAATCATTTCTGGAAAGTCCTCACGGGGACGCCACTCAATTCTGATTGGCCCGAATTGAACGCGTTGCGCCCCCCTCGTCATCTCCGCTCGCGTTTATAAAAGGGGGCTCGACTTTTCCCCCATTGCCTCTTCCTCAAAGGTACGCCTGATGTTGAGTTGTGTTTTCTACCAACTTGTCCTGTAGGATCTGTGCGGTATGCGTGGAACTTGGAGCGTCTCCCGCACGACGAATATCTTGCCAGGCCGGGGAGAAGACGTTGTCATTAACAACCTGAACTGCACTGGGTAGCGACATGCGACACGCGAAGCGCACTGATTCTGACCGCCCTTGGCTACAAGTTTTATGTAAGTCTTTGCACTTCTTCTTATACACTCGTCGCTGTGTCTAAAGTCCTGGCCACAGTTGGACGCGCAGCCGACTAGTCCGGGTCGCTCAAGTACTTCCGTCATCCGAAGTCACAAGGCTTCTATTTTGAACCTGGATGTGGAAGCGCAGCAAGGCCTACGAACCGAACAGTTATGTTATTACATATCCGTAACGACCATAACAAGTTTTACGCAACGTCCGTATGGGCATTGTCCTTTCCGGGTGATATCTGAGCTCTCGGGCTCAGTTCCTTCCGCCCATATCGTGAGAACATCGCCGTACGTCGTCCTCAAGCCGCAAATCCAGGACTCGTGGATTATGATGGATCAAAGTAACGTTGTGACATCCCGTACGACCATAATCCGTCTTGCCTCGTATCCATGTAGACCTTCGCCATCTCCGGGTGATGTCTAAGGCTCTCGGGCTCGGTTTCCACCCGTCGAGGTTTTACGAACATCTCAGGACATCGACCATACAAGTAATGTTCTGACATCCGTACGACAGTAATTAGTCTTGCTCGTATCCATGTAGACCTTCGCCATCTCCGGATGATGTCTAAGGCTCTCGGGCTCAGTTTCCACCCGTCGAGATTTTACGAACATCTCAGGACATCGACCATACAAGTAATGTTCTGACATCCGTACGACAGTAATTAGTCTTGCTCGTATCCATGTAGACCTTCGCCATCTCCGGGTGATGTCTAAGGCTCTCGAGCTCAGTTTCCACCCGTCGAGATTTTACGAACATCTCAGGGCATCGACCTAATGAATCAAAGTAACGTTCCTAAATATTCGTACGATCGTGACAAGTCTTCCCTTGTATCCATTCATGTAGACCGTTGCGCTCTCCGGGTGATGTCTGAGCTTGCAAGCTCGGTTTCCATCCGCCGACTGCAGACAAGAACGTTCATGCTACAAACCGTCAATGTAATTTGCTTACGCATTTGTACGCCTCTGGTACGTCTGGCCTTCCATGTGTATAGAGAAATTACCCAGCATAGCATTGCTCTTTTGGATGACGTCTGAGCTTAAACTCGGTTCCCATCCGTCGAGCTCATCACGATAACGCGTAGGACTTCCGTCAATTCGAAATGAGAGATCGGCTTATAGATTATGAAGGATTGAAGGAACGTTCTGCCGTCAGACGCCCGTTTGAAGTGTTGTCTCCAGTCGGTGTGCAGATGATTGCGGCAAAATATGATACTTCCGTCTTGGGTAGATGTCTGAGCCCTCGAGCTCAGTCACCATCTGCCGACACCGGATTTGCTGCTGGATTACGAGGAATGACTATGGTGCATTAATGTAACGTAGTAATACTTTACAACGACCGTGACAAGTCTTGTCCCACGTCTACAGACTACATCGTTCCTTCGGATGATGTCTGAGCTCTCGAGCTCGGATTCCGTCCGCCGATATCGTTAGCATGTTACTCGGAAGGTTGCATCTGATATTCAAGTAAGCTTCTTACACATTCGTACGCTGTGACACGTCCTGGTCCGCATGTGTATAGAAACCTTTCCCTCGGATGGTGTCTGAGCTCTCGAGCTCAGTTTCTATCCGCCGATACCGTCAGAACGTCGGTACGAAAGATGATTACGATGCTTCAAGTAAGGCTCTTCTATGTTCTTACGACCGTGACACGTCTTGTCCCGCAGCCATCTAGAGAACCTTGCTTCCTTGGGTGATGTCTGAATCTGAGAACCCCGTTTCCATCTAAAACGTCGTTAAACTGTTAGAGGACCCTTATCCTTAGTTCGAAAAACCGAAATCAGCTTGGGTCGTGATACATCACTCTTGTGAAGGATGGAAGTAAGATGTTCTTGAACATTAGTACGCTTCTGAACCCTTCAGGACGCTTCCGAACTTTGGTCTCGCCTGTGCATGCAAGAATTGCGCAGCCAGAACATCATATTCTTGGATCTCTGGAAGATATTCTCCCAGCAGAATATATCCCGATGTCGTGCATACAGCGGGATGTGGATAACGTGGACAAAGTAACATCCGACATCCATCTTATCCCGTCTTTGCATAGATCATTGCGGGCACTTTGGCGCAGCAAGTTCTTGCCGTTGGGAGTGGTGTCTTGTTTGCGAAATCGTTAATTTGCCGAGATCGCAGGATTGGAGGAAATCACCTAAGGACCCCAATCAAGTAGAGCCGCTAGGTGGTAAAGTCAATACTTGCATGCTTGTCTTGTTCATCTTCGCCGCGAACATCCTTTAAGAAAGTGACATTGAATGAACTCTCAACCGTCAATACTTAAAATCCGATCATCTGTGGAAACTTGGTGCAGGAAGTAAAAATGCGTCATTCGATGTGCATTCTTCACACCTTTATCCTTCAAGATATTGCACGAACATATCACGTACAAATGCGCGTGTCAGAACGCAACTGTACTTTCACAATGAGTTTTGACCCATAATTGATCCCGGAATAAGTTTCGAACACGCATTGCCGTTAAAGAAGAGACCATCATTATACTTTATATCTTGGAAATGTATGCTTGAAGACACCGTCCGCTTTTCGCTGAAGATAAGTCGACGATCATTAACTGCATGAACATTAACTGTTTGGCGATTGTGAAGATTGGAACGAAGGCTATCTGAGGACAATATTGTGCCGTACTGTCGCGCACTTCGTGCAAAACAGTCGTAGTGATTCCTCCAACATATTATCAGCAAGTTAAAGTTCCTTTCATGCAAAGCCTTAATAACTGCGTTGGAATTTAGAAGTTTGTGTGTTACAACACACGTAAAGGGGGTGCTATCGGCAGCCTATGACATGAGTCTTTGAATGTTTACCTTAGTGCGAATATCTAATGACCGCGGTCATACTCTTGCGCTGAACTAGGTTAACTAGGACAGCTTGTCTCGACAGTTGTCATTGAAACTAGTGTGAACCGTCGAAAACGGTGGGCGCGTGGTACAATAGGTCATCTGCTTTCTTGGGGGGACCGGTCGAGGTGATTTCATTTTTCTACTTTAGGCGGTGATTAGCCCACGTTAGAGAGGAAGAATATCAGGGAGTATATTATACCACCTTTGGGATTGATTGACACGTTACAAGCAAATAATAAAACGTCACGCTGATAAAGCTTTACCATTTGCAGCCGTTGTGCACTTGGATCATCTCTGTGGAGACCTTCAAAATTCGTCGGAAGTAACTATGGGGGATGCAGAAAAGAGGTGGGAAAGTTGAGGGTCCTTGCATGCCTCTTGGACGGGTTGAGGTTTCTTTTCCCTTCTTTTAGGGTGATGCATCACATTGAGAAGCATTCCAGTGAAGTGCTGGTGATGGTGCAATGAGCCCTGTTAATCTAATCGGTCACTTCTCGGTCTAACTGAGGGAGTTTTAGTAGAGAATCGTAACTCTACTAGCGTCATTACCGAACACCGGTAGTAGAAGCTAAAGCTAACTTTTCAAATTATCCAGATGCACTGCGCTATTAGATCTCGCGCCGGAGCGCCGTAGTATCAGTGAGATGCATAGTCCTCGCTTTTCACTTTGAAACTTATCAAATCGTTCCATATATAGCTCGGTGCTCATTTCCATGTCTACCGACGTCCACGCAGACCGTCTTGTGGGATGCAGAGCACATTCGTATCATTTCATGCATGATTAGTGAAATGACAAGGGTTTTGATTGACATTTCCGTCCTAGGGCAAATGAGAAACGTAACTTTTAACCATTTGTCGTTGGTATTTCCGTCTGTGCTTTTTTTTGTCTGTTGATGTGTGCTGGTTTTCAGGAGTGGTGTACCCGCCAAAGCTGGACTATTCGTTAAGGATCACATCGTCATACACTTGCGTGTCTGACAGATTATTTCTTTAGGACCAACCAGAGTGATCTACGCTATTAAGAATTATTAAGTTTTTGTGTTGTGAACTGCAGGCTTGATACTCTTTTCCCCCCTTGTAGCATGTTACTTATTCGTATGTTTTCAGATTTTGTGTTGGAAGAGAACACGGCGAGATATGTCGGACAAGTGAGTGTCAAACTTTCGGCTTTTGGTGTTGCTGATACGACGATGTGTAGACTCCTCTTTGACATTGCGACGCAAATTGGAGCAGTGGCGTGGAACACAACATGCATGGATTCGGTCATTTTGGTAAAAGGACATGTCGCCCACACACGCAAGTGCTAAAACCTCATCTGTACGTGTTACTGATCAACGAGGTGTAGGTATTTCTTCGACATCTAGACGGAAAAGTTGGAGGAGCAATGTTTTTCAAAGTAAGCTGTTGCAAATCTTTTGAAGTCTCGCACTATTGATATGATCAGGATATCCGGTGCGCGAGAAAGTTGAAGTAGGACAATTCCGCGCATGCTCAATGGTGAGTAATTTCTAATATTTACGTTAACTAACCTCAAGCAAGGTATCACGATGCAAATGCGACTGTTGAAATGGAAGGATATCAAAAGTCGGGCATTAAAGTAAGACAACGGACTGATATGGTGGTTTACTGATCGAATAGAGTTTAAAGGTGTCGACAGCAAACCCGGCGTGGGCGGGGGCCGTTTAATCGCGTCGTTATATAAGTGCAGGGAGGAGGCCCCTAGAGGTACGTGATTCGTACCTGTGATGTTACGTCGTAAATTTGTAGAGGTTCGCGCCGATCAAGGCGGTGTTTGCGTTCCAGCACACTTCAGTGAAGGTACGAGGTAGCGTTGGATTGGCCGACTTTGTCTCATAAGTACGAGTCTGTTAAGATGATTTTTCTTTATTGCGTGCTGAAAGTAGGTGAACGATAGGGATGGATTGTGGGCAGGTTCGGCGGAAACCTTGTTATAATACCGCGAATCTACTTGTATTGCATACTTGTGCTTTGAGAATGGTTAATATAGAATCCCTGGTTCCTGTTTGAGTTCTACCCTCCGCGGTAAACGCGTATTTCAAGGAGGACAATCTCGTCGCGTTCAATTGTCCACATGCGCGTCCCCTTGATCACGGAATTGGAAGGGGAAATGAATGGGACACGTCACCCGGTTTTTTCCGTAATTTTTCATTTTTTTCGTTTTTCAACCTGCGCCACAGCGCAGTTCTCCCTCGTCTATAAAAAGGCGACGTTCCCCGTCCCCCCTCCTGTTTTCTTTAATCCTCTCAGGCCTTTTGGCTAAGATCAAGTGTAGTATCTGTTCTATTCAGTCTGATAACTGAATCTGTTCACATTGTGGACAATTGTTATCAAACTTATTTTTGAAACTCGCTGGCTGTTGATGGGCTTGCCCTAGACGCTGGCACCGGTGTCCCCAGTATTGCACTATCTCTGGGTGACGCCAAGCTTATTATTGAAGGAAGAAATACAAATGGCGAATTGCTATGTTTGGAAGTAGTTGTCACAAGCAAGATGACTCTGGCTACACAAAGATGTCGATGACTAGTGCACCTGATTTTACCATGTCTTCGTAGTCATATGTGCGTTGTGTTATTTACAGGTTTCGCCTCTTAAATCCATGAATGTAATGTCGCTATGAAATGTCATTATGTAATCCTATCGGAATAAACTCTGATCAGAACGATTAAACTGAGGGATGCAAGCTTGCATGGGATCACATACAAATATCGCCAACAGCTGAACACCAATATCGCATATTATGCTAGCAATGGACGATGTCTCACCGTCCACCATTGTCAGGGAACGATCCATCCCTGGCCCAATCCCGGCGTCCGCACATGGTCCACCTCTCTCAACAACAGGCGGAACAGCTCTGCCCATGTTGGAAGATACAGATTTTGACTCGTACTCAGACGCTGAACTTGCAAAACTATACGAAGAGTTGGTCAAAAAGGCACAATTCTTGGAAGCGGAGAATACACTGTTTGAGAGCTTTCTGAACCGTGTTGGCCCAGATGTCGCAAGTGGTGCTTCTGCTGGAGCCGGGGGTGCAAAGGGGACTGCAGGTGGCGAGATGGGATACATGGATCTAGAAGGTCCGTCGGACTTTGGAGGCCTGGCTCCCGGTACCTCTGGACTACCAGCTGCTACGCCGGCGGCTGGCAGAGCACGAAAGAAGAAGGGAGAAAAGGTCGAAAAGCATCAAGCGCCGATCCTCCTCACCCCCGAGCAAAAGAGCGAGATTGCAACGAGGGAACTAGAAGAGCTAAAGGACGAGATTGAAAGACAAAAGGAAGAGTGGGGAAAAGTCTTGGACAATTACAAAGCCGAGATGGAAGAGATTGATATTAGAATATCAGAGACAAAGAAGGCAATGTATGAGTTCAAGAGGGACATTGTGCAGGGTGCTGTCAATCCTCGCACAAACAAGGTTGTGGCAGAGAGGGTTCTGCGTTATTTTGAGGACAAAATTCGGGGAAAGGTACGATGAATGATCACTGCAAGTTCGAATCAGTCGCTGATGGGCTCTCGCTTGTCAACAGGACGCCATCATTAAAAAAACCCGGCTCAAAAACAGCACCATCAAACTGCAAAAGAATAAACTTCATCTCCAACTTAAACAAAAGGAAGAGATGGGAGAAGTTCTCCACGCCATCGACTTTGACCAGTTGCAAATCGAAAACAAGCAATACTTGGCCAAAATTGAAGAGCGAAATGCTGAGCTCTTAAAGTTGAAAATGACAGCGGGAAATACCCAGCAGGTGTTAAACTTTCACAAGGTTCGAGATTTTGGCCCCTATTTGGCGCATATTCTTTACGATACTTATCTTTGAGTCCAGAGAAAGCTTCAGGCTCTCACCCAAGAGTCCGACTTTCTCAAGCAAGAGATTGCCCAACGACAGGAGGTATTGACCAAGCTCCTGGATGAAGCCGAGGTCGTGGAGCAGGAGAGAGCTCAAGCTCAGAGAACAAACCAAAAGATTAAGGAACAGATTGAAGAGTTTAGAGTGCCCGATGTAAGTGAGCGGGTTTTCGCAGACTCCGTTACAATATTTGAGTTCTTGTCTCCCTGTCGAGGTCATTGACGATCTTATTTCCAGGTGATGGACTATGTCTCTATAAAGGCAAGTTATTACTGTGGTTATAAGTACGCCATGGTTGTGCGGCAGCCAGCTAAAGTGGGGTTGGCACACAGGCCCAGCAGGAGGATCTGAAGAGCAAACTCAAAACATGGGAGCGCAAGGTTGGCATCGCTACAATGCAAACACAACGGTAAGTAGGTTCAGATTTATGTGATATGCAGATCCGCTTTTGCCATCGCTGGTCGCTCGCTCATCTCTATACGATCACTCTCCTCTCCTCATAGATTAAAGAAGATTTGGCGGCAAATGTGCCTTCATGCTCATCCACATCCAGCCCATCAACAGCAGAATCGCTATTACATTGACCATAACCGATTAGCGAATGTTCCTCAACTTCCTCCTGTACCAATATGAAAGCTATCTATTTCTCGTCCATACACTGGTGTTTGCGCTTTGTTTCCAAGGTCTAAAGTTTCATTTAGTATACAGCAGCTGCCTCTCGTATTAAAATATGTCCCAATTGCCTCAACAGCGCAGTGCAGTACGATGTTGGTGTGACAACTGTGTGTGGCTGTGATCACAGCACACACGCCGCTTTAGCAGCTCTTTCAATCAGAACATCATTCCCCACAAACTTCACTCGAAAACCTAAAAGACGTTACTATGGACGACGAACCCTCCCAAGCCGAACTCTACGCCCACTTCAACGGCGATGCGGACATGGTGTTGGCTTACAACAATGGACTTATTGATGAGGATGGGAATGATACCGGGGTTGACGACGATGTGCAGGAGACGGCTGAGCAGTGATGCGCCCTTGGATGATGGGAGCTTCGACACTACAAACGATGGCGAACCTTGCCAATTCCCGGCTGTAATGATATCACACACTGGCGAATGAGCACTACTATCATATGTACTTTAAAATATATCGTGCGTGATCGTGCATAGGGATATGCTTCTTTAATTGTTGAGAGCGCCATCATCCATTGTGGGTCCTGTTCTTCATTGTAAGGTTGGAACTAAAGAGGTGAGAAGATACCGCTGACGGGTCCTCAGTCTTTCGACATCGGTTTCCGGAAATGGGCTGTAAACTGGTTGACTAGGCATCATACTTAATGATGATTGAATGTAATACTATGCGAAGGACTGATGTTTGGGGCATCATCAGAAGCATAAGGTATGCGGCAGTTGGTGCGAAACGAATTCAGTCAAGGATGACTCCAGGCCTGGGTGTCAATGGCTAACCCGAGAGACATAAGTGGCACAGTCATAATATATAGCTCTCTTCGAAGGCCGACCATGCTAGTCTGGTCTCGCTAAGCGCCAGATCTCCGCACGACAGCTAAACATTATCCTCGTAGATCCTCTCAATCACGATACTATAGCGAAGACCAGTCTACATCTTACCGTTCGTCTCGAGGATGGGTCGCAAATCGGGGAAGAGCATGAACCCGGCGGATGTACGCATCGGCGCTTTTGTTCATTGGTCGTCTTGTCGCTCTTTAACTGATTTTAGGCACTATGCATACGTAGGCTCACCGCAAGCTCCAACGCAAACGGGAGCTGAAAAAGGTAAGGAATCTTGTATCGCCTCTCGGAGTCTCGCGCAACTTATCTTACATGTCTCCGTCTAGAACAAAGAAGAGCGGAAGAAAATTCGGTTGATCACAACTGCACAAAAAGACACATCGAAGGTTCTTGCAGAACTTGCCACATATCGAGAACTAGGTGGAGTGTTGTTGGGGCAGTTCTTAAACTATGGCTGCGAACTCACGAGCTTGGCGTAACAGAGCAGACTGATCCAACTGTACGCACGAAGCGACAATATGCTGAACAGAGGATCAAAAAGATCAATGAAGCACGACAGGTATTTTAGGTGTTTTGCCATCAGTTGTCAGTCCTTGTGCTTATTTCCTTTGTAGCAACTAGGACTTGCACCTGTCGACCCAAATGCTCCGTTACCGAAGCAGAAACAAAAGAAAGAAGCAGACGTGGAAATGAAATGGTACCATCCCACTTTCAACCCACATGGACCGAAGAAGCCTGCGCACCTTGGTAAGCCAAGGTGCCCACTGATATATCTAGAAGATACCTATTTACTCAAAACATTGTCGGTGTAGATGAAGAAAGCGAAGGTGATAGTGATGAGAGCGAAGGCGATTCTGACTCTTCAGTTTCATCTTCAGAAGGTATGACTGTGAAAGATCACGGTGCGTGGATAACATAGTAAACCATGTACCGTTTCAGGGGAGAGCGAACAAAATGAACCAGAAACTGTCACAACCCAGAAAGCCGAGCCAGAGCCCATGCTTCAATATGACGACCTATCCTATATACCATTACCCGACGGAGCAACACCTAATTTTGAAGCACAGATATATGTCACATTGGAGCTACCAGAAATCCGAAATAAGGCGGATTACAAAACGTCCCCAGCTCGAGACTCATCCACCCAACCTCCCGCGACACCGGGTCAGGTCAGACCAACACCTGGACAACACCACAACCCGTATCCAACCGAACGGCCACCAGAACCTCCATTTGGTCCCCCGTATAGACATCCTGGACAATGGGGACCGCCAAGCGGACCAGGAATGCCCATACCAGGTCTGTACTAGCCCAGTGATTTTCAGTATTACTGCCGCTCATTAACGCACCTCTCCATCGTTTCACGTAGGTTACTACCGTCCACCTTTTATGCCTCCCCCACATGGCATGCCCCCAGGCCCGCCACCATATCCACCATTCGGACCGCCAGGATTCATGCCGCGACCAGGACCACCGTTTATGGGACCTCCACCTGGTATGGCACCGTATGGTCCCCCACCAGGTTTTCACGGCGGTTATCCGCATTCTTCGGTGAACACGGCGCCTGAAGCAGGACCTCAACCAGAACCACAGCCTGCACCTGCACCAGTTATAGCAGCTGCACCACAAATGCGAGATCTTCAAGCAGAGTCGGTAAAATTGATTCCAGCGTCATTGCTGAGAAAGAAGACAACAGCAGGCCAGCCGAAACTTGGATCTGCACCGAAGCCGCTGCGACCACCTCCCAAGAAGGCGCTTAATGCGGCACCAGATGTCGAAGGCGAAGGGGGCGAGTCTCCTTTACCGGCACCATCAGCTCCCGCCCCACCAGTCAAAAAACCACCAGTGAAGGCGGCTACGGATGAGTATGATGAGTTTATGAGTCAGATGAAAGATCTATTGTAGATAATTTCGTAAAGAATTACATAATTATGCAAATTTCAACACAAGATTGAGATTGCCCTACTGTTTACCACATTGTGACCAGAATTAATGATGATGTCAAACACTGAACATCGTCTATATACACGTTACATTAGGAAGTTTCAAAAGTCTCATCAGGCTTCGAACTAAGCCGTCAAAATGCCGCAGCCAAGAATACGCTCAACATCGTAGCCATCATGCTCCACCCTGCGTCTGTGATGCTATTCATCATGGCAGCACTATCAGACCTTCCTGCAGGTTGGAATGGAGGTGGAAAAGTCCCAGAACCATCCCCCCCTATGGGCGACGGCGCGGCGGTGGGCGCGACGGTGGGCTGGACTGTCACCGAGGTTGTAACGGATACTGTACTAGTGATTGGTCCGCGGATCGGGGAATATGTCCCAGAAGCTATCCCAGATGATGACGGAGAAGGTGCCGTGCTTACTATGGGACTCCCTGTAGGACGAGGAACAAAAGTAACAGTAGTCACAGAGCCGGGGATCGGGAGAGGCTGCGAATGCTCAGCAGCGAAGACGGCTGCCGAAAGTTGGTTCGTGGCGTCGCGGAGAGGGGTGTATGATGGGTCTTGGGGGATGACGGTGTTAAGTTGCTATGATTTCAATGTAAGACGATCGGCTCGATGTGGAGAATTGGCGGCGGATAGAACCTACCTGCACCAGATATGTCACAGCCGCCGTATCTACGGGCCCATGCCCTGCTGTTGAAATCACATCATCCACTGCCTTGGTCACGTATGCATCGGGTGTCGCTATTTGCTGGTCTGTAAAATTCCCATGTAAGTTTGTGTTCTTCCAGATCAGTTTCCCACGCCGGTTTCAACTTACAAGCTTGCTGAATTTGCGCCGCAAAACTTGCAAAGGCAGCTTCCGGTATCAAATATCCAGCCGCTGCTATGAGAACGCCTTGAGCAGCTGCAAGCGGATACAATGCCGCCAGGAACAGAAACCCGACGGGGATAGGAATCCTGAGTCGCATGGAAGTGGACAACGTGGACCAGGTTGCCTGTGAAAGTCCGTAACAGAAAACGAATACAAGGAAATCCCTTGGACACAATCCAGGACACTGTTATACTCTCCCCGTCGTACTTGAGGCCCCCCGCCCTTTCAGAAAATTGATGTCGGTCAATGGTGGTGAGAATTTCGTCACTTGCGGTTTTGCAGGTTGGAACATCTAATTCGGAGGCTTAGCCGCCAGTATAACGTAATGATGTCGTGACTGTGGCAAGGGTGATTACGAAATCTCGATCATGAACGCTCCATAACCATATGGTTGGATATATTTAAAGAGCAGAGTCACCTATGCATCGTGAGTAGCTTCTGGTTTACCTTCAGGACTTGTCTCGCAAAATAAACTGTGTCTATTGTAAAAGGAGGTATTACATATGAGGAGTCAAATGCTGTCCCACCATACCCGAAGTCTTGGGGGAAGAGCAGGAGGATGGGTGGAGAGGAATATAGCGCGCATAAATGGCAGCTGCATATTGCAACTTGGACTTGCTACCTTGTTCAATAAAGAACATATTGTGGTTTCTCAGACGCAAAATGACTTGGGATGCGACAACTGGCAAAAAAAATGCGGTCATTGAAAGCATGTATTCAGCTTGGCCTATCTAAGAAATTTTGTACCGTACAGTTGCACTGCTACTTAGCCGCTACCTACACTATAAGATACAGCACCACTAAATAGACGCCCGTCTCCCATGACGTCCCTTGCCTCCCATATCATCAACATCTTTTACTCCAAACCTCTTCCTCAGCGTTCCATCCATTTCCCATTTCTTAACAATGTCATTTCCATACTTGTATCCGACCATGAAAATATCCTTAAACTTGTCAAACTCTAGGGTTCCATATTTTTGAACAGGCGGGTTCCAATAGAAACATCCCTCTATCTGTTTCGCATCTTCCAGCTGTTTTACACTAGAGACGTAAGCCAAACGCGCTTGAATATCGGCCAGTCCCGGAATTTTGCCGTATTTCCTCGTCACATATGGTCCAAAGAATGGAAGGTACCGCTGAAGAAGGACCCACCATCCCGAAAGTGAATCGCCGTAAGTCACTGGACTCGTATCATCAACCGACCCAACATCAACCGCAATGATGGTTTCGGCTCCGTGAGATCGCATGATATCTGCAGGAAGATTGTTGAGATATCCACCATCCAGAAGCATGTTGCCATTGTCACAAAGTGGGGGGAGGTAGCCAGACAGCGACATAGATGCTCGAACATATCGCCACATATACCCAGTTTCATGAATTTCCATTCGCGACCAGGTTATGTTGGTTGTCACCGCAAAGTACGGCAACCAGCAATCTTCGATCTGGGTTTCTTTGAAGCACTGAAGAATATTTTAGCTTGAGTTTAGAGCTGTATAGCCATTGATGACGTCGTCATACCTTCCAAATACCACGATTGAACTCATGTCCAGTGAATAAGGCTGTAACCGGATATGTCAAGTCCATAATCTGCCTCCACTTTGATACAACGCGCCCAGAGAACATTTTTGCCCTCCCATAGACGCTAACGTGATCATTCTCTCGCGCATAGAGACCTCCCACAAAACTTCCAATGCTGGTACCGCCAACCATGTCGATGGGAATGCCGGCCTCCTCCAGCGCACGAATCGCTCCAATATGGGATATTCCGCGAGCACCTCCGCCCCCTAGAACAAGACCAATGGATTTCGAGAGTAGTCGGCGAGCCAGACGAGCAAAATCTGAGCGGATCCCGGTATGGAGGTGCAGGGGTGTCATTTGCTCCACATGCGGCGCCGTGATTCCTTGGAAGTGGTTGCGAAGATTGGATAGCGTATTCTTTCGTGATGATTCAGAAAGCAGGCGGGGAGTACTTAATTGCATTTGGACCTGCATTGTGAGGTGCAAAAAATTATGAGTTCCACGCTCACAGAATAAGTTTCACCGCAAGATAACATACGTGATGATGAGCGTGTACCCACACTCGGTTCTTCAACCATTGCGCCGTGCTTCCAGGGATGCACATCCGCGCCGAATGCAAAAGGACGAGCTCTTTCCGAGCCGTGATCTTCATACTAATCAAAAGGCGCTCGAATTCGCCAATTTCCGGATCTTCGTCTCCAAGTCCTACCAGGAGAATGCAATCTGCTTGTCTAACACACCTTTGCGTCCAAGGTGAGTTTACCCCACCATCTGCGACGTACAACACCATCCGATGGCTTTCTTCCTGGTCGGCAAGCCAGTTCATCAATTTTAGTCGTCCGATACGGCTAAAGGCATGTTTCCCGAGGGTATTCATAATGCTGCCATTATCCAGCATCACCACAGAAGCACCAACCAGCTTCATGGCATTATGGAGATTCCGGGCAAAGTCCGCAATTGGCACAAGTCCATTAACAGGCAAGATTGCGACAGTTCTCATGTTGACGTTCACCATGTTCTTCGAGGGATTGACGCTTTGAGGTGCGCTCCAATTTGGCTGCACAGGACCGCCAGCGCCTTTCACCGACAATCGTGAACGTGCAGCTATGATTCGAGAAATAGCTATCGTTATCTCAGGATGGCGTAAAGCCAACGCATTGAAGAAGGTTTTTGGCATTACTGCAATCTCCGTATCGCGAATGGCGTGAACTGTCGCTGGTCGGGCAGTATCGGTTAAAACCTCCATTTCCCCAACGGACTCTCCCTGACCATATTCGGCCAAGATCTCAAAGGTTGCCTTGTCATCTGCTTTCGACCGCTCGATAATGCTACGGAGTCGACCGTTAAGAACAATGTATATGGAGTCCGAAGGTTCCCCTTCACGACACAAAACTTGTCCTGCATTCACTTGATCCCATCCCAATGCCGCATCAATGTGGAAGACCAGCGGCGATAGCTGAGATGTAAGCCGCCTCGCCAATGACAACAGCACACTGGGATGTCTTTCAATATAGCGTTCCAAAACAGATTTTGGAAGGAAGCCAACATAGACATCGGTTTTCGCGCGGATTGTGACAAAAGATATATATCCTATAATGTTCAATGATTAAGCATCGGTGGGGCTGACTGTCCTGTGCCTGGATGCCACTACCAACACACCTGTAACTGCAGCCAGATATCCGGCCAATCCACCTGGCTTGATGAAAAACAAACTCCGACGATACGATCCCTCATTGAGGGGGCTTTCAGACTCTTCTCCGGCCGAGCTACGATCTTTTGGCATTGCTCGGAATGCTGGTTCAGCCGATGACCTCACTGATGCTTCCAACATTCCATCAATTACAAAATACAAGCCGGCATTCCGCTCCCCTTCCCGAATAAGTGTAGCTCCTCTTTCGTAGAACAAAATCTGGACATCAGCGCTTCCGTTATCGCTAGTAACGGACATGCGGGATGATGTCGACGCTGTATCATCAAAGTCGCTAAAGCTTGGGGACGCCCGAGGCCTGGGAGGTACTCCACCATATGCCATTGGCGACGGCTTCTGTGATGACTGAGGGGAGATAATGGACGTTGAACTGGCATCTTCCATTGGAAACATCCCAATAATCTGAGCTATGCAAGAGAAGATTGAATCCTTTAAATCAGAGTCGTCGTGATCGTTATCCAGCAGATGCCTAAAGCCTCTGCCTTCATTCCGCGGGCGGCTGACAAGGAGGCTAGGAATAGAATGGTTGGGACTATCGCGCTCAGAATCCTCCACATCGCCTTCATAGTTCTCCTCAAATTGCGTCTGCTTAACCTTGGAAGTTCGGCGTGCACGCGGGCTGGCTTTGTGAACATCACGCTTCCCACTAGTGGGACGAATACCAGCGTCTGATAGTGATCCATCTCCAATACCCCTCATCACGTTTGCCCTCTCTCGAAGACGCTGAAAATCCGCTAAACTGAAGAGATTTTCCGGAAGACCATATCCGGCAATCTCGTTCACGCGCTTCTCAATCTTTAAAAGCTCTTTTGACAACCCGAGGTAGCGATACAAGGTCATGAAAGTGACGCGTTGGAAGCGGGTAAGGATCACCTGAACCATATGGGCAGCGGCTTTCGGGAATTTCTCGGTAAGCTTTTGAAACGCTTCCGCGGGAATAACAGCAAGGGTAGTATCTGTGGCGGCGCGCGTCGCGATGTTGGCATGTACTGATCGACTGCGTGCCGGGAGAATATTAGCGGTAGCTATTCGCAGGTCCTTACGAGCGCTAGCGCTGGGGGAAATATCGGACTCAGTGTCTGGCAAATGTTGCTCATCAAATTGATTAAGAACATCTTCAGTCCCACGAGCTTCCAAAGCTGGGCGTCCAGTTGGTCCAGAGTCCGTTGCGTGCTGCGCTTTGGTCTTCATTCCCTGTGCTGATTCTGTTCGTCTCAACCCAGGAAATACTTCTTGTGACGCAGTCAAGTGCTCAGGTGGGGTATCAAAGGCGTCCGCAAGAGAATCACCTGTTGCACTGAGTGTTGAGTTCAATTCCATTTTCTCTGTGAAGACAGATAGAATGTTGAAAAGACTTGAAACTGTGCCGCCAGCGTGCACCTCATTAAGAAGGTGGTGTCCTGGCCAATCTCGTCCGACCGATGTGCCATCCTTCTCATCCATTTCAGGGGCCTGATGAAGTAATTCTTCCTCTTTGTCTTCCTGGCCCTTCACAAACACTTGCACAGTCCCATCAACTACCACGTAGAAGTCCCGAACGTCATCGTCCGACTGGAAAAGAACCTCTCCGGCCTTAAGTTTTCGTGTGCGCAAATGTCGTGCAAGCTCGTGGAACACAGCGCGATCAAGATAGCCAAATATCTTTATCGATGAGAGAAATGCGCCCATCAACTCATCCGGATAATTGATGTGATCCTTGTCATCGTCAAAGGCTGTATCGGGATGTAGGTCAAAGGATACACCAGTGATTTTTGCAACTTGAGGCGCCGGCAGCCTGGAGTATCGAGTCAAGAGACGGTATCGGACAACCAGATAAAGTGCCGTTGCGCACAATAGAAACACAACGAGAAGAGTCCAGTAATTGAATGTGATCGTCGCTGTTACAGAGTACGAGAGAAACCCGAAGAAGTGCCAGGGCACACTGAATAAGGATCTAAGGACCACTGCAACGGAAGTGAAGATAGATCCTAGCAATGACACATCTGTGTCATTCGTTCGGAGTAACTCGTTGTCCTCCATTTTACTAAAAGCAGTGGATGGAAGCTGTAAATGAAGATGAGGGTGTTTGGGAGCAGATGCTCCAAATCGCCCTCAAAATAGGTGATTCCTTGAGCGGTTGCACGCGACCTAAACGTGGAGCAAGCGTTGGGGGTCGACGACGTGACGTCACAAATCATGGACTTCAAACTGATTACGTAATATGGGGGGCTTGGTCGGAGCTTCTTCAGGCACTCTCCGTAACTAACTCGGTGACGGTCCATGCAATTGCCGATACAGGCATGAGCTCCCATAAGGAGATAGCTGATGTCCAACAGGAGCATCTATACCTGTGGTTCAGTGAAATCCCTGGCAAGACATCTAATCTAAAGTACCTTCAAGCGTTACGAACAATGAACGAGCATAGAACTGAGTTCAAGGAATAAAATTGGATTGATATTGCGAAGGGGCAGATTTGCAAACTATCCTACAGTAAATTCCTCAGGCAGCATGAGGAACCATAGATATGAACCAGTGCCCAGATGAGATATTAGTGGAAAAAGGCGCCAGACTAATGAGTATTAGTATACGTGACAGCAAGGCTTTTGCCAACTCTCAGATCTTTAAGCTGGTCGTATTTCAAGTTCTATGAGCGACATGTATCGAATATTATAAATAGAACAGTTAAGGTTTGGGGGTTTGCCCCTTTCGTACCGTTCTTTGGACTTCGCTCACCTAATAACGCGTCTAGTCGACGCGTACAAATATCCACAAAGCCAATTGCTTCAGGCGCGCACATACCAGAATTGCTACAAGAATGCGCATTGCTGGGAGAACCAGCTTTTTGGATAGAAACGAAGCGTAGTATAGGTATTCAAATCCTCATTGGGCTTGCTGAAGGAAGATGATGCGTGCAGAGTCCGTTGGGTCCTTTGACGAGGGCGACGCTATCAGATATGTTGAATCCCTGAAGTAAGTCCAGATTGCAGCCAGATCCTAATAACCTCAACAAATGCTTACCTTTCCCCAAGTCCGGAGGATATTTTATCTTATGATGCGGATTTAAGCAAGGTTACGGTCAACGCCTACGATATGCTCATGCCACGCACATCAACCGCGGGATTTGGGGACGCCAATCGTCGTGTGGGTTGGGGTTCACGGCCATGCAGTGCAAGATCGACAGGGTCCGCGACACGAACACGTTCACAGGCCAGTGATCCTCATAGCGCTAGTAATGCATCCAGCAGGATACTGTACCCTGGTGACAAGACCAAACCGAGGCTTCTGATGTCGCTATTGCAGTACATGAAAACAGAAACAAAGGTGCTCGGTGTTGATAGGTACAATACTCATCGTTTTCCGTGCAATTGGTATCAATACAACATGCTGAATAGTCATTGACAGCGCACCAGCAGGGGACAGTTGTCGACTGCAGGTTTATCGCGAGGTCTTTGGTAGGCAGTGGCGGAGAGAATCAAGGATATTCTTCAATAAACTGACGCTTCGCGTAGATCGCTTCATAGAGGAGTTCAAAACATATGAGCCCCTTCTAAGTCAAGTCAAGAACGAGTATGAAATGGCCCTGCAAGCACAACGGAGGGCTTTGGATAAATTATATCCTTTCATAGCTTTCATTCTGGTCATCAATTCTTGCTCTTTTTCTATTGCTTATTCCTTGACCGAAATGTACACAGAGCCATTGCAGGCACAGTTGGCAATACATAAATACCAGGCGGCACAAGACATGGATCGAATGCGAGAGGACGCAGATCAGAAGTTACAACAGTGCATGTATGTTGAGGCCCTCAGTACCCATTGCATAACTCAAGGAATAACAGCCATATCCTCAGGAACCGCAACCACGACCTTGAACGAAAGTCTTCCCTCCTTGAATCGGAGTTGGAGAGCCTGCGACATCAATACGGAAAGATATCTGATGAATTGATTCGGAGGGATGCACGTAACGAGGTTCGTGCGGATATGTGAGATAATGAGATTCCCTGAAGATGCGAAATCTCATTAAGTACGGTAGCGCAGGAATACGTCTCGAGCAAGATAGCAGAGATACGCGCTGAAATGGACACGTTAGAACGACGATCTCAGGAAGAGCTAAGGAGAAAAGAAGAGGAGAACTCTGAATTGCAACGTGGATTGCGAAAAGGTTGGGCATAGAGTGACTAGTAGCCAGCTTCTCAGCTAGTTGCTGACAGCGAGGTCTCCTCTGGTCCCAGCTCATGAAGATCTGGCATCAATGGTCGACGCAATGAATACATTAAACGCCTCCTATGCAAATTCGGTCACTCGAAGGCAGTATGAGGATGTCGTCAAAGAGCGTGAGGTTGCAACAAGCCTTGGGGATCAACGCTTACAAGAGTTGGAAGCACTGGTGGGATTTGAGAGTATAGGATTTCTCTAGCGCCTGTGTGACAACTCATCAAACGAAAACAGACAGCCACAAATCGAGCTCTGCAAGACCGGATTACCGAACTAGAACGTATCTTGAAAAGAGAGCAGGAGGATAAGGTTATTATCACAGTGCAGTGCGACATCATGCCCTGACTTATCGCCTTTCTTGATAATAGTATCCAGATTGGGACTATGTTCAATCAAGGTGTCCCGCAAGTGTTCAAGAATGGGGTCTACTCTGCAAAGACCGAGACTATAACGATTCTATTGTCTTACTTATCCGAGAACTGATCAAGGTATTATTGCCCAGAAGTGTATATTCGTTATTTATATAAATGCATTTCTCACTTTGTGATTTCAGGCTAAGACTGCAAAGCCCGAACTCAGACGTGAGAAAGAGCCGGACCGGGTCAGGGGTCAGATAGACTTGGAACCCCGTTTCTTTGTTGGACTCGGATTAGGGGCTGGAATACCAAAACATCTTAGGTACACATACCTCCCATCCAGCAGGCTTTGTTTCGTGTGGCTAAATATATCTGTCGTTTTTGGAAGGTTCAAAGGAAAGATCAGGAATCGCCGCTTGTCACGCAAGAACCTCTGTTTGTTGATTCGAGATATCTGGTCCGCGAAAGCCATCTATGATGCTGGTCCAAAACGAGCCGGAAATCGCTCGAGTGTAGGGCATCTAAGCTTGTGAGATTCTCGATGATTCATTACTCATTTCCCTATCAGCTGGCAGATTTTTTATACGCATATCTAAAAAAGCGGTTTGGTACTCAAGAGGCTGTAGCGGAATGGGGTTATAATATTCATGAGGCCTGCAAGAAGCACCAATTTCAAAGTGTCGAGTGTCAGCTGTTTTACAACGTTCTGACAGGTATTCTACTGTCGTCGTCATGTAATAAGATTGTGGAACTGATTGTTGCGCCCACTTAGATGCGCTGGACGAGGAAGTTTACCATCAACAATCACGCAAAATTGAGCGACTAAAAACGCTTTTCTACCGATTGGACGTAGAAGTACACGAAGGGAAAGTCAGGGGGATTATATCAAAGCAAGAAGCCATGTCAGCCTTAAAGCAGCACTGGCCAACGAAGGGAGATCAGCAGTTTGAGCAGCTTCAGAACGTAAGAACTGCGCTTTCAGAAGCGCAAAACTGTGACAATATCGCTTCATAGAACACTAAATGCTTTTGGCTTCGAAAAGGCCCTTGACGCAGACCAACCTGGTGGCACGCTGACTTACCGTTGGCTCTTCCAGCCAGAATCTGAAAGTCTTTTCTTGGATATTGTACGGGAACAAGAGATGGAGAGTAGAGAGGCGTACGTGACGGGGTTATCGGTGAGTTTCATAATGGATATAGAACACTGATCTAAGAAAGAGAAGCATATGACGATGCCCCGTTTATAGGACCTATTGGGTACAAGTATCCGAATGGAGGCAGAAAAGACTAGAAGCAAGGAAGCACAAACGTTTCGTCTCACTGCTTTAGACTATTCACGTGCAATAGCACGATTTGATCCAGGGCTATCAAAACAAGGCATTGATGAGCTTTTGGGCAGAGGCTTCGGCGTCCGTCCACAGGATCTTAAGATGAGAACGTCACTGGAAGTTGAAAAGTTCTTGAAGGTAATTAGTCATCATTGGCTCAGAAATGCACTTTTGCTCATATGCGTTTGCAGAACCTGCGTCGTGGAGTGGTCGGTCAAGGTTCAGACGAGCCAATATAAGTAAACGCTTACATAATATGAAATGTGAATATTTGGTTGGAGTCATCTAAACCATCTGAAACCATATCTGGCCAGATCTTTGAGACACTCCAGTAGCTTGCGGTGGGGAAGGTTTTCTCGTGTTCCATCCCACAAAAATCTAGATTGCAATGCGTTACCGTTCAACGAGAGGGAAGTCAACGAACCTCTCTTTTGAGGAGGCGGTCTTTGAAGGTCTGGCGACCGACGGAGGACTTTACATTCCACACCATGTTCCTACAGTGCCACTCTCTGAGATCCTCTCGTGGGCAGACCTGCCCTTTCCAAAGCTGGCAGCTAAGATCTTTCGCAAATTCATTGCAGAGCAGGAAATACCCGACAAGGATCTGGAGGATATATTGACTCGCTCATTCGCCACCTTTTCTACCCCGGAAGTCACTCCATTGACAAAGTTGCCTAACGTGCGGCCAGAACTAGGCAATCACAACTTCGATAATCTCTATGTGTTGGAGCTCTTCCGTGGGCCTACATTTGCCTTCAAGGATGTGGCATTGCAGGTTCTCGGGAATCTGTTCGAGTACTTTCTAGCCAGAAGGAACAGAGGAAGTGTTGAGCAATATGGCATCACTGTGTTGGGGGCCACCAGTGGAGACACCGGTGGTGCTGCCATCTATGGGCTGCGAGGGAAGAAGAATGTAAATGTCTTCATTCTTCACCCCAAAGGTCGTATCTCGCCTGTGCAAGAGCAGCAGATGACCAGTGTTCTCGATGAAAATGTCCACAACGTGGCTGTGGAAGGTACCTTTGACGATTGTCAGGATATTGTAAAGACACTCTTCGGAGACGAACCATTTCGGCGACGATTCCACCTTGCTGCCATCAACTCGATCAACTGGGCACGTATCCTTGCTCAAACCACCTACTACTTCTACTCGTACTTCACACTGTTAAAGCGCATTGGTGCGCCTTCCGGTGCAACAAGTTATGCAGCGTTGACCAAAGTTCAATACAGTGTGCCCACTGGAAATTTTGGCGATATTCTGGCAGGGTATTATGCCGTCCGAATGGGTCTTCCGATTGAAAGACTTATTGTTGCTACTAATGAGAACGACATCCTACATCGATTCTTCCAGACCGGAAGATACGAGAAGAAGAAGGCCGGCTCTGGGGATGAAGAAGTACGACAAACTCTGTCTCCTGCTATGGACATTTTAGTGAGCTCGAACTTTGAGCGACTCATATGGTACCTTTCCCGAGGCGATGGTCGACATACAGGAGCGGACGCTGAGACGGAAGAAAAGGCGCAAGTCGCCAGTGCCACTATCGCTCAATGGATGTCCGACTTAAAAGCGAAGGGTGGTTTCAGCGTTCCGGAAGATGTACTCGCCCGTGCAAAGGAGGTTTTCTCGTCATTTTGCACGTCTGACGCACAGACTACGGACGCCATACAACGATATTATCACCACCAGTTCAGCCTGCCTTATGAGCCCACCCCTTCACATGCCGGCGCAGATTCGGGATGCCCGGCTTATGTACTGGACCCTCACACGGCGGTTGGAGTTGTGGCTGCGGAGAATTTCATTCAGAACGGAGGATCCGCTACTGCCTATACCATCTGCTTATCCACTGCAAGCCCCGGCAAATTCCCTGAGGCTGTGCTGAAGGCGATAAATGAGAATGTACCGAATACTTCATTACAGAGAGGGTTTAAGGCAGTTAGTTATGCAGATATTGCCCCACGTCAGCTAGTGGAATTGGAAGGACTGCCAAAACGCTGCGTAGACATCTCGACTGACGGAGGAAAGAAGGAACTTGGGCTAGAAGGAGTGAGGAACACTATAGAGGAGAAAGTAGGAGCTGGTTTTCCAGCCGTGGCGGCCGCAAAGATTTAAAATGGATGTATTATATGAATCAACTATATTGCAATAGCAATTTTCTGTCGCTACTCGAAAGTTCAGTTTTGTATTTGACATATTCTGGGCTGTGATCCTTGCAATCTGGTGGCACAGCAGACCACTCTTCGATAGTCCCGACCTGAAGTTTCACCGCGGAACCGCATTTCTTTGACCAAACTACCATGTCTTCTTCACGCTTCTTTGGAAATGACGGTGGTTCATATGTAGCACTCAACCCCCTCTCGCGGACATCACGGTCCCCATCGCCGCAGTCTGACTTTGACGATCCACTCGTGTTTGCGACTTTCTCAGGTGCCGAGGCAAATGCCAGGAGGACACATACAAAGCACGTACGAAGACGAAGTGCAGAACCCCTCACTATCAGCACATCCAAGACCTTTGTACCATTACGTAGAAGCTTGGAAGTCGAGGAAGATGGAGATATCGAAGAGGACGGTTTGGGACACGACGAAGGGACCGCTGTTGTGTCATTGCTCACGGGCGCAACCAGTCCACGAAGATTTGGCTCAGACAGTAGGGAAAAGCGAGGAGCAGAGCAGTTGCCAGAGCAAGAATTCCTCAATCTCATCCTGCATCAAGCGAATTTGGATGACGCACAAGAACTATGTCGGGCAAGATTGGATTATCTATTAAAGACGGACGATGCTCGAAAGCTGCAGAGGTAGGAAATTATTGAGGTTGGTAAGGTTGCCAATGTGCAATCGGATAGTTTGGGCTGTGGGTCGATACTACATGTTCTCATTTCCACTGCTCTTTACTTTATGCAGAACCCCATTTTACAAAGTTGCCCTTTACCGATCTCCCGCTATCCTCACGACCCTACTGCTAGAAATGCTCGTGGGCGCAATAGTGTCAAGTTATGCAGACGTCTTAGATCGACATATCCTACTGACAGCCTTCACACCAGTATTATCAAGCATGTCTGGTACATCCATCCTGATCTTTCTGTTTAACGTTTTCCATTCCATTACAATACTGAATTGCATAATCATGGTTAGGTAATATCGGCCTCCAAGCATCCACAACCACACTTCGTGCTCTTGCAACGGGCCATGCATCAAATTCTGACTGGCAGGACGTAATGCGAGTTATGCTTAAAGAAGTAGGTGCATTCCTAGAACGGACACGGCGAATTTCATTACAGTCCTAATCCTACTACAGTTTTTTTCGGCGCTCGTCATTGCAGTCGTATCCTGTTTTGCCCTGATTGGAATAGGACTAGCGTGGAGTAAAAGCTTGAGTTTTGCATTAGTGACGGGATTCAGTATCTTGATTAGCTCGTCATTTGGGGGTATTGTTGGGTGTCTCGGGCCGATGTTGTTCAAGAAGTTAGGTGTAGATCCAGCATTAACGGCTGGGCCCTTTGAGACTGCCGTTCAGGACATGGTCGCGTATTCTGCTTACCTTGGTTTAGCTAGCAAGTTCTTACCAGGACCTGTAAATACGACGAGCGATTAGCGCGCAACTGGGACTCTGGTGTTACTACTTTTGCCAGCTTTTTAAATTAATTCCAAGGCAAAGACGGTTTTATCTTAACCCGTTGGCCGAAGGGTACAGCTCATGCCATATGCTATGAGCCAAAAAGCCGTATGATGACCGAACTTCCTCCAGTAGAGCATCTCCCTCGGTGACTAATTGCCCACTATTTCTTCTCTCCTCCATGTCCCGCCGAATGTGATCCGCGACAGTTCCCTAGACATCGGTCACGACTTAGAAACAACGGAAATGCATAGAAATGACAGAAATTCATATGCTCACCACCAAGGCTTCCCGACACTTCTCGGCTTCCATCTTTCGAACCGCTTGAGGACCGTCATCTTCCATTGCATTCAAATCGTCCTGTATGCGATCCCCAAATGCTTTCACGTTGGGTAGTAACAGTACTCGCACTGCCTCTGGTCCTAGGGCTGCTAGACCTACAATCGCTCCGTAGTTCGTACTTAGCGGCTTAAGAGGATCCAGAAATGCCCGCAATAATGTCTTGGTGATGCGGGGTTGCAGGCTTTGATACGTCGCTCCATATTGATTGCATATGTACGATATTAATTTGGCAGCATATGTTCGAAGCGTCCAGTGATCATCTGTTGCTGGATCTGCACATAATCTCTTTGCCACAATACATGTTAGAATATTGGGGATGAGTTGATGTAGCTAGAAATGACAAATATTGATCAATGTGAGTATGATAAGTCTTCCATAAAACGGTCGGTGTATGTGACTCTTACATATGGTTCGACGAAGAGGTTGTTATTATGCAAGATTGCTCTTATTAAGCGCATCATTGAATGGGTTATATCGAGTTTGCGCATATTTTGGGTGACCTAGGGACAAGCGTCAAATGGCTGCCAAATGTATATGTACCCTGTCTACGTACTTGCTCAGCGATGAATTGGATCAGGTAGGGGAGTAAGGGCTGAATTCCTGGATCCTTCGAGATGCTCTCAACAGCCAAAGATCGCAATTCTTCTGAGCCACTCGTCACAGCTTCAGTGACCTTCTCGTAGTAAATCTGCAATTCTTTCGTGAGAACGGCTTTCACCAATGTTTCTGCTGGCGCTTCCCCGCTTATGGAAACTGGAGCAGAGATCTGTTCCGCCGGAGCTGGTGCGGCGGTGGCAGGTTTGAGTTTACGCTCTTGCAACTCTGAGCGGGCTATGCTTTAGCGAGCCATGGCAGCTATCAAGAAAATATACGGACAAACATACCAGCAGGTGTAGGATTTTGAACAATGGCAGGTTGAACTCCGTCAATGGCCAGCCAATGAGCTGAGAACATTATCCACACGTATGAGCCTCCATGTTACTGATTTCTTTGCACAATTCCACTCACCAGTATAGGTAACCTCCAAGGGAACAGGAGGTAATGGTGCATTTAAGATGTCTTCCAAATCCAGCTCCTGGTCCTCGACATAATATATTTGCTGTGTGCCTTGCGTGATCAGGTTGAACCGAGACGATTTGCCTGATTCCCACCCATATAATGGCTGTTCGTATTTTCCAGTAACTAATCAGACGGCCATCGTCGCACCTTATGTAACGAATACTGACCTCCACATTCCGCACACGAAGGGCATAATTAATATCATCCGAGTGGAGCTTTTGCCGTTTGGCATGGCGCATAAACTTTCCAGCTTCCTAAAAGGAAACCTCGGTCGGTATCGAGCAAGTGTTCGAAACGACGAATCGTCATACATGAATGATCTCCCGTAATCTGTACTCTACATCCTGGACAAGCGCATTGGCAATTTCGTCCTTCAGTGAGATTCCAGCTGTATCTGCAATGGCCTACGCGACAGGTTGAGAGAACATGAAGTGCAGTTCAATATGATATGACAAGTATATGTCTTGTTTACCTGGACGCTCTCCTTGGCTAGAACGCTCATTGTATATACGCCAAATATTCTGAGCAAATGTCGACGTTTCAAAGCAGTAGTGTATTAGGTGACAGTGGTGAGCAACGTGACCGGGCCGCAAAGTTAGGGCACAGCACGATTGATTACGTTGGACGTTGGACATGCGCTCACATGCAGAATAGGAAGGCTGGGCTCTCGGGAATGATATTTTAATGCAGCCGCAATTGAACATGGCGGTAACGATCGCCATAGAAGTCGATCAATAGCACTTCGCCTGTTGTTTTCATTAAACATTCATGGCACACGGAACTTCGTGCAGCGCTTGCACCTCACTACCACAATTTGAAACTTGCAATACCGGCTTTACCTACAGCTTATCATTATTGACAATAACTTGAAAATCGAAAATCGATGCCACCCCCGACCAATCCTCTACTATCAATCTTATATATTCCATCAATCTGAATCGAGTCTCTTTTGCGCCAGGAAGATTATTTTCTGCCAATTCCTGCAAAGTCGCAGAAATAAGTTGCTGATCTTAGTACTAAGCAGGTTGGCTATCCGCAGAATAATAAAACTCACCAAAATAGACTGCCAATGCCACTGCCACGCACAGTAGCAACAAGCAGCAAATGATAATGCACATCTTTTTTCTGCTCTTTTTCTGTAGTTTTATTGCCTTGGAAAGCGCTTGTGTGCCTTGTTCTGTGTGTTCCGCGGCATTGCTGACATGCACCTCGATTTGGTTCAACATCTCCCCCTGAGCGCTGACCAACACTGCCATGTCCATGAACAATTGTTGCAGTTCCTGAATTCAGATAATCGAGGGTAAGTTTCATTACGAACACAAGTCAACAATTTCGCGCGGAAACTGACAATAATGCTTTGTTCAATCCGAATGATGTCTTGATGTCGGTCCTGAATGTCCTGTAAAGCCCGTCGTGCCTCTCCCCTCTGTCCCGATTGCATTATCTGTTGTGCAAAAATGGGCCCTTGCTGTCCGTCCATCATCTTGTCAACTTCTTCGGGAGTCGCTTGTGGTTTGACAATAAGGAATTGCCGTTGAAGTCGTTGCTTGTATTTTTCTTGATACTTTGTTTGGATGGCTTTATAGTCATTCATGACATCCAGGAATTTTTTGGTTGTTGCGCCGTGCTAATGGGTTGCCCAAAAAAGGACAAGAGCAAAGTTTGTTATATGCGGGCAGATGCACATGAGAGTGTGTGAGTACCTGGCTGATCCGGATTCGCGCATCGCTTTCCTGTCCAGGCTTTTTGGCCATGGCTTTGTTGTCCCCATCCATGGCCTTCAACTTGGCCCGTATTTCCGCTGACAGCTTGTTCGTTCGGTCCATCACCCTGTCCAGCTCCTTGGCATTCTGTTTTGTTTCCTCATCACTGATTATATTCAGCGCCTTTTGATGTAGTCCTTCAATATTCTCAATATTCCGTCGAATCGCGGCAATCTGATCTTTGATTGACGATATCTCGTCGAAGAAGGCTCTCATGGCAGGACTTTCTCCGCCTTCCCCTTTTTCCAGGTCTGGTTGATGGAGTGCATCGCCCTTTTTCTTGTCCTTTTTCTCTTCCTTGCCTTTCTTCGCGGATGGTGCGGCCTCTTCAACGGTCTCTCGGAGAGGTGAGCTATCTGCTGGGGTTTGCCCCTAGAAGGACGTCATCCTACAAGCACCGTGATAAACATGTTCACATCGGACCTTTACCTTTAGGTCTAGCATTCGGTCACGCATGTTGACCCTCTTCGTGGAGAAACAATAAAGGGAAGCTAGTTGTAGCAGGTAAAGCACGAAACAGGAAAATACGCACCGAGAAACTCGCAGCTCAAAAGACGGAACGCGACGACACCACCTCAATGCTCTCACGATCTCGTGAACTGCGGGTTTCCCGTGTTCCTTGTCGTAATCTTCTTGCAAGTATCAAAATAGAAACTCAGAACTCTCCGACATGCTCTTTGCTTACGATATGCACTGCAATTGCACTTTGATGGTGGTTGGATGGTGGTTTGATGGTCAAGTGAAGTCGCGCGGAGACACGTCATACAATCCGCATTCATTTGCCAACAGCAAACGCTCGAAATGAAACTTCAGGGTTACTGGCCATAGTTTCGAAATTTACATTATCCTGAAGCATCATTAAGGAATAAAAGGACGGCAACTTAGCGAATAGAAAGAGATTAGCTTCTGAGAGATGGCATCCCCACCGAAGGTATTTTACTGAAGACTCAACGAGAGTCTACCATTCGCAAACTCATTTCATATTGCCAAATAGGTGCGCAAAATAGCTGTTCTAGGCTCCAGAGCAGTCGGGAAGTCCTCTCTAACTGTCCAATTTGTCGAAAACCATTTTGCGGAGACATACTATCCAACCATCGAGAATACATTCACAAAGACTGTCCGTCACCCAACAACTCACCAAGAATACGCGCTTGAAATCTACGACACCGCAGGACAAGACGAGTATTCAATCTTGAACTCCAAACATGCCCTTGGGATTCATGGCTACGTCATTGTATATTCGATTGCGAGCAGAGCGTCCTTTGAAATGTGTTCAGTTGTTCGAGATAAGATTCTGAACTATACTGGGATGGAATGGGTTCCGATGGTGCTGGTAGCAAATAAGTTAGATCTGCAAATGCAGAGACAAGTTTCAACGGAAGAAGGGGAAAGACTGGCGAAGGAATGGAGGTGCTCTTTCGTGGAGTGCAGTGCAAAAATGAATCAAGGCGTAGCAAAGGCGTTTGAAACGATGTTGAGTGAGATTGAAAAGCAATCGAAAGGCGATGCAGAGCCGCCCAAGAAGGGGTGTATGATTCAATGAAAACGAGGATTGCCGGACGCATGTCTCTAGAAAGTCTTTCGCTTGTGTTTCTTGATTATTCCTCTACCGATTGTGTGTACGTGTAAATACAAATTATATGCTATATCTTACTCCATATGCATGAAATCCCGCCCTCATCTGCCTTTCTTCCCACCCCCTTTACCACCCTTTTTGGTGGTATCAACAGCACTCATGACTTTAACTTTCCCGAGCATCGAATTGATCAATTCCATCTCTGGTATTGCCTTTATCAGATCCTTTTGTCTTTTTGCTGCATCAACAATTGAATTTTGTTCTTCTCCATCGTTATCTTCAACACTATTCGTTTCTCCACCTCGTCCTCTACCGCGCTTACTTACAGCACGACTTTCCTCGTCTGTTGCTATCGCCACAAATGCAGATACAGCAGATTTTGTTGCCTTTCCTTTTTTCAGACTGCCTGGGAGGAGCTTAACCTTGTATTTGTAGCGCTGAAGTGCGGACCATGGTGCGCACACTGGAATTGCGTGAAGAAGAATATCAGCAGGATGGGGCTGGCCAGTGAGAGAGTCGAGAAAGGTAAGGTTGGATTCTTCTTCCGGGAGAAACGCGACATTTTCTTCTTCGAGCATCCGTCGCAGTTCGGCAGAGTCTGAGGCCGTTGAGCCTCGGCGGCTTGGCAGTGTTGTCTCATCTTCCATATCTGCTGCACGTGCCGTATCATCATCCGCAGAGGCTACATCGTCTTCTGGGTGTACTTCCACGTCCTGATTTGTAATACGTGTGTCGGCATTCTGATCGAGCCGTTGCATCCTTCTAGGTACATCCGATTTTCGCTGTTGCTTGTGCTGTGCAGCTTGCTTCCGAGCCGCCTCTGCCTGGGCTTTAGCTTTCTTGCCCTTCGGTTGTGGCCCCTTGTTACTCCCCAAAATCTCTAACATCAGCTGACGGTCCTCCTCGTCCTGATCGGCATACTTGTCCTTCAGTTTCTTTAACTTTCCCTTTTTACCTCGGATAGCTTGCTGCTTCTCCTGCTCGGGTTGTTCAACCTTTGCACTCCCCTTGCTCTTCAAACCACGAGCTTTTGTCGATGCTGTTGATCCTGCCTCGGAAGACCGATCCGACTCGTTCAAATCAGGCGCACCCTTACGCTGCTTCTTCATCTCTCGTCGCTCTTTAGCACTTAGATATTTCTTGCTTTGTTGGCCATCGTCCAGCGAAGTTTCAATCGTCGCTCCATCGAGTGGCTCATTCTCGTCTCCGACTTCAGCTAGCCCATACTTATCCTCTATTGTCATCTGAATGGATAGCAGAGAATCGTCGCTCTTCGTCATTTCATAATGTCCCTCTGATTGTTGAGCATTTATGTTGTTGGCACCATTGACAGGCTCATCGCAATTTACATTCGCGTCAACCTGATTAAGCACATCCTCATCCTCACCATCCACCGCCTTGCCTTCGTCTCTCCCATCCACTACGCTGTCCAACCGAGGCTGTTCATCCAACTCTTGGTTACCATCCCTACCCCATGGTCTTCTCTCCCAATAATGTCGGCCCACGCTAGTCTCATCCACTCTGAACAGAATACCAAAGCCATAAACTAGTTGGACTGGAGGAAGCCAATTTTTCTTGCCTCTGATCATAAAACTTCCAGTCGTCAAATATTCCCCGGTTGGCGCAGTCTTACTCACTTGATGATCATAGACCCACCAAGCACTTGTTACTATTTTGGCGTCCCATGCTCTCGATTGGCACACCGACATG